GACGGTGAAGGCGGGGGTGGCCCGATTGAGGCTGGGACGGGACTGCGGGTCGATGTCTTCATCTTGCAGACCGAGGCCTTTACTGGTGGCGTAGAAGAGGGAAAACGAGAAGCCGAAGTCGATCACCTATGGGAGACGCGGTCAGACGGTCCATGCGACAGGAATTGGCTTCTTTAGAACACGGGAAACATACCCAGGCCAAGAGCATCAGATAGTCATGGAGGGCGAGTTTTCGGACGATGAAGATGCGGGAGAAGAAACGGAGGGCCACAAAGACGGTCGCGAGGGCGAAGATGACGAGGGAGACGACCAGCACGTCGGTGCGATGGCCCTGCATCGTGGGCGGGGGACACCGTCCGGCGCAATGTCGGAAGAGACACCGAAGAGGGAACGGGAGACGTGAGACTCAAACCGCCGGGAAGGACCGCCATTCAGGAGCGATCCAGAGCGAAGGCGACGGGTGGCGCAGCGATGAGATGGGACGACGGCCGCGGCGACATGATCAGTGACGACAGAGGGAGAGGGGAGAATGCGAGGGACGGAGAGGGACGGAAAGGAGGAGGAAGAGAGAGAAAGAGAATTGAACGAGCCGAGAGAGGATATAAGAGGGAGAAGAGGAGGTTGGAGGCGATTCCGGGCAGGGCGCGAGAGAAGTAAGACATGGAAGAGGGAAGAGGGATACGAAGCAAAAGAGAAGTTTGTGTGGTTCGCGTGGGTCTTCAAGGGATGGAAATCCGGGGGGAACCAGTCAGCCCCAACACCATCAACTGAACTAACACTAACCACTTCGATCGCATTCCATCGCATCCAACCTTCTACCGTGTTCACAATGCGACTGTACCACGGACTCAGTCAGACCAGTATAACTATCACCACTGTCTTCTTCAACTCTACAACCGCATCCTCATTCTCCGTCAACCATCCACAGGTACCTACGACCAGACTGAAGTCAAGCTCAGGATCGACCTTGCAGCAATATTGATTGATCCATCACATTTCCACGCATTCTCGTGATGGTTCCGGTCTATATATACGACGAACTCAGGAACCATTTTAACCATAACAATAGCAATAACGAACCCCTGTGATCCGCCCCTGATCGCCCGATCAAGGCTTGGCTTTTTTGCCCGACAACCCAGCACCGCACTCCCGGGTTGAACATTGCATATCCTGAAACAGACCAACCGATCCGTTGATAGCGATAAGCGTCATCAAATTTACGGAGTATATGGGGTGCCTTAGTGCGTCCGAAGATCAGATTAGGCGTCCGCGGATGTCATCCGGGACGACACTATCGACGGATGGGCAGTGGCGGTGCTGGATCGTCCGAGCACTCAGGGGTAGCCTACTCCGTATTATTATTATTACTACTATTATTATTATTACCTCTACGATCCTCCACGCGATTACACGTCCAAGGGATGGTACGAAACAAGAACTTTTCATTTCTCATCATTCAACCCGCCATGCGAATACCCGATCCCTCATGGCCGATCTTAGTCCATCGTAAGTCTCATGGAGCGCATCCAGCGATCTGATCTGTGTTTGTGGAAAGAAAAAGAGCTTTCAATAAACCGAGCGGTCTATACATAAGAACACGATAAATCATCGACTCCGTGGAGCCCGGTTTGTCAACCAATATGCATAAAGAAAGTAAGAAGGGTAAAAAATGTTCGAAAAAGGGTTCTGTCGAAGAAAAGAAGAAAAGATCAGATTTACTCCATCCACCATTCCACACCGAAGAGACGGCCTTCAGCGAAAGCCGCCAGTTCGCTGAAGAAGTGGCGGGACAGGTCGATCGAGGTGCTGTCGCATCCCATGCACTTGTCGACCACCTTTCCGGTCTTGGTGGAGCCGCCATACTTGATGGTCACCGTGCGGCCACAGTCGCTGTCCTTCATGATGCCCACAGGGAGCGCCAGCACGTTCTCCGTCTCACCATCATTGGTGTAGCCGCAGCTGCTGGGGGCGCTGGCCGAGGTGGCCGTGTCATAGAAGGTGACCTGACTCGTGCAAGGCGATTCCTTGGAGCAGGCACCGGAGTAGTCTGCTGCTGCTGCTGCTGCCACTACCACCAGTGGGAGGTGCCGAACTAGTTCGACTGAGCTTGGACTGTGGTGGAGGAGGAGGTGATGGGAACAGCGGTAGTGGTGGCCTGGATCTCCGAGGGTCGTGGGCTCCTGGGCAGGGACGGTGGGCTGAGGAGCAGGCGCCACGGTCGTGGGAGCGGCAGTGGTGGTCGGCGCGGACGACGCAGGCTGGGTCTCCACGGGCTGAGTCTCCTCGGGCTGAGTGGGCTCGGGAGTCTCGGTGGGAACGGCGTGGGTGACGGAGACGACAGTGGTGGGGGGAGGCGCGGGGGCCTCGGTGGTGGGCTGAGCACCATAAACGGTGGTAGTCACATCGACGGTGGTCCAGACGACGGTGGTCGCCGTCTCATAGACGACGACATTGCCGCGCTTGTTGACGGGGGCTGCAGCGGCGAAGGCCGCAAAGAGAGAGCCGGCGAGGGCCAGAGATTTGGCGAGAGGAGCCATTGTAGAAGATGTAGAGAGTGAGAGTTGGAAAGCCGTGAGAAACGGTCTGGTATAGATTGGATATCTCGGTTGAGAAGGTCTTCAGGAGAGACTCAGAGTAAAAAAGGATTGACACGACTGCACAGCAGTACGAAGGAGGGAGAGACACTCAAGAGTGACAAAGGAAGGAATGACAGGGACTGTCGAGAAAGAAAGGACTGTGAAACCGAGAAAGGATGGATGGATGAAAGAGAGAGAGAGAGAGAGAGAGCGGAAGGGAGGGTGGTCTGGTTTAATATTAATCTGAGCAGGGTTTAGCGTGGCAGCGGTTCACAGACTTCATTGTTGGTCTAGTCTCGTCTAGTCTAAGGTAGTATGAGGAATGGACGAGTCCACCCACTGGGAACGAACCCCATGGATCCCAGCAGGGTCCTTCCCAGTCGGCCCGGTGCCCATTCCTTTTCATTCTGGAAATTACCAGGTCGAGATCAAAAAGAACATCCAAAGAGATGGGTTCCTATAGATATCTGTAGAGGTCAATGTCACCTGCAGTGGTACATTGAATATACTCCCGTACCAGGTACCTACTCAGGTACCTAACCTACCTAACCTACCTAAGGTACTACGTGGACGCAGGAACCGGTCAGGAACCGTTCAACCATACAAAACTGTTCAGCTGTTCAGGCACCCGTCAATAATACTCGGTAATAATCAGACTGGGATGACGATCGACTCATTGGTTGCAAGAAGGTTGGCGCCGGTGTTTGGCGTTGGTCAGCACTAGACTGTCTCTAGTTTAGTGCCTCTACAGTCTCTTCGCTCACTCGTCCACCGCGTCAGGGGGATCACCGCCAGCGCCACTCGGGCTGTGTGGCTTAACCGCCAACGCTCCCACTGTCGGGGAAAGGAATGTATCAGGAACAGAGAGGAATGAGCGTCGCGAACTCGCGAAGAATGCACACGCTACGGTCCAGCCGAAACTATGTAACCTAGTTTCTTCCGATGAACCATCGACGGTCGACTCTGGACTCTATAGGAAGGCAATGCGGCAATTAAATCCGCTCCACATCCACGGGTTTCTCGTGGGGAATTGCCCCGTGCCCCTCGGGATTATTCTACGGAGTACAGTAGTGTATACGTAAGTACTCTACAAAGTCCTCCATAGGTACAGTAGTTATAGGTCTCAATCTATTCAGTGGCCAATTGCCCAATTCCTGACCAGTCCAGAACTCCCGCTCCCCACTCTGTCATTTCCGATGGTGGCTAACTGAACAGAAACAGCGAGAGCCCCTCTCTAACTAGCCGGCCACACCGAGCCACGACTCCTCCGGACCCCTCCGTCCGCGAAACTTCCCCAATAATCGGGTCCTCGTCCGACAGTGTGACTCGCACAGCTCCCGAGACCCACCCGCCTTGAGCTGGCATACGAGGGCTGAACAAGAAACCCGATACCACAACGGTGGCCGGCCTAGACTCCTCACCGTTCCATCCACCCCCCTGTCGCTATATCACTGCCCACTATAACTAACTCATCGTCATCTCGCCCATGCGCCAAAATGATCCGACGTGGAGAATTTTCACCGGTGCCACGCAAGGCACTGCTGCCGCTTGGTCTGTTCCCTACGGAATACATCCGGTCGTCCGCTGTATCACATCATGCATTCAAAGACGAGAAAAAAACAAGGCATCCAATCTTTACGTACAGGTCAAACCATCCCAGCAAAAAAAGAATGAAAAATGAAATCAAATCAAATCAAATAAAACCAGTGCACCGATCCATCAAGCTCATGACATAGAAATATACATACATACAATACCATGCATCCCTCGTCTAACCCTGGCACATCAGGCACGCCTCCTTGTTCTCAATGCTGCACTGCAGCACCTTCTGCGAGTAGATATCACTCTCCCGCTCCGAGCTCTCCTTGCTCCCATCCTCCTCCTGGGACGCCCCATTGCTCGCCTCCGCGCCCGAACCGTCACCCGTCAGCACCCGAGGGCTGCTGTAGTCCGATCCGTTGACGCCATTACTCTCCTCGTGGCCGTTGGTCTCTGCCGCCCGAGGCACCGCCGCGTACGCACTCGACGCCGGGGCCCCCGTGCGCTTCTTATATGCTGCACTGACCCGCGCCACGTTGGTGTCCGCGACCTTCAGCTGCTCCTGGTCCACCGTGAACTGGATGGGCGCCGACGCCGCCATCGTCCGCAGGTAGTACATGCCCGTCTTCAGTCCCATCTTCCAGCCCGCAAAGTGCATGCTGGTGATCTTGCCCATCGTCGGCTCCTTCAGGTGGATGTTGAGCGACTGCGACTGGTCGATGAACGCTCCCCGGTCCGCTGCCATCTGCAGGATCGTTCGCTGCGAGATCTCCCACACCGTCTTGTACAGAGCCTTGATGTCCGCCGGGATGTTGGGGATGTTCTGCACCGAACCGCCCTCGGCGATGATCCGGTTCTTCATGTTGTCCGACCACAGTCCCAGGTCCACCAGGTCCTTCAGGAGCCAGGGGTTGACCACCTGGAACTCACCCGCCAGCACACGACGCGAGTAGATGTTGGAGGTGTACGGCTCGAAGCACTCGTTGAAACCGAGGATCTGACTGGTACTGGCCGTAGGCATGGGCGCAACCAGCAAGCTGTTGCGGACACCCGTCTGGGCGATCTTCGCCTTCAACGCATCCCAGTCCCAGAGGTCAGTGGGAGTACGGTCCCACATGTCGTACTGGAGGATGCCCTGGGACACTGGAGAGCCCTCGTAGGTCTCGTACGGTCCCAGCTCCTTGGCCAAGTCGGACGAAGCAGTCAGAGCACCGTGGTAGATGGTCTCGAAAATCTGAATGTTCAGCTGCTTGGCCTCAGGAGAGTCAAAGGGCAGGCGCAGGGCAAGGAAAGCATCGGCCAGACCGTTGACACCAAGGGCGATTGGACGGTGACGCATGTTGCTCTTCCGGGCCTCCGGGACGGGGTAGTAGTTGATGTCAATGATCTTGTTCAAGTTGCGCACCAGGACCTGCACAACCTCATGGAGCTTGCCAAAGTCGTATTCACCACGAGTCGCATCCACAAAGGTGGGGAGAGCGAGAGAAGCCAAGTTGCAAACAGCCACCTCATCAGGAGCACTGTACTCGACAATCTCCGTGCAGAGGTTGGAGCTGCGAATGGTTCCCAGGTTCTTCTGGTTGCTCTTGCGGTTGCAGGCATCCTTGTACAGCATGAAAGGGTTGCCGGTCTCAGTCTGGGCCTCAAGAATAGCATACCAGAGCTTCTGGGCCTTGACGGTCCGGCGGCCACGGCCTTCCTTCTCATATCTACCACGGGTTAGCATAGAACAGTATCGAAACGGAGTACACTATAAACTCACTTCTCGTAGAGGGCATCGAACTCGTCGCCGTAGACATCTGCCAAGCCAGGAGCCTCGTTCGGGCAGAACAGAGTCCAGTCGCCATTGGCCTCGACCCGCTTCATGAAGAGGTCGGGAGTCCACAGGGCATAGAAAAGGTCACGTGCTCTGACCTCCTCTTTGCCGTGGTTCTTGCGCAGATCCAAGAACTCGAACACATCCGAGTGCCAGGGCTCCAGGTAGATGGCAAAGGCACCCGGACGCTTGTTGCCGCCCTGGTCAACATAGCGAGCAGTGTTGTTGAATACCCGGAGCATGGGAACAAGACCGTTGGAGGTACCGTTGGTACCACCAATGTAAGAGCCAGTCGAGCGGATACGGTGCACGTTAAGGCCAATGCCACCAGCGTTCTTCGAAATCATGGCACAGGTCTTCAGGGTGTCATAGATACCCTCAATGCTGTCCTCCTTCATGTCCACCAGGAAGCACGAGGCAAGCTGGGGCTGGGGAGTGCCGGCACTAAACAGGGTAGGAGAGGCGTGGGTGAAGTATTTCTGAGACATCAAGTGATAGGTCTCAATGGCCTTCTCAATGTCATTGCCGTGGATACCCACGGCAACACGCATGAGCAGATGCTGGGGACGCTCTGCAACCTTGCCATTGATACGCAGCAGGTACGACCGCTCCAGAGTCTTGAAACCAAAGAAGTTATAGTTAAAGTCCCGGTCGTAGACAATAGCCGAGTTGAGCTCGTCAGCATGCTTCATAACCGTCTCGTACGTTTCCTTTGATATCATAGGAGCCGGTTTATTATTCCGTGGGTTCACATAGTGAAAGAGGTCAGAGATGACCAAGGAGAACTGCTTCTTCGTTTGCTTGTGAAGGTTGGAAACGGCAATACGAGCCGCGAGAATGGCGTAATCAGGGTGGGTAACGGTCATGTATGCAGCAGTCTCGGCAGCCTGCAAGGAAGTTCATGTCAGCAAGCGTTCCTCGCGGTGTGGTCCGCAAGACGAGGATACGTACCAGGTTGTCCAGCTCGACGGTGGTGACACCCTGGTAGACACCCGAGATAACCTTCTGGGTGATAGCAGCAGCGTCGACATGTTCAGGATCAAGGCCATAACAGAGTCTCGATACACGAGCCGTGATTTTATCGAACTGTACGCGTTCTTTGCGTCCGTCTGCAGGAAAAACCGGATCAGCAAGGGTTCGGTAGGTCAAGTGGCGGTGAGACCAGCGAGGAACTTTCTCCAAAAACCTAGGCATGCACCTAGGCTGGAGAAGGGTGGGATGGAGGGTTTGGGGCCAATGCTCACCTCTCTTGTAGACAAACATTTTTCGAGGGTATAGGAGGGAATCTGAGGAGAATGAGGAAAGACGTAAGGGTATAGGAATGTATTACTAGAATGGAGGTATGTGAGACTTGTAGAAGGAATAGGAAGAGGGAAAGCGCGTTGAGAGGAAGAAGAAGCGCTCGAGGAGGAGTGGAAGAGAGGATGAGAAGGGAGAAAGAAGTCGGAGGGGCAGAAAGTGTGGCAGATATTTGATGCTGGTCGCCGGGGCGAACGCGTGCCCAGTGGATATCAACGCGAATTTTCGTGTTTGGACCAAATGGGCTACCCTTATTTAGTCCCAAGAAGGCAAAAGAAAGCCCGCTGCTGAGTCAGCCGGCCCAACCACGCGTCTCTTGGGTCGGTCACCTGAATTGCCGCATCACGCCACGAGCCTCTTTTGGGTCCGATATCGACAGAGCATTCCACTTCTATCAGATAGGCGTTGATCAGTGGGGAGTAATGAGTAGGTGGGGATACGGAATCTGATAATCAAGTAGAAATATAGCATGGCGAGCGGCCCATGGGAATCCGTCCTTGATACATGCTTGGTTATGCGAGTGCCTCGAAATCCACCTACGACACACTCTCCATGAAGATATGTAACAAAAGTTGATTCAATATATGACCCATCTAATGGTTAATGCACAAGAATTGAAGAGATGCACCCCGAACGCATCCCGAAACCGTCTCCACTAATTGATGAACCCGCCGAGATCTCACAGCGTCGCAGCAAATCCAACGAAAACGACCGCCGCAAAGGCAGCTGCCGACACGTGACGGTCAGAAGAACCAGAGTTGGGAGTCTGGGTAGACGAAGCGGCGGAAGCAGAGCTAGAGCCAGTTTGGGAGCCGGAGCTAGTAGACTTGGAAGAGGTAACTGCAGTAGCAGTGGTGAAGCCAGTCGACTTGGAACCCGCACTGGAAGTGCCAGTAGGAGAGGAAGAAGAAGAAGACGAGATGTTGACATCTGAAAAGATCAATTGGTCAGCGCCTACAATCCATCTTGAGATCTGGGCCAACACAGCACATACCGACTTTGTGGCCTGCCTGAGCGCAAGTCTTGGAGTAGTAGTTCAGGGCATCCTGCAGGTCATCATCGCTGCAAGTGTTCGCGATCTGCTTCTGCAACTTGTCGGAGTTCTTCACACAGGCTTCGTTGAAGTCCGCAGGGTTCGAAAGAGTGGTACTGGCAGGATGGTTAGTCAAACACGACTCCTCCACCTCGAATGGCGCGGATCATACCCCACAGCGGAGAGGAGACAAGCGGGAGTCGACGCAGCAGCAGCGATGTTGGTCAGAGCCAAGAAGGAGAAGACGATGGCGGACTTAGGGAAGTACATGGCGATGGAGTTAGACGGTCAAGATTTGAAAAGCCGAGGTTTGGAAGAAACAGCGCGAGATCGTGTCAATCGAGCGAACGAATGAAGGAATGAATGGGGTATTCGAAAAGAGCGACAGGGTATGAACCGTAAAGAGCGTGTGGATGAAGGAAGGACGGCAACAAGGAGCGATAGAGAGATTTGTTGAAGACGAGATGAAGAGGAGTCGCCAGGAGTCGCAGCAGTCAGCCCTGAACGGGGCGGCTGTCTCACCCAATTCAGCATGGAGGGCTGTCGATCTCCCTGGGGACTGTAACAATACTGCCAATATTACCACCTCGATGCCCCTCGGCAGGGTCCTGGACCTGACTAGTCCTGAAATGGCAACATCTCAGGGTCTTCATTGGTGGGGAAGGCCGTGATGGTGTTTCTTGTTGCGTAATGTTTTGTATCTGATAATATCAAATGGTAAATTATCGCCGCAAGGTACACACAGGTCTAGATCTCCCTGGATGGCCCTTTTGGGAGATTGTCTGGTATTTTTAGAATACCTCGGACTATTGGACTCGTACATACCTACTCTGTATATCAGACTCATGTGCTGTTTGTAGACGGCTATAGAATCACATCTGAGTTGTTAACCTTTTGTGCTAACCTCATGTGGCCTGGCAGCAGGCAGCAGGATGTACACAAGCAAAAGGGATCCAATCCCTCGTCGTCCGGTTTTACCACCTTGAATCAAATATCAACTATGGAACGAGAGTATAATTCTCGCCTACAAGCGTGTCTGCGAGAGATTCCGCGTTCATTCGCGGCTCGGACCTGTCATTTTCTTATTTTATGCTTCTGATTCTCAAAGAGTCGAAGCTCTCGTGTGGTTTTTTGAGCTCATATTCTCAATCCAATCTAAATTATCGGGAGATCTGTCGCAAGAAGACAGCAACTTCAAGTAATGCAACACATCTGTTAGCACTCCCACTCCAGAGTATAGACCACTTGAACGTGACATGCTCCAACGCGTCATACTTGCTGTACGGATTTCCTGCCTGAGTAGGGTCTGGCAGGATAGTCACCATTTGCAAGACACATGGCTATGAGCCTACGATTCCTGCGTGTACAGGCGAGATGTACTGGATATAGAGAAGGCGTGCCTGGAACTTTCCAGCCGGGCGACGATTCTAAAATCTTCAACACACTTCGATGACCCAGTCATTCTGCGTGTTTACCAATATGTATAGTGACCTTGATGATAAGTCTGTTTATATCCAACATACTAGCTGTGAAGTAAACACGGCTACGCATTTATCCACTGGGACATCAGCGTGTATAGGAGATCGTCTCGCTCGGTTCCTGGTACTGTAGTGTTTGTGCATAATAGCGATATCAGATCCTGGCGACCCCGGAGTCTATAATGCCATCATCACCGTTTCTAATGATTCATCAGAGATTGCTCCACAAAAACATACGGCACAAGATGCAAAATTCCCAACAAAAAGTTCGCTACAGGCAGCAAAAAAACAACGCGCAGCAGAGAAACAACCAAAAACATGCCAAACGCTCACAGCTCCCATTGAGGATCATATGAACTCGTAATGATCTCCTGCACCGGTAACCGGAAATCCACAATCTCCCTCCCATTGACAAGATCGTTCTCCGTAACGCGCTTCTCTGCCTCCGCTTCGTCCTTCGCAATCCCAGCCTTAACATGCCGCCGCACGAGGCGCCGCCGCGCGACCTCAAAATCCACATCAACAAACCACAGCTCATCCATCAAGGCCGCGGCCCGGTTCCACGGCTCCTTATCCAGACTGAGATAATTCCCCTCGAAGAAGATCACCCGACACGACGCCGGAATGGTAATGTCCCCGTCGACGGGGTCTTTGACCTCGTGGTCGAAACTCGGCGCGTACAGGCTCGGCGTCGCGGCCGTCAGCGGCTCGCGCAGCGCCTGCACCAGCTTCAGGAACTTCTCGCCGTCGAAGGTGAACGCCGCGCCGCGCCGCGCCGCCGCATACACCGGGTCCGGCATCTCGGCAAGCTGGGCCCGCGTGAAATGGTAGCCATCCATGGGGACGGCGGTGGCGATGGGTGGCTGGCCCGCTGCGTGCGTCATGTAGAGCTTGTTGATGCGCGAGGCCATGTTCTTGGCCAGTGAGGTCTTCCCCGATCCCGGGATCCCGCTCACTGCGACCAGCAGGCGTGCATTATCCGGTAATGTCTGGCATTTGCCTGGAGCAACGGTTAGCGGTGAGGCGTATGTGGGGTTGTGTGGTTGTGTGGGTGCAGCGACTCACCCCATATCTTGTCGACGAGGCGATCGACCTGCGTGTCCATGACTGACATCAGGAGTGGTCAGTTGGTGGGAAGGCGAGCAAAGCGGGTTCGGTGTACGATCAGTGGAGATAAATCCGGACAGAATGCGAGCAATGCTGGGGATGTGCGGCGTGGATGGAGCGACGAGGAGAAAGAGTGCTACGGAGACATCTGAGGGCGAATGGATTTCTTATGGAGCTACACCGAGGGTGTGGAGGGTGATGATGTTGAATCGGCCAAGAGAGCTCCGCGGTTCTTCACGATAAATAGACGCAATCATAGGCGGGGCTTGTCATCGGAGTGGGGTACTGCGATCTGGAGCATTATTAAGGTCGTCAATTACTCTTATTAGACGTTTTTTGAGAGCACTACGTCACAGGGGAAGTTCATCCTCCGTTCACCGCTCGCAGGAAAATATGACGACTGCTGTGATGTGATGCTGCAGGCGTTCTTGTATTGAAGTCTTCCGATTGCATCTTCATAGCCATGCCCCGCTGCAATGCCCTCGGAATTCTATGCTGCCGTACTTTTAGACACGCAAACTATGGTCACACGATCCACCACAAGCATCTCGAAAGCAAAACAGAGCTACCGATAAGAATGTGCCACAGTGAATCCTGATATGAACAGAAATATTGAACCCCGCTAACGCCTGATCCCCACCCGCTGAAACCCATATCGACCAAAACAATTTCCATACCAACTGGGCAGATAAGGTGAACCATATTTAACACAAGAAGTAGAAAGAAATAAAGATAGCATATTTACGAACGTCCCGATGGGCCATCAACGGCGCTAGATCGGTTGGAATCCTCGACGGGCCCATCTCTCTGGGTGAGGGAGCGCGACAGTCCAGCTGCCGCCCACAGGTCATCGGGAATCTCCTCGCGGCGCGCGAGTCGATCCAAGATGACCTGCATCTGCTGAAGATCCGGATCGGGGGACGAATCGGAGATCGCGAACGAGATAGTCGGGATGGGAGGGTGGTTGCTCATAGTCGAATGAACGTTGTGAGCACGTCTCATCGCGTCCATTTCGCGCACACGTCGGCGATAACGTCGGAACAATGACTGCTGGTTGATCTCGCCGTCTGAATCGGAATAATCGGACTCGCTGGAGCTCGGATAGTCGCACGGGTTGAGAAATTCCGGGTACGGATCAAGAACCATCTGCACGGTGGCAGAGCCGGAGTCAAGCGAGCTGGGAAGGGTGCCAAAAGAGGTGGTGGAGCTTCGGGAGGTGCCGTTCATGGAAGCGTTCGTCCCCGTCGCCGACGCCGACGTGAAAGAGGAGTCCGCGCTGGGAAGATTGGTGTCCGGGGTGATGGTGGTCAAAAGCGTCTCCCACGCATCGTTTGCTGCGTCGACATCCGGGCTCACGCTCCGCTGGCGATCACCCAGTCCGTCGACGAGAGAATCACGGTTCGGACGCGCCGCCTCGTTGATCGAGCGTTGGCCGACGCGACGGAGTAGAGGGATGGTGGATCCTACCGAGACATCCCCTAAGCCATCCGACCGGGGGAAAGGCGACAAACGGACGACATCTGGCTGGCTCTGGGGGGAGGCGGTTCTGTGGTATGCGATCGCGGGGGCGAAACGAGGAGTGAGAGAGGGAGGATCCTGTTCCAGGCGACCACCGTCGTCTCCCGGTGACGGACGGCGGTATAAGCTGGGCAACGGTGGATGGCGCGGAATTCTCATTCGCTGACCCGGACGACTATGACGAAGGACATCTTGGAGCAATCGTTGACCAGCCTCGCGAGCGCGGGAATCTCCCAGGCCGTTGGTGAGGTCGAAGGGGTCCTCGCCCGCACCAGGAGTGGGAATAGGAGAGCGCACATGGCGCTGGAGGCCATTCGCTTCACGGTCAAACTCCTCGGCGAAAGGACGATGGAAAGGAGACCGCAAAGTAGCGCTGCGCAATGCCGAACCAGTATAACGCGACGGACGACGAATGGTGGCCTGACGACGGATGGCAGAGCGGGCAGCGGCACACGGATCTTTGAGATGGGTGTTTTTCGGAGCCTCAGTGGAGGATGGCTCGCGGAACATTCTGTATCATGTCAGTCATGAACAGCCGTTCCGTGCGTCATCATGGCGATGGGGGACGATCGCGTAACACCGAGAGGAGCGGCAAATAAATGAAATTAAATCATAAAATCGGGACGGGGAAGGGAAAACTCACGGTATACCCATGATGAAAGGGGCCTGCTGCGATGGTTTCGCAGGAAAGAAATCGCTTTAAAAATAAGAGAAAAAAAAACAAAAACTTCTTTAAAAAACACGTCGCTCCACGGTTATGGTAGGTAGACGCAACGCGACGTGTATACTGAGGAGAAAGGGGGGAAGCGACTGCGGGGAGTTAATAATAATAATACTAAAAGGAAGGGTTTCAAGCTGATGGAGAAAAAGGCGGAAAGATTTGGTTTTGCTGCTAAAGGGAGGGTGTTTGTTCAGGCCTGAGGCTGCGCTTTCTGAACGGAGGCTGGGGGGGGGGGGCGGGCGAGTGACGGGGTGTGGCGCCAGTGGCGTAGGCGTACAACTCAGTACGGAGGGGGATTTAACCGCGGAGAACTTCAATGGGCGCTTAAGGTCAATAGTATTGAAGGACTTAGGGAGGTCACGGATATTTATTGATTCTCAGGCCCTTCCAAGCTCGCCTTCTCGATAAAGAGACCCAAATGTAACAGGTCACAAAGTGTCCTTCTTCCTCTCTACCTCCTTTATCTTATGAGACAAATAATCAAGCCGTCAATATCCCTGCCTCAGGCAGCGAACAACGCCGTCACTTTGCCGACGGGGAACTTGCCTATCTAGCCGACCAGATCACCGTAATTTTTCCCATGACGCTCAATCGCCCGGCTGCTTTCTTTCTCTTCTTTCCCTTCTCCATGTCAGACGACTAACTCGGTCTCATCCATGTCGTTCCGACCCCTATCCCCTCTCTGATCATGAGATTGGCCCGATCCGCCCTCACGTCGCTTACTCGGAGGAATGATTGAACTCGGCCTCAGTCGCATCTCCCGTCTCCTCCAGCAGACCCCGCTGTCCTGGAAGGCTATTCATATCGCTGGGACCAATGGCAAAGGCTCTATCAGCGCCTATCTCTCGCATCTGTTGACCTCTGGCGGAGTGAGATGCGGCCGCTTTACCTCGCCGCATCTGATCGACCGGTGGGATTGCATCACTATCGGGGAGAGAGTCGTGCAGGAATCGCTCTTCCGTCAGATTGAAGCCCGAATCAAGCTTCGAGATCAAACCCTAGGCATCGGCGCCAGCGAATTCGAGCTTCTTACCGCGACCGCGTTTGAGATCTTCAACCATGAACGGGTGGACATCGGAGTGGTCGAGGTGGGCATGGGCGGTCGCCTGGATGCGACCAACATCCTGAGTGACGTCCTGGTCTCTGTCATCGCGAAGATTGGGCTGGATCATCAGTCTCTGCTGGGCGACACCATTGAACAGATTACCCGCGAAAAGGCGGGGATCCTCAAAAAGGGCGTTCCCTGCGTCATCGATGGGACAAACTCCTCGGCCGTGATCACGACGATAGAGGAACGTGTCAGACAGTTGGGCTTGGATGCGATCTACACCCGCCCCGAGAATCCAGACAGTCTGTCACCAGCTTTGGGAACCCTTTTCCATACCCTCGATTTACAACCCCACCAGCGAGCCAATATGACCTGTGCGACTTCTGCGCTCAAGCTCGCATTGCCCCAAATCCGACCAGATCTGGATGTGAATCAGTTAGTGCCACAACTCGCGCAGGTGGAATGGCCAGGTCGCTTGCAGAAGATCGTTTTGGAGCCCCTGACCTCTCGCAAAGAGCCGATCTTGCTGGACGGCGCACACAACAATCAGTCCGCGGAGGTTCTCGGGGAGTACGTGGACCGAAAATTGCGTGCGCAGGGAGAGGGCATCACCTGGGTCATTGCGGCATCTCGTGGAAAAGACATAAAGAGCCTGTTTCATCCGATTATCAAGCCAGGAGATCGTGTGGCGACCACGGCGTTTGGCCCTGTCGATGGAATGCCCTGGGTCAAGGCCACCGATCCCGAAGAAGTTGCCGCCAGCGTACGCTCTCTCTCGGACATCGGGGAAGTCAAGTCATGCGGGAATGACATCCTCGCGGCGATCAATTGGGCGTGCGACCAAGCCAAAGGCGGTCCGATGGTTATCGCGGGAAGCCTGTACCTTGTGTCCGATGTTCTCCGTCATCTTCGACAGGCACGAAGCTCAGTGGGCGATGTATAGTATGATTCTTAGCAATTCGGATACCCTTTAACGTTTAATGCATCGGACTAGCCGTAGAGCGTATACATCAGCATTAGTACTACGACGACTCGCCCGAATCAGGATCTCAAACCGAAATCCAGCATGTAGAGAATACAAATTCCGCTCAAGCCACCCCGTTGTAGTCACTATAATCGCATGTCAATATACTAGGTAGCTAGTAGCTACTAAACCACAGTAGATAATTTTGCTTGAGATAAGGCTGATCATCGGCGATACGGTGGGAAGCGGGCGCTGCGTCATTGGATGCCCCAAGCGGAGGGAGTGGTGGAGAAGGGGAAAGTTCAAAACACTCGAAGGAGTCTCCAATTCACAAGCATTGGCCCCGACAGCCACTTCGGTAAGTAAGTCGCATTTGTCCGGCTCTTATTCGATTGTTCACTCTCTTTCGAGCTGTTGCACTAAACATAAAAGGCCCTCCCAGTGTCGGCAACACAGTCCTGGTCTCTCTCTAATGTTCAGTGACGCGTGTGTTCTACGCGGCTCTGGGTGTGAGAGCAAGAATCCCTTGACTGTATGCTTTTTTAACCCTTTCTTTGGAGAATGACTATGCCATATCCCTGCCATCCCAGGTCCATCTCATGGCATGCACATCATTTCCTTCCAGTGTCCTGACTTTTACTGACTATGAGCCCCGCTATCTCACAGGTTTGTGCTGACATGAGTGGCTTCGTTCCATCTCCTGGCTCCTGCGTTTCCGCCGCCTCATCGTCCCGCCTCTGAGACCGCCGTATCTGAGACAATCCTGCTAGATTCGCGTCATTCTCCTACGATCGATATTTCGAACGTCCGAGCCCGACGATGGTCTCCCGATCCTCCGAGGGGGCTGAGGGGCCTCCCCCGTCGGCCCCCAAACCGCCCAACACGCCCGCCAAATCCAGACTGTCCAGACTCGGCTCTAGTCCATCGAAACGAGAAGACAAGTCAAGAGATGACCGGATGATCAAGTCGTCCGCGAAGGACGTTGCAGAACTCAAAGACTATGTACGTCGATACCTGCGGTTTGCGAGGGCACCAAATACTGACCAGGACCTCGTGAAGCAACTGGGTGACTGTCTGGGCAAAGGCGCATTCGGGTCGGTCTATCGGGCGTTGAACTGGAATACCGGTGAGACTGTGGCCGTCAAGCAAATTAAACTTGCCGACCTGCCAAAGAGCGAACTGCGGGTTATTATGGTAGAGTATTGCCTGTCACGATAATCCTTGAGGCCTACAACGCTAATCGGAACTTGCAGCTAGAAATAGATCTCCTGAAGAACCTAGATGTAAGTCGATTCACACCACAAGTCTGGATCGGAACTGACTGAATGGACGGCAGCATCCGAACATCGTGAAATACCAGGGTTTCGTGAAGTCTGCGGAAACTCTAAACATCATTCTCGAGTACGCATTTCTCACCGCAAAATAACAGGCTATCTGCTGATTCTCTAGATACTGCGAAAATGGGTCCTTGCATTCGATTGCGAAGAACTTTGGCCGTTTCCCAGAGAACCTGGTGGGTTTGTACATGTCCCAGGTCCTCCATGGCCTCCTATATCTGCATGAACAGGGTGTCATACATCGGGATATCAAAGGGGCAAATATCCTTACCACAAAAGAAGGTCTCGTCAAGCTGGCCGACTTCGGTGTGGCCAGCCGCACTACTGGTCTGAGCGAGTCGAGTGTGGTCGGTACTCCCTACTGGATGGCTCCTGAAGTGATTGAGCTTTCAGGCGCGACAACGGCGTCTGATATCTGGTCTCTTGGGTGTACTGTCATCGAATTGTTAGAAGGGAAGCCTCCTTATTATAACATGCAGCCGATGCCGGCTCTCTTCCGGATTGTCAACGATGACCATCCTCCACTCCCGCAGGGTGCTTCTCCGGTCAGTCCCCGTCTCAAGTGGTCTCTATTCGTATCTAATTAGATCTGCAGGCCGTAAAAGACTTCCTGATGCAATGTTTTCAGAAAGACCCCAATCTTCGTGTTTCTGCAAGGAAACTACTCAAACATCCTTGGATAGTGAATGCCAGGAGGTCCGATTCAGTGGTTCCCAAAAGTTCAACGGAATACGAAGAAGCGGTCCGAAGTGTTCAGGAATGGAATGAAGCGCTCCGGTCGCCCAGTGCTGGAACACTACGGAGACCAGTCAAGCACGACCAGAGCCCAATCCCAGTACCGCCAACGAGACATACACCCACGAAGGATACCTTGCCAAGCCCAGTCTCGAGGAATGTAACAGATCGGTTCAGGTCTCCTGTTCCTACTGAGGAAGAAGAAGACAATTGGGACGACGATTTCGCTACGGCCATCTCCCCCAGCGCTTTACAATTGCCTCATCTCCGTCCGCACGATAACTTCGGGGGAATGCTATCCTCAGAGAAGCTCAAGGCATTTGCCTCTCTTGATGGGACCATGATCAAATCTGATGATAGTTTCGGCGACAGTGACAGCTCATTTGGGAGCTCTCGACGATCTGACGAGCCGGATCCGCTAGAGACGATCCGACCCTATCCGCTAAAGCAGCCTACTGCCGAGAGCACACAGTTGCAGGAGTTGCCACGGAGTCAGATCAATAAGACCTCTATGGCTTCTATGCATCACGTCCCCATCCTCACACAGAACCCCACACCGCCAACGAAGCAACCACGACCGGCATCATACTATAAAGAAAATTCTATTGAGGATTATTCGGACCTCATTCAGGCCAATGAAGACGTTCTGGACAGTAAACTCGGTGCTTTTCAGGTAAGCATTGCCTTGAATGTAGCGTCCACGTGCGGTTATGTATCTAACGCTTTGCAGGAGGCGGATGAGAACGTCGATCCTTTTGAGAGCTCCCCCTCGAAGGAAGCCATCCGTAACCGGGCGTCCGCAGAGGACGTTATGGGCCAACAACCGCAACTAAGAAAACAGATCTCCGTCAAACGTCACAGGTCCGCGGTCGAGATTCAAAGGTTCGCCGAGAACGAGAGAGACGAGGACTTTTCTGACCTCTTGGGTACGGATGAGGTCATGATAGATCAGCCAGAAAGCGACGGGAGCTCAGACCAAAGCACCTTGATGCTTAATTCCAAGCTGTCGAACAACTCCTGGCTTGGGGATCAAGACGACGAGGACGATCCATTTGCCCAACTTGAGGAGGGCTTAGATGAGATGGATCTGGAAGCCAACATAGCACGCGATAAACATGCCCGGCTCCGCAACCAGGTCGAAGGGCTTGTCAGCTCGTTGAAAACGTCGCAGGATGAGGATGTTCTCGCTGAAATCTCAGAACAGCTGTTGACTGTCTTCTGTGATTTCCCAGAGACCAAAAACATCATCATAAGTGCCCACGGAATGCTCCCCATCCTGGAAATTCTCGACATGTGCCGACGGCGAGATATTACCTCGTGTCTACTGAAAATTGTCAACGCAATCATATACAATGACTACGAGATACAGGAGAATCTTTGCTTCGTGGGTGGCATTCCCATCATCAATGAGTTCGCATCGAAGAAGTATCCTCGGGAGATTCGACTTGAAGCTGCCGCGTTTGTCCAGCAGATGTATCAGACGTCGACCCTTACTCTGCAAATGTTTGTCAGTGCCGGAGGTCTGAATGTGTTGGTTGAATTTCTGGAAGATGACTATGAAGACGAGCGCGATCTGGTCCTGATTGGCGTGAACGGTATTTGGAGCGTTTTTGAACTACAGGTGAATATCTTTGCTCCGACACGGAGCAATCGACAGGCCTAACTAACACTGGCTAGGGCTCAACACCGAAAAACGATTTCTGCAGGATCCTCTCACGAAATTCGGTCTTGGATCCCCTCTCCCTGGTTCTGAGTAGGGTGCTTGATGAAGATGGCGAGTTAGCCGAGATCGTTGAAGGACGTATCGCAAACATCTTTTTCATCTTTTCTCAAGCCGAGAACCATGTGAAGGAGATGGTTGCGGAGCGAACAGTTCTCCACAGGGTCCTGAAAGAGCTGAGGCGTATGACTCCGGCTCACCAGATAACTATGTTGAAGTTTATCAAGAACCTCTCGATGCTATCCACGACCCTGGACTCTCTTCAGAACTCAAACGCCATCGACGTTTTGACGGACTTGCTGAGGGCGACAATGAAACGTCCACATTTCCGTGAAGTCTCGAACCAAATCCTCAATACGATCTACAACATGTGCAGGTTGAACAAGTCCCGACAGGAGGACGCAGCTCTCAATGGCATAGTTCCATTGCTTCAGAAGATCGTCAAGACCGAACGACCGTTGAAGGAATTTGCGTTGCCGATTCTCTGCGACATGGCACATTCCGGTAAAGTTGGCCGGCGCGAGTTATGGCGCAACAAGGGACTGGCATTCTACATATCACTGCTTTCAGATCCTTATTGGCAGGTTACTGCGTTAGATGCTATCTTCACTTGGTCAGTAGCGATGCTCAAACCGTCGTAAAAACGGACTAACGAGGAGTAGGTTGCAAGAAGAAACGGCCAAGGTTGAGGAGCATCTCTTGGATCACCGTCCTGATAGACCATCATTCACCGACTCTATTGTGAGATGCTTGACCATATCTAAAGCAAACGCTTTCGAGAACCTTTTGGAGCCCCTGCAGAAACTTCTTCGTCTGAGTCCTCCGATTGCCTCGACTCTTGCGCGGCCCGATCTCTTCACTAGGATCGGTCAGAAGCTCCACCACAGCAAAGCTGCGGTTCGACTGAACCTACTGCGCATTATATCTAGTATCTGCGACTCCAGTGAGGAACAGGGAGGCCTTCTTGCCAAGTACGGTCTTTTGGACGCCATTCGTGAACTTGAACATGATCCTGCAATTTTGGTGCGGGATATGGCAGGTAAGCTTATTCAATCCAACGAGAAAAGCGAAGCCTATGGGATGGGGAAGCGCAAACCCATGGTGAGACGAAGAAGCACTTCTGCCACTCCACCAAACCTTCTGGCGAATCAGTCTGCTCCGTCGACTCCTCAGATGAATCGGACTAGTCAGTCCAAGGCATACTATGAGGGTAAAGAAGGCTCTCGACACCCACGAAACGCTCTTAGTGGCTCTGCTTTGGCGCTGAGGCCCGGCAGTCGAGATGGCTCAACCCCTAGTCTTACGGCGGGGCTCAATGGAAGCACTGGTGCGTCGAGGACTCGCCTTCCGCGAGGCGTGTCAAATCGAATGTCTCATGTCGACCTCTTGTCTGAAGAAGATTCAGCTCGACCCTCCAGCTCACTGTCTCGTCGACAATCTGTTCTTCACCGGCGGAGGCGTCAAACCCAAGCAGATGCGGATTGGACACCGTGAGCTGCTTTCGAAACTTCTTCTTGTTTATCATATTGTCTTGTATTGTTGAAATTCCTTCTCCTTTGTTGGGTTAAAGGTCGATTGGGAATGATGGTCGCGCATTCATAGCATAGGAAAGGCGCGTTGGGGTTATGTACTATTTCTTTTCAAGTCCGTGTGTATTGTCTACTGCTTTGGTATATGTATAGGGGCTGAAGAATCCAGCGAAATATAATATACTATGGATCGCTCACATGTTCTCCTCGGCCGTTCAGTACTCCGAAGTATGCTCTTTAGGGCATCGCCGATCCCGTGGCGGACAACCGGCTAAACTCGTTTTGTCAAGCGGCAACTCCGAACGACGGAGGGAAAATCCGCGGCTTTCTTCCTCGTCTCTCCGACGGTCCCAACAACTTTTCAGAATGCCCTGATGTGATCACTCCTGATCAGGAACCACCTCCACATCCTCTCCCAACCATTCATTCATTGTCTTTCTTGTCCGGTTCGTTCGTCATACGGCGTGGTTCGTGTTCGGCATGAGGGCGGCCCTCCGCGCTCCACTGCGGGCATTTGACTTAGATCCCGCAAGGGCCCTACGATACGCTTCACACTTAGGATCTAGGAGTTGTCTCTCCGAGAAGGCTACAACCTCTTCATATTTCCATCAATCAGCATTTTCAACTCAGACCGCCCCCGGAACATGGTGTCAACGGCTCCAGAACCATCCCGCTCGGGTTGCGCCACGCGCTCCCTTTTCCACGAGGACAACTGCCTTATTGGGACCAGAGAACCCACGCGATGCGAATAAGAAGTCTGGACCCGGTCAATCGCGTGGGAAGGCCGTCAGATATGTGGTGATTGGCGGTACGCTACTGGTTGTGGCTGTCGTGTTCTCGGACGATGTACAGCATCTCTACCGTGCCGCGGCGAGAACAGGGCGAGTGGTCGGCGCATTGGCCGTATGCATCAATGAGTAAGTCAGAGGGTCCTGTGGTGATCGCAAGAGACATATGGACTAAAAATCATCGAAAATAGTTACCGAGTCACCCTCAAACAGGAAACCTCGTCCCCCGAAGAGCGAAGCGAATTGCTGAAAGCATGCCACAAGCGGTGCGCGGAACGGACCCTGCGAGTGCTCGAGAAGAACGGCTCGATATTCATCAAACTGGGACAACATCTGAGTAGCATGGGCTATCTGCTTCCGTTGGAGTGGACGACCACATTCGTCCCACTGCAGGACAAATGCCCCGTTTCCTCGATTGAGTCGATCGAGGACATGTTCGTCGCAGACACAGGCCGTCGCGTCGACGAGCTATTCTCGTCGTTCGAGTCGACACCGATCGGCGCCGCATCCCTCGCTCAAGTTCATATCGGCACGCTCAAGGAAACCGGTCAGAAGGTCGCGGTGAAGGTGCAGCATCCTGCCCTGGCAGAATGGGTCCCCCTCGATCTTGCCCTCACCCGTTTTACCTTCTCCATGCTGAAGCGGTTCTTCCCCGAATACGATCTGGAATGGCTCTCGAAGGAAATGGACCTGTCGCTGCCCCAGGAGCTGGACTTTCGCATGGAGGCAGACAACGCGAAGCGCGCCAGCGAGCACTTCAAGAAACACTCCAGCGCTCCCCTGGTCATCCCGGAAGGTACGTAGCCCCGCGCGTCCGTCCCTCCCATGCCATACTAACCCTGGATCCAGTGATGTGGGCGCAGAAGCGCATCCTGGTCATGGAATTCTTGTCCGGCAGCCGACCCGATGATCTCGCGTACCTCGACTCGCACCACATCGACCGCGACGAAGTTTCGGCCGCGCTGGCGCACATCTTCAACGAGATGATCTTCGGCGACAACGCGCCGCTGCATTGCGACCCGCACGGCGGCAACATCGCCATCCGACCCAACCCCCACCGCAAGGGCTACAACTTCGACATCATCCTCTACGACCACGGGCTCTACCGCGACATCGACCGCGACCTGCGCCGCAACTACGCCAAGCTGTGGCTCGCCGTCATCGAGTCTGACGAGCCGCACATGCGCGAGTACGCCCGCAAGGTCGCCGGCATCACCGACGACCAGTTCCCGCTCTTCGCCAGCGCGATCACCGGCCGCGACTTCACAAAGGTCACCCGCAAGGACATCACCTCGCGGCGCACCTCGTCCGAGCGTGAGAGCATGTCCGGCGCGCTGAGCGAGGGCATGCTCCAGCAGCTGGTCGAGCTGCTCGGCCAGGTGCCGCGGATCATCCTGCTAATCCTCAAGACCAACGACCTGAGTATGTTCCCTCCCGCACACGCGTACACAAGAAGTCCTTGGAACTAATAGCCCCCCGCAGCCCGCAGTCTGGACGAGAATCTACATACACGCCAGGGTCCGGTGCGCACGTTCCTGATCCTAGCCCGGTACGCCACCCGCACCGTCTTCGAGGAGCAGATGGAATCGATCCAGGAGACGGGCGGTGCGTTGCGGCCGTTCAATTTCCTGCGCTTCCTCCGCGCCTGGGCCGGCTTCCTCCGCGTCGAGCTGAAGCTCTCTGTATATGAAACGTTGTTGTCGTTGAAGAGTCGGTTCGGACTGCTCTAGTATCGACCGGCTAGGTTTGTACATTTACTGTTTCTTTCCTTCGTTACTCTGGTGGGTTCTTATAGAAGCACGGGTGAGCTATCTGTGCATCAGCGGCGTTTTGTCTTCATCTCCTGTCTACTGTTATAATATTGTTTACTGGATAGATTATACATTGGATATAGATTATAAATAGATCGTTTAGTCTTGTGGCTACCATAGACGGAGCTACGTTTAAACAAGGGGAAGTCTATCACTGCACGCAAGTGCTTTTCATTATAACATTACAAGCACACAAATCATGTATATCACAATGCCTGCCTTGCTCGCCAGATGTGAAAAAGAAAGAGAAAAAGTCCAAAGAGAGAAAAGCAAGGAGACAAACAATCCTCTCTGTACAACATCAAATCCATTCAATCCGTTGCTGTTTCGTGGTCGACAGCAAGCAACTCTTCAAATTGAAAGCTTTTGCCCTACCCTCCACCAGGAAAGGACAAAACAGGGAATCACATTCGGTTATGGGGAGTGTCGATACGGTATCCGGGAACCACCTCATTTTTCCCGCTGGTCCATCTTGCATTCCATCAGGTATCGACATTTCGGTGTATATTTTTATCTTTTTTGAATGTATTGAATTTTCGACTGCGCAACCCGCTTACAGACTGGCCGATGCACCGGACTCGGTCTTCTCGACCTCGACCTTGATGTCGGGCATGGAGGCGCCGGTGCCGCTCAGGTCGGTCTTGCGGGCCTGCGGGTTCTTGGTGTAGTAGTCGGAGATGGCGGACTTGATGGCATCCTCGGCGAGCATGGAGCAGTGCAACTTGACGGGGGGCAGGCAGAGTTCCTTGGCGATGGCGACGTTGGTCACCTTGCCGGCCTCCTCGAGGGTCATGCCGCGGACCAGCTCGGTCAGATAGCTGGAGCTGGCGATGGCGCTGCCGCAGCCGAAGGTCTTGAACTTGACATCTATGGTGAGCATGTTAGCGGGGTCGTCCATTATATCGATGATGGATGGCGGGGGCGTACCGGAAATCGTGTTGGTGTCCTTGTCGACACGGATCTGGAGCTTCATCACGTCACCGCAAGCGGGAGCACCGACGAGACCGCTGCCGACATCGAGATCCTTACGGTTCATCGAACCGACCTGGAGAGATCGTTAGATTCGAACGTGGGGGACAGTGGCGAGGGGGTGGGAGTTGGTGAAGACGAACATTACGAGGGTTGTTGTAGTGGTCCAGCAGTGCTAAGACGGTCAGCATTTCTGTTCATGTTATCCAAACTGCCAAAAGCAAAGGGTGGACATATCTTTCTCGTGGTATCCTCGGCGCTGGGGAGCCAGGGACGCTCTGAGGATCGGCTGGGTGGTCTGGACGCCGGACAGGGCGGGAGTGATGCGAGGCGACACGACGGTGCCGACCGCGCGGGGAGCGACTGTTGCGAGACGTCTGAACATCGCGGCGTATGTGTGTGTGATAAAAGGTCGAAACAAGTCGATGGAGATAAGGGGTGGTGTGTAAGACGATGGATGAAGGAAGATGGAGGAAGTTGGGAAGTGATGTCGATGAAGATTGATTTGATTGATTAATCCGGCGCTAGTCCTTACATGGAAACCCCGTCGCCTCCGCGGATCCGGTCCTCGGAGATACCAGTGACGTTACCGCGAACCACCGGCGGTCAGATGGACAGCTGTTGTTGTAGTTTCGATATCTTTCGATACTTATCTGATGGACGACACCTCCGGCCCTTCCTATCAGATGGTGAGTCGTCATCGGTGGCGGTATCCCATCGAATCTCTCCCATCTCTCTCTTGGGATTTCCCGCGGAGACGCGAAGTTCTAGTCCCGTTCTGGCGTGGCTTACCTAAGTACCGATGAACGGGCGGTTTTCGTGGGTTTCAGCCAACCGGAATCCAATCCATTACCAAGCACTTTCCATCTGATAACCAATTTCATTTGCCTATTTCGGTATCCCAATCCAGACCTCCGATGCCCATCATGGCCAACAATAACAAACCATTTGGTCGTCCCTCCGGTGTAAGTCCTCCATTATTACGCATACAGACTGAATGGTGCTGTGGTATTACATTCTGCGTCACATGACATGCGAATAACCTCGACAGTCCATCAACGCCCCTATTGCGGCCTTTACCATGGCCGTCGTGCTCTGCTCCTACTGCTTCAGCTCCATCCGCTCAGCACGGCGGGAGGCTCACTCCATCCCATCAAATGAGAGTTCTCATCACAGCAACCGTCCCTCCAACACATTGTCGTCGCAGTCTTGGGTACAACAGGCCTTAGAAGAGAGTCAGGAGGCTGAGAGGAGAAAGGGCCCTAAGTGAAGTTCCTTAACCGTGGCTTTACGTATATAGTATGCTATTTTGGTCAGTATACCTAGTTTTATGTTGATTGATTTGCCGTAGGTGCAAGTAAGCTGCAGGGTTCGACAAAATGTACGCGAGTAAGGCGTTCTACACGGCCTCTAGGTCCTCATTTCTAAAACTACTTTTGATCTCCCTTCTATGCAGTCCCTGCGCCAGATTAAACTACATGGACAAGAATGTGGAAAGTACTTCTCCTGGTATATAGGTTATAATTGGACATGCGAATCGGCTTCAGCTTGAATTAATGCATTGTATTCGCGTAGTCTCTGCTAGGATCCGATGACCTGCTGGTCTCAGAAAGTCCTTTGAGGCTGACACTTAAGACAAACGGTTGAAAGAAGCATGCAGTCTTGAAGGAGGCATGACATTTGACTATGCAGTGATTCGTGTCAATATATGTGACGACGGGACGGCCACTGCATACATCAAAGATAGATGTACCATACAGTTACAAATATATATTTAATTTCTATCAGGGACAGCTTTGACATTCATGTCACCCAGTCTGCAAGTAGTACTCTCACTCTGTTACTTGAACAGCTCCAAAGGTATATTCAGATCCATGGCAATGGTAAATGTATGAAAAGTCCTAGGGGAAAACGAGGAACGGCAATCAAGTGCAAGCTAAACAAATCACAAGTAGGGATGGCTCCATTGTCAGAATTTTCAGTGTATGAATAGTCATATCCAAGTCTCTTTGGAGATCGGATCTACCATATAAAGAAATGTTCATCATATCAATGGACTGAAGGGTCAAGGCATGGGATCGTAGAGAGGCAAGACAACATCATACAGACCCAAACATTATTGGTCTCAATTACATGTGCCATAGCATCAATCTCACGAACACCTCACTTAAGTGCTCATATTGTTGGGGTATGAAAGTCGGATAGTGGGAATGAAAGAATGAAGTTCTCGAAAACATCGAGGGAAAAATTCGGGTAGTATGTGGTATCACATGACCACGCTAAGCCAAAATTAGTCACATCGCCTTCGGGCTGCTTGAACAGAGGGGCCTATGCGTCCATCCGTGACAGAATTACTTCATGCGGTCCTATGTATTAAGAAGCTTGGACCAATTGCATCATATGCACCGAAAATATCATATGGTTGGCTGGCTCACTGAAAGTCGGGATTTGTTGAACCTCGGCTTCTTCGTCCTGTCCAATGCGATACCTCAATCCTCTGACAAATGAGCTCAGTTCCGAGTCATCGTATCCAGTAGCAATGCTTCAAACTTTAGATGCTTGCTTTAGCTTATGTATTCAGGAGGCGAGAAAGAGGTATAGAGTGTGTATGTACAAAAATCATGCAAGTAAAGAAGACAAAAGAACGCTCGTAAACCAGGTCTTTTGCGGATAAATCACTGTGACTGCAGAACATGACAAGATCAGACCGCCCAGCCAGGGTGACACGGTATCAATAGCCTATTCACACCCAGGCAGCATCTCGTGGCCCTGATGTCCAGTGGCAATCCTCACCAGACGTCGGTTACACTTGGAACTTCATGAAAGAACAAAGTGAACGAGATGGCCATAAGCCTGCATAGGTTGCAGGAATTCTAGTAATTGGGGAAAACCCTCGTCTATGAATTAAATCCCATTCTCCATTTCTGCTTCCTCGGCCATCTGCCGTTTCAATGCACCTTCATGTTGCAGGTGTCCAATCAGCTTCCGTAGGTATTCATACGTCAGCATGGTAGTCATGGCGGCCGGAATCGCTCGAAACAGGTTGGTGCCGATCCCTGAATAGAAAGCCCTCCAGCCTTCCTCCTGCAGGATAGTCTGGCACGTACGGATGATTCCGGTATAGCGAGGACGGTTAGGCATGCCATCTGATGAGGCGGCTCCGGGCGGCCTCCCACGGTCCTGTGGGTGATCTATCCCTCCACGGAAACTGATTTCTTCTGGCGATGTCGCGGGGGCCGTTCGTTGCTGTGTTTGAAGCCTCGTCCGGAGCACTTCGTGCGGATATGTGATGGTGCTGGCGCAAATCTTGCTCATAAATGTGGCGCAAGATATTCCAATCCAATGAGATGTGCCGTTATCTGGGTGCTCGCCGATTCCGTAGCCGGTGAAAGCCATTTTCAGGTACTCGTAGAGTGGGAATTGGATTGCGACATGGGTCAACCCCAACAGCGCGGGTGTGAGTCCAGAATAGAAAGAGCGAATGCCTTCAGTCTTGTACATCTTGCGCGCCGCATCCCAAGTGCTGGCGTACTGCCACGGCGCTCGGAAACCTTCACTGCTCGACTTGAGACTTTGGGACATGAGCCGGGTCTTGATCACCCAAATCGGATTGGTGACAATTGTCGAACAGGCGCCGGCCGTAATTGACGCATACCCTCTCGCAAGCCACCAGCTGTCTATATTAGGAGTAAGTAAGTGCTCCACAACGGGAAAAGCAAACGCAAACCAACCTGTGATTCCGTAAAAATATTCGCGCGAACGATCATAAACTGCCAAGTAGACCGCCCATGTAGGCAGGTACCCGAGAAGCATGGGTCCCAGCCCTTGATAGAGGCCTCGAATACCATCTTCGCGCCATATCACCCTTCCAGTCCCTAGCATACCTCGGTATAACGTCTTGGGCTCGACCACTTTGCCTCCTCGTCGGACGAACCCTCCCTGAGCCTGTAATTTGGTTTTGATCACATCGAGCGGACACGTCACGATGCCAGAGGCGACACCGGCACTGGCACCGCAAAAAGGTGCAATATAGAAGTCCGGAATACGCGTAGAAAAGAGTTCGATGCGAGTGAGAAGCGACGGATTCGACAGAACATCGGACGACAGATTCACGCTGGATTGGGGGAAGCTGCCCGAAGGCGCAGTCACCTGCTGCTGTTCCTGCTCCTGCGAGCTGCTGGCAGCCCCTGAAGCGCTGTGGCCTTCTCTTAACATTTTTACTTCCCGGCCAAGCGCTCACACAGTCAATGAAACTGTCTCAGATGTCACGAGGGCTCCCGGACCCGAGCATATCGTGCTCGCCCCGGAACCCAAGACCTTGTGCTGACCGTGGTAGGATGCGAAACAGGTTCCGTGTGCGAAGAATCTAGAGAGAAATCCAACACGCGGGGTTAAAGGAAAAGAGTTGGAAGAGACGGGACCGCTGCGACGAGCCGATGGTGCCGAACTATCTCGTGTTGCCCTATCCGGAGCACAGACGGGGCGGGGTCTGAGGAAGCTAAGTGAGCTCCCCTGTCGGAGCGAAGAAGGAAAGAATTCAGCCGTCCACGAACCTCATCACCAGGTGATACGGGATGGGGGGTAAGGTAACCAAGTGAGAGTGGTCGTTCGAGGGTAGATGGAAGAACGGGATAGGACGGAGAGAGAAAGCGGACGCAACAGGTACGAACAGTGGTGGTCAGGTGGAGTTCGTTCAACGCTACTCGTTACTTCCTCCGGCTTCAAGCGTTGACCGCCGTCGGCCTCAAGCCGATCGCCGTGGTCACGTGGTTTCCGTCGGAAAGTCGTTCATGCCTCAGGCACCGAAACCATCGGATGTTTTTGGGAAAGTCTCCCGCCCCCGAACCTCCGTTTTGCACAACGTCGGGTCATCTCTTGTTCAGCTTGTTCCCTCAACCCCCTCCTCCACACCACCCCGTCAATTGAGCACCCACACGGATCATTCACCATGTCGGCCCCTTCTCTCACCAGCTACATCGTCAAGCGCCCGTGGCTTAAGAACTGGATGATGCCTCTGGCCAACTGGTACACCGATGCCGCCGGCTACAGAAGACTCGGACTGAAGTAGGCACCCCAACCGCCCATGTTTTCGACCAGACCCCAGGAGAGGGAGACGAACGGATTGGAGGATGATCAATTGGTCATGCGATGAGGGCTCGTCAGCCGTCTGCGCCCATCCCTGGCCTCCGCTCGTCCGGGAACAATTTTATATCGACTTTATCAAACCCTGCGACTAACCATGCGGCCCAGGTTCGACGATCTGATCCCCGAGGAGAGCGAGACTGTCCAGAAGGCCATCCACCGTCTTCCCCCCAAGGAGGCCTACGACCGTGTGTTCCGTATCCGCAGAGCTTTCCAGGTTCGTGTCCGACCGCTCCCTAGCGACAATGACATGTCTAACGCAGTGTCTGTCTACAGTGCTCCGTGTCGCACACCCTCCTCCCCGCTGCTGAGCAGACCAAGCCCGAGGATGTGAGTCGATCCCTTTGACCTGTTTTCCTGGTCGCGATCGCCCCAACGCTCCGCATAAGTCGTCGGCCAATCCCGTGAGCCGGATTTGTCAACCCCTCGCACCCCGATATGTGGCACTTGTGCTGGCTGTTGGAGTGTCCAGGACGCATTGGAGATGCCACTAGGAAAGCCAGAATGCTAATTCCATCACTAGGATGTCGAATATCTGAGCCCGATCATCCGCGAGATCGAGAAAGAGGCCAAGGAGCGCGAGGAGCTGGACAACCTGGTTGTCAGACGGTAAACGGCTTGCGCCCTGGTCCATTATCGATAAAATCTACTGCTAGGGTATAGAAGGCGAGAAAGAGGGTTTGCGTTGTCATCCAGCCGGTATGCTTCGCTGCATGGCGCATGCCGTTGGATGTTAATTGGTTGTTTGATGTCGTTCGATCACGTGTACTGATACTGTACAAATTCATTTCCTCTGTTGACAACTGGGTATTTATTTGTCTACCTAGCTGAGACCTGACTCTGACCTGTGGTGGGGCCATCGGCAGTATAAGGAGTCGCGGTGTTGTAGGATGAAACATGGGACGCATCTAAGTACACCGGCAAAACATTGTGCCTATATTTGATCTAGTATAATGTATCAGGGTATCAAGAATCCAGCACAGCTAGATTCACATTCTCCACCCGCCACATGTACCACATGAAGAGACTCCTGGTCCGGTGTAAGACAAGATGAAGAGAGTTAAGGATTAGAGATACATACCTATACGGGGCGAATCTCGCAGCCAATTCCAGCATATCCTTCTCGGCCATATACTTGAACTTACCACCACCTTTAGCTTTGAGCTTGCTCACGTCTTTGCCCATGAACGCGGCGCAGCCTCTCCTATGCACATCAGCATCAGCATGACATCTCGACACCGACAGAAACCAAGCAGTGAAACATACTGTACTCCCAGGTCACCCGTAGAAAACACATCGATGCGTTTCAGAGCGAAACAGGCAAACATCTCAACCGACCATCGGCCCAGCCCACGCACCGCCGTCAAGGTCTCCAAGAGCTCCTCATCGCTAGCGTTCAGCAGCATGCGCGCGCTCAGCTCGCCACTCGCAAACTTCTGTGACAACCCATGAATATACTCCGCCTTGCGCTGGGACAGGCCCGCCGTGCGCAGCGTGGCAATATCACACTGCACGATCTGCTCGGGCGTGGGGAACCAGGCGACGCCGCCGTCGGGCCCGTTGAACAGCGCCACGAACTTATCCTTGATCGACTTGGCCGCCGCCCCCGACACTTGTTGTCCGATGATGCTGCTGACAAGACTCCGGAACGGGTCGATCTCCTCCGCGAGACCCTCGGGCGAGAACAGCGGGCATGGGTACTGCTTTATGACGGGCTCGAGGCGCGGGTCCGTTGCGATGAGATGCGCCACGGCCTTTTCGAGCAGCGTCCCTGTCGTGGCGGTGGGACGGGGCCGGCCTGTCTTGCTCGGGGAGGCGTCTTCTGCGCCTGGCGGATAGGCGACGAGGGAGGAGCCGTGCGGGGTGAGGAGGGTGGCATTTGTTCTGTGGGGTTCGACGGGGCGGTCGAGAGGAGGAGGCGTGGACCGCAGTCTTTTGAGGGTGTAATGAGTAGATAGAGGGGCGTCGAAGATGGTGTCGGGTGGTAGTTGTTGTTGTTGTTCTGCGGGGGTAGCCGTGTCCTGCGCTGTCTGATCTGCGGATGTCTGTTCGAGGTCCAGGTTCAGTACTCTCTTGTCTTTTGTTGAGGGCTTTCGTGCTTTGGTAACCCCGTTGCGTTGGGTGGTTTTGTTCGTCCTCTTGGTCGGGGTGCTTGGTGCCAGCGGTAGCTTGCCATTCGGCAGGGAGCTCAGGCGAGCGGAGCGTCTGAGGGACATCCTAAGTCCTGTCTATGATATGTGCAGGTATATATCTTCTCTCAGGGTATATATTATGCGTTGTGGTGGTATATTCGGGAAGGTTGGAGCTGGAGCTGGAGGTGGTAGTAGAGTGCTGACATGATGATGCTTGGCTCGGATATGTCATCCAGCTCGTATCCAGCCATGGGATCATTAATCATTTAACCTATATGATGGTCAATGGTACGGGAGTCCGCGATCATGATAGTATTGAATATGTTTGGAACATGTTTGAGTTGGCTGTTGTTCCGATCGTCTCCATGTGCTGTGTTTGTTGTTGCCCCAGCGCAGCATGATATATATTTCCACATGTACCATCTTGGGCAGACTTGCTGTAGCATGAATATTCAACGGATGTTCTAGTAATCGAAACAGAGTAGTCTCCTTCCCCGTAGTGTCCCAATGTTAAGTCAATGCGACAAATTGAACATCGTCCTAGGAGTATTGTCATGCTATGGTCTAACGTTTCAATGGACAGTCCATCCGTGAAGTACTCGACAGAAGTTTGATAAATTCCATGGGAACTAGCCTGGTGCAGCTACAGGTGCTTGCGTCACCCACAGTCGACCAATAATGGTTCACTGAGGACGAATTCGGAGATACCTGCCGTACTAACCGCTCATCTGGATTGTTGTCCGATCGGTCCACGAGCTATCAACCATGCTGAAGGCGGATCCAGCCAGCTAACCAGTTACTTCAGTCCATACCGGAATTCCATTGTTCCATTGGTCCACTACTGGAGCTGGTATTATTGACCCATAGGAGGGGACGAAAGCTTTCCGTACGGTCGCATAGTTGAGTGGTTGCTCGGCCGATGAAAGCCTCTGCTGGCTAGCCGCATGGATCCCGAAGAGATCAGCTCGAAAGTAAATTGAATCCCGCATAAGCGATGCTGTTCGCAGCAACGGTACCAATTAAATAAATGAAGATTGACTCAATGGACAGGGATGCGTGGGGAGATGTTCGCTTAGACGTGAGCCAGCTGGTCGAAAACGGTAGGATGATCACGCTCTATCATACCGGCGTATAGCCGTCTGGGCGTACAGCCACCCCGTGTCAAGTGGCGTTGGAGAGAAACGTGCCCGAGGGCTCGGCTCAAACTATCATGTGGGAAGGTTACGTTCACCATGCACCTCGACTACTACTACAAGCACAGAACCACGAATCTTTAAAGATTGGAACAGATCAACTCAAGTGCTTGACTTTGGGTATCCGAGGGGTGATCCATACGTATGGCCAACACGGGCCATGCTCATCTACAGGAGACAAGAGCTATCCCTACCGTCACATTGATATTGGCGTATTTGTTTGTGGTGACGGATAAGTGTGGAGCCGATGGGTCGTTGATGATAATAATGGAGTGGAGTGATGGATGAGGAACTCTAAACCGATCGCGAAGGCCGACTAGTAGGAAGTGTATCAAGGGGGGGAGGATCTACCAAGTACAGAGTATAGCTGGTGGTGATGGATGATGAACTGACTCTTTGGATGTCCATAGTCCCGGTTGATGAAGGCAACGTCGTCGGACGGATTATACTTCTACTCCTTACAGCGCGTTCTATTTTGAGCAGAGAAGTGTGGCTCATGATTATTAGTTGAGTCGACTATGGGACAAGGAGTATAGCATATCGATTGCTACGGTGATGAATTCGCCACTTGCACACTGCAAAGACACCGAATGCGTCCAAAATACGTACAGTGTCTTTGACCTTGGGGTTAATTATATACGCCAGATCAATTACAGGAGCTAGGAATGGGTCGACTTTATTTAGCATTATTCGTCCATGTGGATCCGATGAAAACCACCAGCCCGCTCGGTATGGCCCGTACCAAACTGAGACGGCGTATTACCACCGTCGTTATATAGACCGGCCAGTGACCAATAGGAGTGGCTTTTATCTTACCAGGTACCACCACACCAACTGGGCAGGCAGTTTGCACCCGATCCTTGTGCCATGGTACCTGGCTAGATTACGGAGGAGAGCGAAAATAGATTGACTGGGTTTTCTCCGATGCTTTCCATCCATCCATGGATGTTAACTGACTGACCCTTAAACAAGCAGACGAACAGACTCCGCCGGAATAGGAGAAAAAGAAACACAAACCTCTAGTTACCCACCTTGTCAAAATATGCAATGGGGCGCGCAGCGAGGCGACGGAATCCTATGGCAAGGCCTCGCATACCACAGGAGGGCCGGTAGTGGGGCCACCAGATTCCAGGACTTCAGATCGACCAATGTCGAGAGATGACCACGATTTTTGGCATTGAGTTGATCAATCGTATAGCATTCTGGATACCTGACAGGATCCCGTGATATCAAAATCAAAACAAACCGGACTGCCCGGTCGCAGCGGAGTTTCACTTGAGAATGAGGTGGTGGGTGGTAAGAATTGGGAGATTATCGATGATACTAGGCCAATCGTCATGATGATGGAGACGAGGAGGCGATTACTCGCATTCACTAGGTACTCCGTAGGTACCTGGTCAATACTCCCTATTATGAACCAACCGAGGCCAATCATGGGCCTGGTCTGGGCCTGGAAGCCATGCTAGGTAGTTAGCCGGTATCATGAATACCAACGATCTTCATGATGATCAGGCAGTCTCTGTCGGGAGCGGCAGGTGGATGGCGATACATCGGCACCCTGATGATCTTGTCTTTGCCACTTTTTTTCAGCCTTCAGATAGGTACCGGTACCTACTCTGGAGTATACTCCATACAGATCCATTTATAGAGAGACGGAACACTACCGAGCTTCAACGGAAACCTCCGTCAAACATTGGATAGTACCAAAAAGTGCTTGGAGCACCAATATTAGTGAATAATACAGACAAATAACCATGGAATTTCCCCCGGAGCATCCGACTCATTGGCAAGGTGTTACACGATGGGGCCAGCTAACCCCGACGGGCTCCAGTCAAAACCGGATTCCAGGAGGATTACGTATCGTTACGGCGACCGTACCAGCCGGAAACGAGGATGCCAGGAGGGAAACCGTGCCAATTACTGGTTGGATGGCCCACTAATCCACGCCGGCTTCTCCTTTCTCTTGCTCACTTGTGTTGTCCTCCCTGAAACTGGTCGTCCCTTCCAATCTTCCCTCTTCCTTTTTTTTCCCTCTCACCCCCCCTCCCGATCCATCCATTATTATTCCCTCGCTTTCTTCCCTTCCTTTCCCTCCTTCCCTTCGTTTTCCTTCATTCTTCTTCCAGAACGTGCCTGCCTAATCAGTGCGTTTTCGGACCGACCTTGCAAAACTCAAGCTTCTCCTTCGTTGAAGCCTTTCTCCTTCCACTCGTTATTTATCATCGCTTCGCGTCCCATCGTCAGCGTCTCTGCAGTTCTTCCTCATCTTCGACTGTTTCGACTATCTCTACTTAATTGGTCATTGGTAAGCTTCCCCTTTCGGTCTCCTTTCCCTTTGTTTTGGTCCTACTTGGTCTACCCCCCTTTTGTTTGACAATCTCCTTTCCTCATCTTCCTCCCTCGCATTGGTCTGCCTGCAGACGAACAAGCCACTGCCGTTCAAACTCATCGCATTGTCGTCGTCTTCGGTCCTCAATAGACTAACGTCCGACCAGTTGTGCGAAATCACTCTTAGCAATGGCTTTCCTCAAGTACGCGCTTCCCGCCCTCCTGGCCACCCAGGCCGTCTTCGCTGCCGGTGAGTGCACCAATCCATCCACAACAGACCAACACGCATACTAAACCGCTCTAGACTGCGGTGATGGTGATACCATCAAAATCGAGAACCAGTCCGATGCCGACGGCTACTCCAGCTGCAAGACCGTCAAGGGTGACATCGAGGTCAGCGAGCACTACACCGGTGACCTGAACCTGAACGGCGTCCAGGAGATCGATGGCAGTTTGTCCGTCGAGGGTGCTTCCAACATGACCTCCCTGACCGGCTCCAGCCTGGAGTCCATCACCTCCACCTTCAAGCTGAGCGGTCTGACTACCCTCACCACCCTCAGCTTCGGCTCCCTGACCTCGGTCGACAAGATCTCCTTCACCGCCCTCCCCAACCTGCAGACTCTCGACTTCAGCAAGGGTGTCACTGAGGCCACCAGCGTCACCATCACCAACACTGGTCTCACCAGCCTGGACGGAATCTCCCTCAAGCAGGTCGAGACCTTCGATATCACCGAGAACACTCAGCTGAAGACGGTCAACGTGAACAACCTGAAGAACGCCACTGGTCTCATCAACTTCGCCGGTAACCTCGACTCGCTGGAGATTGAGCTGCCCAACCTGTCGGGCGGTCAGAACATGACCTTCCGTAACGTCAGCTCCGTCTCCATTCCTTCCCTCAAGGAGCTCTCCGGTCAGCTCGGTTTCTGGGGTGACAGCTTCACCTCCTTTGCTGCCCCCAACCTGACCGAGACTGGTGACCTGGTCTTCGTCGACAACTCCAAGGTCTCCAACATCAGCATGCCTCAGCTCAAGACCGTCAATGGTGGCTTCCAGATTGCTCGTAACGACAAGCTCTCTACCATCGACTTCCCCAAGTTGGCTACCGTGACCGGTGCCATTGACTTCAGCGGCAAGTTTGACAAGTAAGTTTGCCTTGGTCTGATAATTCAATCGGATCGGTCGCTCACAATTACCAACAGGGCCAGCCTCCCCGCTCTGGAGAACGTCAAGGGTGGCTTCAACATGCAGTCCACTGGCAACTTCAGCTGCGACTCCTTCCAGAAGCTCCACAGCGACAAGGTCATCCGTGGCTCTTTCCAGTGCAAGTCCGACACCGCCAACCCCACCACCAAGGATGGCAGCTCTGGCTCCTCCTCTGGCTCTTCGGCCTCGACCACCAGCGAGGGTGCTGCCCCGATGAACGGTGCCAACATGCCCGTCATGGGTGTTGCCGCCGTGTTCGGTGCTCTGCTCCAGTTCCTGTAAAGACGAATCGATACCAACCTCTTTTTTGCGTGTCTTTTGTTTTGCTCGCTCTTTATGGCTGTGTAGAGTTGCCTAATAAGCACTGGGTGTTGCACTATATTCCAGTACCTTGCAGTTCTTATGATAATAATTGACTCTTTTTGCGAAAATCACTATTGGTGCTATGCAAGCGACCGAACTTGCTTTTATCCACGAGCAAGATACATCGGGCTATGTTTCTGATTCTGGGCAGCATTGTATTCTGTTCATAGACATTCCTTACCAATATTGTTCATGTTGACCTGGCTGCTGTAAGTTGGAGTAACCGATTATTATTCAATCCTGGTGATAGGAAGTATAGGTGTGTGTGTGAATACCTGGATAGTCGTTGATAGCCCTTCGGATCCTCATCAACCGACATAGCTTATTGTCTTCCTGATTCCAAATCTCTACGGAGTCCATCCGGGCAGTATCTGCGGCCGGTCTGCATGGATCCATATTGGGAAACCGGTCTCGCGTCATCCCGATCTCGCGATGTCCACCGCGGCCCGCGAAGGGTATGTGCTGCGTGCAGGTGTTGTCTACGGCGAGCAGATCTCCGTGCCAGCGTCGGTGACTCATCAATTCGCGAGTAGGAGAGAGATTAGTGAAGGTCAAGAGTGGATAGACTGGAGATGGAGCCTTCAAGCCAGGTACATCGCTCTCTATCTATAGGCGAAGGGGCTACTTGACAAATACAGGAGTCTGATAGGTCTTAGGCGACCGTCTAGTTGGTTTAGGAATCACGGCTTGTGACGAGAGGGGCGTGTGTACGTGCGTTCGTCCCACCTGGCTGGTATCCTCGCTCGACCCGTCACTAGCAGCGACCGAGATAGCCCGTGAGAGTGAGGAACGAGACGAGGTGTCTTTTCAGCATTTGATAGAAGACTGGTCGAGATCGTGAGAGCTTCTCTGCATCACCTATCGGCTGGCGACATGTGCGTTGTCAGTACTTTGGTGGATGATACCTACCTCGTTAGACAGGTGAGGGTGTGGTACTGCTGAATCGTTGGGTCTTCTTCGTATCGAGTCGATCTTGGGGAGCAGGTCAGACCCGAGGACCGGGTTCGGGCGTGAGTGGTGGCGGAGGATGAGCCAGTGGTGTGTGCGTGGCGTGGCGCACTAAGAGGCTCGCTATACTCGATTCATACGACGGACTCCATGGAGTCTCCCTGGATATCTGGCGAGGCTGAACTTTGCTCCCCGCACGACGGAGAGGAGGATCTCGGAGTTGAGAGCTAGGGGACGATCGTAACCCTATACATCATGGATGAGGGTCTAGATTGGGGATCCTTGCTATGGGCTGCGATTATTGAAGAGTAAGGCAAAGGTACCTACCTCCTCCGTAGGTAGATAGTCTAGTTCCTAGGATGGAAGAAGATAAGGTAGTACAAATTGAAGGTTATTCTCTGAGGCAAGGTGGCCGCGTTTCATGTTCTATTTTTTGCCTAGTCTATTTGGAATAAATGTCCGACGATATGATAATATGATACATAGAGTACACTCATGCCTTGCATGATGTGTGGATCGATGCCTGAGGTGGCCATGGCCATGGCCACATCGTGTCGAGCCCTAGTGCTAGTCTCCTAACTAGGAGACTAATTCCTGAAGAATTTATTGGAGATCCTCCTCACCGGGCAACTATCGACATCCCACGGCGGGGACCCAATGGACCTGGATCTATAGGCTGCGGATGTCGGATGTGAGATGAGTGTTGGCCTCGCTCCGGACATACCACCTTGTCCCTAGTACCTACCTAGGATCTATCTGCAGCGTACCTCGATCGTTGCGATCGTTGGTCTGGCCTCGACGCCAGTGGCAATATCACGACAGATGGATAGATGCGTGCATGACATCCGTTCTGTCGCATCGACCTTGCATGTCTGCAGAACCCAGTGGCCAACATCGCCTCCCGCCTGAAACATGGCACGTGCACGGGATCTGTAACCTCCCCTCATCCACAGCGACATAGTCTAACTAGTGAGAGCCACTTCGTGCGGTTGAGCAACCCGCGAATCGCATCCCCTTCCCCCCGGTGCGAAGCGCGGGCGGGGACATGGAAGACGCATATCGATGATGGGGGCGGCGGCGGATGCAGTTAGACGCGTTGGGAACCGTTTAGAGTTGGGTAGTCGTTCAAGTAGTCTGGACAGGTAGACTGGCGCATATGATATTCACTCCGTGCTACATGATGAAGGCGAGTTGCAGGCGGCGGACAACGCATTGTTCCCCATTTTCTGACGGGGGCGGCCGCGATCGGGGCGCCCTTTTCTGATATATCATCTCCCGGCGGCGCGGCGTGCCAGGAAGGAGATTTTCGGGCTTTCTAGAGTGTTTTGCCATCGTTCTGTGGGTTTGAGGACGGCTTGTCTTTTGGTTTGGTTATTGGCCGCGGTTGGATCTCGCTTGATTGGGATTGTCCAGGTAGTCCCTGTTCGGGTTCCGGAGTAGAGGCAGGCTTGTCCAGCACATGTCACTCGGAACCTCACGCGTACACACTACACACCCTCTATCGAAGCTTAGGACAAAGTACAGGTGGGTTACAAGCTCCAAGCTATCGTCAGTAGAAGTGCCAGTAGTCGTCTTCGGCCTCTGAAGAGAGATCCCGTTGATGGACGGACAGGCGCCGAGAGGTCTCTACCAGATGGGGGACTCCATGTATACTAGCCAAGCAAGGTTTATTGGTTGTACAAGCACGGCGAGGGACTCTCCCATGATTCCATATCCATTCGTCTTGGTGCGTTCCAGGCCACGATATAGCGGAGAATAACTCACGGCCTCATCGAGGGAGTGGGCTCCCGGCACTTTCCACGCGGTCCGTGAGCAGAGCACCAGATACATAACATAACATGGACCATGGGCTTCCCCGTAACTAGTGACTCGAGTAGAGTTCGGATCGTACCTTTGACGCTGCCAGGAACATGTTCCTGTAGGGTCAGGGTTTCCATTGAGTTCGTGCCTGGACGGGATCAGATCGTGCGAGGGTCGATTCCCACGACAGGGGATTCCTCAGTTCGCGGATGATTTTCCTGTGCGCCGCTCGCGATCTCGATGATGACGAATCGATACATAAACATGGCCGAGAGGGGGGCTTTGCCAGCTCAGCGGGTTGCGATGCTTCGCTTAGGCGCCACGCCTCCACCGGCCGTCGAGTCTAATGTCGCACATCTGCACTGGGGTTGTTAACTGTCAAGCCGCACCCGAAACATGCCAGTAAGGTGGCCCTTTTGGGTAATGGACAGAAAACGGGGACGCCAGCTGAGGCAGTACTACTGGACTAGGACTCGCGGGCGAGGGAAACGTGGGGCGGGCTGGCTGATCCTGGGCGGAATATGACAGATCTTATCCTGTGGCCATGCGATCCACGCTCAACCCCTTGGTATGGGGCTCAACAAGGACTGCTGTCTAGAATATCCTTTCTCGTGGTATGAGTGTCTTCTAGGGACATTGAAGGACATCTTCGGTGGTAGGCTCAATATTCCAGACCCCAGACTTTAGTAACATAAAGTCATGTACCCATCCTGGACCCGTGGCATAACTAATCTGATTCTATTCTTGTCCAGCGAGGATCTTGCAGTTCCTCTACCAGAATCACCGTCCAAGCCACGGTGTTCTCCGCAGCGATCTTGGAGAGGTCATCCCACGAATTCCAAATCACCAGGAAGAATAGTCCAGAACGAACACGCACCTGGGGCTGACAGCCGTCAGGGCCTGCCCTGGTCACTGGGATCTCCCGGCGTCCCAGGTGTCTGGTGCGGACCCTCGGGGCGATGGCGATCAGAGGCAAGTCTGCGTGAGTTTTGACCTCTAGAGCCAAAATAGCTCTGATGGCCCCCCTCGGAGGTCGTCGGTTCTATTGGAGGATCGAGCCATACGAGTTAGTAGTCCCATCGCCATCCATGGTACCTACGACCTCCTCGCAGGAGGCTGTCTCAGGTACTTTTGCTGGATGATGGCAGCGTCCTTGCTTGGTGCTATTTGGCCATCCGCTTCTGCAGCGGCGTGATCGCCTTGGGGGAGTCGGCGTCTGCATTGCTGTGGGGTTCGATGTTGGTTCTCGATTATTGTGTTCTCCATGCCCTTTATTGGTATCTTTGTCATTCTCGAGGAAGAAAACGACGCTGTGCACCTGCCGGATGCCTCCCGATCTGGTCTGCTGCAGTGATTGACGTGGTACAGCTACCTCGCGGGGATCGTCTACGGAGTATACGGAGGACTCCCGGCTGGGTGGGAACCTCCCCAGATAGACTAGACGCTATCGAATAGCCTCAGAGATTCGGGTGTTTGCAGGGGATTGAAGCGGGATTGAGTTTCTGCGAGTGATTCTCACGGGTATGTACGGACCTGCTGGAGATCGACTTGACACCCTGGGATCGTAGTATACTGTATACACATATGTTTCTACTACCTCAGGAAACGAATGATTGCCACCAGCTAAGCGCGGAAGAGGAACCCGTACGCGCTTGTCTGACAATGAAACGTTTTTTTTAGCAGTAGTATTTCTTTTTTTTTTTTCTTTTTTTTTTTTTTTTTTTTTTTTTTTTCGATTGTCAAGTATTGTTAAATGGATGTCCCTTTTATTTTCCCTTTATCCAACGCCACCCCCATAGACTATCCCGGGGATGCAGGCCTTTTGCACATCATCCACACGATCGGACGGCCCATGATCGTTCAGACGCTATTGAGGGCCATGCTGCAAGGGCCCCAGTCCATCGAAGGCGAGACGAAGGGTTACCCCACTGATTCGTCCATCTGGCTGAAGGAGTGGGTGTCCGAGCCCTCGGATTTTGTGATAGAGAGACCGAGCAAAGTACACCCTTCGAACTCTGCCGGAAGCTTCTCATGGCTTCCCCGCGCCCTCATGGTCGTCTGCTTCATGCAGCTGGCAAGGAGAGGCCATCTATCTATCTTCGATCTGTATGTCATGGGCTCGCCGGAGACCACTTCCGTTTCCCTGTTGAGTAGGTGTTGTTCCCACCGATCTACCAGATGATACGTCCGGCTCCAGCTCTGCTCGTCCCGTTCGATCGGAGCGCTTCATCGGAATCTGAGCGCACTGTGCTGCGTTCTCTGTTCAGGGCCCCCTCGTTCGGCCTCTGCAGTCAAGATATAAAACATGCAGCGGATCGCCCCGTCGGTCTGGAGTGCTGTGTGTGTTCTTCATCTCTTCTGTGCCTCGTGGATTGGTTTCACTCTGGTCCTTGCTCTCACCATAGCAACTCCGCCCTTGCCGGTCCCTCTGTTTACGTTTCTATCTATATATACGATAATCGACCCCTTCCTTGCATATCCTCTTTGCACTCCCGCACCGTACATATCCTCAGCCTGTCAACCGTGCTTATATCTTGTCTCACTCGCCCGCATATACATCGCCCTTCATCTACATCCACGGCCCCGTCAGACCCAAAAGTCAGACATACAGACGCAGCCACCGCCTATCCTTATATCCGCCTCACCCTCTTCCCACTCCTCCAAATTATGATGTTCGAGGACGTCAACCAGATGGCCGACGAGATCTCCCAGCGTTGCTCTCTTCCGTGAGTCCGACCTCGCAGCATCCTTGCCTGAAGCTGCATACTGACGAATGTGACAGCGGTCTGCGCTCTCTTTCCAGCGCCCCCAGCCCAGCAGACATGACCGAGGACCGTCGACTACCACCTCTCCCCCGCGTGGAGCCATTGCCGCGGGGTCCCTTTAACCCGTTCAACACCCACGTCTTTGCCCCCAGTCCGCCCAGCTCGCAAGACACCTTCCCCGTCAAGTCCCCCTGGCCCGCCGGCGAACAGATTGTCACGCCGCCCTCCCCCGCCAACTCGGCCGACAGCTCCTGGGCCGAGGCCTACCAAGCTCAGAAGGTCTTTGAGTGGCCTCAGGATCTCTCCTCGGCCGAGCTCCTGAACCTCATCGCCCCCAAGCAGATCAACCGCAAGCCCCCGTTGCAGCAGCTGTGCGGCCGCAAGCGCAAGGGCAGTTTCATCTCGGGCGAGCCCGACGACCAGCGGGAGAAGCACCGGATCGCCGAGGGCAACCGCCGCAAGAACCTGAGCCAGCTGCACCGCGAACTGGACAGCCGCATCCATGACTTCTTCCTGGAGCGCGCGGGCTGGAACCCGTCCAAGAGCCTCCCCGAGTCCAAGGAGCACATCGTGCAGGGCGCCATCTTCCTGATCGACTTTATGCTCCTGATCATCGTGCATCTCATCCGCCAGGAGAACGAGATGCCGCGCCAGCTGTCCGAGAAGCTGCAGCCGCAGGTCCGCTGCATGCAACTGCAACAGCTCGTCGCCAACCTGCAGCAGCAGAACCAGACCGCGCAGCAGCAGCTCAAGGCCGTCAAGCAGGAGAACCAGATGCTGGAGGAGCGCAACCAGGCCCTCGAGCTGCAGCTCAAGACCTACGAGCAGATGTTCCGCTCCCCCAAGACCGAGCAGCCCTCCCCCAAGCCGCTCACCCACCTGCCCGAGGCCAAGCCCCGACACGCGCTGCCGGGCCTGCGCGTCTTCTGCGATGAGATCGCCGCCAGCAGCCCCGAGTCCGCCCGCATGGAACCCCTCCACACGGGCACCTCGCAGTCCTTTGGATCGACCTATCTCAGCCACACCCCTCCCCTGACCGGACCGTCGTCGCCGGTGTTTACCTCCTCAGCGTACTCGGTCCCGACCTCGCGGCGCCAATCGGTGAACCCGATGCCGTGAGGACCACCTAAGGGTGATCACGATTCATTGTTAGACTGGGGTGTTGTGGAGTTCCTATAGACTGGCGACTTGGGTTTTCTTTTGTTCCTGGCATAGCGTGCGCACTGTACATTGTCCATGTATGAATGGGATGGGTCGTGAACGTGCCCTACTGGCGCGGTGGACTTGAGGCGCACTGGGGGCTGATTTGTACATCAACGGGAAAAGCGCGTGTTTTGATCCAGTGCATTGGGGTGGTGTCATTCCTTGATCTGAGGTTTACTATGTATAATTTCCTGTTCGATTGTTCATATGGGGTTTATGGGTGGCGCACTGTTTGATAGCAATATAGACCAAGTGATTTCGGTGATTGTCACTCTCTACCTATGGACCCTGTACAGGCTGATATGAGCGTAATGAAAATACCTGATGTAAACTTGGCGTATTGAACGGTGCAATTGGGAGGTTTTGATAGGTGGCCTGTGCCAAGGAGACCCTGAAACCAGCTGTCACTCGATCGACTCCATGAAGTTGGATGGAATCCTTAGGTTGATAAAACAAAGAGAGAGAGAGCATTATTATCAAGATGCGCTATTATTTATCATTCAATGTGTGTTCTATCCATTACCAACAATGAACCAATGTACTATACCTAGGTATACTCGTAGAACGACGGAGCTATAAAAAGCAACGGATCCAACCCCAAGACTTCTGGACCGTGTGACCGTACCGTATCGTACCCGTTATCTGCCTTACGTAAGGTCCATCGTGGTCTCTCGCTCACTCGAACCAGCAGTCGATCGTGCATTTCTCTTCTTCTCTCTCTCCTGTCTCATCGGCCTCGTCCATTCGTTCGTTTGGTCCTTTTTGTTTTCTTCCTGGGCTGGCATCGTGCCGCCGTCTTCCGCAGTCGGACTTCTCCTGAACCTCCAGCCGCCTGGACTTTTTCCCTCAATAACCCTTTTTCCTTCTCCGGGCGATCGCTGGTTCCCTCTCCCTCCTCCCCCCTTCTCCGTTGACTTCCGCTCTATCGCAATCGACCTCGTCGCCAGCCTTCTTCTACGTGCAGTGAACGTAACCGACTGACGACATCGAGTTCGATCCTCTCCCTGCGCTTTGTCCACGCCGCTGTCCCGCCGCCTCGACCGGAATCGGCCGCTCCTTTTCCTCCGTGAAACAATCTTCATCGATCTCGACCGTGAGACGTGTGAACGACCGTACATCTTCCGGAGGATTGTCGCCTATCCTGGGCGTCGACGGATTCTAATACCTTAGCCTCTTTTTGCTTCGTTAATATTTGCCCCTTTTCAGTTCAACCCCCATCTGGCGAAAATGCTTCTTCCCAAGGGTGGTGTAACGTGGAAGTCGGCCAAGGCGAGACTGCCTCCATGGAGGGCCGTGTTGGTGCTGGTGACGCGCACGCGATTCCTCGTCTCGCTGGCGATTACCGGTCTCTTAGTGCTGTTCTGGCGCGGCATTAGCCGTTCGGCTTCGGAGATGCAAAGGTGGGTGTTGTCTCGCCCTCAAACGATGTCTCGCGTCGATCTTCGGCCGCGATAACCTCGCGTTCACTCTCATACTGACAGTCGACTGCTCCAGCTTCTACTGCTATGGCCCCTCCAAGTCGCCGATGGAAATGAGCATGAACGAGATGGTCGAGTGGAATGCCCACCTCCAGACCCCCGTGATCTTTAACCACCACCAACCCTACGAGGTGAACTCCAGCACGATCGAGGAAGTCGACCTCAACCCCATTGGTTCCACCGCCCAGGCCGTCTCCAACTCCGAACGCGTCCTCATCCTGACCCCGCTGAGAGATGCCTCCCCGTATCTGTACAACTACTTCGACCTGCTCTACAAACTTACCTATCCGCACCACCTGATCGACCTGGCTTTCCTCGTCGGCGACAGCAGGGATGATACCCTGGCTGTTCTTACGTCTGAGCTGAACCGGATCCAGGCGCAGGGCGGCAAGGTTGCTTTCCGCTCGGCCACCATCGTGCGCAAGGACTTTGGCGCCGAGACGGAAATGAACGTCGAAGACCGACACTCGTTTGCTGCCCAGGGGCCTCGTCGCAAGGCTATCGGCCGTGCACGCAACTACCTCCTGTACTCGGCCCTGAAGCCTGACCACTCGTGGGTTTACTGGAGAGATGTCGACATCTCCGACAGCCCCGAGACGATCCTCGAGGACTTTATGGCCCACGATCGGGACATCCTCGTTCCCAGTATGTTATAGACACATGTCATTGACCTGCAGTATGCTAATCTCGTATAGACATCTGGTTCCATCGCTATCGCGATAATGTTGATATCGAGGGTCGCTGTATGTTCAAGAAATCCTTACCCTGAACTTCCCATTCTAACTTGAGCAGTTGACTACAACTCGTGGATCGAGTCCGACAAGGGACGCCGTCTGCGCCAGACCCTGGATCCTGACGTCGTCCTGGCCGAAGGATACAAGGAGTACGACACTGGCCGCACTTATCTCGTTGGCATGGGTGACTGGAGAAAGAACAAGGACGAGGAAGTTGAGCTGGATGGCATTGGTGGTGTCAACATTCTGGTCAAGGCCGATGTCCACCGTACCGGTATGTGATTCCATATTCCATATCTAGTCCCACGTGGCTTGTCTGACATACCTTCAGGAATCAACTTCCCCGCCTACGCCTTTGAGAACCAAGCCGAGACGGAAGGATTCGCCCGGATGGCGAAGCGCGCAGGATACGGAGTGTACGGTCTGCCCAACTACGTTGTCTGGCATATCGACACCGAAGAGAAGCCCGGTAACCTCGGAGATCGTAAGGCGTACTAAGCTCCTACCCCGAGGTGGCCGGTGACTCTGATCGGCCGTTTCTTTACCGCATCTCTGCAATCCGCTACGAAATACCCATCTCCCGTGTATATCCGACGCATCGTGTTCGGTTCGGGGTCTTCCCATTGATGTCTTAATTATCTTTCTTTTCGTGTTTTGCATTCTGTGATCGGACGTTCGAGACGGTATCTCACGCTCCGGTAATTATCTTCTTCGTGTTGCGTTTTCTAGGGATCATACTGCTTTTTGTTGGCGTATGGGAAAGTGTGTTAGCGGTATCGAGGCTCATAGATGCACGGTTATTTGCGCTCTCGGCCTGGTCGCCTGCAGGCCCAGCCGTGCTCCTGTTCCACGCAGACGATGGATTAGGCCGTGCGATGGGTCTGCAGAGATCTAGCAGACCGGCAGGGCGATAGGTGTTGGCGTCTGTTGTACATACATATATAGGCTGCAAATTGTTGGGTGCTGATTGTGCGTCTGTAAACAAATACTGAGTGTGCTAGATGTAGTACAGACGGAGTAGGAGTCTGCATCCCCGGATAAGACCTCAATCTCGCCAGTTCCCCACTTGTCCCCCCACGTTATATTCCATCCGGACTTCTTCCACCGACTCCAGACTGCCATTCTCCCTCTCTCCATCCTACCCTGTCCTACAATTCTACCACCATGGCCCCCAAGAACGAATACCTCTGCATCCTCCCCGACAAGCCCGGCGCGCTGCAGAAGCGTCTGGAAGTCCGCCCGTAAGCCAGGCACCCCTCCTTTCCCATTCTTCCGTTTCAACACTCGAATCCAGCCCCAATCCGATGAGATCCTGGATAAAGAAGATCCTGGATCCCAGCTAACATAACGACAGACAACATCTAGAGGGCGTGAAACCCCTCGTGGAAAACGGCTCGATCGTGGTGGGCGGTTCGTTACCCCGCCTGTCCCTGTCCCAGGAACATCAATGCACAGGATGAAACCAAAGGGAGTGTCTGACAAACGAATCGATAGGAGCCATGTTCGACGAACACCCCGCCGCGGGCCAGACGCCCTCGTTCAAGGGGAGCATGTTGATGGTTGTTGCGGAGAGTAAGGAGGAGGTTATGGAGCTGATCCGGAAGGATATCTACTCGACGAGTGGGGTGTGGGATCTGGAGAATTGTCAGGTTATTCCGGTGGGTTTTCTTCCTTCTTCCAGTATCCTTGGGTTTTGTTGTCGTCTGCGTCTTGGTCCCGGCTGATGTGGGTGTAGTTCAAATCTGCTGTGCGTGTGGGTCTTTAGATGGCTACTTGATTATCTACGCAGAGGATATAAGGAATAAAGCATCTGTCCAGTGTCGATGTCTTGCTTAGCTGTGTGTTGGAGGTTCATCTAAAACTAAATTCTACGCGGCCACCGAAAGTGTAGGTATCTACAGACCAGATCGAGTTATGTACAGTTGATGCCGATTACAGCTTCGCCTTGGGCGTCAGCATCGCCTCGGCGACCTTACGGCGTTGGATCTTGCCCGTGGCCGTCTTTGGGATCTGAGGGACGATCCAGATCTGGCAAAGTCAATACTTGTCTTCCACACAACGAACGAAACATACCTGCTTGGGTGTCTTGAATTTGGCAAGCTTCCCAGCCACCCACGCCTTCAATTCCTCCTCGGTGGCTCCGCCCGCGTTCTTCAGGACAACAGCCGCCCCAATGTCCTCGCCGTAGTGGCCTTCATCCGGAATCGCGAAGCAGACCGCTTCCCCGACCTTGGGATGGGCCAGCAGCGTGTTGTCCAGCTCAATGGGGCTGATCTTCTCGCCGCCCTTGTTGATGAGCTCTTTGATGCGGCCCGTGATGATCACGTAGCCGTCGGGATCCTTCTTGCCCTGGTCGCCGGTGCGGAAGAACCCATCCTTGGTGAACGAGGACGCGTTCGCCGCCGGGTTGTTCAGGTACCCCTTGGTCACGTTCTCGCCGCGCACGCAGATCTCCGCCTCTGCACCCTGGGGCACTTCCTTGCCCTCCTGGTCCAGGATCTTAACCTCGACGCCCTGACCGATGCCCACGCTGCCGGGCTGGCGCTTGGCCGGCGGCAGCGGGTTGCTGGTCATCTGGTGCGCGGCCTCGGTCATGGCATAGGCCTCCAGAACGGGCGCATGGAACGTCTTCTCCAGATCTTGGAAGGTCTTCGGCGACAGCGGGGATGAACAGGAGCGGATGAACCGAATCTCCGGGATCGGGTTCGGCAGCGGCGTCTTGAGCAGAATCTGGTGGATGGTCGGCACAGCCGTGTACCAGTTTGCCTTGTGGGTGACGAAGTCGGCCCAGAATTCCGAGGCAGAGAACTTGGACGGCACGATCACGGAGCCACCAGAGGCGAGGGGCGCCAGGAAGGCAGCCAGTAAACCGTGCACGTGGAACAGAGGCATCACCAGCAGCGTCCGATCCCGCGGAGTCAGCTGGTAGGTGGTCTGGATGTTTCCTGGACATTGTCAGGACAGGACTTGGGGAAAATTAATCCTTAGGACTTACTCATGGTTGTGGTGAGGTTTTTGTGGGTGAGTGGGACCTGATTTGTTTAGCTGGACATGCTTTGATAGAACTATACGAATTCTGGGAGCAAGCGGAAGAGCTTACAGCCTTGGGCCGGCCGGTTGTGCCACTCGTGTGTAACACCAGGGCAACGTCATCCTCCTGGGCCTGTTCAACTGGCACTCCGGTGTTCCTGGCCAGTTTTCCGCGTTCCTTCATATTGAGGACCACCTCGGAGCCATTCCAGTAGCACTCTGCGATGGCCGCGTTGTACTTTTGCGCGGCGCGCACGGCGGGGCCGTTCTGCCGATACGCCCCCTGGGGGATCAGCACGAGGGTGGAGTTGAGGTCCTCGATATAGAACTCAAACTCATCCTGCTTGTACGCTGGGTTCAGGGGGGCGGCGATGGCCCGTTGCCACGAGGCTCCGAGGAAGGCCACGATGAACTCGTACGAGTTGGCTAACGCGAACGATACGGCTCCCCCATGACCGACCCCCACTCGCGCGAGTTTCGCCTGGAAATCAGCGACGTGGGCGTATAATTGCTTGTAGGAGACTGTTAGGGGGGAAGGCTTCTGGGGTACCACAACGGCGACGTCCGGGCTCTCGGACGAGAAGGATCGAGCGAGAGTACTCATCGTGAGAGTGGCGTGATGCTGCAAGAAGTGTACGGAGAGGAAGAATCTGGGGAGGGTGGAGGAAATCTGGGGAGAATGAGGAGAAAGGATGGGAGGACCAGGAGAGGAAGAGGAGCCATGGCGGCAACAATTGCGTAATGACGATAATGGGACTCCCCGTAGATTGGAGTCGGTTAGGTCCAGTACGGAGTACTGCCTACATAGAAGGAATGCCGGCGTCTTCCTACCCGAGCCTTTTCCGGACCCGCTTCTCATTCGCCGCGCCCCACTCTGCGTGCCTCGATGGCGGGAAGCTTGTTTGTCATTGGCTGACTCAGCCAACGGTCACCAGATTGCAAACACTGCAAACATCTCCCATCCATCATGGCCGCTCACTGCATGATCTGGGTACCGTACTACTACACCTCTTCAATGCCCTATCCCACGCAACATGACGTCCGATTCTACTCCCGCTAAACCCGGGGGCATGCTCTCCCTCTACGCCAATCTTCTCGACCCGGAGAGCTCGACTGCCCCCGGTACCATCTCTCGTGCTCCTGTGGTCTTCAAACAAGCCGACGCCGACTCCCCGGCCGATGATTCTGCGGCAAAGAAGCAACAGCTCAGTTCCGGTAGATCTCATGCCCTTGTTCTCTTGTGTATCTGAGTGCTTGTCATGCGTGCACATCTTTACTGAATTGATTGGCGGTTGATTGCTCACATGCCATGACTTGTTCTGTTCGATCTTTAGCTTCCCTTCGATTTCAGCCTACGAAAAGACCGCAACTCGCTGCGCAGAAACCCAAATCGAAGCCCACATTACCTAAGGCAGCGCCCGCCGCGGTGCCTCCTGCTGCCCCTGTCAAGACTAGCCTGGCCGATTGGGCGGCAACCGAGGACGACGATGTCAACGGCTTCTATGCCGGTCCGAAAAGACAGCGAGGCGGTCGCAAGAAGCGCAAGAAGAACCGGGATGTCCGAGAGTTTATACAAAACTGGGACGACATCTATGACCCGTCGCGACCCAACAACTACGAAGAATATAAGCATAGCGATGAGCAGATTGCCGAAGTGCGCGAGTGGAAAGACCTTTTGTATGCGCATCGCATGGCGCACTCGCCTAGTCAGGACTCGTATAGTGACGCAGAGCGCGGTCGACCGATGATGAATCGTGAGTCTTTCTGCGTACAGCGCATCGATATTCACAAACTAATCATCATGGCGACAGGTCAATTCGCGCCGCCGAGTAGTTTCGCACCACCCCCGAATCTCAATGACATGCCGCCGGAGCCTCCTGTTACCGACCAAGATGCTCCATCGGGAGAGGATGCTTTTGCGCGGCGTGCTCGTTTGTCCGGCTTGCAACCCGACTCAGCCGTTTCTGATACCGTGCCCCCTCCGCCGCCTCCTGAGGAACCACCGGCTCGTGTCCCTGATGATCCTACCGGAGAAGACGCCTACAAACGGCGCCTGCAAATGTCGGCTGGGGCGCAGCCAACACCCCCTCCCTCATCCACTCCGTTGGCGGCCATGCAACCCGCCTCCGCGACGATATCTCGAGCTCCTGTCAGGTACACTTTACCTCCTGCCCCGGCGGACATCCCTGCATCGGAAGCAGAGCTCGAAGAAGTGTTTGCGAAAGAGGAGCCTGTGGAAGCGGATGCGGAGGAGGACGGCCAACGCTCCCTCCGGCCAGGACAGAAGGGCTTCGCGGAGCGATTGTTGGCCAAATATGGATGGACAAAGGGGTCTGGCCTGGGTGCGACAGGATCTGGTATCGTCAAACCGTTACAAGTCAAGGTGGAAAAGCAGAAGAAACGGCCGGACTTCGAGGGTGGTGGCTTTGCTACTCCTGCTGGCAGGGGTAAGATCATTGGCGGTGCCAAAAAGCAAGAGGATGAAGGCAAGTTTGGCCGGATGAGTGAGGTGATCATCTTGAAGGGGATGCTGGATGGAATGGATGTGGATGCAGAGCTCGAAGGGGGGTTGATGCAGGAGATTGGAGAAGAGTGTTCGGAGAAGGTAAGCCGTCATGCCCCGGATCTCTTCGGTTGTAGGACTGTTTCTAACGGGTACAGTACGGCAATGTTGAACGTGTCTACATTTCTCGAGATTCTGCCGCTCCCATACCGGTATTCGTCAAGTTTACGAATCAACTTTCTGCCTTACGAGTGAGTTTATCTTATGGAGATTTTCAGATCATTGGAATTGACAAGTGCACAGGCTGTGAATGCTTTGGAAGGACGAATATTTAACGGGAATCCGATAACAGCTCGGTTTTTTGATGCACATAAATTCGAGCAAGGCGTCTATGAAGAATAAGCACGCAGGAGCAGGGCCAATACAAGCAATTCCATAATTGGATGACGTTATGATCATGGTGGCATGGCTTGGTGTATCAGGTTGGTTCCGAGCGCCGTCTGCGGTAGTACACTGGACTTGTTAGAACGCAATCGTGTCGAGGAAGGTCACCGCGTCCATGTTAAAGCCCTCTATGTCAGTGTCGTCAAGCAGTCTGTCATCATGGTTACCGTCACTGTTGGGTAAAACCTGTTCTTTGGGTATATCGCCCCCACGAATATTGGCTGTGCTGGCTGGCTTTTTAGTAAGATGTTTCCTCTCCTGACAGCTGCCACATCTCCCAATCATTGGAAGATTGATGTACTCAGAGATGGAACAGTCATACCCACGCTCTACAGCTCTCTTGCATGCAATGTACTGTTGGAAAGCGGTGCTTGGGTGGTGACAGAGGGCGTGATACCAGTTGATTCTGTAGCACATTGTGAGTCAGTTCTCTTTGTATTGCTGAGTTGGCAACGATTCAGAATGAGAAGAATGTGATAGCAATGTAACTTTTCTCTAATCTTCCTTTTTATATATAACCATCTGCCCAGGCGTTTACTAGCGGAGAATACCGTTATCAAACGGCTTTGTCCTTGTTGGACAGGATGTTCCCTTTATGTCTTGTTTCAGATGACATTTCCCTGGCCTGATAAACAATTGAATATTGTCTTACAGACCATTATTTATCTCTCACACTTTCTCCTGTCTCCTGTCTTTGAGGTTATAGACTGTGATGCCTTATGCATGTCATTGTTGGTCACATGACTGATAGGAACACAAGACTGATCATTGGCTGTGGGGCATCAAACCAGATCCATGCATTCAACTCCAGCCTCACTCATTCAACTTCCCTTGACAACCTTCCTCTCACTTCCTCTCGCTTCTTTCGCTTCTTTCGCTTCTTTCGCTTCTTTCGCTTCTTTTGCTTCTCTCTTCCCGACTCTTCTTCTACTCAGTTACCTCCACCTACAACACTTTCCTCCTCACTTACTCACTTCCCTTGACAATCTTCCTCTCACTTTCTCTCGCTTCTTTCGCTTCTCACTTCCCGCCTCTTCTTCTACTCGGTTATCTCCACCTACGATACTTTCCTTCACACATACTCACTTCCCGACGATCCATCACCATGTCTCTGTGCCAGAACCGCTTAACAGAAGAAAGGTATGCCAAGCAGCGCGCAACATACTGTGCCACTTAGGCTCTGATCCAGCGCGCAAATACTGATCTCACCCGTCACCTTGTAGAAAGCAATGGCGCAAAGATCACCCATTCGGGTTTTATGCCAAACCGCATCGGACCCCCCAGGGCGTCCTGGACCTGAAGCGCTGGGAGTGCGGAATTCCGGGAAAAGCTCAAACGATCTGGGAGGGTGGCCTGTTCAAACTCGATGTCATTTTTCCTGACGGTGAGTATCTGTCGATGTTCTCTTTGTGCTCTGTCGCATTTGAGGCCAGTGACTGACGCATTTTCTTGTGGTAGAATATCCGACAAAGCCCCCCAAATGTACGTCTACCCGTCTCTCCGTGCTGCGAACATGAAGCCGAGCCCCCGTGCCCTCTGCTGCTGTTATGTGGTGAGCCTGTTGGGGGATATCCGCTGACTGTCACAGGCAAATTCGTCCCTCCTCTCTTCCACCCGAACGTGTACCCTTCCGGCACCGTCTGTCTGTCGATTTTGAACGAAGAAGAAGCCTGGAGGCCTGCCATTACCATCAAGCAAATTCTGCTCGGTATCCAGGACCTCCTCGATGACCCGAACCCAGAATCTCCGGCGCAGGCAGAAGCGTACAATCTGTTCCGCAAAGACCGCCCCGCATATGAAAGACGCGTTCGACAGGTTGTGAGAGAAAACCCTGCTCTTTAAAACATCCCAGAGAAGAGATGATACCAAGATGGCAACTGTTATGGTGATGTTTGCACGGTTTTCTTTCTTTTTTCGACACGGTGTTCAGGCGAAGGCATTTCCTGGCGGCTGCAGCGGCCCGAGGCTCATACCCACGTTGAGACGGAAAGTGGTTCTTGATTTCTTTCTTTCTTTCTTTCTTTTTGTTAGCAACATGATGCATGTCCAATTGGTCACTAAGATGTTTTCTTCTGTCTACTATTATTCCCACAGCAAGCGCGGCGCAGTAATAAAATGGCGGTCCGGATGGCGTTTCCGATTCTCTCTCCATTTGCCTTCTTTGTCTTCAGGTTACGTGTCTTCATTCTTCCCTAGGAGACTACGTGGATCTTAGTCCCGCATGGGCTGACAATTGACTCCGCTTGTTGGGGAGGGGTTGATTCATGGGATTTGGTAAGGCGAGGTATGCGCCGGTGAACCTGGCTCCCCTGGAGATTACGGCGCTGGAAGCAGCATGCGACGGCCTTCAACTGTCGACAACTACTAGGTACGCATTAACTACCTCCTACCTAACTAAGGTACTAGGTACTACTAGTGAGGTACTTAGAGGCCCGTTGACGTGGGAAGGAACCAATGAGGGCGGCAGCAATGGGGGTTGCTTTATCTTATCGGGGAGAGTGACTCAGTCCGGCCAGCAAAAGATTTGTCGCCGAAATCGCCCCTCGATTTCCGCCCCGCCGAGAGCCTTTTAAAATTCCCTTCCTCCCCCATACTTTTCCTCGCGCTTAGTCAATTCTCTCCTCCATTCTCTTCTCCTGATTGACCTTGCACTCAATTGCTCGTGGTCAAAATGTGTGGTATCTTCGCGTGTCATCAGTATGTCTCTGTCATCTTCTCTTCCCTCTACTCCCCGCGTCCAGGGCCCTCCGTGGGCTTGCTTTTGCCCCGCGGACGTGCTCCGGCCGGTTTCGCCCCATGCAGTCATTTACTAATTGTGCTCGACAGTCACCCTGATGTGCAAAAGTTCAAGCCTACGGCTTTGCGCATGGCCAAGGCGTAAGTGTTCTATTCGGATTTTCCGTGTTCTAGGGAAATTGAAACTGACGGTTGGGGTTTTGCAGTGTGCGCCATCGTGGACCCGACTGGAGTGAGTCACCGGCATAGTGCGATGGACTTGATCTTGCCGGATAGCTTCTAACGCAACCATAACAGGCGGCAACTTTGTCTCTGAAGGAACCAGTGAGTCCTTTCAATGCTTGTTTCGTCATTACATGCTAATTCGTGCAGTCCTCGCCCACGAGCGTCTGAGTATCGTCGGTGTCGGTACGTAACCTGCCAAGCTTCCCACATCCGGAATTTCCTTGCTGAACAAAAAAAAGACTCCGGTGCCCAGCCCCTGGTCAACGATGATGGCTCCCTGGCTCTGGCCGTCAATGGCGAAATCTACAACCACCGTATCATTCGGAAGACCCTGAAGACCCCTTACAACTACAAGACGCATTCGGATTGCGAAGTCGTCATCCCGCTGGTATGTGGAGAGGCGTCCTTTCATGACGGAGAATCTCAATCTGACCAGATTAGTATATGGAACATGGCCTCGACGCCCCCAAGTACCTCGATGGAATGTTCTCCTGGGTCCTCTATGACAAGAACCAGGACCGTGTGGTCGCCGCTCGTGACCCCATCGGTATCACCAGCTTCTACATCGGCTGGTCCTCCGAGACCCCCGGCGCTGTCTTCTTCGCCTCGGAGTTGAAGTCTCTGCACCCTGTCTGCGACAAGATCCAGGCCTTCCCTCCGGGTCATGTCTACGACTCTAAGACCGGTGAGATGACCCGGTACTTCCAGCCTAAGTGGTGGGATCCCACCAACGTCCCCTCGACACCCGTCGACTACAAGATTCTTCGTCACAGCCTCGAGAAGTCCGTCCGTAAGCGTCTGATGGCTGAGGTCCCCTACGGTGTGCTGCTGTCTGGTGGTCTCGACTCCAGCCTGGTTGCGTCTATCGCTCAGCGTGAGACTCTGCGCATGCAGGCCGCTGCCAAGGAGGCGATCCAGAACCAGACCGGTACTTCCGATCTGGTTGGTATTGACGACTCCAACGAGCTGTCCACGGTCACCACCTTCCAGCAGCTGCACTCCTTTTCCATTGGTCTGCCCGGTGCTCCCGACACGGAGGCGGCTCTCGAAGTGGCCCGTTTCCTCGGCACCAAGCACTACGCCTTCACTTTCACCATTGAGGATGGTCTCAACGCTCTGTCCGATGTCATCTACCATCTGGAGACGTATGATGTCACCACCATCCGTGCTTCCACCCCTATGTACCTCCTGAGCCGTAAGATCAAGGCGATGGGCGTCAAGATGGTTTTGAGTGGTGAGGGTAGCGACGAGATCTTCGGTGGCTACCTCTACTTCCACGCTGCCCCCAACCGGGAGGAGTTCCACCGCGAGACTGTGCGTCGTGTCAAGAACCTGCACCTGGCTGACTGCCTCCGTGCCAACAAGTCCACCTCTGCCTGGGGTCTCGAGGCCCGTGTGCCCTTCCTCGACAAGGAGTTCCTCGAGGTGTCCATGGGCGTTGACCCCAAGGATAAGATGATCACGGGCGACCGCATTGAGAAGTACATCCTGCGCAAGGCCTTCGACACCAGCGACGAGCCGGATGTCGCTCCCTACCTCCCGGACAAGATCCTCTGGCGTCAGAAGGAGCAGTTCAGCGACGGTGTTGGCTACAGCTGGATTGATGGCCTCAAGGACGAGGCGGAGCGTCAGGTCACGGATGAGATGATGAAGAACCCCAAGCCCGAGTGGGGCAACGACATCCCCGACACCAAGGAAGCGTATGTTCTATGCCTGATTGAGGAATTGACGGATGAAACTGACCGTGAGCAGGTACTGGTACCGTATGATGTTCGACGAGCACTTCCCCCCTTACTGCGCGTCCACTGTCGAGCGTTGGGTGCCGACGTGGTCCAAGCAGACCGATCCCAGTGGCAGGTAAGCTGGAGTTGTCTGTGCTCGCTGGTGGAGAAGCAGAGGCTAACATCTACTCGCAGAGCCATCTCGACCCACAAGGCCAAGTACGATACCGCCGCGTAAATATTCTTCCTTCGTTTCTGTTCTGTTTCTTCTGGGGGATATTTGTATTTTGCGAATCTTCTGTCGGATTTTTGGTATAGAAGCATGCATAGATTTTTACCAGAGATACTCAATGGGGCGCAAAAAGCGAATTTCCTACCAACGATGTGTCTGGGCTTGATGTCTGTTAGCTATTGGACTATTGGTTGTTTGGTATCGTCGGGATGATAAAAGCAAAGATGGCCCTGATGGATGTGAGATGTATACTCCATATAAAATGAAGACTGTTATGATCCCATAAAACTGTGTACTCTTAGATGTATGCTGTAGGTTGCCTGAATGCCCTGGCAGCAATGATATCACGGGACTTAGCGGCTTTTACCGGCAGCCGAGCACCGGCCAATGAGGAGGGCTGCCTTTTCCCGTGGCTTCCCCATTGTTTTCCACTTCTCAACATCCTCTCTTCCTCTTCCTCTTCTTCTCCCCTCCATCATCCCTTATTTTCCATCACCTTAACCTCTCCATCTCCACGTCTCTTTCCGCGAGTCTCCCTCGTCTTCCACTTCTCCAACATGTCTGCTCCTGCTGCTTTCTCCGACATCGCCAAGGCGGCCAACGATGTACGATATTCTGCTTCGTGTCGCTGTCTCCGTTCAGCTGGGACAGCTCCCGGGAACTCGAGTTTTCATGCTAATTCGTGTCTGCGCAATAGCTCCTGAACAAGGATTTCTACCACGCCAGCGCTGGTATATATTCGGCCTCATTTGTCAATTGTGTTGTTTTGCGCGCACCGCGCTAACCAGCTTTCTCTTCTAGCCAACCTTGAGGTCAAGTCCAAGGCTCCCAATGGCGTCACCTTCACCGTGAAGGGCAAGTCTGCCCACGAGGGTCCCATCTCCGGCAACGTAAGTTGAATCCTTGCACCTAGTCGATCTCTTACGCCGGCCTTGCTAATTCGTCCCGTCTTTAGCTCGAGGCCAAATATGTCGACCAGCCTACTGGTACGCGCCCCAAACACCGCCAACATGTCTTGCGCAAACCACCAGACCCCAATGATCCCCGCTTGCGCGAGTCGGGGCACATGGTTTTTCTCACCTGTGCCCATACCGTGTCCAAGCTTGTTAGAATTCACGTCATCTCCCGGATTTGCGAACATGCAGTCATGCTAATGTTATGTCCTTGGTCAGGCCTTACCCTTACCCAGGCTTGGACTACCGCCAACGCCCTCGACACCAAGCTCGAGCTCGACAACAACATTGCCAAGGGCCTCAAGGCTGAGATCCTCACCCAGTACCTCCCGGCTAAGCAGTCCAAGGGTGCCAAGCTCAACCTCTACTTCAAGCAGCCCAACCTCAACGCCCGTGCCTTCTTTGACCTCCTGAACGGTCCCTCCGCCAACTTCGACGCTGTCCTCGGTCACGAGGGCTTCCTCGTCGGTGCTGAGGGTGGCTACGACGTCCAGAAGGCTGCCATCACCAAGTACTCGGCTGCCGTTGGCTACAGCGTTCCCCAGTACACTGCTGCCATCACTGCCGGCAACAACCTGACCGTCTTCTCGGCCAGCTACTACCACCGCGTCAACGCTCAGGTTGAGGCCGGTGCCAAGGCCACCTGGGACTCCAAGGCCGGCAACTCCGTTGGCCTTGAGGTCGCCAGCAAGTACCGCCTGGACCCCTCTTCCTTCGCCAAGGTATGTTGATGAAATCTTCGGGGCTGCAGAGCGCTCAAACTGATGCATTTTCCCTTTCTACAGGCCAAGATCAACGACCGTGGTATTGCCGCTCTGGCCTACAACGTCCTCCTCCGCCCTGGTGTGACTCTCGGCCTTGGTGCTTCCTTCGATACCCAGAACCTCAACCAGGCTGCCCACAAGGTTGGCGCCAGCTTCACCTTTGAGGCTTAAGATTCTCGTACGCAACGCTGCCCACCAGTCGATGTCCCGTAGTTGGTGTCAGACAGGGGTTCCCGGATGATAGAGTTGATTCTGGAACATCTCCTGACTTGGTCTTTGTATACTTGCTCTGAACGAGGATGCACATACGGATGCGCGGACGTCGACGTGGACAGGGATACTTAATAATTCATGTATCGTACCTGCGAATGGTTACTGTATATCAATCAATACATTTCCTTTGTTGTGAAGGTCTATCCTATGGTATATACAGAGTAGTACATGGATCTGCGGAATATAATGGCTACTCCTCCTTCCGCACCGATTTCGGCTTGGTTGGTTTACTGTTTTGTTCGCCCGGCCAGCGGTAGAACCCAGTCAGGGCGACGGCGCCCGCCAACATGCCGCAGACGACGATAAAGCGCAAGGCAAAGTCCCCTCGCGTGCCGATATACTGGTCATTCAGGGCCGATCCCATGGCGCGGGAGCGCCGTTCCTCGCGGCGCGCATCCTCAGCCGACTGTGTGCGGTAATGACCGCGCGCATTGAAATGATGGATAGGATTGCGGTCAATAAACGAGGTCGGGTCGTCCTCTGCACGATTTCCGGCGCTCCTCCCCGCCGCACCACCAGCGGCATGCGCGCCCGCCCCCGGCGGCGGCTTCCGCGCCCCAAACCCGCCATGGGCGTAGAAACTCGGCGGCGGTCCACGGAACGGCCCCCGGCGTTTACTCAGGCCGCTGGCGGGGCGGGAACCGGCGTACGAGGCGCCCTTGTGGTGGACGCCAGCGCTGTAGCTGCTGTGGCTGCCCATGGGGTGCTGGCCCGGGGTGGCGGTGCTGTGGGTGGACGAGGCGGACATGTGGTGGGCGAGGATGCCATGGTCGCGGTCGTAGGTGGCGCGTTTCGTGTGGTTGCCGAGGACATTGTAGGCGGAGGAGATGCGGGCAAAGCGTTGCGAGGCGCTGGGGTCGTCGCGGTTGCGGTCTGGGTGGTGGCGGAGGGAGAGGGCGTAGAATTTCCTATCGATCGTTTCAGTTAGAGGGTGTGTCCTGCATGGGGGGATGAGGGGGGAGAAGGACTTTTTGATCTCGGCCTGCGAGGCGGTTATGGGCACTTCGAGGATCTCGTAGTAGTTCGGTTCGCGGGTTGAACGGTGGCGCGTGGAGGTGAAGGTGCGGTGCGCATGGAGAGGATTGAGGAGTTGTGGTTTTGAGGTGAAGGGCGGAGGTGGTCTCCTCATGCGGGGAAATGGCATGCCTTGTGGAAGGGGGGTCGCATTGACAGCTGGAGTGTTGGTATGAGGTAGAAGTAGAAAGAGAAGTGGTGAGTGAGGATGAACGAAGTATGGAGAGATTGTATCGGAGGTGCGTCATCGGTCGGTGGGAGACACCTGACTAGCGTTGATCGGAGTTCCGCTCAGGATGTGCTTTCAGTATTGAATACCTCTCCATTCGATGACTGTTTTATGTCTACATTTAGTGACCAGGTGAATTCTTGTAAATCTTGTATACTAACCTCGTCTGATACCTTTGTCCACCAACGTCTTGGCACAGCCGCAAGATTACCTACTCCGTACTTGATCCCCTCATTTTTTTACCCGCCACAACTTCCGCCTCTTCTCTCCACCACCACCGCACCACTCTTGTCCTCACCATGGCTGCTCAGGCTAGCGAGGATCTCAAGAAGCTCGACCGTATGCTCCATTCCACCTCCACTACTCACTACTGCCCGATCTCCCGCTGATTAGATAACAGTGAACGGCCAGGCCGGCGACTCAAAGGCCGCCGCCGCCACCGCGGGTCAAGCTGAAGCCGGAGAGGCGGAGGATGATTCAGACGACGACGAGGTCGACGGAAACGCTGCCCCCGAGGGAGCCGCCAGCGGAGGTGGGTAGCCCTTCGTCCACAAGAGCGGAAAACGGACTAACCCTTACCCAGCGGCCAAGAAGAAGAAGAAGCGCAAGCCGAAGAAGAAGAAGAAGGGTGGCGCCAAGGTGCAGAGCTCGCCGCCGCGCGTGCCCATCTCGCAGCTTTTCCCCAACAACCAGTACCCGGAGGGCGAGATCGTCGAGTACAAGAACGAGAACTCGTACCGCACCACCAACGAGGAGAAGCGCTACCTCGACCGCATGAACAATGACTTCCTGCAGGAGTACCGCCAGGGTGCCGAGGTGCATCGCCAGGTGCGCCAGTATGCGCAGAAGAACATCAAGCCTGGCCAGACCCTCACCGAGATCGCCGAGGGCATCGAGGACGCCGTCCGCGCGCTGACCGGCCACCAGGGTCTGGAGGAGGGCGACAACCTCAAGGGCGGCATGGGCTTCCCCTGTGGTCTGAGTATCAACCACTGCGCCGCCCATTACACCCCCAACGCCGGCAACAAGATGGTTCTGCAGCAGGGCGACGTGATGAAGGTCGACTTTGGTGCACACCTCAACGGCCGGATTGTCGACAGTGCCTTTACTATGGCTTTTGACCCGGTGTATGATCCGCTTTTGGAGGCTGTCAAGGATGCCACCAACACCGGTATTCGCGAAGCCGGAATCGATGTCCGCATGAGCGATATCGGTGCTGCCATCCAGGAGACCATGGAGAGCTACGAAGTCGAAATCAACGGGCAGATGCACCCCGTCAAGTGCATTCGAAACCTCAACGGTCACAACATCGACCAGCATGTTATTCATGGCGGCAAGAGTGTCCCCATCGTGAAGGGTGGGGACCAGACGAAGATGGAGGAGGGCGAAGTGTTCGCCATTGAGACTTTCGGTAGTACCGGAAAGGGTTATGTGCGAGAGGATGTACGTCTACCATGTGGACTTTCTTGATCTAGATGAGCATACTGACAACGACAGATGGAAACCTCCCACTATGCGTTAGTACCGAACGCTACCCCGGTGCCGCTGCGACTGTCGTCGGCGAAGAACTTGTTGAATGTGATCAACAAGAACTTTGGAACTCTTCCGTTTTGTCGTCGGTATCTTGACCGGTTGGGCCAGGACAAGTATCTCCTTGGAGTAAGTGGAGTGGGATCGAGTTGAGCCAGGCTTCGTACTAACGCTCTCCAGTTGAACAACCTGGTGTCGTCTGGCATTGTCCAGGACTACCCGCCTCTCTGCGATATCAAGGGCTCCTATACCGCCCAGTTTGAACATGTAAGAATGATTGATCGACCGCTTGCGTTTGCGTTCTATATACTGACTGTGACAGACGATCGTCCTCCGTCCTACCGTGAAGGAAGTGATCAGTCGTGGCGACGATTACTGATGAGAGAAACACTGGCATTTCATATAACAAGCCATACCATCTAGAAATAAAGCACTTTCTTAGCAATGACATGACATTTCATACTTCGATACTTGTAGGACATTGGCGTAGTGAACGGACCATGTGAGCCACCGGGTCGCCCCACGTGGAAAACATCCACTCCGGCTCACGTTGTTAACCATCCCATTTCCCTCTCTCTCTCCGTCTCTTTTCCACTTCCTCCTTTTCTTCTCTCTCCTCAATCCATGGCGTAGGATCCCAATCCTTCTCCCTTCATCCCATCCCCTCTACGTCCCCGTCATGTCCTCCGCCGTCGAAACAACCGGTCTCCCGCACCTCCGCGTGTCCGCCGCAAAGTCCCAGGAACAAACCCCGTCGACCAGGATTCCTCCTGCGGAAGTCTCGGCCGTGGAAGACCAGTTTTTCTGGACATACACCGAGGAGCCGCATCGGTCAAGACGACAGGCAATCATCAAGGCCCATCCGGAGGTAACCGCCATCTTTTCTCGACACCCGGTCCCGCATGTTGACACATCCCCCGAATCCAGGTCACCAAGCTTTGCGGCCCTGAACCCTTGACCAAGTATGTGGTACTCGGTGTCGTCTCCCTGCAGATATGCTGCGCATACCTCCTGCGAAACACCTCCATGCTGGACTGGCGCTTCATCGCCACGGCCTACGTGATCGGAGCCACCGCCAACCAGAATATCTTCCTGGCCATCCACGAGATCTCCCATAACCTCGCCTTTCGCTCTCCCTTGGCCAACCGTCTCCTGGCCATCTTCGCCAATCTCCCCATCGGGTTGCCCTATAGTGCCGCCTTCCGGGTACGCCTCAAACCCCTTCCCCATATTCAGAACTGAAAGACTAACAGAGACTGCCAGCCCTACCACCTCACGCACCACAAATCCCTCGGCGTCGCCGGCCTCGACACCGACCTCCCCACCGCCGTCGAAGCCTTCCTCCTCGACTCCCTCCTCGGCAAGGCCTTCTTCTGCACCTTCCAGATCCTCTTCTACGCCCTGCGCCCCATGTTCGTCTACAGCCCGCCCTTCACCCCCATCCACGCCCTCAACCTCCTCGTCCAATTCTCCTTCGACTACGCCCTTACGCGCCTGAGCGGCGACTCCCTCCAGCCGCTCCTCTACCTCCTCCTGAGCTCCTTCCTCGCCGGCTCCCTGCACCCCTGCGCCGGCCACTTCATCGCAGAACACTACTTCTTCTCGCGCGTCGACCACGGCACCGAGCCCATCGCCGAACAAAACAACCCCAAGAAGACGGAGAAGAAGACAGACCACCCGCTGGACGCCCTCCCGCCCCCGGAGACATACTCGTACTACGGCCCGCTCAATTTCTTCACCTACAACGTCGGCCTGCACAACGAGCACCACGATTTCCCCGCCGTCCCATGGACGCGTCTGCACGAGCTGCACCGCATCGCGGCTGAGTTCTACGAGCCCCTGCCGTGCCATCGCAGCTGGGTCTGGGTTATCTGGACGTTCATTCTGGACAAGAATGTCGGGCTGTGGTGTCGGGTGAAGCGTGCGCAGGGCGGCCGCATCGTCGGCGGGGGCGGAGCTGATAAGAATCGGAATGGACGCGCGGGCGAGGGCATCTCGGCGGAGTCGGCTGGTCCGGAGGAGTCGGGTGAGGGGTGGAAGGAGAGTGAGATTCAGTGTTGATCTACGCTGGTGTTAGGTCTGTTTATTATGTACGCCCTGTCTAGACATGATATCCCGCTCTTCATTTTGTTTCGGGTTGGCTTTGTTTGCGTATGATCATGTTTATGCCTGGTGTATATATGTGTGCATATCAATTGAGTCGGTTTGTACCTAGGTATGGAACGGGAGACCCCATGTAGGATACAAGGCCTAATTAACTGTGTACAGTGAACACATCTAACAACTGTCGGGGCAAGGCCAGATAACTTCGCCACATATACATCTTTACACTCATCGTACTGTTGGTGCTAGTGCGAAACCACTGCGTCCATTGAGCCATTTCATAACTGGAAAGGAAGAGAAAATGAAGAAGAAAAGGTGACAAAACTGAAGTGGTGGAGGGGAAGTAGAAGGTAAGTCAAGACGGGAGTAAGGCATTAGATGCTGATGCTAACGAAACAAATCGGACAAGAAGCATTCCCGAAGAAGATACAGGCAATAAGGTGAACAAAAATAATAGTGACAAGGGTAACAAAGTTAATAAAAGAAAAGGGAAATGGGGAGGGAAAAAAAATGAAATGTAAGGTAAACCCTCCGTTTAGAAAAGGAAGTACGCAATCAGGAAACTTAGCAGACACAAGCCAGCGACAATCTGCACCGGAACACCGGCCTCGGCAGACTGAGTCTGCTGCTGCTGCACGACAGCACCGCCCGATTTCTCGGTCTCGCCACCAATCTTGCGCTGTCTCAGGCCCTGGTCTGCGAGCCGGTCCTTGAGATTTTGGATCTGGGTCTTGGCTTCGGAGAGCTGCGACTTCAGCTCGTCCACGGAAGAGCTGGCAGATGTGGTGGGGACGTCGGCGGTCTGTCGGGTAGAAGATTCCCGCTTGGGCTTCTCTTGGAAATCAGGCGGTGGGATTGGTGACGTGTCGTTGGCTTTGCTGGAGGCACCGACGGCAGGCGTCTGGTAGTTAGCGTTGGGGGAGGTGTACGCCGGAGGCTCGTCGTCGGCAATGTTCTGTGAATCGCAATAGGATCGCAGGTCAGTTGCTGGTGCTGGTGTGTTGCCATGGGGCCTATGGGGAACGTACCGCGCCATTCGTCTCAGCCCCTTGCTCCGCAACCGGGGAGTCTCCGGCGGGCAACCAGTTCACACGAATCTTGCGCTCCTGGATGGCGGACTTTGATGATTTTTCGAACTAGGGGTTGTTAGTGATGAGGGATATGGAGCGATCGTTTTCGCGAGGGCGTACAATTGAAGTGACGTTTGCGAACTCCATGTCGCGGGTGACGGCAACGGTCTGGACCAGGAACTTGTCCTTGCACTTGGCGTCAGGGGCGGGCTCTTCCTTCATAGCTTGCAGTAGAACTTCATAGACGATCAGTTAGTTATAGCGATAAAAGGATAATGCAATAGGCAGGTAGAACTCACCTTGGACATCGACCGTCTTTCCGGGCTCTATCCGTCCGGAGTTCGGTCGGACACAGTAGCTGATGAGAGTTAGCACCTGTCCATGTTGGAGATCAGGGCGGGAGTAGCGCATACTGTTTGGGAGCTGTCGTTTTGACCTAGTAGAGAAGGACTGTTAGTATGCGAATACTGGTTCGAAGGGAGATGTCGATGTCGCACATACCTTGAAGACGACGGGTTCGGAGTTCTCATTATTGAGGTGGAGGATCTGGCAGACTTCACGGTTGAAGGGCCCTGATAGCAGTCAGTAATGTTAGATGCAGCTGTGTAAATGCAGACATCATCGGAAAAGCTCACTCTTGAAGGACAACTCGGGAGGGTCGAGGACGATAGACATGGTGGGCGCAGGACGAGGGAGAAGGTATGGGCCGCGCGGTCACGAAAAGGGACGAGATGCGAAAGACGAGGAGTTTAGAAGAAAGAGACGGGATGAGAGTCAATATAGAGGGACTAGCGCTGAGGAGGAGGTTCAAGCGGACAGGCGACAAGGCGGCGGGCGGAAAGGAGGGAGTGAAGATGATAATAATATCCAACTACCTGGAGTGGTGATGATCGAGCCGCTGATTACTTATTGCTTAGTTTGGCTTTCCGGGGGGCTGCTGACTCATCATGGCATCACGCGGTTGCCTGGCCCTTTTTGGATCACTGCAAACGATCAGAGAAAACGTGTGGTCGGTTGAGAATAGAATGCGGAATTCTTGACGCACAGCTTCCATTCCGCAACTGTCAACCATGCTGTCTACCGATCTGGGCTGGTCATTGACGCTCTCGGATTCCGCCGGGTCGACATCCTCGGGTCCTTCAGCATCTCCAGCGATCCGGTGCGAGCTAATCGTCCATACATGTGATGGTGCCATCTTGATGGAGTATTGATTGATTGATATGGAAGGCTGTTGGACCTCATGTCCACAGTTTTTCTTCAGTCCGCTCTCTGAGTCCTCTTCAATTTCAGTCTTCTATTGTAGTCCTTCCTATGGTCGTCGATGATGTTGTAGTTATACAACACTGCCTATTGATCGCCGAACGGCGCTTGGATTTCCGCGCAAGACAGTGGGGGACTAAATCAATGATGATCTTCGACAGAGCCCTATTATTTCTAATAACAAATTCATTTACCCACAGAGTAACTGTCCTCAATCCCCAAGAGTAAGAGTTCTAAACAGTTGTTACCTGGTCTGGAGTAGAAACATCAACGTGGTGACTCGAGTCAACCAATCAGAGCTCAATATTGACAGCACAGAGTCGAATCCCGCCGCAGTCGGTTTCTTTTTGTCTTTGTCCACTCCCTCCCAAGGCGATACGTCACCTGCGGGCTAGCTCCATCTCTCGACCTTCACCCCGACTTGGTTGCTGTGACCTTAGCCATCACACACCCTGGACACCATCCACGAATCATCTGGATATTCCCTTTGCATTTACCAACTGCGATTCTCTCCCAGTGCCGGTCCAGCGTCGCTATCCTCACAACAACTACCCCGCCTTTCTCTTTGCGATATCCCCAACTTCCTCACCATACTCCGCACACCCCACACGCTTCACAATGGCCACCTCCGACTTGGATCAACTAATTGAGATGGGATTTGACAAGGAAAGAGCTGAGATTGCGGTGAAAAAGAGCGGCGGTCGTAAGCAACCCCTCAACGTTCTACCAGACCAGCTACTGACAGAGTTCCCTTTACAGTCCAAGGTGCCCTGGAATGGCTCGAACAGTACCAAGACAAGTCTCTCGACGAAATTAAAGCAGAAGCCGCATCGAAGGAGGATGATGATGAACCCCCAGCCCTACAACCCGGCGAGGAAGCCAGAAGCTTGGTCTGCAATGAATGCGGAAAGAAGTTCCGCAGCCAGGCGCAGGCAGAGTTCCACGCCTCCAAGTCGCAACACACTGACTTTTCGGAGTCCACCGAAGAAATCGCTCCCCTGACTGAGGAAGAGAAGAATCAGAAGCTGGAGGAGCTTCGGCAGAAACTCGCCGCAAAACGGGCCGTCCAGTCAGAGCAGGATAAGGTTGACAAGAAGAGAAACGAGGTATGCCTTCCCCTTAGGTACCTTCCGTGCAGATACCTTCGGGGCCGTTTACTGACTGGGCATGTAGGAAATCCGGCGGAAGAACACCAAGGAGTCCCAAGACATCAAGGAGGAGCTCGAGCGCAAGCAGAGAATGAAGGAAGCGGCCAAGAAGAAAGCAGAGAAACAGGCTGACATCGAAGCAAAGAGGCGTGTGAAGGCTAAGATCGAAGCGGACAAGGAAGAGCGACGGCTAAAGGCCGAGAAAGAGAAAGCGGAACGAGCTGGCAAAGCACTTCCCGCTCAACCAGCTTCCACTGGTCCCACCACTTCCGGCCCCGTTTCGTCCAAACCGGCCTCTGCCTATACCGAAACTCGTATGAGGTTCCAGACACCCAAGGGAAACGTCATGAAGACGTTCCCAGTCACTACAACCTTGTTCGAAGTCGCTGCTGCGCTCCAGGAAGAGGGAGTCGAAGTGCAGAGCTTCTTGCAGACGTTCCCAAGAAAAGTGTTTGACGCAGAGTTCTTTGGAGAGTCACTGAAAGATTTAGGACTTATCCCTAGCGCAAGCCTTGTGGTTCAGTAGAACTTCATGATCGGAGCAAGATTGTTGGTTTGGACGTGGCACATTTCCAAGAATAACAACGAAGGTCACTTTTATCGTCATAAGACTGATACCAATTCGGAATCCTACGTATGATTCAGATTGACTGCAATCTGTCAAAGAATTGAGAGAGACTTGACACAAATCCAGCGTATCCAGATATCACTAGAATGGAAGTATTCGGAAATATTCTCGATCGATAGTTTTCATATTTGGAGAGTGTATACGTCACGTGATATCGCGATAAGGGCGTGTCCGCCGCCAACGCGTCTCCAGCTGCCTGAACCTCCTGCTCGACTGCCTATATTCCCCACAACCGGTCGACTATCCACTCTTCCGATGACCCCCATATAGCTCACTTATAATTAGAATTGATTATGCCCGCGTGAGTGAACGATACACCACAATCCCACCCTATCCGCCTACGCGTCTCGAGCTAATCGCGTCATGCCCAGTGTTGGTGACCAGCATCGCGGCGGTGCGGCATGTATCACGATGCCCAATACCAACGGGACCATGGCCGAAAATCCATTTGAAGAGCCCCAGCGCCGCATGAGCGAATATACAGCCCAACAGATCGCCACCCTCCAAGCACGCCTCGACAAGAAGCTTGGCCCGGAGTACATCTCGTCGAGACCCGGCGCTGCTGGTCAGAGAGTCCACTACCTTGCTGCTGACAAGTGTATCAACCTTGCCAATGAAGTTTTTGGGTTCAACGGGTGGTCGAGCTCGATCGTGAACATCCAGATTGATTTTGTACGTCTTGTCCTCTTGCGTGTTGGTGGGTGGATGAGAGATGATGACGCGCATCTAACATTGTTTGTGCTTCTAGGTCGACGAAAACCCGAACACTGGAAAGATTAGCTTGGGACTATCCGTGATCGTTAGGGTTACTCTGAAGGATGGCACATACCACGAAGTATGTTCGGACTACAACAGGGTCCTTCGCCTCGCTTGACGCGCGCTCACACGTCGACAGGACATTGGATACGGCCACATCGAAAACTGTAAAGGCAAAGCTGCAGCCTTTGAGAAGGCCAAGAAAGAAGGCACCACAGATGCGCTCAAGCGTTCTTTGCGAAACTTCGGCAATGTGCTGGGTAACTGCATCTACGACAAGGAATACGTTTCGAAAGTCACAAAAGTCAAGGCTGTGCCGGTATGTGGCTCTACGACGCATCCTCTGTGCGTCTCAGCTGACTGTCATGCCAGGCAAAATGGGACATCAATGAGCTCCACCGGCATCCCGACTTCGCCCCCAAGAAAGAACCCGCTGCGCCTAAACGCGTCCAGGAAGATGACGATCTTCCTCCGCAGCCGGCTGTCACCGCCGGGAAACGCAATCCTAGCGATTCGAGCAACTTCGATGGGGACGGGGAATTCGGAAGTATGATATACCCTGTCTGTTCCAGAGCCACAATCACTGACAACGACCAGGCGATCTCTTCGATGAAGCGGACTTTGGAGTCGCAGAGGACGTAAACCCCGACGAAATTGTCATAGGACCGGACTCTCAAAAACTACAGCAACCGCCCACCCCGTTCAACAACCAAAACACCCACAGAGGCCCCAACAACAACAACCCCCGATTCCCCGCCGGACCTAACGCATCCATCGTAACTCCATCCAAGCCTGAACGATTTCCAAACCCACCACCAGCCGCTAGACAAATCCCTCCGCCCCCACTGAACAATAGACCCAACGCCGCGGCGCCGAACTTCCAGAACGGCCGACCAATGCCTCCCGGCCCAGCAAGGCCCAACCAAGACGCCCCCGCAGCCGGAACCGGGACCGGGACAGCCCAGGTCCCCGTGAAACGCGAACCAGGCCCTCCGCCCACCGACACCCGAGCGACACAGGACATGCTCCCGCCAGGCAGCACGCCGTCGGCCTCATTCTTCTCCGCGCGAGCAGTCGACCTCCTGCGCGACAACCCGCAGGCCGGCGCCGCGCCCCCGTTCGACCCGCACGCGGAGAGCCCGTCGATCCGCAAAACCGCCGGCGTGGACCATACCAAGAGTGTGCCCATCTCCAAACCCATGCTGGCTGGTGTGTCGCCCGCCTCGAACAACACCCGCGACTTTGTCAACCCGTCGAGCGATGTGCATCGCAAGATCGGCGTCCCCGGGGGCGGCGGCATGAACAGCCCACTAAACAGGAATCAGAGTACCTCGTCATACCGGCCGTTGACGCGGCCAAACGTTGATCCCAGGAATCCTGCGTCTGCGATGACCGCGAACCGACCGCCGCAGAACATCAACGGCAAGCGGCCTCCTCTAAACGATGTGACGAATGCTTCGAACCCGGGTGGCAGCGGGCCTGCGGCTCCGGGGGCTGGTGTTGATCCGAAGAGACCGAGAATCAACGAAGGTGTTGCAGCACCCCAGCAGCAGCAACCGCAACAGTAGCGGGAGAGGATTTGGGATTTAAATTGCAGGTCGGGGGAACGGCGTTCGGCGAATGGAACAAACAGAGCATTCGTAATCTTCATTGACGTGCCTCATTTATCAATACATAACAGTTCTTGCATCGGTTAGTTACATCAAGTCTCACAGTTCTAGCTGGCATAAATGGAACCCTCGAGCCCAGTAGCTTTCTTTCCTCCCCTTCCCGGTAGAAGGTGATCGCCAATGAGCGATAGGGTCCGTCTTCCCTCTGGAGGGGGATATTTGACTGACTCAGACGTAGCGGTGTTGGGCTTAGATGCCGCTGGCCTGGGGGGCTCCCACGCTGGCGCATCGGGCTTGAGACGGGGTGCCTTCAGGGCGATGGGGTTGGAAGCATCTCGCTGGGGGGCGGCATGAATGGAGATATTAGATTTGGGATCTCGGGGCATTTGGGTACCTGACTTGACGGGTTGAGGTTTGGCGATTTCAGAGCCAGAGACAGTGGGTTTCGAAGACTTTGGCATGGAGATGCTCCCTGAAGGTACTGAGCTGGGAGCCCTAACCTTGGGAAGCCCACCAGTTGAGACCACTGGCTGCTGAGTGACAGGCTTCTGGCTCTTGGGCTTGGTGGCCTCCGGCTTCGGTTCAAGACGCTTCAGCTCTTCGATCGTGTAGACTTGTCGTGGAGTACGTTTTGGGGGCTTGTTATCGGGCACTTGGAAGTCTAAGCCTCTCAAGTCTTCGTTGTAGGTCTTGGACGGCGATAGTTCGAGGGGAGCGTCAAAGTCCAGCAGAATTCCTGTCTTGATATCGGTGATTGGTTTGGCGGTTGAGGATGCCGTGGATACAGGTACAGTCTGCGCGGGAGCAGCTTGAGAATCAGCTGGAGGAGCAACTGGAGGAGCAACTGGAGGAGCAACTGGAGGAGGAGCTGGGAGAGCAGTAGGAGGAGCAAAGGCTGTAGCTGGGGCCACTACTGCTTTGAGTGTGGGAACCGATCTATCATCATTAGACACTGGTGTTGTCTGCGAACAAGAGTCTAGATTGGTGTAAAGCTGGCGTGCATGCTTCAAAAATTCTTCTGGGGAGCTTATACATTGCGAGAAATCTCCCCTGCAGCAGGGGGATGTGTCAGATGGGCAAGCAGAGAAACTAAAAGACGCACTTACAATGATCTCCTGGTACGGGTAGCCGAAGAGACAGCTCGTCCGCCCTTGTGAGGACATCTCTTGCTGCTGTTATCCCTGCGACCTTCGGTAGCGCCGGGGTTCGCAAGACGTGTAGGGGCGGGAGGACGAGCTCGATGTTGCCCGTCATCAGGAGGCTCTCCGCTCTTCCTTTTGGTTCCCACGTTGAAGACAGATGCATATATGGGTGTCTTCTTCTTCTTGCCTCCTGGTTTGTTCCTTTCGAGGTTATGGCTACCAAGATCGCGGATGGCGGCAGTGAGGTTGGCACGGTGACTCTGTCCGCTGTTGAGACTATCAAGATGTTCCATGTCCTGGGTGTCTCCGATGGTCTGATGTACGTCTGTCTCGCGTGTTAGTCTTCCCTCGTGGCGAGGGCGGGAATGGAGGCTTACTGTTCCAGCGATCGAGTTTGGACACATTCTCTGCAGCGAGACGTTGGGCCGCTGATCCCTGTTGATGAGTCCATCTCTTCGCCTCGATGTCCTGTATGTGCGTTGTGGCACGGGGGCCTCTGGACTCCACGGTTGAGATGTGTTCGCGTCTACGGCTTCCAAGGTCAGCCAATTGCATTCTTGTCAGACGCTCCATCACCTCTGGGTCCATTTTGGACGCAGGGACGGTTGGAGACGATGGAGGAGAAGGCATCATGGTGAGTGGATGAAATAGGAAGCGGTAAGAGTGGGAATTGAAGTAGATGAAGGGAGGGAAGAGAAAGACAGAGAGAGAGGAGAGAGGGAAAGAAAACAAGTGAGAGAGAGAAATAAACAGAAAGTCACGCGCCGAGAGTAGCAGGTTGCTGGTTTGGTCTTTTTGCAACAAACGCTCGTCTCGGCGGAACAGGAAAGAATTCGTGCTCTCAAATTAGTTGGTTGGTCCATATTGATATAGAGTACATTGGTGTATAGAGTACAGCATAACGGAAACCCCTGTGAAGACAAGTTCCTGAGGATAAACATATGTACATCTAATAACTACAAGTTCGACAAGTCTAGTCTATCAGATAGAAAGGAATGAATAGAACATAAGAAGGGGAGCCTTTCACTCCCTAGGCACTGCAGGTAGCCGGATCACCACCACCTACAGAGAGTTAGCATATGCTATATTGCGTGAGTAGATAGATCAGTCAAATAGACATACCGTTGATCATCTTGACAATGGCCTGCACAAGACTGACCACCATGACAATGATTCCAAAGGCAATGCACGAGTATGCAGGAATCTTGGCTTTCCGGGACGAGTTGCTTAGTTTGATATAGCAAAGCGGAGGGAAAATATACGCCAATGCAGCAGCACTGGTGGCTCCTATAAGTTCAAAGACCGCTCCGAGGTCGCAGGTAACCAAGGCCATGGCCATCGCGGTTATAACAAGCGCTGATGTGAAGATGAGATGTCGGCTCATGTTGAAAGGTTCGTCCGGGAAGTAATACGTGGTCATGACTTCCCGACATACGAACGCCTCCAGCGGTAAGGTGGTGAGCATGTTCAGCCCGAAACAACTACCACAGTCAGTCTGACGTTCCCACTTGGTACTTTCCCATGGCAAACTTACAATCGTGCAATATTGACAAGCACATTATCAGACGGGAAGTTGTTGAGCACGTTACCTTGAGTCTGAGACCCAAAGAACAGAAACCCGGAGATGGCCATCGTCAAGCACATTAAAAGTGAGACGCCGGTGGAATAATGCGTCACCGTCGCAAACCGATCCAGGGTTGGTTTCTTAAGAGAGCCATAGATGAGTAGGCTATTGTGATCTTCAACATAGTTAGTATTTCGAGACAGGCAGATGCAATAACTTAATACGTACGACAAACAAATGCTATGCTTCTATATCAGCACTCGATTCAAACTTGCATTCCGTGAAAAGGCGGATACATACCAAAAGATATCACCCCGACCGCCTGGAAGAAGCCAGAGTTGACCAACAAAAGGCTCTTCACTTCCCCTCGGGATTCAGGTGGCACACGGAATCCTTGTGTAATTACGGCGACCACAATCACCAGCATACTGATGAGAGCCAAGGTGGAGGCTTTGGCCAACTACTCCACTGTTAGTCGGGAGGGAAGGCAAACCGCACAGGAGATCGAGTCGAACCTTGGCGATGTCCCGGTAGAGGGACAATGGATACGAGATGGTCAGCACCAGGAGGACAATTATGGCCCGTCTGTCGGTCAGGAGCCAGAGGAACGACATGTCACGAAGGGACGGGAAGAGAGAGCTTAGGACATGTGGTATAGTATCGCCGACGATTATACAGAACGCTATCATGCCACCGAACGCAAAGGCCCACTGCGCAAGGGAGATAGCGATGAGACCCTTTCTCCCAAAGCAATGCTGCATCGTTGCTTGGAAGGAGTCCGCGCCGCTCAATTTCGAGTTCACAACTATTAAACGGATAGTCCAGTCCACGGCAACGGTAAGTCCCACGAGGAGGACGATGCCCATCATCATGCCGGCCTGCCGAAGCGCATACGGCTGTCCAATTATACCTGCGCCGATAATGCTATTGGCCATGTTCATAAATGCCATGCGCATTCCGCTCCTGGGCCGGGCATTCTCTAGATGGTCCTCGGGGAAGAAGTCGTCGGACGTCGCAAGGGTCACACTGGGCGCTTCTATGTCTGTCAGGAGCGGAATTGACTGCCCACCACTCCTTTCGGAGCGATTTCTTCCCATCTCCGCATAGTCTTCCTCCTCCAACCAGGATGAGTCCTCGGATAGCCGGACAGGGTCACCCGAACGGCGACCGTCTTCCGAATCCTCCTCAATGTCAAATCGGACACGGTTGGTCGTACGAGGGCGACGTTGCCCATCGGGAAGGGGTTGCACTAGAGCGGATTGGTGGTGCGCTCCATTGGTAGTCGCCATGGGGGAGGTCGGGGGTGGAGCTGGACTAGCGGGATGATGTTGTTGATGCTGGTTTACGGCGTGCTCTTGGGGATATTCAGTGCCGGGAGAGTCTGAAAGTAACGACTGTGACTCTGGCTCACCATGGCCATTCTGGCCAGCCAGGAGAGAATGGTGTTCCTCATCCCTGGGCATTGCTGAGAGTGTGATTGCGCCGGAGCGATCATGCTGATGATGCGGTGTCAGGTAACCACGACGGGCTGGCACGTGACGGCGCTTATCGATAAACGGGGGTCAATCAACATCAACAATCAGCCTTCTCGATTCGATCAGACCTAAGAATTTGGAGCAGGTATAACGCCGAGGAGATATGCGACTATTTCCTCTTGTTGTTGGTGTATGGGACAGGCCTAATATTGCCGAACCAGTCGCCACGGCGTATAGTAGATGACATTAACATGACGATTCAATAAGTAGCGGGGATTGATGGACTCCGAGTCTCCGACAATATGTCAAGTGGGTAGTTAGTTAGCGAGTGAGTGTTATGACAACGACATGTTCGTATTCGTTTATACCTACTTCGTATGTAGGCTTTATTGAGTCTGTTATAGATCTATTTCAGGACTTCGGGCATGGTCCATGGGATATATATAGATACAGGCATATATATAGATCTGAAATTTCTCAACCTGTATTGGTCGCGAATCTGCTTGGGGCGTTGTATGCGGACCCTGTTTTAAGTGTAACAGACCCTCGAGACTAGGCAGGCTACTAGGTAGTTACATAGTGACCCACTGAGACACCATCGGTCATCATCCGCTAGGAATTGAAGATCAACGACGTCAAGGGTAATTCGCCCGACACCGAGGTAACAGGGTCCTATGCTGATCGACACCCCGGAGACCCGGCGCCCCTCAGACGGGCCACATGTACATATACGAATGTCTCAGCCAAGCCGGCGTCCACAAGAATAGATTGACCGATTCGACCGGTCTTCAGGCAACTACCAAAACTGGAGCTCTTGGTGGCGTCAAGGGATGATCGTGGTCCCAGTCAGATGAGGGTCGCATGGTATCAGCAGTCCAGAGTATAAATACCACCAGCATCTCACCTTCTGATCCCCCCCAGACCATCACCATCACCAAATCTGTTGACAACCGGTTCACCGCAACAATGAAGATCTCTCTTGCTCTTTCCACCGCTCTGCTTGCGCTCAGCGCCAACGCATTTGACAAGAACCAACGTATGTTGCTGCATTCCTCAAATCCAGAGACACACACTGACAAAAGTGGAAGCCTGGGGCAAGCGTGACTACCCCTGCGTCAACGTCTTCCAGGGAATCCCTGAGAACTCGACCGTCTCCCCGGGATCCAAGATCACGCTGCAGTTCAACCGGGCCAGCACCACTCTCTGCGACGATAGCTTGGCCCAGTACCCTGGAAGCCCCTATTCCATCTGGTTGTACAACAACCCGGTCCGGAACCTCGACATGATCCATTTCGATAAGGAGATCAAGATCGCCGATGGTATTCCCGAGAAGGATGGCACTGTGACTTTCACGATCCCGAGGAACGTGTCCGCTGTCAAGGATGACTCTGTCTGGTATCTGCGCCTCAGTACCTCTCTGGCCACTGCGCCTCAGGTGAGCTGATCCCGAGTCTTTGGTTGCACCACACGAACTGACACTAGTAGATGCCGACCATTTTCAACGCTGCTGGACCTTTTGCCATTCGGTAAATGTGCGTGTGGTAGATGAAGGTGCGAGTTTATAATTTTACAGGAATATTTTGGAATAGGTTTACATCAGCTCGTTCCTTACAAAAGTGCTGGTTTGCTGTACATTATTTGCCCAATGGTACAATCACCAGTGACATTTATATCGCAATTGTGGTAATCTTCAGGAACAAAATTGGAAGACTTCTGATATCAGTAGAAATAAAATGCATTGTCGTGGTATCTATTCAATGCGTATGTTTGGTGTGCGAGGGACAACAGACAGAATGGGAAAGACCACCAGCGCCATCCCCTTATATATTTTCAGTAGCCCCTCTACGCCACTGAATGCACCTATTCCACCACGACACGGATTTTGCAAGGATGAACAGTTCAGCTACGGTATATACAGTCGACCTCGGAGAAGAAAACCATTTCTCCTCTAGCTCAGATTTACTTCTAACTCTGCGTGCTTCCACCCAAGTGCTTCTCTCACCAGACGACGCAAGCTGTAGAGACGCAACAGGCCTGAAAAAAGCACTTATAGCTCGAGCAATATGGGTCGACCAACCTGCAGAACTGAAACTGGTTCTTCGCATCATTGCGGATCCGAGTTTGAGCCATCCACTTCCACCCTCCGTCTCAGCCATAGAGGAGAGTCTCTGCAGATCCAAGGTACACACCACACGCTCCTGGGGCGATTCTTGCTTATACCGAATTCAGGCATGGATGGAATTAGGTCTCGTCCCTCTTTTCGAAAGCCGCGACGTACACGGCGGCCGTACCGAACCTACCTTGTTCCAGTTACGCCTTGGGCTACGCAGAAGTCTACAATCGCATTTACCGAGGAAACCTCTGAGACTACCTACTGCGATACGGAGAATCGCATCTGAAGCCGGCCCCCCGCCTGGTATCTCTGTCGTGCAATTATCAGCTCTCCATGTGTCGCTTGAATACCGTCGAACAAACCCCTTGTCCTTGCCACACCAGGGTTTCCCAGTTTGCGACAGCCCATATCTTTACACAGAGTTTCGGCATATCGGGCCGAATTCGATAACGCCCACATGTCATACACGAAGCAGAAAAGAGGAAGCAGCCAGTAGGTCTGCATGGGCAACTAGCCTTGCAGGCTGTGAACCGTCATTCCTAGATAGACTATGCTATATGGACGAAGGGAATATCCACCACGCTAGGCTCCTAGACGACTCATCAACTGCATTGCTCCCAACTGAGCCAATCATTCAATGTGGAGAGTTTATCTCACTGTTTAGTTGTGGCTTCAAGACCCTCTTTGCTGGATCATCCGGTGGAGAATCCAGGTCTCTACGATCTTTATCCCATGTAGCCCCTCAGATATTCAGCTTGGGCTACCGCGAGGTCAGTATACCAATGGTCACGATCTAAACTGTGACTGACGACACCAGGCCATGAACAACCGCGCACAGTTTATACCGCCAATCTCCAGATCTATCGCCTCCATTCTCAAGACAACAAACGATGCATCCCTGCGAGATAAAGCCAAATTGCTTGGAGCGCAAGTCTCTACATCTGGAACAGATTCCCCTGCACAGGAATGGGAAGCGCAAAGACTCACGATACAACGCTCCCTCTGGCGCATTGCCCAGAAGCAACTTTACAAACCCGGCTCATCACGGAATTTGTGCCTTGTGGATCCTGCTCCCGGAAGGGGGTCTATCATGCAACCATCGGACGACATTTTGTTCTCCGAAAGCTGCTCTGACGGAACACCCGGTGGTGATGATGACCATGACAGCCTAGAGTACTACTTTGGAGCCGACGATGAGGCACTCAGCTTTTACGGGATGGACGATGAAGGATCTATCATCTGCATGAAGGAGGATATCTCAGAAGACTCAGATGAAATATTATGCCACTCTGAAATCGATGATAATGCTCCAGAGGATCTAGCCCTATTTGTGCTTGAAGACCAGGAAACCTTTGCATCTATGCATGATCTGATGATGTCACGTCTGGGCGCGGAAGATATTCTTCAACCCTTGAGCGATGGGTTTAGTGATGAAAGCGTCGAAGATATGCTCTGTGACGGAATTTAGGTACTATCTCTTGTATAGATGTATATAGCAGACAATTCGTTGCTGAATGGGGCGGAAACCGTGCGTTGCTTCAACAACTCCCCGTTGTCTCAGGAAAGATCTTGTTTGATGATGATCACAGATCCAAGGAATTCTAGACTACCTAGAGGAAATGAGAATGACTGCTAGTAGTAACAATGAAGTATACACCCAGATCGTTCGAACAGCAAGCCTGTATGGTTCCTGACAGAAAACCCCATATTCAGGTAGTGATAGTAAGAAACTCCGCACGCCATGCAGCCCTGGCATCTATAATAATGTCTACCGTCCCATTAAACGCCTCAGAATGCCCCAATACTCCAATAAACTCCGGTACCCGATACTGTGTCATGAATCACCAGTGAGGAATGTGGCCACCACTGTGATACAGGAGAATGTTGCATAAGGACCTAGACGGATGCGTGGAAGTTTTCATAGGCTACCAAGTCCGCATCCTTCGGCTCCAGGTCCTCGTACTTCCCTGACGGTTGCCATGAAGCTGCGTTCACAGCAAGGGCTCGATGAGCAAGTTTGGAAGCGTCAAACGCATCGATATACTCCAGATCCAAGACTCGCGACTTTGGGCACGCGTACTTGAGATACTCGTTGATGACATCGTCGTGCTTCCAGCCTTGGAGCTTCCGGAAACAAGCGATCACACATCCCGTACGATGCTATAGAAGAAAGATTAGTATGAGCGACAGGGGGACTGGATGGAGAGTGCACTTACTTTTCCCTTGTTGCAGTGGACCAAGATGGGGTGGTTGGCCTTGTTGAGAATGATTTCGAGGATCTCGTTCATGGTCTGTTGTGAAGTTTTGATGGCAGGGTCCTTGTTTGGGAGGACCTTTATACAGAAATGATTGATCCCATTGTCTCTGAGGATATTTGTGTAGTTGGGGATCGTGTAGGGTTCTTCCACCAGGGTGCTGGATGCATTGTTAGCGACAACTCGCACAGAATGAAGAGGAATACTTACAGAACCGATCGCAGATTCAACGTTTTTAGCGAGGGAAGATGCCAAACGCTTGGAAAACCACTGCGATATACACCCCTGACAACCTCTCCGAAATTGGGAGGAGGAATGAATTCCGGCCCCACCGGTTGGCTCTTAAGGCGCTCTTTCTCTGCAGACGCGTCAGTATTGGACCACAACACGTGAATGTATACAAAAAAGGTTAAGAAAGCACAGATTGAAACAACTTACCAGCTTGATCTTCGTATACAGGATTGGGGTTGGTTTGGGTGAGGGGAATGGCCATTGAGATATCCGTCATAGGATAGACTGCAGAGGAAAGGCTCGACATCTCGAGAGACGAGCGAAGGCCGATCACTCCACCAAGGACGAGCTGTCGTTCGATTGTCGAGGGTCGGAAGGCGCGGTAGTGTAGTGTAGAGTGAAGGATGGTGGCGAATACGGATCCGATATCCCGTGTACCTTGATATAGAAGAGAGATCGCTTTCTGAGTTCCGGAGAAGGGAGAGGAAAGTCCAGATCACAGAAAGGACGGCTGACAGCGGGATAGCGGACGCTCGAGAGGAGGGATAGACTGGTAAGCCCAGCCCCGAAGGCTCAGGTAGAGGACGAAGGGCGTAGCAGATACATGGTGAAGACTGCCAAGAGCTGCGAGGATGCAGGGGTTTGAAGGGTGGAGGAGGAGCTCTCTGGCAGCTCGCAGGCAGGATCGGATGACGATATAAGAGTGAAGGAGGGCGGTGAGGGTGCGCAACTCTGAGGAGAAGTGCCTACGAGATGTAGGCACCTGTCGTGAATGGAGACAGAGTGAAGTCACTCTGTGGGAGCGGGAAGTCGGAGAATTCCAGGGATCCGACCAGACATAAGGGGAGAAAAAGGACAAAGGTCGGTTTAATGAACCGCCTGGGCGGGAGATTCCCTTAGCACGGTCTCGTATGACAGAGAATCAGCACAGACGTGGATGATCGCGCTAAGGAAGAGTAGTTAATTAGAGAGTACAATAAGAGAGAAAGAAGGGCAGGCAGTCACGCCGTCGGAATTTTTTTTCTGGAGAAGCCCGGAAAGCTCCAGCTTAGGAAAGACAGGAAAGAATGCGATCCATGGTTGTTCCAGGCCCGAACGGACCACACAATAATGATGATGACGCCTCGCCAGATCGCCCCATTCTCGGCCGCGCCCTTGATGATCTCATCCGAGCCTTCTTTTCGATTCCTCTTGTCTTTCTTGTCTTTCGCCGTGACGCCGTTTGTCTGCGGCCAGTCCCACCACGCCGCTGAGCACGACTAGTATGCAGTGGCAAACAAGGAGTCGGATGCGACGGTTAGAGTTATTTGCAACGGTGGCTAGGAACAGGGATCCGGGGTGGTCCCTCTGTACCTCCGAGGACCAATCGTCGTGGTGGCCTGGACCGGAGAGTTCCATAGTATAGTATATTCACTACTATCTACCCCCATAGGTCCCTAGGTATATCTCTAGATGAATGGATGTCTAAATTCACGCTAACAACCTCACATATTCCCTTTTACCATATCTCGCACGTTCTAGCGCTCTATTGCGCGAGTTTCCCCGTTCCCCTGTAGTAGCGTGCGTTTGTATGCAGCGTGAATAGACCACAACGCCAGGATGCGTGAATTATCGCAGATTATCATCAACAAAAGGCACTCTCCATACAATTCACGGCTGTCTGTTTCCTCCGCATAAGGGTATAAATACTCCCATTATCTCCAGACCGGGACTTTTCTTCTTACCCTTCTCTCTACCATCTCTCTACCTTCCCATCCTCACATCATCATCCATCTCGAACCAACCCTCACAACTTCCAGCGACATCCTTCAAGATGAAGCTCCTCAACCTCGTCGCCCTGCTCATGGCCACCTCTGTGATGTCCATGCCTGCCCCGGACCACGACTGTCACCATGAAGTCGCTAACGGTGCGTATCTCATCTGTCTCTGTCCAGACTGAAACCTCAACTAACCACCCCTCATATAGACACCTCTGTCGCCGCTCCTGTTGACAACTTTGAGGAAATCAATCTTGGCCCTGTTCACGTCATGGACGCTGGCCCCTGCAAGAACAACAATGACTGCCAGGGTGGCTGGTGCTACAACGGCATCTGTCTGGCTGACGGTCATTGCCGCTCCTCTGTCGATTGTCCTGGACGTTTCTACTGCCGCCGTGGCGATTGCATCAACCGGTAAGTACTTCAGTCTCCTGTTTTTGGTATATCGATCATAGGCTCATACTGTTCGACAGTCCTTGCACTGGCTGCTAGACACCAGGCATCTATCTTCCAAGGCCAGGTCGTACTTCGTCCGCTCTGGCAGTTGACACCATGAAGTATCGTCCGGCTTAACCCGTCGTTTCGTCGTTTTGCATCATTGAACATCTGTAATACTGCGCCTTCGCATTATCATACAACCTGACTGTGGACTGACTGTGACTGGGACAATCTGGCATTGGATCAGGGAATGGTCGGACCGGGTGTTGGGATGTGCGGATGATTGCGACTACATGTATTTACTGTTCTGAAAGGAACATTTGCATCCATCATCATCATCGTCATCGTAGCAAAGTAAAATCACTGGCCGGTATTTAGGAAGCAAACCATGGATATATTGATAAAGCTATAACGGTAGTCTATAACAAAACGCTGGACATCTAACTGCAATCTATGCAGCTTCCTCCCCAAGTCCAAACATCCGAATCGAGTTATTCCAGGCCCTAAATGTAATCGGTCAGTTATTGATGTCTCAACCCAAACATCAGTCGCAGGACACTTACGCCTCACAAACCTCCTCCACCGTGATCCCCTTCACCTGAGCAATAACGTGAGCAACATGAGCGATGGCTGCAGGCTCATTGCGACCCTTGATCATGCACCCCTTCTGCCACTTCTCCTTCTTCACGGCCTTGGGCAACGGGGGCGCCCCTTCGAGGTATTTCGCCGACGCGTGCGACGGGCGGATCTCACACTAGCAAGCATCTGTTAACGACCAAGCCTCAGAAATCAGACATACGGGACATACCCAAGGACCATCGGTCTCGATCTGCAGCCGATCAAGAGGAATAGCCTTCACGACCTCCAAATTCTCCTCCGTTTTCAAGCTGCAGCCATTCACCCCCACATCCAGCCCCAGGGCAACCATCCGATGCATCTCTTCCAGAGTGCCCGTGAAACTATGCACGAGGCCCCGCTTAGGAAGCTTCTCAAGTCGTGGCGCTAGCAGTCTCTCGAAATCCTCGCTGGCGGCCCGCGAATGGAGAAACAGCGGAAGCTGAATCTCCACGGCCAGGTCCAGCTGGGCCTCGAAGTACTTCAGCTGGGGTTCCTTCGCGCTGAGAAACAACCGGTCGTAGTCGAGTCCAATCTCGCCAAACGCAACAACGTGGCCGGATTTCTTGCCTTCCAGGGCAAGCGTCTTGATTTCCTCGAGCAGCTTCGACGGCCCACCGGGGTGCTCGTCGAAGTGCTTGGCCTGACACGGGTGGACGCCAACCGTGGCGTAGCAGAAGCCCGCTACAGCATCATGGGTCAGCTAGGGAGATTGTTCCCAGAGGACCAGTGGGGGAAAAAGATAGGTACGTACGGTACTTCTGGGAGATCTCCACGGCACGCTGGGACTCTACGAGGTCCGAGCCGGTAACCATAAATTTCTGGCAACCGACCTCGCGCGCACGCTCGACAATATCGTCCATGTCGTCGTCGTGGACCTGCTTGCCATGATAGTTTCCTCTGAAGACAGGGTCACTCAAGTTGATGCCGATCTAGAATGTGCATTAGTTAGGCTTGACATGGTGATCACACAGGGAACCCACATCGACATATCGTAACGGTTTACTTTGTCCGGTCATTTTGTCTGTAAGTGCAGATCTGGGTGGAACTGTAGAAAAGTGCTTGTTTGTGACTGAGCGCGAAGAGGGGTTCTTCGACAAAGATGTATTATACCAAAAGACTATATTGGGCGTGAGTCAGAGGATTCAACGTCATCTAGGGTAAGCTCGTCGCCTGAGCATCCTATGAGTCACGTCCGTAACGTACCTGGTCTATTGGGATGCTGAAGGACGGAACGATAGGCGCCGCTTCCCCTTTGTATGTGGCTGTAAAACCGTGGGGTTCTATTTCCGAATGCTCTGAAAAGGCTGCTTACGCCTGGAGATGCATGCATCAGCGAGCCACAGGCCTTTCGTAAAAAAGCGCTAAGTCCTCTGGAAGAGGGAGACTGTCAAGTAAACAGGTCGTATGGTTGTTGATATCGAACTAGCACCGTGATTGATCTTGGCTCCATCGGGGAAAATCTGAGGTCACCGCCACAATTTCCGTGCCACAGTGGCTTGTACGCGAATTCCATAAGGGACACCGTTGCCTCAGGCAGGAGGTTGCGGTTATCAGCTTATCGATAAGGCTTCATCGTCTTATCTTTTTACCACTTACAGAATGGGGTCACTAGGACCTGGCCATCAAGGAATCACACCTCGTGAGCTTGGATTTCGAGGATCTTGATGATGAGGCTGTATTCACTCAGCTGTGATGGGAATTCACTATGACCATCTCATTTGAACAGCGATGAAATGGGATCGGAGAATGTGGTAGGTTTTCTTGGTGCCTGAGGCATGACTTTTGCTGCGCATCAGGCACCATGACGTATAAGTAGTTTTCACGTCAGGCACGGAATGCAAAGGAGCAAAGGCATAACGTTCAAAGAGTCTATCCCATACCTATCTGTCGCATAAGGCCCCGTTCGCTAGATATCCTACCCTCAGGCGATATGGCCAACTTGATCCGCTCGAATGTATTGCTTCAGCCAGGCCGACCTGCCTTACTTCCTCTACTAAACGAAGTCGCTCAAGAACGGAGAGACCTGATGCACCCGCTACAATAGGGCGACGAGCAAGAGTCTGACACTACTTTCTACATCTGCCCCTACGGGATAAAAAGAAAGGAAATGCGGAGGGATTCCATCGGGCATCCTCCGATTGGCGTGGGGGTCGGATACCCGGCGAGAAATCCGCAGTGGATCATTCTCCCTCCGCACTTCCCTCACCACAATAATGCGGGGACGGTTTATAATGCCTCGGGTGGTCACTCTCTGCACACAGTCTGCGCTCGTGGAACAAGTCGCTGTTCACTCAGTCACTCAAACACAGTCATCGACATGCCAGACAAGAAAGTCCTGTCCACCCGGGAGATCTCCGCACACAACTCCCACGATGACTGCTGGGTTGTCGTCGACAACCAAGTATGGGACATGACCGACTTTCTAGACGAACACCCTGGAGGATCTGCAAGTGAGACATCCATACCAATCCTAAGGGTCAATCTCGGTCGAGGACAGACTAACGGCCCTCTACAGTCATCCTGAAGTACGCTGGCCGCGATGCCACCCAGCCGTACTCTGAGGTCCACACGCCAGGCGTCCTGAAGGCCAACCTCTCCCCGGACAAACACCTGGGCGTTGTCGATGATTCCACCATCGATGATGACTGGCTGAAGCCACCGCCGTCCCAAACACCCCAGCTGGCTGACAACGAAAAGCCACCACTCGACACACTGATCAACGCCCACGATTTCCAGGAAGTTGCCTCGCGCACAGTCAGCAGGAAAACATGGGCGTTCTACTCCAGCGCTGCGACAGATCTGATCACCCGCGACGCGAACAAGTCGTGCTTCGACCGCATCTTTTTCCGTCCGCGCGTGCTGCGCAATGTCCGCGAGGTCGACACCAAGACGAATATCCTCGGCGTTGACTGCAGTCTCCCGCTGTTTGTCAGTCCCGCCGCTATGGCTAAGCTGATCCATCCAGATGGCGAGTGCGCAATTGCCAAAGCCTGTGAGGCAAAGGGAATTATGCAAGGTGTATGTAACCCGCCCATGGCATGCGCGCATGGACAAGGGCTCATGGTCATTAGATCTCGAACAATTCGTCGTACACTATGGACGAGTTGCGGTCCGCCGCGCCGACGGCCAGTTTCTTCTTCCAATTATATGTCAACCGAGACCGGGAAAAGTCTGCCGCACTCCTGCGCCAGTGCTCTGCCAACCCCAACATCAAGGCGATCTTCGTGACGGTGGACGCGGCGTGGCCGGGTAAGAGAGAGGCAGACGAGCGCGTCAAGGCCGACGAGAGCCTATCAGTGCCCATGTCCCCGTCCAAAGCGAAGAACGACAAGAAAGGGGGTGGACTGGGCCGTGTGATGGCCGGGTTCATTGACCCCGGACTCACATGGGAGGATCTGGTCTGGGTCCGGAAACATACCCATCTTCCAGTGTGCCTGAAAGGTGTCATGTCAGCGGATGACGCTATTCTCGCTATGGAGGCTGGACTGGACGGCATCCTGCTGAGCAACCATGGCGGACGCAACCTCGACACCAGCCCTCCATCCATCATCACCCTTCTAGAGCTGCATAGGCGGTGCCCCGAGATCTTCGATCGAATGGAGATTTACGTGGATAGTGGGATACGCCGCGGCACGGATATTCTCAAGGCGATCAGCTTGGGCGCGACCGCCGTTGGCATGGGTCGCAGTATGCTTTTTGCGACAAATTACGGCCAGGAGGGCGTCGAACATTTGATCGACAGTGAGTGACATCCAGTACTAGTTTCTAAGTGCGACACTAACCTCCTCCCAGTCATGAAAGACGAGTTGGAAACAGCCATGCGGAACAACGGAATCACGAGTTTAGACCAGGCTGGTCCACATTTGGTGCACACAGGCGACGTCGACCATCTTGTTCCCTCCACTCCTGGGCATCCGTATGCCCGGAAGATTGCCAAGGGACGTCGGGCACAATATATTTCAAAGCTCTAGAGAGCCAATGTCGTGGGACTCGGGCATGTTCATAGTTGAGCCAAACTAGACATATACAGATTATATACGCGCTTGAACATGACGATAGCGACGCCCCGACGCCCCGACGCCCCGACGCGCACTTCCCCTAGCCTATACCATTTCGAGAATTAAACAAGGGCCATTATACTCGGCAAGGTATCGACGGCAGTCGAAAGGGAGTCGACTGAATGGGTTTTCAATTATGCATAGAAGATGATGGAATGAAGCCTGGAATAGGTCCATCCCTGGATTCCCCTGGGACACCGTGGGCGAGAATGCGGGAGAGAGTCGAGACCGGCCGGAGAAACCACTCAACTCCGCCAGGATCGACGGCACCATCGACGCCGAGGTCTCCACTGTCTCAACAGAATGGGTCAGTTGGGCTGTTTCCGTAATACCTCGTACTCCGATACCAATGTTACACTGTTTTGGTCCGTCTGGGGCAGTGTCCTTCAGGATAGTAAATACGAAAACTAGGAAGTACCTAATAAGAGATGGCCAGTGTCTGTTACTTCGTCCAATAGGAAATGACGGGAAGTATAAAGAAAGTAACAGGCAGTATAAAAAAATAATACGGTCTGCATATACCTAGTATAGGAAGTGATGGGAGCGATATCAAGGCGGTTTGAAGGATATTTAGTATAGATAGTACCTAGGTAGTTAAATCAGAGATAAAGAGCGCGACCTCCCCTTCTGCGCCGTCGGGGTTTGTATGGGAAATAACCGTCACTTCCCGGCTGCTGTGTTATAGGGCTCTAGGCAGGTCGTTGATTACTCTGCGAGCAACCACGTTCTCTCTGAAGGAGGAGCTCTCCGGGGATCCTGGATGTGCGTGGGCTCCGACCAGCCCGGCTGGCGTGACGTGGACCCAGTCCTTACTTGGGATCCGTAAGGACTCAAGAGCAAAGGAAAAGGGACGCAAAGGAGCGTAAGGGAGGCCGGAATGAAAAGCGCTCGCTGTACGCCCAAGGACTCAAAGGCCAAGCGCACCAGAAGCGGCGACACAAGCCGCGCGCGCACAAATGCAGACAGTCAATGCTGAAGCAGCAAAGATAGTATAGACATCGACGAGATGATTGCTTGAGCCTATTGCGATCTATACGACCCCAAATCCGAACGGAATCCCCGCAGGTACCGAACACGATGGCCTGGTAGATAGCCAGAAGGAGGAGTACGGGCTTGTGGATTGCCATCTTGAAGGGCCTGATGAGAAATAAGGACAACGGGAATGTATCTCTTGCCCGTTGTGTTGCTGACTTTCCGTGCCCGGAGATGGAGCAACATTGGCGCATATGTCTCCCGGAGACCAACGAGTAAAGCCATAAACACAATAAGGATAGGACAGCATTAGGTCCCATCAGCCCCCCGCCATCCCATCCTCTCGGTCACGAAGTCACCAAGAAGCGGTCCAAGGACGGGAGCAAAGAGTGGAACATGAGCATGAACGGTAATCGCAAGTCCTCCTGCTGAGGTTTAAAGACGTCCGCGATCACTGCTCCGGTGTTGGTTAAGGGGGCAGCGCCAAATACACCAGAGAAGAGGCCTAGGAGCAAGACAGATTCTATTAGGACAGGAACAGAGAGGGATATTGACGGCCACATCACTGCAGAGGAGTGGGAAAGTGCAGGGGGTCGCCGACGTCTCTATCAAGAAAGCAGAAGCGATATGGATCTTCTGCGGTCCCTGCACCAGGGTAGGAGAAGGCAAGCATAGAATGAGTGACAAGGTCCGGCCTGACATGCATGCTCACCCATGGAACAGTGCTTTCATGGTCGTATAAGAGCACGAGCAGTTGAGCAATCGGGGCCACCCTGGCTGAATGCTCCCGGCGTGATGATCCCTACATTCCTCCACCGCAACCCTCGCCGATAGGACAGTATAGAATCGAGGGCTAATGAAATGATGGCCAGAAATAGAAGCGAGCCGGGGAAAAGAAGAAAGATCACTATACCAGCGGTGATAAGATGCCTTAGGTCCGTGTAGATCCGTCTAGTTCGCCCCATCGGAGTTTACGCTCGAGATCGACCTGAAATCATCTGAATGGCCACTTCGACGACGCATGCAGGGGCCAGGGCACGACAGAAAAACTCCTAAAGCTTTGTATAAGAGGCAACGACAGCCAAGACCAACTGGGTGCCTCGGCGCCGCATTATTCTAGCATCTATTCTCCATTGAGCTGCTTTCCGACCTGATACCTACAAATTTACCACTCCTCCAAACCGTCATGGCTGTCAATCGTTCTCTTTGGCAGGATGAAGCTGGCATTGCAGGTGTTATCCGGGAAACCGCCATCCCTACAACTGTTGCCAGCAATGAAATACTGGTGAAGGTGAACGCATGGGCAATGAACCCGGCAGATGCTATGGTTCAGGACGTGGCCCTTCCATTCATCAAATACCCACTTATCTTGGGTGAAGATATCGCTGGCACCGTTGAAAAAGTCGGCTCCGAGGCTACGGGCAAGTTTAAAGTCGGCGATCGCGTCTTAGGCCTTGCCCTTGGAGCGGCTGTTTTCAAGCCCGAGCAAGGCGCCTTCCAGGAGTACGTTATTCTAGACTCTACCTTGGCCTGCAATATCCCCGACTCCCTCTCTTTTGCCGACGCGTCTGTTTTTCCTCTCTGCATCGCCACTGCCGCACATGGGCTATTCTCGAAGGATTATCTCGGCCTGCCTTTTCCCAAGTATAAACCCGACCAGTGCCGGAAAGTCTGTCTTTATCTGGGGTGGAAGCTCTGGAGTTGGTAGCAATGCAATCCAGCTCTGCAAGGGAGCTGGATTCGAGGTAATCACGACATGCTCAGCACATAACTTCGAATATGTGAAGCGTCTCGGCGCAGATAAGGTCTTCGACTATAAAGACCCGTCTGTGATTGACCGAGTTGTTGCGGAACTTGACCGGGGGGAATGCATTGGCATTTTACAAGCTGCCGGTGATGTGTCCCCTTCCTGTCAGGTTGCGTCGAGGTCCAAGCAAAAGCTGCGTGTTGCTGCATCAAACCCTGTCCCCGACGGCGTGGCCCCGGCAGACATTGAGGCAAAGATGATCTTTGCGACAGGCGGCGCGGTCATTTACCACGAGACTAGCCCGGCTACTTTTGCTGGGTATTTACCGGAAGCACTGGCATTGGGTCTCTACCAAGTGGCACCAACCCCGCAGATCGTGTCTACCAAAGGATTGGAAGGGATCCAGGAGGCGTTGAATCTCCTTAAGAAGGGGATTTCGGCCAAAAAACTGGTCACCTTGGCTAACTAGCCTAATGTCGTGTGCTTGCTTCAGAGGCCTTTAGCCCACTTCCAATAGGTGGTGGGCTTGGAGGGAAGAGGATGTAGATAGTCCGATGGACCTTAGTTCTGCGTGTGCGAAGAGTTGGATTTAACACGGTGCTTTACGTGTCATATACTTGCTGATAATTCCAAGGAGGCACCGTATGGCTCTGGCTGGGTCAGGTCAGTAGGTGCCCTTTCCTTCCGCCGCCGTTCTCATTGCTTCGAAGTCTCGGAGACGAACCGTTTCCTCGCGGAAGTTCGCTAATTATGTGGGGTCAAAATAGGGACTTATAAAATGTCAAGCGATGTGGTCAAGGAGGATTGAAGGGGGTTGACTGTGGGTGAGCTCCTGAAGACATCTGGCTCTATAGTAGATATTAGGCAGGCAGGCGGGCCTAGAGAGGCAACTCAGGAGTCTGAGGCTCCGACATAAAATAATTGATTCAGTGGCTGGATTCAGATAAATTCAAGTCCCTGCTACAGTCCTGAGTTAGGGGTAAACTAGCGGTATTTCAGACACCGGCAGATTGGAACCTTCCTCTCCTCCTTGCCTCTTTTACTGATCCGAGTCCTAGGGTTCATGGCTTGAGATATCCTGACCAGGCTACGGATGTGTTCGCCCTTCCAGGATTGTCAACGACAGAAACAAATAGATTTATGGAATAGAACAAGCTATCCGACTATTTCTTCTGAAATTACCTCCAAATCGATGCTGAACTCGTCAGAACAATTCTTCTTAAAGGGACTGAATGCAACTGCTATTCTTGACCTCGACATTCGACAACACCGCCTCAAGAAGGGAGACTTGACTCCTGCATTCCCATATCTTCTTCAAGGTCAAACCCGCCTCTTGGAGGATCGTCTTGAACTCTTCCGGGGTCCTCTCGATCCCATTGATGCACGCCATCATGGTTAGGTCCCGGTTGTGGCTAAAACGCGTGTGAAAGCCGTAGTTTGCTGGGAGAGGCTTCGGAGCAGAGGTCAACTGCGTATCGCCTCTAGTGGTGTTCATCACTTGCTCGCATATCAACAGGCGAGAATGTGGTGCCATGCTCTCGCGAATGCGCGATAGGATGTTGATGCAATACTCGTCGGACCAGTCATGACTAGATTGGGTGATTAGCGAGTTCTGTGCGGTGGAGGTCGTGTCGCTTACAGCACATATCGAAGGTAGTACACTTCGGCCCCTTCGATTGGATTTTTATCGAAGAAGCTGTGCTCCACGAACTGCACCCGCCCAGTCTTTAGAGCCTCGGGGTTCTCTCTTGGCCACACACTCTCCAAGCCCTGTTTTATAACCGGGCCACGATCTTGGACGACGAATTGGAGATCGGTGTAGACTTTGCTCAGTTGAAGCGGAAAGCCGCCAACACCGCCTCCCACGTCGACGATCAACGCTTTGCCTAGGGACGCCCAAGGGAAGTCTGAAAGATCACAGGTTAGATACGCTGCTGGAACGGGAATGACATGGCTTACCATAGACATGAGCAGATCCAAACACCCGTCCGCCACCGACCATGGCCAGGCCCATGATCTCCAGCTCCGGCCTCGCAACTAAGCCATCGTCCCCTTTGGGCTGAGGCTCCAACACAAGACTCGGAACCCCAGGGTAATGGCCGCCACTCTCTATGAGTTTATTTTGCTCCACTCGTTCCTCGATCCATTCCCACCGTGGCTTGCTCGTGGTGACAGCATCCTGCCATGCAGTCTTCGCCACATCATAAGACGGTCCTTTCTCGGGGTCCAAGAGAGTCCTAGGTAAGAAGTCCGATGCAGTATAGCTTTCAGTATTGGCAAGTCGAACATATGCTCGGAGAGGCTCATTGGAGACCAAAGCAGCGGAGACGGCGTTGTTTGCGAAGGTCTTCGCGCCGGTCTGGGAATAGATCCCTATGGAGCATAGGCATCTCATAATGCGGGCTGAGATTTTTGTTAGTACCCAACTGCCCTCAGGCATTGCCTGAGAAGATGAGCCACTCACACAACTTCCGATGCTCAATACTGGCCTGTTGGCTGAGCTCCGTGATCGACAGTCCGCCATCCTTGTCATGAGGAGCGAGAATATCTGGAATCCGCCGCTCCACGGTGATGTACAGGGCCCGTGATTCTTGGAACTGGGTGGCGACTTCCAGGAGCCTTACACTTGGCTCCGACACCAGCTCCGTGAGTTTCCCGATGGCAGCTGCAATAGTCCGTTGAGCGTTGAATAACTCGTGGCTTGGCAGGATTGATACTCCTGTCGAGTTATCAGCAGATTCCGCTGGGTTCTTGAATACCTCTGCTTCTTTTGACCATTCAGCTATGATTGTCTGAACGGTCTTCGAGATGATATCGGCTGTTTGGATGAGCTGTAAAGCATCCGTAAGAGACTTCGGTTGACGTTCCATCTTGATCCAGTCGCCTGTCGTTTCAATCGTTCCGGATAAAACTTCTGACTACTTGGATCGGGGAAGGGTATGTTCCACATGCTCAGTCTTAAAGCGAGAACAGACTGGACAGAAGGCAGCTAGAGAAGGCACCCCAGCCCGAGACGGTCTTCAACTCCGACCACCGCCTGTCTGCGAATTTCCGACCTGCGAATATGGGCCGGCCAATGAAGAACCCCGAGACAAGATTTCACCGAGCTTCCTCATTTCCTAACGACATGGGATTGCTGCTGGGGCAGGCTAGTTCATATTGGCATCCTCGAGGGCCACAGTTGTCTAGGCGGGTCTAAAATATCAGGGGGATGGCTGCATCAGAAGCAGGTCTACGGTTGCAGGAATTGGTCCGATCTGCAATAATATTCAAGGCCGATTCGAATCAGTCCTATCAGTTGCAAGACGTTACATGGACCTTCGAACCATCGCTTCACTCCTCTGCGCACCTCGAAAGTGACTCGACCGTCCTCCGCCAACCTTAGCAAGACTTCGCCAATAAGCGGTTCCAACGCCATTGCTCGTACTTGCTCATCCAAATGATTTCCATATATCGCTGTCACTAACTCCTGAATTGTCGTGCTGCCCTTGCGTCTCCCCTTACCCTGTTCTTCTTGCTTAAACCGCGACAATGCCTGTACAATGCGCGCTTCCTCCCTGGCCTTTTAGTCCAGCTCTCCTGCAATTTTAGCCGAAAGATCAGGGATAATATCGCCGAGGGCAGGATAGCCTCTCTCGCAGTGGCACGAATTCATAAGTTGGAGGGAGGCCATCCATGTGCCAAGAAGTTCCACTGCGCTGGTGCTATGTCCGAGGACGTTGTCCCCCGTGAACATTGCATTTCCCTCCTCGAGTATGAAACATATGTGGTCATATGAGTGGCCTGTCGAATGCACTGCCCGGACGGTGGCACCTTCGACTCGAAATACCTGACCATCCATAATAGGCTGCTGCCCCCTGTCGGGGCCATTCTTGAAAATTGACTCTGAAAGGTGTGGGTAGAGACGAATCAGATCTGGGACGCCTCCCGTGTGGTCACCATGCGAGTTTGTGAGACACACCTGAGACAGTTTGGTAGAGTCACTGAGCGTGGAGGACATTAGCTCTGCCCATTCTGGGATGCCTTGACCAGTGTTGATAAGAAGTCGTTGTCGACCTGTTCTGACGACGTAGATGTTTGTTCACTGGAGGGCGAACTGCATACGAAGTTGGCTGGTAGTCCACGTACTAAAATGCGTTTTCAGTCAGCAGTAGGCAGTGGGCAGCCTACCTTGCCTGGGTTTTGGCCCAGCACACGGATTACTCGGGACTGACTTGTTCGACATCCGCGAGCGGAGGCAAATGTTCTTGCTGGGTGTCTAGGTAATCTTCAAATGCACAGATGTTGAGCGCTTTGTTAATTTGACGATGACATCCTCGCTTCATACTCATTAGTAGTTCGAATAGCGGCATTAGAGATGAGTCCGAGACCAGATGGAAGACTCTAAAGTTCTCGAGCTGGTATCCCTTATCAAACCGTTGCAATAGTACGAACTCCTGTTCGGGCCATTCCAAGTCTCGTCTTCGGGAGATGGCTCGTCTACAGGCATCTACTATTCGCTCCGGAATCTAACGTTCTGCCCACCCACAGTCCGGGGCCCAATCGACCAAGCGAGCCAGGGTTCTCTCAGAGCTCTACCCATCGCTGCGGTTTATTGTCCAGATCGCCGGGCACGACCCGACCAACTATCACGTAGGGCGATCCCTGGCCCCTCGACCGCCCAGCAGCACGGAGTCCCTCCAGGCGGAAGCCCACCACCCTCGCATTCGCGTGCAGAGGCGATCTCTTGGTCCGGGGCAGCCCGTCTTGGATGCCGCGGCGTACATCCTGCACCTGCCGTCCGCGTTTCCGGCGCATGAGGCCGCGTTCCGAGCCAGTATCCCGAAGGATCTGCAGGTGTACACGGGGGTTCTCGCCGCGAACCCCGGGGCCATGCTGATTGTCACCGCCCGTCTGCTCCCACCACCGGGCGCCGCCGATCGGGATCTCGAGGCTATGACCTGAGTGCGGGATCTTACGCTGCTCCGGCTGGCGAACGAGCGGGAGGCTGAGGTGGCTGAGTTCGTGGACTTGGTGAGCCAGATGGGTGATAGTGTGGGCCGGCTTGTCGTGAATAGGCTACGCGCACGGAACAATCTCACGGTGGCTTTGGCCGTCACGTAGCAGGAGTACGGCGAGTCTGGGTTATAGTTGGAGATCATGCTGCTTTGGCCTGGGCAGTTTTGGGTTGTGGCTTGGGCATGTCTGGCTGTGGATAGGCTGTGTGATCGACTGGCTGGTGGTGGCTGTGAGTGAAGCTTCTTGTCTACCTCTCCTTTTGACAGGACCAATTTCCTGATGAGGTGGTTTGCTTTTCCTTTGCTTTTATCTCTTTCATCTCTACTTTCTAAGCCAAGTCACCTGAACTTGGTACCTGCAAAGGTGGTGTCTATTCTAAGGTTGTCTTGCTAAGCAAGAAGTGACTCGATCTACTTCCTGTATGCTCCGGCTTGATCATGTTTGGTCAGCATAGCTTCATGTCATACGGTAGGCCTCGAATTTGCCTTGAACCCCTCTGCAGGCACTGAGAGGACCTTGATTATACTCCCAATCGGTTCAATCTTCCATTGGGGCTGCCATACAATAGGATCCCAGCGACGTTGATCACGCAGGAACTATAGTTATCTTGAGTCACTGGGATCGACTACAGCACCATGAAACCGAAAACGACAACTACCCGACTGAGTATAGGTGTGGCTGAGGCTATACTATGGCTTACCTTTCTCCGAGTCGGAGTGAGATTACGTTTGACGTGGCGTCTGATTTGACGGGACCTTTCAAGATCACGCCGTGCGAATCTGCCTGTGCCAAATAAGAGACCCGATCACCTCACTTAATAATTCTCTGTAAGCAAGTCTTCGCTCTCAGCACCGGCGACCCCGAAAACTGACTCCGTGCGGATACAGGGGACTCTTTAAGTTGTGGAGGGTAGGTAAACATGGCTCTGGTCAACTTTGATTCCTATAGTGGCTGATACTGGCAACCAGAGTCCACACGTTCACATGTCCGCTGGAATAGCTTCCTATATGCGACGCCTACTTGCGTGTTTGAGTTTTACGCCTCATGTTCACCGTCCAGATGCTCGGTTGCCCGGCCGAGTCTCTTAACCAGCTTACATCTCACAGCCTCCCTTGATCCCTGGTTATCGCGAGCCAACACTATGGTTACAAATAACGAGGTGTTGCCATACATCCTTTGCGGAATTAGCGAGCGAGTCTGCGTCTCTAGAAGAAGCAGTAAAAACCCGGAAGTGTGTCGTTTCGATGGCTACCTATGGGGAGACCTTGTCCAAAGCCTTCGATCGCAGGGATATTGACGCCGATCCACCACCGTCACGATCTAAGAATGCCTTCCTCGGGGCCCGCAAACGGGCACAAGCTGCGCGGGAGCTGCCACGCCTGCGCCGTGTCCAAAGTCCGGTGCTCCAAAGAGAAGCCGGTCTGCTCGCGATGCAGACGAAGGGCGACAACATGCGAGTATCTTGTCACCAAGCGTCCGGGACGGAAGCAGCAGGGGAATCGCTTGAGTGAGAGACCGGCCCCAACAAGTATACCGCAGGGCTTGCCAGAGCCAGGCCTGCTGACGACGTTCGCACTCCCGGAAACGCCCGCCTTGCCTGTGGAGGATGTGTCTCCTGGCTGTTCTGATGTGTTCTCAAGCCTGTTCGACCCGGTCGAGTCTTCCTTGTCGTCGTCGCTCACCAGCTTGAGCACCGACTTTGAGGACTATCTCGCGGCCGTTCCGCTGCCTGAGACGGCGAATGTTGACGCTGTGGATCCAATGCAGGCTCTTCCAAGTGAGGGCCAGAGCGAGTTCAGTCCGGGATTGCATTCCGGGAGTGCAGCAACACAGGCGCCCCCTGGTGATACAATCCCCCTCTTTGGACGGCCAACGTCTGTCGCCCGGTCTCCTGCCAATCTGGGAACGTTGCTTGCGAGCGCAGGGGAGACTCCGCAACGAGGTCCAGTGGACTCGCAGTGTCACTGCTTTCCCAGAGCTCTTGATCTGTTGAAGCACCTTAATGCAGCAGACTTGATACCCGGTGCTACACCGGGTAGACCGACAGCCGGGTGTTTTGGTTTTCTCGCACCATCAGCCGAGTCAATGATCTTGACCAACCAGGAGGCCATGACGTCCATCGATAGCATACTAGAATGTGGCTGTTTGCAGGATAGCTACCTGCTCGCCATCTTGTCTTTGGTGATATTCAAGATTCTAGACCGGTACGCCGTGGCAGCAGAGATTGGGGCAGCTCCCGTCGACAATAAGGAGTCACTCTCTTCCCTGCCCTATCCATCTCCGGAATCCATTCGACTACCAGCATCTACAGGCCGTGAGGATGCTGGCAGGGAGCCAGAATGTCGCATGAAAACCGCCCAGTGTGTTCTGAACGAGTTACACCGTGTCCAGCGGGTTGTGAATCAGCTATCGCCCAAGCTAAACAGGTATAAGACACAGAGACCCTCTGCTACCACGGTCTCGCCATTCAGCACGAATGTCTCTTCAGCGGTGTCGGACCCGGTGATGGATCAGTTGGAACCAGAGCTACGGAAGCGCTTGGGTGCATTGTCGTTAGAGATCATCAACATGTTTCGTTCGGATGATAGTTGAGCAATACCAGTCATACCCAGACACATGAACCCAGCCATACCATTTAGATCCGTAGACCAGTCTCATTCCACTACCTCCACTACCAATCAAAGCCCAATCCCTACGAAGCAGGCGGCATAACCGCCTCGATAACCTTCCTCACCGACTCACGCTTAAACATCCGATCCAACCAGTCCTTCAAAACCGGAAACCTCTCCACATCATACCCGTCCTCCTTGTGAATAATCTTGGTGACCATAATCTGCCAGGTCGACCAAGCCAGATCCGCATACGAGCACTTCTCCCCGACCAACCACGGCCCGTCCCCGCCGGGGGCCACCGTCCGGCTAGCCAGGTAGTCATTAACGACGCCAGAGACGCGATTCACCTCGTCGACGTAGCGCCGCAGCGCGCTCGGCACGGGCTCCGGGTGGTACTTCTTGAACCAGCACGCCTGCCCGTAGTACGGGCCCTGGCCGGAGGCCTGGAAAAACAGCCACTGGCGCGCGTGCTGTGCGTCGTTCGTGCCTGGAGCAAAGCTGATCTTGTGCGTTGTGTCGTACCGCTCGATCAGGTACTCGACGATAGCGCCGGACTCCCACAGCGTGAGATCGTTGTTAGGGTCGTGAATGGCCGGGAGCCGGCCGTTTGGGTTAATGGCGAGGTACGCGGGTGATTTGACCTGGGTCAGTTCGATGGGGACGAACTCGTGCGGCAGGTTCAGTTCTTCGAGGATGATGGCCACGCGGGGAGGATTGGGGCCGCCCTGGCCCCAAACTTTGATGGGGAGGAGATTGGAGGTCATGGCGCTTGCTTGGGGGTATGAAATGGATTGCTAGAGACGAGTAACGGCGTAATTATACCGGAGGTGTTGGACCTGATAGGTATGGATGACGGAGTATAGATCGGGGTGCTCATTACAAAGCATTATTAATGGCGCTTGTTAAGCGGATGTCGGTGGTTGCAGTGGCCGATGGGGTCCACGACCAGGGTTAGACAGAGATAAACCTTGTCGCGGGGTCGGAGTCCTGACAGACTCTTGAGATAATAGTATCATGGAGTGCTATGGGATCTATTGCTGGTTCTTGTCTGCAGCATGATATACGCCGAGCGGTATACAGAGCAGTCTCTCCACGACGGTGTATACTTAGACATTAGTCACCCCGGCCCAGTAGGAGGCAGATAGGCATGCAGAAACGGCAAATAATGCCTCACAAACCCCATGAATATACACATCGGCGCACCGGGCGGAAACATCGCCGGACCATTGACCGACAGAACGCCGACATTCCGCACGTCAAACCGTCCATCCTCATCGTCCGCCGCTTCGACCATGGCTGCCGCCAAGTCAGCGTAAGACAGCGGTTTCTCTTCCTCCGTCAGACTAGGCGCATGCCCATGTGAGACGTCCCCCAGGCTTGACAAAGACCGTCGACACCTAGTTCTGCTGTGCGCGGAGGAAGTCTTCGGCGCTCCGGAGATTACGGTACACGTTTGAGGCCGATCGGAGAAGAATCCACCGTACGAAAGGAGGCGTAGAGCGGGAGAGTTAGTCGTCGAGCGTCGCGGACGAGAGAAGCATGAGCTTCGGCATGACGGCACTGGCGCCCCCGACTCGGTCTTTAGGGTCTTTAAAGCTTCAATCACTCCGACGGCCGTGTCCTGCGCCATGTGACAGCGGGGGATGTTGTCGTTGGTGGAGACGACGAGGAAGACCGCTGTGCAGTCGCGTGTGCATCCTGTGAGGAGGGGAATGTCGTGGATGCTGCCCTCGAAGATCTGTGTCTGGCTGGATTTTGTGCCTTCGAGCTCAGGGAAGATGCAGGAGCTTTGCTTTGTTGCGACAGTAGGCGTGGATCTTGGCCGACGACTGGAGGAGGTTAGGAAGCAGCGCTGTACCGCGGTTGCCTGTGGCTCCGAGGATGGTGTAGGTAGGCATGCTGTTTGCAGAGAGCGAGGCATAATGGCTGATGATGTAAACTGATGTCAACTAGAAGAAGCTTGATTGAATGACCCGCATATTGGTATCGGATCGGGGGAATCATCTTTAGCCCGAATGGATTGTACCGAGCATATCCCCCCGAGAATGTAGCTGAAGAATAGACACGCCTTTCCTAGTATCTTCCAGGTGTACTCTTTCTCAAACAGAAACGTTTTAATGAAGCACACTTCTTCAAATACACTAGCTGTACTACGAGTAGCCAGGATGAGCGTCACAGGCCAGTATCCATCAAGACGACACTCACTACGCACAAGCTCCTCAACCTCCTGCCAGAGAGCTGCAAAAGCCTCCGGCTCCCGAAAGCATCCGGAAAAGAACAAAAATGCTCCTTGAACCCATCGAAATCCATCTCAAACCCCCATTCCTCATCCGCAGAACCACGACGAGAAGCATATGTTCTGGAGGAGCGTGGCCGAACATGGCCATTGGAGACGATACTAGCACTGGGTGGTGAGCCCGCGGAGCTGCAACGAGCGTTTGACGACGGAGTTGATATCCAGCGGTCCATTTGTCCGGTCGACGAGCACGTCGAGAAGCTCCTAAGCGACCCGAGAGAATTCCGCGCGAGAATGGGCCAGTTAGACCAGTACTCCAATTTTCTGGTCTTCTTCATCCGGCAAATTGAAGCGAAGGGTTAGCAGGCGGTCGTGAATATTGCTTTGGTGGAGGCCGCAATGGCGAGACGCTGTCTGCCCAACTGTTCGAAGGAATTTACCACCCCATCATCCATCTCGCTTTCGGTGTTGAGTTTGGCCAACCGAGTATCATCACCGAAGCACTCGCTCAGGTGGCATCGCATGATTCGATGGGAATTGAAGAGTTTTTGGTCCGCAGCGAGGAGATGTCGCTTGCATGCAGCAAGCCAGGGCGACCGTTAGTCCAGTTGTTCCACGAAGCCGGAACCAATCCTGCTCTTCGCAACGCAGCCCACAGATTCAAGGACGGACCAGCGCGAGTCCGCGATGGCGTTCTGGGGAACGCAGCGGGGGAGGTTGCAGCATTGGCGGCTCAGTTTCGTGTGCAGCCGGGGGAACTAGATCGACGCTTAGCGGAGATGACCAGCTGTTCTGCATACATGGCTGGGGCCGCCTAGCGACCGGGTAAGCCGCGAAAGATCGATTTCTTCCATATGCACACCGTCACGGCGGCTTTGGCCTTGGCTGTGCTGATCGCACAGCCTTGGATCGACGCGGCGGTCAAAGCCCGCCTGGTGGAGTGGAAGGCCCGGGTGGGCATGGTGTGGTATGTGTCCAGCGGCGTGGTCGAGCTGCATTTGGAGGAGGTACTGCCATACAGCCCGGGGGCTAGTGCTGGGATGGGGTGGAGGGAGCTGTATGGCGCGGTCAGGGTGGTCCATGATGACGGACAGCTAGCCAAGTTCGTGGGGGCATTGAGAATTGGAGAGGAAGTTTAGCTGTTGTGAGTTTCCAATTCAGGGGGAGGTCTGTACGGTATCGACCGATTGAGCGGAAGTGGATCTGGGGGATTGGATTTGAGGAGAGCTGGAGGAGAGTGGCGGGGATAGGTTGAGTTGATTTTCCTTGTATACTGTGCTCATAGTCGGGTCGTGTAGTCAGTAGTATCTTTGTTGATAGTCATGTATCTCTTCGGTAGAGAGAGTAAAGCGGCGAGCCAAGATGGACTAGTGATTATAGTATAGTAGAGCTATAGTATTTCCCGATGGGAATGGAAGATCCCGTGACCGGTTGGGGGATCGACGTTTCCGGGTAAGATACGGTAATACCGGAAGGGAGCTTCCCCGCGGTAATATAAGTGAGTACCTTTGCTTTCTTACCGGAGTAAGGCGATCAATCATCTGGGAACAAGATAGATGTCGGTGAACAGGAAGAGGATGAGAGGATGGGGGATCTTGATCTGATTGATGGATAGACTCTGGACCGGCGATGCAGATGGAGAGGATCCGCGATGGGCTCCTATCAGATGGAGTAAGGTCCCCATGCTTTCCGACGGTTTCCGAAAGAGGAAATGGATGAGGGGAGAGCCTGGCAGTCTTCTTCGGAGTACCTCAACAGGTAAGATCAAGTGCAGTCCTGGTGGGTGGTGTAGTCAGGACCGATGTTATATTGGTTGGATGATGCGATTTATTCCCTCACTATCAAAGTACGATCATGGTATAAGAACATCCATCTTCTCTGTATTCTTCCGGTATTCTTCTTCTTCTATAAATAAGGTAAGGTACTAAGGTAGTATTACACGGGCTGGCCAGACCCCCAACGGTCTCCGCCTCGTCATCACCCTCCAGACAGATCATCGTGAGTAAGTCCTAGGTAGTAATCCACCCTCATTTTATGCTCAAATCTTCGATGCATTTTCTGTCACGAGGCCTCTGCTCCTCTCCTCTCTCTTCTATTTATTGTTTCTCGATCCCCTCCTCCCTTCTGCTTCTTCCCGTCCATGTCCATTCCTCGTCCATCTCCCTGGCGTTCCTCAACTAATCAACACCTACATTCCTAGCTCAACAATTCTACCTACCTACCTACCTACCTACTTCTACTCCCCCAACCCTTGAATCCCCCCATCTCCCATCTCCATCTCATCTCATCTTCATCCATCCTCTTTCCATATCCCCTACCCTCTCCCAAACATCTTCCATCTCATCATGACCGCCCCTCGGTCGTCCGCCCTGCGCGCTCTGCGTCTTCTCTCGCAGCAGCACACCGCTACGCCGGCCATCCGCCGTACCTTGCACATCACCGGCGCCAACTCCGCCCAACCCGCCAATGTCTCCGATCGTACCTCCCTCTATTCCACTCGCTCTCTGGCCGATCTCAAATCCGAATGCCAGAAACGCGCGCTGCGTACGTCTGGTACCCAAGCAGAGGTAAGTCATCCAGCTCCATACGGAGTACACCTCCGGCCGATCACTCGCCCTACAATCCTACAAGAATCCAAACACCAGCTCACCACTCACTACGACTCCAGCTCGTCGAACGTCTAGCCAACCATGACTTCCTCCAATCCCGCGCCTTCAGCATCGCCATGCGCCGCATCAATGGCTCTTCCCAGGTAGAGTACGTTATCAGCCCCGATAAGATCACCCTATACCCTATCCAGATACCTCGGTTCATCCCCCAGCAACGCGTAAACTGACATCATCCAGCCACGCCCGCCAATTCAACACCTCGCGCGCTCAAAAGGCCGTCAATGACTCATCCACCGTCGACTTTGTCTACATGCCCTCCATGGCCGACATCGACGCCCCGGCGCCGCGTCCCGACCCACGCATTCCGATCCTTCCCGACTCCTACTCCCACCACCTCCAGGCCCCCGCCCCCGGCAGCGCCCCCATGAAGCCCCAGGTCTACACCGTCTCCGGGGACGGCGCCGACGTCGCCGCCAGCCCCATGACCGAGGTCGTCGACAACCACGCCGTGGATATCGACCCGTTCTCGCTCACGGAAGCGGTGGGCAAGTCGCGCTACGGGGCACAGCTGCAGAACCAGGGGTCGCAGGAGCCGGGCGTCATGCGGGAATTGTGGAGTGGGTTCTTAGATGATCTGCTCGGGCCTAAACAGCAGAGTCAGAAACAGTGACGGTGGTTATGATTTGAAAATTTGTTGATTTCTGTTCTACTCTAGCCTAGCGTATTTGCACTGGATGTCTGTTTAATGTTGTGTGGTATGGACAAACAATTGACATTGGCCATGGGCCTTGCACAAATAAACTATCTGCACTTCTAGCGTAGGCAATGCTTACTCTCACGGCACCTGCAGCACCATGACGTCTAGATCGTTCGACACCATCAGACCACAATCAGTCCACCGTCCCTCCCCGGACCTGAAAGATCCGTGGTGCAATGGAGATCGGCCCAGCAATTCCATCGATCCACCGCCCTTCACCCGAGTCATGGCATTGTCGCCGCGGGTAAACTCAGCTGTCGGTTAGAAGGATGTGTCTATGTGCGGATGTCTCCGATCTGTTCCGAGGATGAACTCCGTACCTCTTTCCTTAGTCTTCCATCACATGGATGATTCTCGATTGATTATTGATAATTGATTATCTGATTATCGTGATCGGAGCTGGCTAGCCTCAACATGTGATGACGTTGTCTACGTAGAGCGCCGGATGCTTTCCCCGGAGTATGAACTCAATTCTTCAGTATCTCAGCCCCCCGCATGTCTAGCATCTTCCATCCATTCCAGAATGTGGTCACGATCTTCATCAAGGGCCTGTTCGCCACCAGAAGAGCTCGAAGTTGAAAGAAACGTGTTGTCGTAGTCTCGAAAACGGAGAAAGCGTAACCACTCATGCTCCCAAAGTCTTCTATCGTTACATCTCGTCCCGTCTGGGAAGAACGTCCAGCTGAACACATTCCTTGTTGCCGATTCAGAGAGACTGTCGTCGAACGCTGTCCGAAGCCACGGGAAGAGAACGGCTGAGAATAGAACTGACAGCCCTGACCAAGCACGACACGCTTTCTGTGCTAAGGAGTGTGTAGATGAGTCGTTGAGAAGATATAGCAAGGCGCATGCACTTGGTAGAAGCGTCCAATGGAAGATCTCTAGGAACTGCTTCACGTTAGTCCTCAATGCAGGATTAGAAGAAACGCAAGACCCATGGCTACATCTTTCACTGACCTTCCAGCAGTGATCACCACTGCTCATATTCTTCATGAAACAAGCAGCAACCACGAGGCCTGCAGCTGCACAACTCAATCCTACAGACGGAGACTGGAGTTTGGCTGGTGTTTCAGCTTGGCCACATAATCCATAATCAATCAAACCCTCACCGCCCCTCTTCCATACCCATGATGCGTAACGCAGAGAGTGGTGGCATCTAACATGCAACCTAACTTCCAGCGAGGTATCTTCCTGTTTCACATGACCAAACGGAGGGTGGGGGCTCAGGGGGCGGCAGTCCGTAAAATTCGGACTGTGTATCTGTGAGGTACAGAAGCCTGGTCTCGTCTTCTCGTGAAATCGTCCCTGAGTGCTCAATATCCTTGGACACTACATCTTTGAAGTAATATTCCGGGTCCAAAAACGACTGAGGAGACCCTGTCCAGACCACTGCTTCCAAAGACGCCGGAGGCAGATAGGACCGACAGACTTGTAATATTCGGGGCAGCAAGCCTGATATTGTGGCTCCCAGCCAGAGGGATGCAAGTCTCGGCCTGTGATAGGACATAGCACATAGAATAGTGTGGTACTTCTTCTGTCGAATGAGAGACGGGAGGATCTCCTTCAGCGGCGGGTTCAACCATTCGCTCGCGAGGTTACAAGGGATACCAGGTTTCCAGAACATCCATCCAGTGACGATGATACGACATTTGATATGCATGAGAATGCCATAAAGTGCGGGATTTCGCTCGCAGTTGGTAGTTTCGGGGCATACATGGGCTCGGTGCTCTGTACACGAGGATGGGCACCGTGTACCGGGCTAGGCAATACAACCGCTGCCCCGAACCGGGTATGCGAAGGGACTGTGACGGATGCAAGGAATGCAGCAAGCAGTTGGTCGAAGCAGTCATATAGCCGTGCAAAGTTGAAGAGATACGCTTGAGCCTCTGCTGATGAGGGGGGCTTGCAGCTTTGGAAGGCCGAAGATGACATGCCGGTGCCCAATCCTAATATAAAAGAGTGCTTAGCGAGATGGCAGCTCCACGGGGCTGAGTATTCCTTTCCGTCTCGATATAAGGTGGCACGCCATCCACTCCCAGCTGCAAGGATTGCAGCCCACCAGCGAGCCTCAGCCGGCTCGACATGTCCCAGCGGCAATTCGAAAAGGCTACTCGAGGCAGGTCCGTCCGTCCCGCACCAATGCGCCATATTGTCTGTATATGTGACGCTGTCATTTGGTGTCACTCTCCGTAGCTCGATCAACCGGGCAGTAAAGACGTAGGACCAGCCTAGGACGCATACACAAAGGTGGTTTCCGGAGGATTGCGACATCCCTTCAAAACCAGATCACTCAGACATGTATCCATCTGACAATTGGCATAGGCTTGTGCGGGGCACACCAATGTACGCGCTTCGGGGGTAGGCGTCTTTCGTTGCCTTGAGATCGCATTCGTCATATGACGATTTATCAGAAACAGACCACTTTGAATGGCCTTCCAAGACAAGCAGATTCCCCTCGACAGCGTCAGAAACCTCTGAAGCGGACGGGATGGATGGGGTATTGTTGAGAAGGGTTCTGATCTCGCTGCACGAAGACGGGAGGCTGCTGGCAAGATGGGCTGATATGACCAGGCCGCTCCATGAAGCCCGGGAATAGGTTGAGATTCTAACCAACTGTGAGAAGGTCGGGCGTAGTATATCTGAGTGTCTGTTTTTTAAAGAATGCATGTTCAGGTATTGCCGAAGACGTAGTATGGTGTCCTATCTCAGGATACATTGCTTGCGGGAGCACTTGAGGTGGCAGTAGAGTCGGTCAAGGCGTCCTGTGCCTTATGTGATACAAAATAAATGAGAAAATTATACTAGTGGACTTGTCTGGTAATGGGATCTCTAGTTGCAGTGCTCCGTTGGTAGAGGAGTAAGTCCTCAGAATTATGAGAGGCTGGTATCATGTGATTTGCCTTTGGTCCTTACGTTGCAACCAGCCTGCTTTCTTACCTTTGGAATATGTCTTCGACCAGTTTGTTTCCCAGCTCATGCTATGCTATGTCCAGATCAACCGGGGCCGCCCCACGAACAAGACGATAGCTCAGGACGGACTAAGCGAGGACGAACTTCCAAAATATACATACTAGGATATTGTCGACTATGAATGCAATCATACAGGACTCTGCAAGTACATAAACACGCTCAAACAATTTCAACCACGAGACAAATCCGATACTCCCTCCACCCCAGCAACTACACAGCGTGTATCGTGTTCAACGTTGCTATGCCATCGCTATATCCGTAACAAGTCCAGGCCACATACTATTATCCCCCCAGCTGAGATAGTCCCACATCTGCTGGTCATTGGCATCGTGGACAAACGGGTAGATGAGGGCATCCAAGTGGGCCGCCTCGCTGTGGCTCGTCATCGCCCTATTCATCTCTGGCTGCGGCATCACCCCCAGCGCAGTCGCATCCCTGCGCACGGAATCCACCGCCGGGGCAAGAACCGGCAGGGCGGCGCCATGCACGGCGAGGTTATCGACGTGCTTGCTCGCCTCGAAGATGCGCGACACGGCGTCGAGGGAGGTCTTGGCGGTATGGCCGAGGGCGTGCATGCGGGCGAAGGTGAGCATGGCGGTCTCGACCTGGGCCTGACAGGAGCGGATGGAGGCGCGCGGGTCGGTGGCGGTCGGGTCGTTGATGAAGAGCCCCAGCAGGGGCACCATCGAGGCCAGGAAGGTCCACCAGACGGCGTTCCAGCCGCCGAGCTGGTTCGTCTGCGCGGTGGCGGCGATGTGCTGGATGGAGAGCTCGGCCATCTCGCGGCACTTCTCGATGGCGGTGCGCTCCTCGGTGCGCAGGGCCAGGTACGACACGCGCCGCATCGCGTAGCTCAGCAGCGTGGGGCGGTACAGCAGGATGCGCTGGTTGTAGTAGCGCCAGCGCATGACGTTGCGGACCGTCTTGATGCGCTCCGGGCACGGCTCGTAGTCTTTCAGAATCGCCGGCAGGTTCTCCCACCATTCCAGCAGCTGCGCGTCCATCTGTGCGGCCTGGTGCTTGCCCAGCGGCGCGGCTGCGAGGAGTTCCTGGATCTCGGTGGCGATCCGCGCAAAGCGAATGTTCTCCACCAGCGGGAGAACGTCCATAAGTGTTTCCTGTGCGGCCGATGAGGCCCTGTTAGCCTCGGTAGTTATGTTGCCAGGAAGGAAGCTTACCTCGTCCCGGCCGTGGGGAGGCTTGACCGTGATAGTCAAACCAGTCCGACCCATGCTCGGCCGACCGAGAGTCATACCGGCCCAGGTGTCCATGCAGAACAGCGACCACCAGGTGCGGCGCTTGATATCCAGGGACGCCGCCGTCGCCGGGTCCAGCACCTGGTCGTGCTTGATCGGTTCCTTGTGGAGGCCCCGGGCGGTTGCCATTCGCAGGGCGGCGCCCATGAGCGACTGGGCGAGTTCGGGCTGACTGAGGTAGTGGCAGTACCAGCCGCTGATCAGACCCAGCGTCTGGATGATCTCGATCTGCGGGTTGCCCAAGGCGCTCAGACCCAGGTTCTCCTCGCAGCGCTGGTAGTAGATCTGATGCGTCGTGTCGTTTGGGTTCGTCGCCGCGACGCTGCCCAGGGCCAGCACGATATTCAACAGGGCCAGCCAGGGTTTGTCCCGGCGGTGGCCGGCGAGGTACGTCTCGCGGAAGGACTTCTCGTCGATCATGGGACAGAATGCATGGAAGATGAGGAAATAGGCATCGAGGAACTGCATCTCGGTGAGCGGGAGATGCTGCGGCTGCAACGGGGCCACCGGCGCATGTGGCAGCCAGCCCGATGGCGCTCCATACGCCGTCCCCTCGCCAGCACTGGTGGGCTTTCGCGACAAGTACGAGGCGCAGCCCGGGTTTAACAACACGATGACTTTCAGGACAGCCTGGGTCGACGAGATGCCGAGATACGACGAGGGCTGTCGAGCACACAAGGCCAGGCCGTTGACATCGTCCGAGAGGCCTTGGTCGGGATCGGTAGAGCCAGTATGTTGCCGGTCGAGGGGCTCGGCGGGCATGGTTTGCAAGAGCTCCAGGTTGTCATCCTCGGTCGAGTCGCCATGTGTCGCTACGGATGCCAGGGTGGCCGTTGGCGAGGAGCTGGGCTGCGGTATACTGCCCGGCGACTGCTGCGACTGAGCGGCGAGGACTTCGAGCAGCTTCTCGCGAGGCAGGTTATCCAGCGACTCGACGTTGACGTTGGGGAACAGCGTGCCCAGAACCCGTCGGTATGTGTCAAGGGTGGCGGACACTTCCTTGACCCGTTTACTGTTCTCTGTGTTGAGTTGAAGGCTCCCCCAGGGCGAGTAGTATGCAGCACTGACCTGTCTGATGTCCGCGGGTGTGCATAGTGGCACTGGTCGGCCTTTCTGTACCAGCGACAGGCCTCACACGGCCTCTCGCCGTCGCACTTGATCTTGCGATGGCGACAGGAGGTACACGCCCGCGCGGTCGTCACTCGCCGGCCGGTCGTCTCACCTCGTTCTCCGCCGGGCCCCTGTCGGCCTGGGGCCGCCCGCGAAGCGCTTTCGCTGCCGTCAAAAGTGTGAAACATGATGGCGCAGGCATGAGCTCAACACGCAAACGCAACGAGCAGGGAAGTCAATAACCAACCCAACCCCTCACTGTGATTAAAAGACAACAGCCGAGAGGGCTAATTAGCGCCACCTGGGGTTTGAAGAGGAGGTGGCGCTAACGAGGGTAGTGCATTTAGCCCGAAACGATGCTAAATCAGCCGGTGGGAGCATCTCGGCATCTGTCCAGGCCAAGTATCATGACCGAGAGACACCGAGTTGATCAAAACTCGCCAGCTCTGTGTTCGGCCTCGTAGGCCGTGTCGAATGGATACATCCGGATGTCAATCGGACAAGATACGTGCACGTCTGACGGGGCAGTGCATGTCTGGGGCCAGGAGATGTCTCACCAGAACCTGGAAGAAAGACGATCACAATCAAATCGGGAAACGTCTTATATCAGACTCGGTCTATTTAAGCAGCGTCGTCTGCTCTGTCGGTCGACTCGGTCTTCATCTTCCATCCCACCGCTCCGCTGCAATGCCTAACATGAAGCTCTTGATCGGACTCTCTACGCTGGCGGCCACTGTCCTGGGCCAGGAACTCTGCGCCCAGTACGACAGCGCGTCCAGCCCTCCCTACTCGGTGAACAACAACCTGTGGGGAGAGGATCAAGGCACCGGAGAGCAGTGCGTCTACGTTGACAGCCTCTCGAGCTCCGGGGCGTCGTGGCACACCACTTGGACCTGGAGTGGCGGCGAGGGCACGGTGAAGAGCTACTCGAACTCGGGCGTCACGTTCGACAAGAAGCTCGTCAGCGATGTGCAAAGCATTAGCACCTCGGTGTCATGGTCGCAGGACAACACCGACGTCAACGCCGATGTCGCGTATGATCTGTTTACCGCGGCGAACGTCGACCACGCCACGTCCAGCGGCGACTACGAACTGATGGTTTGGTATGCATTCATCTCCCCTAGGGCCGGTTCGACTATTTCACTGTTTCACAAGACAACTAACCGGTCGGTGTGCAGGCTCGCCCGCTACGGCACGATCCAGCCCATCGGCACGCAGATTGCCACGGCCACCGTGGGAGGCCAGTCCTGGGAGGTGTGGTACGGCACCAGCATCCAGGCCGGCGCCGAGCAGAAGACCTACAGCTTCGTGGCGGGTAGTCCCATCCAGTCCTACAGCGGGGACCTCAAGGCGTTCTTCGACTATCTCACCCAGTCGCAGAGTTTCCCCGCCGATTCCCAGTACCTGATCAGTAAGTGATCCCGAAGTTGGCCCCAAGAGTCCGTCTAACAGCCGGCGTGTAGATCTGCAGTTCGGAACCGAGCCGTTTACTGGGGGACCGGCCACGTTCACCGTGTCCGACTGGACCGCCAGCGTCGCCTAGACACGGGGCTGTGCATTCTGTTGGGAGGCAGGACATGCACGGGCGTCCGCGCTCGATGAAGCATGAGGTGGACCTATTCAGAGGGTACATAGATAGTGAACAATTGAGTGAACAATGCGCTTGACTCCGCTTGGCCCTTGCCTGTTTAGGCCCTTTTTTTCGGTACTTCGGAGTAAGTTCACGCCAGAGGACGATCCTAATAATAATCATCTACTCCGAAGATGAATAAACGGTGGTCCGGGCCGAATATCCCCTAGTGCTTACGAGACCATCGTCTGATGCAGTGGGTCGTCTGGGGCAGAGTAAGAGGATTAGGGCTGACCAAGAAATTTGTAAGTACTACGGGTCTCTACTGAGCAGGGTCTCTCAGGTCTCTAGAGCCAGTTTTTGGCCGGACAACTCCGTATGAAGTAAAAACTACCCGAATACAGTCTCGGACAGTCACAGACCCTACGGAGTACGAAGTAGGCCGCTAAATCCGGTTGTAAGTTTCATAGTAGATATTATTATACCTCAGATCTGCATATGAGCATGGATCCATAGCGATTCTATCGACGGTGGACCAGGATGAAACAACGTGGCTTGTAAAGTATCAAGCTGGCACAAGGCGTTTAGCGCTCGGAGCACAGGCTTCATCTATATTTTTATTGGCAGTAGAGCTCACGTTCTGTACAACGATCATCATCGAAGCTGCTGCGAAAAGTAGAAACGCAACGGACCCTTTCCCGGCCGATCGTCGGCTTTCCCCCGACTCCGTGCTGTATAAGGCTGGTGCATAAAACACGACCAGGCGTCCCACTCACTAATAAAGCATGCTCTTCTAGTCGTTTCTGCATGATGATAACCTCGGGAAAGTGTTCCGCTGATCTCCACGCCGTCGTGGTGGACAACCCTGGCCATACGGAACTCTACGAGCCTGGGACGCCTATCTTGGTCGTCAACAGTACCGTTGAAGACCTCGACGAAGCAGTATTGTCTTGTGGGAGGCATTTTGTTCTTTTCAACCCGGCTTCAATATCCCAGACAGATGTTGTTGCGAAAGTTAGATCAGCAGGAGAGAAGGCCGGGGAAACAATCAGGGTGTGGTTTGGACACGAAAGCGCGAATGAACCTCATGGACGGACTGAGCAACAGAAGAAAAAGTCGCTCAGCTCACTTGACGAGATATCTGGAGCTTCTAATCGATCGCATGGAGGCCTCATCCTCGCTGTTATCCAATCTCAACGGGACAGAGAGAGAGTTGCAAATCTCGAAACGAATCTCCGGATACGGCGTTACGACTTTGGAGGACAGAACTCAGTCGCACACTTGGACGTCGACAGTGAACTGGTGACGGTGACTGACCAAGCCGCACAATGCATTCTGCAAGGGCAAAATGTCCTGTTTGTGGTGGAAGGACAGACGTTATACGCTATGAAAAGCTTTCTTCGACTTCTCGTTCCACAACCTAAGTATATACTGTCAATAGTGAGTTCCACCCTCAACTCACTGCTACATAACAGCAACTAACTGATAATAGTCTCCAGACATCCTAGTACCGACACTCGAAGCTCTCCGAATCAAACGTGCAGAGCTGGTCGGTTCAATATCACCCGGCTACGTAGTCTGGCGATCACACGAGCCAACATCAAAATTCACAGGGGTCCCGCTAGTCATCTGTCCTAGAAAGCCAGACGAAACAATCCTACAGGACATAATCACCCGGACAAATCCCCCCAAAATGCAGTACCAACGGCTCGGCAAAAGCGCCATAAAGGTATCCAGGATCATCCTGGGCTGCATGACATTCGGCAATCCGGCCTGGGAAGGCAGCCCCTGGGTCCTCCCAGAGGAAAAAGCGCTCCCTCTGCTCAAAGCGGCCTTCGACTGCGGCATCAACACGTGGGACACGGCGAACACCTACTCCAACGGCCAATCCGAGATGATCATCGGCAAGGCGCTCGAAACATACTGCATCCCGCGGAGCAAGGTGGTCATCATGACCAAGCTGTACTACCCTGTGCTGGACGCGGAGGACCCTCGCCGCCCAAGCCCGGCTGTCAACACAGGCGAACTCGTGAACCAGATGGGGCTGAGTCGGAAGCACATCTTCGAGGCAGTGGATGCGTCGCTGCGACGTCTGAAGACCACCTACATTGACGTGTTGCAGCTGCACCGGTTGGACCCGGACGCTGAGCCGGAAGAGATCATGCGCGCGCTCCATGATCTCGTGCAGATGGGCAAGGTGCATTATCTCGGTGCGTCGAGCATGTACTGCTGGCAGCTGGCGAGACTACAATACACGGCGAAGATGAACGGGTGGACCCAGTTCAGCAGTATGCAGAACTTGTATAATCTGCTCTATCGCGAGGAAGAGCGGGAAGTCAACCCGTTCTGTCGGGCTGAGGGGATTGGGCTGGTCCCGTGGAGTCCGTTGGCAAGGGGACTGCTTGCGAGGCCGTGGAACCAGGTTACAGAACGGTCGAAGAAGGATGCTAAGACGACGAAGTGGTTCAAGGGTGATGCGGATGGTGAGATTGTTCGTCGGGTGGAGGTCCTCGCACGGAGGAAGGGGTGTACTATGACTGCTGTTGCGATCTCCTGGTTGCTGCATAAGGGTGTGTGTCCTATTGTGGGATTGAACACAGTGGAGCGTATCGAGAGCATATCCGAAGCGCTTTCTGTGAAGTTGGAGGAGGGAGAGTTGAAATTCCTCGAAGAGTGCTATTCTCCTCTTGCTGTGCAAGCCATATAAACGGTTGTCATAAAGTTTACTCTATGGATTCACTTCAATATGAAACTAGACGCTAACGCGACTTGATACAGCACTAACCACTAACAAAACAGACGACTATAAGCCATTTTAGGTATAGATCATGACAACAATACATCTTATAAGCAGCAGCCGCACCGGAGAGAAGCCCGATCCATCATCGCATAGTCCTATGCCCCAGAAACACGGTCATTCTCCCGGAAAAGAAGCTATCCGCAAACTATGCTCCCCAATCACGCTGCAAAATTGGACGTCAGATCAGGAAAGGCAAACTCCCCGAGATCTGGAAGAAACAACTCCTCCGGAGGCTGAACCGACACATCCCCGACAACCTGCAACGGCGTCTGCCCGAGCAACTGCATGCCCGGAACCGAGGCATCCGCCGGTGGCACGCCGTACGTGAACGGAAACTGTGCATCCGGCTGTTTCCCAATGACATGCTGCACGCCGAGATCCGCTGCGCAGTCCAGCATCTTACGAGTCAGCCCGCCGGTCATCCGGCTGAGGGGATGCTGGGGGATGCAGGGCGTGTTCCGGAACAGGGTCAGGACCCGGTTGATTAGGGAGAACTCCTCTTCTAGCCTAAACGCTAACTGCTCGCGGTAGTTCCTACAGACCTCCAGCAGGAAGTGCCCTGCAAACGCAATCATGATGTGGAAGTAGTGTGGCATGCCCACAAGGCCCTGTTGCAGCTCCGGTTCGTTGAGGATCATCTCAAACGTTGCGGTGGCGGCTTCGTGCGCCATGCCCGCTGCGCGGAGGAGATGCGTGGGGATGGGTTTGCCGTGGAGGCCCTTGAACACCTGGTGGCCCAGGTACAGTTTACCGAACTGATAGTGGAGCTGGAGGCCTCGCGTCGGGAAGTCGCCGATGTGGGCGTTTGTTACGAACAGCGAGGAGAACTTGCTGAACCACCTGTCTAGCTGGCGGGAGAAGCCGAGGATCTGGCTGGAGAGCGCCTGGGGGAGCTGGGTTTCGGTGTCGGATCCTAGAACGTCGCGGACTTGTCCCATGATCAATAGTAGAGACACTTGGGATAGAATGCGGACGTCCGATTCGGTGGCTTCTGCGCGGTGCAGATACGACTCCCAGCTGACGGCGATTTGGTTGTCTCCCCGGAGAAGCGGGTCGCGGTTATGGAGAATGGATAGGTGCTGGTCGCATACAAAGAGTAGGTACCAGAGTCGGACGCGGTCCGAGAGTTCTGATGGAGCAGCTGCGGATGACGGTGACGGTACTGAAGTAATGCTTCGCAGGCCTAGCAAGTGCTCAAAACTGCGATGTAATCGCATATCCCCTGCGCGCCGAATTGCATCGCTCGAGAAGATGCGTGATGCATCCGTGAGCCAGAAAGAGCCGATGCAGAGCGCCCTGATATACTCTATATCCTTCTTCTCAAATAACGACCGGGATACGAGAGATCGAAACTCCCTGTTGCATGCCACATATGTCCTATGGTCCTGTGGATCATGAAGGGCCGAGACCGCGCAGATGGCGGCGAAGAGGACAGGCGAGGTGGTACGGAGCTTCGAGGCATCTTGCGGGGGTCCTCCAATGCCGTAGAGATAGTGATCCAGCCGGGAGAAGTAGTTCGCTACGAGACGCTCCGCCACCTCCATGGTGATAATGCCCTTGCTCACGAGGTCTTCCCTCGCGTCGCGCTTGTGGTGATGATGATGTTCGCCGGATCGAGGGCTGCCGAGCTTTGCAATGTCCAGGAAAGTATCAATCGGGGCTTGCACGGCGCTGGGCGATTGAGGAGGTGAGACCTCGCAATCGTCTTCCTTGTTGCTGTCTTCATGACCGTGCGGCTCTGCCGCTGTACCATTCTCGTTGACTGCATTTCCTGTAGCATTCGTACAAGTCAGTGGCTTGGGATTGTCCAGCTCCAAGTGTTGGCAAATGGTGCTCAGTGTGTCGTGGATATTCTTGACATCGTCCTGGATCAACATTGTAGTCCTGGTTGCATTAGCGCCTTTCATATACTGCAGCGGTAGTGGTCCCAAGTATCACTCACTTCATGTCTTCTAGTAGGGACTGAAGGCTTCGGCTCAGCACGCACGACAGCCCGCGACGACGACACCGCACACATGGTGGGCCCTCCTCGGGCATATCACACCGAATCTTGTTCTTTCTGCACGCAGCACATGCCGTGATCTTGCGGGTGATGCCCGACAATATCTCGACTACATTCCCATCGGTGTGTCTGATTCTTTTGCCTTGGGGACCACTAGATTCAGATCCCTGTCCATTAGATGTCCCATTGGCATCATCCATCTGGGGAACAAACAATGCATCTTGGGGGAATCTCCTTTGATCAGCCAGGTTCTCCGATCCCAGCGTGGTGGGAGGGTATGTATGCGGCCCACTGTGAGGCGGAGATGTAGTGGCCTGAGACCACGAGGGCTTTCTCTTCGGCATGAGGCTGTCTTAGGCGATGGTCCGCTTGTAGGGATGTCACTTGGGGTTCGGAGGAAGCGCGCAAGTCCATCGTTGGAGAAGGCCACCACAGCAGCCTAGGTGGAGAAGAGTAAGAGACCCCACAAGAACGAGTTGAATCAGTATCTGACTCCGTACAAACCCCGCATGTCTGGTTGGTGGTGATGTCCGGGGGCGATTAGTCCGGGGCAGCCCCGCATAGTTCGGGTGAAGTCCGAGAGATACTAGTAGTACATTATGACCATACCGCCAGGAAGGAACACAAGACATTCTTTTACTGGTCTTGATGGCATTATAGCTCTACAAGTTTACCTGTTCTCCTCAGACCAACCACCAAATACAGACATTTGAAGCCCTATACCCATCACCATGACCGCGGCAGTCGCAGACAAAGCAACCCCCTTACCAGGAGGCATCTACTGCCCAGTGCTTTCAATCTACAAACCAACCCCCCGACAAGAAATAGACCTGGACGCCTCATACAAATACTTCTCCTACCTCATCCGCGGGGGAATGGACGGCCTCGTCCTGGCCGGCACCACCGCCGAAGCCGTCCTGCTCTCCCCTACTGAACGCCAGGACCTAGTCCGCGTCGCCAGAAAGGCAGCGCTCGACCTAGGACTAAGCAATTACCCGCTGGTGGCTGGAATCAGCGGTCAATCCACCAACGAGTCCATCCGTCTCGCCGAGGAAGCCCAGCAGGCGGGTGCAGATTTTGGTCTGCTGCTGCCTCCCAGCTACTGGGCCAAAGCAGTAAACAAGAATGTGATTCTGGATTTCTACCACGAAGTGGCGGATCACACCGGGATCCCGATTGTGGTTTACAGCGTATGTCTATCTTCCTGTGGTTCGCGAAACACGCTGGTACAGGCGACTAACTCATGTATAGTTTCCTGCAGTCTGTAATGGAGTAGACATGAACTCGGACGTTTTGTCAGAACTGGCGCATCATCCGAATATCGTGGGAGTCAAGCTCACGTGCGGAAACGCAGGCAAGGTAACCCGCCTGACACAGGAATATACCATGTCGCAATTCAGCGTCCATGCAGGGTCGTCGGACTGGCTGCTTCCGTGTCTCATCGGTGGAGGCGCAGGTTGTGTGACAGGGATTGGAAATGTGTTTCCCAAATCCGTTGCGAGGCTATATGCTCTATGGAAGGAGGGAAAGATCGAGCAAGCGCGCGAGCTGCAGGGCCTCGTGGCGCAGGCAGAGAAGGCTTGTAAGGAGGGTATTGCGCCGACCAAGTTTGCCGCTGCGCATTTTGTCGGCTCGAAGCTGGGCATCACCGATTCACAGGCCTTTTGGCCCCGGAAGCCATACAAGCCGTCGGGAAAGGAAATGCAGGAATGGGTGGTTTCTGTGATGAAGCATCTGGCTGAGATTGAAGACTCCTTGCCGGAGAAGCATGTGATATAGAGCATAGAAAGGTTTAGATGTAAAATGCATAATGTAGTTATCTATTCTCAATCTATCCATAAATGTGGTCTTATTAGACGAAAAAGTCATCTTTCAGCTGCACGTACTTGATCCTCTGCCTCCAGAATGTAAATGCAATATGCAGAGTCCCATCCTTTCCAACAACCATGCTCGGATACGAAAGCTCCCGGTTCAGCTTCTTCTCGCTGTTGTTCGTCATGCAAAACCCGTCCCCGTCTTCAAGCACTCTGCGCTCCCAGGTGACTCCGTTATTATCACTCCAAGCTACACACAACGGTGCCCTAGGTGCGCCCCAGAAGGCCGATTTGCCGCTCTTAGTAGTCTGGTTCGTGCGATCATCGCCAGCATCCCCGATGTCATCATACAACCCTTCCCGACGCCCGGTGGCGTTGTCCTTGGAGGAATGATTGTATACCAAGACGACTCTACCCGACGGCAGCACATCAAAGCAGATGCCTGCGTTGGGATTGGGCAACGGTGTTGTCTCTGGCGAAGACCACGTCAATCCATCCCGAGACCTGGACAAGTACACATTATCTGCCCACCGACTGCGGAACAGCGCAAGATACTGCCCGTCTTTCAGTCGTTGGATCGCCATGTGCACGCACCCAGTGCTGTTCGGGACCTCGGCCTCGCTCCAGGTCTGTCCCTGGTCTTTTGAAAAACGGATGCACGAGATATCGTCGCTCCCCATCCATCTCTGGCCAGGGTCGACCCGACATTTGAAAACCGGCAGCACCCATGTACCATCCTCAAGTAGCCTAATCGGCTGTCGAATGAACGTTCCTTGGTCTGGGAAAAGAGCTTCTTCCGGACCCCAATTCTTCCCACCGTCTTTCGAAATCCGATGTTTTATGATCGCCGAGTCTTGATCACCAGCATGCTGCGAAGTGTATAGGAGCCAAACGTCACCGCAGGGCGCCTGGAAAAGCAACGGGTTCTGCTCGCTCCGGCTATTGTCGTGGGTCATTTTATCTGCAGGGGCCCATTCTTCGGTCCCGGCTCGCAGCCGGGACATGTAGATGCTGATGTCTGGTTTTCCCTCCATTGTGCCACCGAACCACGCGCAGAGGAGATCGCCGTTGGGAAGAAACAGGAGGTTAGAGGCATGGCATTGCACTGTAGCAGCGGGCAGGAAAGCTTCTTTTCGAAAATACGGCCCATTGACGCTGCGAACGCCACAGTCACTCGGGATGGTTTCGGTTGCAGTAGTAGTGGCCATTCTGCGCCGGAGGGGAGAGGATTACTGCACAATGTAGGTCCAGCTTCGTTCACGTTCAGCTATCAATCGTCAAAGCTTGGACATTATTCCAATTTATTATGGTCTAGCCTGAATGGAGCATTTTCGGTTTGACTTCAACCGCATCCCGCATCCCATGTCGGGCATCTTCCGACGAGCTCGTGGAGACGATCACGAACCCCCCGCACGCACTAAGTATCGGTCGACTGTCCGATATCAATATTGGCTTCGTTAGCTTGAGGTGACCCCATGGGGTACGGGGATGACGGGCCCACCCAATTCTACAGATATGTCATGCAAGGGGACGGAAATGAGAGGAGTATTTATCTTGTTGTTAACCCATTGCCATCAGACAGTCTCCCCTGTAGAGGTCTTCTCTAAGCTTGCCTAACCTCTTCTGCACAATGGCCGGCGGAACAAGCATTTGGTTCAGCAAAGAGGCAAGATCCGACCCTAAGGAGATCTTCAACAGACGACTACTATACCTTCTTGTCTCCGTTTCTTGGGCAGGATGCTTCTATGGTTTCGATACCGGTAATATCGGGGGCATTCTCACCCTGAAGTCCTTTGAGAATGCCTTTGGTTTGATCAACGTCCCTCAAGCCGAGATTGACAACCGCAAGGTATGCGATCAGCCACCACTACCTCGCCGCAGGCTATACTAATCCAGCTAGGGCACCATAGCAGCCATGCTTGCAGGCGGAGCATCGGCCGGCTCCATCCTCGCAGCCCCGACCTCTGATTTCATCGGTCGTAAATGGAGCGTATTCCTCTGGGGCGTGGTTTTCCTCGTGGGCGCCGCGATGCAGATGGATGCCAATTACGACGTCCTGATTGCCGGGCGCTTCATTGGAGGCATGGGCGTCGGGGCCAGCTCCATGCTCACGCCGCAGTTTCTGGCGGAAAACTCGCCCAAGTCCGTGCGTGGGTCCATGACGGCCACGTATAACCTCATGATCTTGATGGCCCTCATGCTCGCCTTCTGGGTGAACTACGGCGTGTCGTTGTGGTCGTACCCCGGCGTCGAGCATGATCATCGACAGTGGAGAACCGCCATGGGCATCCAGCTGATCCCCGGCGGCCTGATGTGTCTTATGATCCCCTGGGTTCCGGAGACGCCCCGGTACTTGATTAACCACGGCAAGGCTGAGCAGGGGTTGAACAATATCTGCAGGCTGCGCAAGCTCCCTGCGGACCATGAGTACGTGCAAATCGAGTACCAGGAGATTCAGGCCCAGGTGCGCTACGAGCAGGAATGCTACGCGGGACACAGCTACTGGGTTGTGGCGAAGGATATTTTCACAATCAAGAGCAATTTTCGACGGTTCTTCCTGGCTATCATGTTATTCCTGTTCCACAAATTCACCGGCACCGACTCGTTGAACGTAGGTACACGCATCTATCTTTTATGCCACACCGCTAACTGGCCTAGTACTACGCTCCGGAGATCTTTCAGCTTATCGGAGTACATGATGACTCGTCTCTGCTCACAACCGGCGTGTACGGCGTCGTGAAGTTCGTGGTAACCATCATCTACGTCGCATATCTGGTCGACCGGGTAGGCCGTCGCCTGCCTCTGCTCATCGGCGCAACGATGCAAGCCACAGCGATGCTGTACTTGGCCCTTTACCTCCGCTTCGCCGGTGTCTCTGCTACAAATGCGGGGGGAGGAACGCCAGCCGGTGGGATCGTCGGTGTAGTCTGGATCTACATCTATGCGCTTGGCTGGTCGTTCGGTCACAGTGTAGCGTGCTACGTCGTGGCCGCAGAGATCTTCCCTACGAGAATTGTAAGTACTCTTCCGAAGCACTGTGGAAGACGTTACTGACTAGTTCATAGCGGTCCGTCTGCATGTCGTTTTGTTTCTTTGTCAACTGGATCGTTGACTATGGAATCACCCGCGCGACTCCGAATATGCTTACGAATATGGGATGGGGCACATTTCTGTTGTATGCTATGCTTACCTATGCTGGCGTCGTTTTCATCTACTTCTGTCTGCCTGAGATGAAGGGCCGTTCCATTGAGAGTATGGATGATCTGTTCCAGCGGCCGCTTTGGACCATGTGGAGGCATGCGTACCCTACAGAGGAGGAGAGAACTCGGCATGGAGTGGTCGAGGCAGCGCGGAAAGGCGAGGATCTTGGTGCAGAGCAGAAGAAAGACGTGCAGCATGTAGAGGCTGTGTAGGTCACGCGTTCTGATAATGATTGTCGTATTTCTTCCTGCATTTCTTTGATGTAATCTCCGAATATAAAAATACTCGAGCACTCCGGTTGTCAAGGTATAGTCTCCATGACGCTGATTATATATCCATGCAGCGCGGATGGTCTCCAGACTGAAGATTTGAATATAGTATGACATTTGAATAGGTAGAACTAAGCTAGGATATTCGCTGCTACTGATTGTCTAATATATATTGCCCTAGACGGGCTCGCATGGAGGTTTAGAGCTGCGGTTCTGAATATGTCGGCACCTGTCCAGGATCTGGGTAGAAATCCGCCTCCCATGACAAGCCTTCGACTTTTCTAGGTCTCTCGCTTGGGATGCTTTCCATATTGGAATATGACTCGTTGTGCGAAAGCCGAGGGACAGCTGTGCATCGGGAATGTCTTCCCCGCAACATCGGCCGTTCCATGCGTGGATGCGTCGGTCATGATCCGCATCTGTAGTGCTAGAGCCAATATCGGGCTGTCTCCGACCCTTTTGCGAAGTGTAGTATCATATTATATTAAATTTGAATGTCTGTACTTCGTTCTATCCACAATCAATTACCTCACAACATGACAACATTCACACTCAACACCGGAGCCAAGATTCCCGCCGTGGGATTCGGCACATGGAAGGCAGCACCAGGAGACGCAGCAGCAGCAGTTGAAGCTGCATTCGACGCAGGGTACCGCCATTTCGTACGTTGATACTCGCCCTCTATAGGAATATCGCTGACCAGGGACAGGATTGCGCGCCGTTATGTACGCTCCTGAATACCTGAACCACCCTGGAAACTCATCTAACTCATCTCCAGACGGTAACGAAGCCGAAATCGGCCAAGTCTTCAAGAACACCAAAGTCCCGCGTGAAGAGTACTTTGTCACCACCAAGCTGTGAGTTCTCCACATAGACTCCCTAAAACCCGGCTCCTAACACAAACCAGCTGGTCCTCCGACCACCGCCGCGTCGAAGAAGCCCTCAACAAGAGCCTGCGCGATCTCTGCCTCGACTATGTGGACCTGTACCTGATGCACTGGCCGGTGACTCTCGACCCCGACCCGAGCGTCGAATACGGAAAAGAAAACCGCAAGGTGCACGCCGTCGGCTGGGACTTTCGCGACACCTGGCGCGAAATGGAGAAGCTCGTGGGAACGGGCAAGGTCCGCGCGATCGGGGTGGCCAATTTCTCCACCGTGAACCTCGAGACGCTCCTCTCGACGGCCTCGATCGTGCCGGCCGTGAACCAGACGGAGATCCAGCCGTTGCTGCCGCAGAAGAAGCTGAACGAGTACTGCAAGAAGAAGGGCATTCACCAGACGGCTTTTGGGCCGCTAGGTGGCTCCGGAAGTACCTTGCACGAGCACCCTGTTATTGTGAAGATTGCGAAAACGCATGGGTGTGAGACGGGGAATGTGATGCTCAGCTGGGGGATTCAGAAAGGGTGGAGTGTTATCCCGAAAAGTACGAATCCGAAGAGAATCAGGGCCAATATCGCGCAGAATTTTGAGCTGAGTGCGGACGAGATGGCTGAGATGGATGGGCTGGCTGAGCCGGTGGGGAAGAGGTTCAATCGGCCGGACTGGGGGACTGTGATATTTCATGATGATGAGGCCGTAAGGTTGGAGGACTAGATGATAGCAGATGTTGCCTAATAGATCATCCGATTGGAGTATACGTATATACTATTCTAGTATTGAATTGCATAGAGTTGTTGGGACTGTCTGACGTATCTTTATGATAATCGTCTTCTTCAGAGGCGAGACTATGTCCGATCTACTGCTAATATCTACCTAGTAGATGGCGAAGGCTGCTTCGCACTCGAATCTATACCAAGCCTGAACTTTTCACTCATTACTATTAGTCTTGTGCGATCGGCATTCATGATAACCTCAACAATGTTCCCAACCAATCTACCTAGTATACCGGGTTTCTCTAGTACAGGAATCCTCCAGCTGGAAGAATCGGGCTTCTCTCCTATCTCTAGTGTATGCCTACCCCGGATCACGGTGACCTGTCCGTAGCCAAGGATGTTCGTAGTCCCAGTGTAGTCCCAATGCGACTGACATTGTTTGCCTTGCAGTATCAAATAACCATTTCTAACACGACATAGCTGTGTCAGAATCTACATCTGGGTAGTTTAAAAATGAAGTACAGAGCACAGAGGGTACCAGGACATGGAGTACGATATCCTTGGTCAGTCAAAAGCCCCTAAGTACTTAAGTCATAATTTTGGAGAAAAAGTGTGTCTTTAGTGGCAAGGTGGGAGAGTGGTTAATCCGTCAGACTTGAAATCTGATCCCTTTGGGGTCGTCGGTTCGAATCCGGCCCTTGTCGTTTTTTGCCTTTCTTATATTTATAGTTATCTTTTTATACTGCACTAGAGGCAAGCGACAGCGCATATATGGTGCAGTCCTTTCTTTTTATAATTTCATCATAAATAGTGATGTTAACCACTAAAACCAGGGTCCACAAAGGTAAACAAGGCCAGGTCAATCGCCCGCAACACGCATAAATTCACCTTCAGTATGTTTCCACACCTGACCGACTACTCCCTCTTCTCGCAGCCCTGCCAGAAACTCAAGCGTCTCGCGGGACGCGCTGTCCCCATCCACGCCGATGGAATATACCCCGCTGCCCAGCTCACCGTTTATCCCACGGACAACGTCGACGATACCCTCCGGCGGCGGCGAAGAGTCCACTCTTTGCAAAGGCAGATATCGTGCACTGGTCACCAGGTACATGTGACGCTCACCACTCTCCTCTGCTGACATCAAGTCGATTTTGTCCGTCTCACGCCCAGCCAGCATACGCTGAGCTAGCGGCGTGTCCACCGGCCCCGGATAGTCGTGGATAAAGCTCACCTCAGGAGCTGACTGCGCGACAGCCTCCACGCCGAGAGTGATAAGGGTGGAGAGGTGTCCGCGCAGCAGCTCAAGAGGCACGTGAAGTGCGGGAAAGTCCGTGGTGTCCAGCGGGCCTTCGATACCTCCTCCGGCGACGGTGACCACGCGACGAAGGCAGGGCGCCTGCTTGACGAGAGGGAGAAGGCGGGTGATGAACCGCAGACGGGAGTAGTAAAGTAATGCAGCTAGTAGATGGAGCTGCTCGGAGGTTTCTGTTTCGAGTCTGATATCAGTGGTGTGGTCGTTGTACGCCGGGAATGGGGTGCATACCACTCCGATCAAGACTGGGGACGCCCGCGCTGAGAAAAAGTATGTTCAGATGGGTCTCCTGCGCTCTGATCTCTGCGCAGACTTCATCGACCACCCGGATGAGGCTCACATCCGCTGGAATGAAGATATACTCTCCTTCCGGGTTGAGCGCCGCGCACTCGGCTATGATGCGGTCGGCTGCCTCCTGGGAGCGACCGACAAAGTACGCACGCGGGCGACGGGTATACTTTGCGAATGCCTTCAATGTGGCTGCTCCGATCCCACTGGTAGCGCCTACGAAGAGGGCCACCAGGCCCGGCGGGAGTGTCGACGACGCCTGGGCATTGGAGAGCTGGATTTCTGCAAGAGACAACATGATTGAGGGCGAACATATCCTGGGGAATCCATTTGAGCAGACCGCTGGCTATCTTTATGGTTGTTGGCGAAGCACCGATCAGAGTATGACTGACGAGAAAACGCCGAACGCGCATCGCAAACGCCGGTCGTGTCATATTCTCGACCCGCGCTACCCATTCAGCTTTTCACTTCACCCCTTCCCCATGGATCTCTCGTCTCTTCGTTCGGCATCAAGGAAGACGCGGTCGGCGTGTAATCGCTGTCATGCGCAGAAACTCCGATGCGTGCGGAAAGCTGGTCAGCTACAGTGTGAACGATGTCTGCGGCTTGGTACGGCCTGTGTGTTCTCTCCCCGCGCACCGCGGGGCTCGATGCAACGAGAGCGCTCGCGGCCGTTGGAACAGCAAAATGCAGCCTCTGACCGCGATGGGAGCGCAAATATGCTGCGGCCTCTTGGTAGTGACGATAGCCTCGACCTAGCAGTGGACTGGCCTGTGCAAGGCGATGTCTGGTCCAGCCTCGACATCGATCTGTTCAGCCCAGAGTCACACCAACTAGAGAATACGACGAACGAGCAACCCTTATGGACTCCAGATCCAGACAGTCGTCATTCCTGGAGCCTTACGAGACAGGACCTCGTGGAAACGCTTCCCGCGCCAGAATGGCCACCAGCGATGGGTATTACGCACGGCCTGGCGAATATGAGTATCGCGCTCGCAGAACTGACAACAAAACTTCCATCTACATCAGAGACTCCTTGCGCGCGAGGTGAAGATAGACGTCATGCCCGTCGGGAAATGCCATTCATATTCGACGAACTGTTCGGTCATACCACCCAGTTCATCAACCTGGTCAAACATTTGCTTGTCGACCGGGAGCTCCAAAACGAAGCGACCGCTCTCATGGTCGGGTCTTGTCACTCGCGACTGGCAGAGACGTACGGGACTATCTTTTCTCTCATCCAGCGCTGCATCCAGCACTCTCTGCCGCCAGTGTGTCTGGACTGGACCGTTGTTCTCCCACAAGTGCAGCTGGGCTCGCTCACCTCCAATGCGATGCGCGTGGACGCTCAAACACAGCTGTCGCCCGGGAAAACAACCATGTACATGTTGATGATTACGGTGTTTTCCTCGCAACTGTGGACACAACTGATTGAGGTGGTCCGCGGCCAGCACCCGATGCCTGTTGTGGCCTCTGGGGCGACGTCGTTGGCACACACTGTGTGGACAGAGATGATGGACCGGGTGGATGGGTTGTTGCAGACTATTGAGCGGACCCAGAGCTTGCTTCGTTAGATGTGAGAGGTCTGATTCTATGGCGGACTAGACCTACATCGTGGATCCCGGGCTTTACTCTGTACAGTAGTCGGGATTTCAAACCCTCGAGATCAATCTAGAGTCTAGACCCTCATATTTTCCGACGGTATTATCGGACGTAGTCCAGGACCCGCCCAGCCTTGCAAATTCAGCTGACAAGGAGGACGGCGGATGTGTCTCGACCCTTGCAGCTGTCTGGCCTTTCGGGTCAGCCGGTACCCCTCCCTCATCGGGGTCTTGTTGGAGTCAGTGTATGCAGTCAGCAACTGATGAGGTTGCAATCAGAATGTGATCAGTGGTGCCTTACTAGGACGTGCATGGATTCGTAAGACGAGTCTGACTGGATGAGTTCTCCAGTACTATACATACAGCACGAATAGGTTCGTCTGCAGCAGCCTAGGTGGCGTGGTGTTTCAGGTTGATGGCGTGTTTGCGGTGGCAAGCGTCGAGGGAGGAGTCGCTGGTGGGGGAGCTGGTCTGACCGGAGTGATCCATTCACCATGATGGGGTATCAGGGTATCTGGAGATGGAGCGATCAACCACGCCAAGAATAAGCCAGAAGACGCCGAGGTACTCCGTAGATACTGTAGTTCGGTCAAGAATCGCGAATTGCTCACATTGCTACTAAATATTCACTTCCGTATGATTGATTGTCTGTTATTCCAATCTATTTATTGAATGTTCTATATAGAATATAAGGAACTATGTAAGTAACTAGATAGACGGATATGAAGCATTCAGGGGAAATCCTATTCCGAACAGAGACCCCCCTTTTCCCCACCAGTTGTCTGAAAGAAGCTCGAACCGGCGCTGATCGGCTGGGACTAGCCAAGCTAACCTCTTTAGTGCCCGGCCTGCCTTGATTTGGCCATCATATCACGCATCTCGATCCCCTCTTCTTCTTCTCTTCTTTCCATCTCCTCTTCCTCTCTATCTCTTCAATTCTTCTTCTTTTCTCTGATTCTCTCTCTCAATCCCTCTCTTGTCATTTTTACGTGCTCTGTACCTGTACCACCTCGCGTGTTTCTATTTATTCCTCGCGGATACCCACCCCTGGTACACGTTAATCGCCGTTCTTTGTCTAACTTGTACTATCTCTCCTTAATCCACCTTCTATTAATACCTCGAGGCTGGCTCTCGATTCGAATCCATCCCACTACAGAATACTCCCTCTCAATGACCGTCTAGCTCTCACTGCTCTAGATCCCTCGCCGGATCATGCGTCTCTCCCAATGTCTGACTGCAGCATTCCTCTGCAGCGGCGCCACCGCCTTCGTTCCCTATACTTTCCATCTCCCAGTCTCGCCCTCCTCTCCCATCCAGAACTCTCCCATCCGTCGCTTTCTACCATGGAAGCTCCTCACCGGCCATGAGGAACCCGAAGAGGATGACACCAGCAGTCTGGTGCGGCGCGATAATCAATACAAAGTCGTCATGTCGGATACCCCGTCCAAATCCAACATTATCGCCCTGAATCAAGACGGCAATGACTATTCCTACTTTGTGACCGTCACCGTAGGCTCCCAGGACCAGAAGATGTGGATGATGTTGGATACCGGCGGCGCCAACACCTGGCTCTTTGCATCGGATTGCACGTCCGATGCATGTAAGCTCCACAACACCTTCGGCGAACAGGACTCCTCGACTCTCTCCATGTCATCCGTGCCGTTTGAGGTGGGCTACGGAACGGGGCAAGTTAGTGGTCTGCTGGCGAACGATACCATCTCGATCGCCGGTCTGGAAGTTCCCGTGACCATGGGGCTAGCGAACAATGCCACCAACGATTTCCTGTCCTATCCGATGGACGGGATCCTGGGAATGGGTCGCTCCAACGATACCTCGTTCGGATACGCGACGTTCATGGACCACGTTGCGGACACCAAGCGGTTGACGTCCAACATCGTCGGCTTCAGTCTCCCCCGCAGCTCCGACAACGCGACAGACGGCACCGTCTCGTTTGGCGTGGTCGATACGACCAAATTCTCCGGAGACATCACCTATACCACTGCATCCGCCACCAGCGACCACTGGAGCATCCCTGTGGACGACATGAGCGTGGATGGCAAGGCCTGCGGCTTCTCCAACAAGTCCGCCATTATCGATACCGGGACTTCGTACGCTTTACTACCGCCCGATGATGCGAAGACACTGCACAACTTGATCCCCGGCGCCACGCCCTCGGGAGAGAATTTCCTCATCCCCTGCGACTCCAGTGCCGTCGTGAATGTCACTTTCTCCGGGGTCAGCTATACCATTTCCCCGAAGGACTATCTGGGAGCCAAGGTCGATAACGGATGCATCTCGACCATCATTGGGAAACAGCTGTTCTCAGCGAATGACTGGATCCTGGGGGCGACCTTCCTCAAAAATGTCTACACGGTGTTCGATTTCGATAGTGACCGGGTTGGTTTCGCACCCCGTGTATACTCCACGGGTGAGTCGACATTGGCTGTAAGTTCCACGACGGCCCAAGCCGACACGGCGACAACGACGTCCACCAACGCTGGGTCAACCACCTCTGGTTCGACCAGCTCGGCTACCTCCGCGGCCGACACCTCCCGCACGGTCGCCCGGTACGCGCCGGTCTTGACTGCTGCCCTCTGCTTCATGCTTCTTTGAATTGACACTCGTTCTATACCCTTGGCATTATATACACCTGCACTTCCCGCACTTCAGCAAGACACATCGTCTTCCATTCAATGTATCTATTCTAATGGAAATATCTAATTCTCGTGATTCTCTACAACACCTTGTCCGGAATAAGCGTATACGACTTCGGATACGATTCTGCACTCGTCAGCCTCAGTCCACTGCACACTAACGCAAACATACCTAAGATGGACCGGTCAAACTCCTCCACGCGCGTAAAACCCCCAACGGCCATCAGGATATCAAAATCCGCCAGCAACGACCGCATCACATGGCGCACCCCTTCCTCGCCCATGATACTCAACCCCCACACCCAGAGTCTCCCAACAAAGACGAACCGCGCGCCCAAAGCCAACGCCTTGACGACATCACTCGCCCCTCTCACCCCAGAATCAAACATCACATAGATACGATCCCCCACCGCATCCACGATACTCTCCAGCGCATCCAAGCTCGCCACCGCCCCATCCACCTGCCGGCCCGCGTGGTTACTCACAACGATCCCATCCACCCCGTACTCGACGCACTTCCGTGCATCCGCCACAGACTGCACGCCCTTGATCGCAAACGGCCGCCCGCCGGAAATCCGCTTCCACTGGTCCCGTAGCCAGGGGATCTTCTCCCACGACCACGCGCGGCCATGCCAGATCGAGTCGATCCACTTCGTCGCCGCGGCCACCCGGTCCTTTACGGGGTCGATGCCCGCCTCGCGACACCGCGCCTGAAACACCGGGTCCGACAGGCCCAGGTCCGCGCCCGTCCCGCGGTAGAACGCGTAGTTGGAGTGCGCGACGTCGTCGTGCCGCCAGCCCAGCTGCCACGTGTCGGTCGTGAGGATCAGCGCATCGAACCCGGCGCGCCACGCCCGTGTCAGCAGCGACAGCGTCAGCTCGTCGTCGTGCGGCATGTACAGCTGATAGAAGCGCGGGCGGCCCGCGCCGTTGGCGGCGCCGACGGTCTCGATGGGCGTGCTACCTGCGGTGGACAGGCAGTAGGGGAGGTTGAGCTCGCCGGCGACTTTGGCCACGGCGCTCTCGGCGGAGGCGTGGTAGATCGCGTTGATGCCGATGGGGGCGAAGCCGATCGGCGCTGAGACGCGGTGGCCGAAGATCTCCGTCGTCGTGTCGCGCTGGTTGGTGTCGACGAGTTGGCGCGGGATGATGCGGTGCCGGTAGAAGGCTTGTCGGTTGGCGAGGTGGGTGGTCGACATGCCGGCGTTGGACGAGGCGTAGTACCAGCCGCCTTGGCTGAGTTTCTCACGCGCCTGTTCTTCGAGCTTGCGGGGGTCTACTCGGTTAGGACGAGTCTCATCTTGATGTACTGGTGTCGGGTACCTGTGTTGAACGGCGGCGTCTGGCCGTCGTTCACTTTCCAGAAGTTTTCCCGTTGGTAGAGGCCCCATTGGGGGGTGGTTCTCTGCTGGATGTTGGGGTTTGTTGGGTCGCTCATTTTATGTAGAATATATAGAATTGATGTATACAATTACGAGGTTGGGAGAATCCGCCAGAGACGGGAGATGTTCCATTCCATAGGTATGTATATATACTGGCGATGACCTCATTTTGACGTTGTTACAGTAACTTAATCTAGATCCCCAAACTACCAATTGACTCTAGCGATTGGAGATCATTAACAATAGATATACATCTCGATAAGCAAGCCATAGTTACAAGAAATATATGTCGCCTGGACTGTCGAATCTGCCACTCCTGCAGGTAGAACTAGTAGTAGGCGATAGTAGAGATGATGTCATACCCATCCATCCCAGCACGATCGACGCTACAAAGCCACCCAACAGAATGCAGGTACAGTAGATCCAACGGAACACTACGGAGTACGTAAGTCCCTCAGCCCAGATGAGATGGATATACTCTCTTGCGCCGGGATACTCCGGAAGGGAAGCCGAAGCAGCGGGACGGGAAGGGAAGCACCCTCGGGATCGGGAGAACGACCCGATAAGGATCTGACTAACTTCCCCGGCCTCATCTACCTGCTATCGTTCTCCCCATATTCTACCTTCACCTACTAGATACTATCCTTCCCCCCTCCTCTTGTCTCGATATGCTGGGCCTCCCAAGACGCTCCGCAGCGACGCGCTGCACCAGTTTCGTCTCCACCAGCACCGCCAGCGTCCTGCGCGCCAGGGCCACCCCATCACTGATAGCGGCTAAAGACTTCCACTCCAGTCAGCCCCATGCAGCCTTCAGTCCGACCTGGATGCCACGGCGCGTAAAGACGCCCTGGATCGAGGCGCTGACGAAGAGTCGCGAGGATGCAAAGACAGCAGAGGGCGCGGGGACGCCGCCGGCTAAACCGGACCTAACGCCTAAGAAGATGTCCGATAGCTACTACAGCGTGGTATGTGCACACTCAATTGCATGCCCATGCTTTGTTCTACGCATGGCTAATGCGGCGATAGGTGCTCCCCCTGGCGCAGGATAAGTGGCTTCTGGACAGCTACCTCAACGCCTCCGGTCATATCAGACTGGGATCTCTCCTGATGGACCTCGACGCTCTTGCGGGCGTCATCGCCTACAGACACACCGGCGACTCGGTCACGACGGTCACGGCCGCCTGCGACCGCATCACCATCGAGCATCCGCTGATGGAGATCTGCGATCTGGAACTCAGCGGGCAAGTCACCTATGCCACTGGGCGGTCGAGCATGGAAGTCTCTCTCCAGGTTTCCAAGGTCCCTACCGAGGGGCAGCCGGCGAAGCCGGAGGATGTGCTAATCACCTGCGCTTTCACGATGGTGTCTCTGGACCCTACTACCAAGAAGTATGTCTCGAGCTGTTCGGCCGAATAGGCGGCTGCTAACGCATCAGGCCTGTGCCGGTTGCTCCGATCCTGGTGGAAAACGCCGAGGAACGCCTCCTCTTCAAGAAAGGCGAGGAAAACTACCAGGCCAAGAAAGCCCTGCGAACACAAAGCCTCCTCGAAAAAGCGCCCAACGCTGACGAGAGTAACCTGATCCACTCCATGTGGACCAAGGAGATGTCGTATCTCAGTACGTCTTGTTCTTGATACCCTACCCAAGAACCCTCTGACCATGCAGACCCCGAATCCCCCGCGCAGCGCCCTTCCAACATGGTCTTCATGAGCGACACGGTGCTCAAATCCGCCATGATCATGCAGCCGCAGGACCGCAACCGCCACAACTTCATGATCTTCGGCGGCTTCCTCCTGAAGCAGACCTTCGAGCTGGCCTTCTGCTGCGCCGCCTCCTTCTCGCACACCCGCCCCAACTTCATCTCCCTCGACCCGAGCACCTTCGAGAACCCCGTGCCCGTCGGCAGCGTGCTCTACCTCCGCGCCACCGTCGCCTTTACGGAGCCGTTCGAGCACGACGGCGCCGAAAGCAAGTACACCAAGGTGCAGGTGCGCGTCGACTCCAAGGTGCGCGACGTCGAGCACGGCACGAAAAAGTCCACCGGCCAGTTCAACTACACCTTCCTCGTCGAGAAGGATATCCAGGTCATGCCCAAGACGTACGGCGAGTTCATGCTCTGGACCGACGCGCGTCGACGCTCGGAGAATGCGGCGCTGATGACGCCGGGGTCGAAGGAGCCGAATACGCTGCGCGCGTTCAAGGATAGTGTGACCGAGTAGTGTATATACTAGCATTGTATCATGCCGTTCTCGACTTGTGTATTGTATTGACATTGAACTGTATAGGTACATCTGCATTTGTACTTAGTATACCTGCTCCTGCTGGACAGCAAACACACTGCCCCTGCTATCCTCGACCGACAGTGTCCGCAACTAGGCCATTATCTGGAACCATGGCTCCGTAGAATTGGTCACCAGGGGCATTGCGTGTACGCTACAAGTCTGGCTCTATATCCCTGACCCCTACTTGAGCAACCACCTCTCACCTATTGTTCTTCCACCCCCCCAGTGCTCGAGACCATACACTAGACAATCGTGACCGTCGTACGAGGGTGGGATTCCGTGATCGGGCCCCAGGGAGCCTTCGGGAACATGCCCGTTTCAGCTTCATCGAGGGGATGGGCGCCCGCCGTAAAGCTCTGCAGCGGGTGTTGTCTGCGCTGGGCGTCTGTCCTGAGAAACTTGGCAATCCCAATCCTCGTATACTCGTGATCTCGCCTGCCAGTTTCCTTAAGGACCAAGCAATTCGAAGAGTCGAGGAAAAAGGCAAAGCAGGGGAATTGCGGGCGGAGGTCAAAGAACGCCTCGCCGAGAGAAACACCAGAGTCTAGATGGACTTCTGAAAGCACGCCGAGACCGAGGGGGTCCTTTGCATCCCACGTCGTGCGCTTGCTGCGGTGCATCTCCAGCAAGGGTCCCTGGTGGGATATGGTTAACTGCAGAGAATGCGTACGCCAGCAGAGACGGGTACTTACGAACAGCCGCATCCACCCCTTCTTGACAGTTCCGAACCGGTTCAGACGGGAGTTCTTGATATGACAGGAAACGAACGACGCTCGGAGGCGCGTAAAGTCCAACGGCACGAACCTGATCCGGCCGTCGAGCGACGCCCAGGACCAGGATGGGCCGCGCGATGCAGGAGGGACTGCCACATCCCACAGCTTGTCGCCGTAGGAGTACGACAAGCGGCCATGGGCCACTGCGAATGAGATTCCTTCGCTGTGGATCGCCTGGAAGCCGGTGCGACGCTCGTCTCTGCGGTACACCCTCCAGTGCAGATCCTCCATCACATGGTCCCTCCACACGCCGGCCAGATACTCGTCGCCGGTGCGAGCGGCAATGATGGCCGCCAGGCCTGATAGTGCCGGCAGTTTGTCGTGGGATACCGTGAGATCGCGCTCGCTGTATCGCTGAACGTGCTCCAGCCATCCGCCGCGCCACCGGCCGTCTGGGTTCTCCATCTGCGGGCTGAAGCCCTCGATATACGAGGTGTGGCCCCAGTGGCGGAAGCCATGCTCCGAGGCTGGGAGGCATTGGCGGTCGATCAGGGAATTGAGGCTGAAAATGGACGGGTCAAAGGAAGAGCCGTCCTCGGCGACAAACGTCTTTTCGCATTCCCAGTACATTTGGTCGGTGGCGTAATGGACCGTCCGTGAGGATAGCAGCCGTTCCTGGAGGGTCCACCCTCGCGAGTTGAGCTGCTCATGGGCAAGGGGGTCAAATCGCCGGCCGAAGCCGCCGATGAAGTAGGGCTTGGGGTCTGTCCGGGTGGACGATGGCGTCCAGCCGACGTGGATGTAGAGCCAGCTGGCGGCGTCATGATCCCGCTGCATCCTGAACGCAACAAATCGCTTGCGGCTCAACCATCTAGGGCCCGACGGGTTGTCCCTGGTGTCCAGCATGGGCACGGCGTCCGCAATCGAGGGCAGCCCTACTGATATAGCACCCGGCGGGAGGTGTAGCTCCTCGGACCGGGTTTCGAAATCCGGGAAGCATGTATGTGGCGAGCTGGACGCGGCAATTGTCAGGTAAGAGTTGGCGTAGATGTCCGCCATCCGCGCAGACTCCCGTTCCCAGTCCGACTCGTCATCCTGAAGGATGCACAGTGTATCAATCCACAGGTAGCGGACGCGGAGCTGTCGGCAGGTGAACACGGCATCCGCAAAGACCTTGGGCAGCATGTTCATGTCGATCCCATTCCGGAATTCCTGGATGGTCGACGTTGTTGTCATGACAATGTCTGTCCGGTCTCCCCATCGATGACTGAGAGTTATATACGCCGATCGCATGTTGACAGGCTCAACCAGTCTGATCCGCGCGGCGGTCGAATCTACCCCAACGTCAAGGACTCGCGTGGGCAACTCGGCATTCAGCAGTCTCCAGGCTGCACAGGTCGCCCCGTGCGTCCGGTTGCAGAGCCGGAGCCTGTCTTCCAGGCGACGCATGCTGAGGTTGGACGCGAAATCCGTCGCTCGGAGTCTGCCCGGAATGACGTTCGCGAGAGGTGAATCTTGTATCCGCGAGACAGCATGAGTCTCCATCCATGCATCAACTGACGTGAACGGGGAACAACCTACCATCATCCGCAAGAATGCGCAAGAATGTCCCGTGGAAATGTAGATCGACGCGGGTATCCCCAGTATCCGGATAGTAGACCTCCTTCCCGTTGCCCTCTGCATCCTCCATCAAAGGCGTTCGTGACAGCCGGACCCCCAACCCAACCAGCTGCAGGGGCCCAACGCCGTCGTTCGATGCCCACCAATTCCCAAATAGCCACGGGCGTACCGCGTCGTCGTCACTGAACCGATATGCCGGACGACCGGGCCTGGGCTCGGACGGGGCCGACGATCCGCCCACGGTGTCGCCCGGCAAGTCGCCGTACTGGAAGTGTCGCATCACCGCTCTCCCGTCGGCCAGCGTCCCTGTGGGGTCGAAGACAATATGGCCCCCGCGACTGCCGCCGCCGTGTTTGACTCGGACGCTGGTCCGGACTTCCGCTGCGGCCTCCGCGATGAACTCGCAGAGCATACATTTTCTCGCCGACTGCTTCAGAGCTGCCAGGCTGGGCTGATGCGGAAGTGCCGCTTCGTCTTCTCCCGGGAGATCTGCCCACGGGATTTTCTTGCAATATGAGCATACTTGCTCGGGGCTCCGTGCTAGGGGGTCATCAAGGTCAACCTGGGACGGACCTGCGAACGCGGGCGACAGAAAATGGGTCATGATATCGAGACGGCTTCAATGGTCGTATGTTGCTGAGAACCCGGGACATGCGAAGATCCAAAGAGCAGCCTTTGCGGTTGGTATTGGAAGGCATTCATATGACACTCTGGCAGCCGTCTTCGGAGTTGAATACGAGCGACGTTGGCTGGGCAGCCTTGCAAGTGTCTGTCTCCTATCGTCTGCTCTAAGCCGTGCCCCGCATCGGCTCAGCCTTGTCATAAATTAAATGCAACCATAGTAGCGCTGGGAGTTGAGTCAAGTCAGGTTGTCCGCTGTCTGGGTGCTCACATCTGCCTCTGCGACTTCCCATACCTCATAGATGAATGACACTGCAGATGGACGGTGCTACAAATCCCTCCTTGCCGTCGCCGTCTGTTCTCCCACTACGTGGAAGGCCACCGTCGACCACGGTCTCATGGCCCAAGACGATCCGCCTCCTGCCAGATGGCCAACTACAGGCGCTGGTCCATCACCATGAGATGCGCTCCATGGTCAGCGGAAAACTGTCATGCTGGACATACATCTCCAAAGGCCTCGCCAAGCTCGGCCAGAAGGAGGTTATCTTCACTGTGCGACGGCGGGCAGCTGTCGAAGCCGTTACCGACTTTCCTGTCGGCCCCCTCGAATGGTTCGGCATGCTGCACGCGCTGGCTCACGACGGACAGATCGTGGATCAGTTCCATCAGACGCGCTTCGCCGAGCCCTCACCATTGCTGGATCGCCTGGACGTTCGGCTCATCATCTACTACCCGCCGTTAGAGCTAAGCGGCGTGCCCTTCTCAATCATCCCGCCGGACAGACTGCATGCCATTCCTCTGACAGCCTCCGAAGCCAAGGTCGCGCAGTCGTACGGTGTCATGCGTGCCATCTCGCATCTCGGCTCTTCTGAGCGATATTTTCCAGTCATGCCGTGGATAGACCGTGATCGGCCGGACTGCATAACAATGGCGCAGATGAGCGGCTCGATCAGGGACGAACTGCCCATGCATAGCTTCCTGGGGGTTAGTTGCGTCCAGAGGGGGTCCAGCGTAAGTCTCCATATCCCGCGCAGCGCAGAGGACGAGTTAGCAGCCAGACTGGAAGCGTTGCCGACATCCGCCGTGGTTTCTCTCGATTGCTTCCCCTACGAGAAGTCGGACTCAGGCATGGTGTGGCGTCAGGGGTTGACTTCATCGCCTCGGGCTTACGGAATCGGCGTGTCGTGCATGAGCTTTGGGTTTGTTGTATTCTGTCCCGAGCAGGACGCAGACGAACTGGAGCGCGTGGAGGATGGTATCATTCGTAAGAACATCGACCCAGCACCGCATGGGGCCTGGATCACACAGGCCTCCTTGGTGATTCGCTAAGCACTGGATTTCGCTAATGAGCATAGTGGATGTAACCAACTCGACTTGGGAGAGGATTCGCAACGCGTTGCTGCAACACACGCCCCTGCAGATCGCCTTTGGTAACCTGCGGCTCTCTCTGGAATATGAGGCCTATGCATCGCAGTCACAAGAGAGCATGGAAGCCATGTCCGAGCGCGCTACTCCGTTGTTTGCATTTGGCGGACGGCCTCCCCAGTGGGCATTACAGCTCACCGGGGACGCGCCAGTTGCAAGCCCACCCACAATCCCGATCTCACTCAAACCATTCTCCCCAGAACACTGTGCCCTGGACCTTCGCTCCACTAGTCGCGAGAAGCAGTTGTCGGAAGACAGCCGGCGGATACCGGTGAGAGCATCTCTTTATGAACTGAGAATGGACAAGGAAAAGGGCTGCGATAAGTGCGACATCCTGTATCGGGCGATCACAGCGTATCTGCCATTCGTGGACGAAGAACACAGTGTGGTTCTGCATTTTGCCTCCAAGAAAGTCGGGCTTATTTGCGCCGTGCAGTCTCTGGGAGGGCTGGCTCCGATTCTGGGGTTTTCTGTTCGCGAAGGTACGCCAGTCCTGGACTGCCGGTCACCTATCTCCAGCTGACGGTGCCAGAAGGAAAATGCCATTGGCTTACGTCCAATAACTCGGCCGCATCGACTGAGGTCTCCGTCGATCGCCTCGCGGAGGTTCAGCACTGGATGAGCTCGTGCCGGACTAGCCATTCAGCATGTAAAAGTCAGCGCCAGCTTGATCCTCCAATGCGAGTCCTAGACCTGGGCACGGTCGAACAGACCCAGGCGCGTATTCGACTATGTGAGCCGAAGACATCAGGAGAGCCATACGGCACTCTAAGCCATTGCTGGATTTTTCACGACGGGATCACGACCACGAAGGGGCGTCTTCGCGAGTACACAACGCTTGGTATTGAAGTGCCACAGCTGCCGCAGTCAGTGCAGGTTGCCATTCAAGTCTTAAGATATCTCGGGATCCGCTATCTATGGGTGGATGCTCTCTGCATCATCCAGGACGATGATGAAGACTGGAGATCCCAAACCGCAAGAATCGCCGAAATATACGAGGCCTCGGACCTCACAATCGCCGCCTCCGGCAGTGGGAGCTGCGTCGAAGGGTGCTTCATGAACGAAGGGTCCAAATATCCTGTTAGAAAATTCCGTTGGCCTGGTGTGGGTGGTCTAGGCGGCTATGTCGTGGAGGCTGGGTACAGCTTCATACATACCCCATTCTACGAGGGAATGAAGCGAGAGGAACACTTGACCATGCTACATCGCGCCTCCTCTGTTCACCAGGAGCGAGGATTCTCCCGCCGCATTCTTTATGTGGGCGCCGACGAATTGGTATACAAGTGTCGGGAAACATGCCAATGTGAATGTGGGTATCAGATTGAGTATTAGGCCATCGGGACTGTTGTATTTGCTGCTCGGAATAAGGGAAAGATTTGTCTCTATGCATCATTCGGCTTTTCTAAGTACAGCTCACTTCCTAGCTAGCTTATAGGCGTACCGGGCGGTGCATTCTATCGTTTCAAGAATATATTAGGTGTGTTCCAGTAGAACTAAATGTCGGGGTTAAATGTTTTAAAGACATCAATATTCTCCATACGGCCGATTTCCCACAATTTCATGTATCCTTGATCATTCAAGCAACTGGAACCTGATGAAGAGGGTATAAATCAATCCCTTTGGCCTCGCGAATGATCGAATTCACTCTTGTAACTAGCATTTCCATTTGCATCGCGAGAGGGCAATGGTTTCCCCGACAAGTGTGTCTGAGCGTTGATCTTGCTTCTGAAATAGAGGATGCAATCTCGTTTGCTGAAGCATGTCGAAAGCGCTCCCAGGACGGCCGGAGCCCCGATTTCCTTAAAGCAACAAAATATTCTCCTATTCGGTATTCGCTAGTGCAATACTTGCCAAACAAGGTGCTGTTGTCGCACTGATGGCACCTTTTGGCCGTGTCGGGGTGAGTCTTTCCACAGCACGCGCATAACAAACCCTGCATTATATAGCATTCTCGATTCTCCCATAGACGATTGTCCACAGACTCCATTTCGGCATGTATTCGGCCAAGTAATTTGTCGATCCGACCCGCCAATTCAGCTGTCAATCATCAGATAGTCTGTTTCGAGTGTGTCCGGATGAGTCTTACTTTGAACACCGTCAGGTAGAAGGTCCATCATATGAACCTTCTCCCAACGAGCGATAAACATGCAAGGAAGCTGTGTCTGGGCCTTTATGGAGACAGTCGAAAACTGCTCCGCAGAACGGAATAAATGAGCCGCAAGAAGAAGGTAGCCGTGTTCCTCGACGGTCGTAATATGCTGGAGCTCACTGAACCATTTGAAAACCCAGGGATTGAGCGCCTTGACGCAATCATATTTATCGCAGTGGATAGAAATTTTGGCGAGGGTTTCTGCATCCACAGACACTCCCTGCTCTGGTTCCTGATAGTGAAGGATTCGTATGATAATTCTCATTGCCACCGGATCGTCTTCGTGGAGGGGGATTGTAGGACAACTGAGGTTTGCCATCTGTGTACCCTCGTAAAACCGTTGACCAAATAGTCTTGCAAACACCGGGGACGCCATGCTAAGTATCTTGGACGACACAAGGAACCGCGCCCTGCTCTGGCCTTCAATGAGAAGAGTGACATTGCCGTCAGGATCGGTTTCCTCTACACTTGGATCTTTGTCTGGTGGTGGTTCTGCTGGTAGATGTAATTCACTAGGATCTTGGTCTGCCATGTTGACTTTCTAGCGGCCTTTCGGTATGGTTAAATAACGCGCGGTGAGAATTAGCCTGAGAACCGGCGTACATCGAGCCCGTTCTTCAAGACACGGGAATCGCTTCGGGTAGAACTGAGAAGGACATTGATGATGGCTCGTTTTCTTGCGACTCTGAAGAGATTAAGACTGTTGGGGACCAGCAAGCATACATGTAAGCGCCCTGGATGAGGTCATTATGAGGCAATCTGACTAAGGGAGTAATTGGATGGGTTCTTTCTCTCCCGGGGATATCGCCATATGTGCCTGTTTAGCTTGAATATTCCCAAGGCAAACTGCGGCGGAGGACGTTTATTTGAGGCAAGGTATGGCCGAGACGTCTCTTCCTAGAACCAAGGCTATTATGGTCCACCTTTCTATGCTGGGGCGACTGGTCGAATTGCTCAATCAGTATTGACATTGGGAAGAGATATCGGATGAATAGGTCTTTGGAAAGACCAGCAGGATTTCCACCGTTTCACTAATCCTCAGGATGGTGTATCACTCTCCACCTATGTTTCGGAGTCGACTTTAGGAAGAGAACATATTTGTCGACGGGTACATAGACAGGAGCTTCTCATGTTGTCGGAGATGCTGTGGACGACCTCATCAGTCACGTTTATCAGACATGTGGTGATCAAGCTCAGACGTTGAACCAATCGATAATGTGATGTCCATTGAATTCGGAATGAAGATTGAAGCAACAGCGAGGACGTTATAAACGCAGTATATCAACAGTCACATGACATCAGTCCCCACCTACACCCGCTTGAAGCACAGTCCATCAACTCCGCATTCACATTCCACTGAACGGAAAGAAACCAATCCAAGAGAATATATCTACGGCCAGTGTCCAGCAAAATGTCTCTCCCTAACATCTGGCATCTGCGCCGCGTAGCCGACACCGCCGCCAAAGCATGCTACGTCTGCTACAAACCGTCGACGAGCGTGTTGATCACGCCAGACAACAAGGTACCCCACGTCGCTTGTCGCATACTTAAGCATCAGCCACTGACAAATCAGGACTTCTTCTACGTGTGTCCGTCGCATCTAAAGGACAAGCACTTCTGCTCGCCCATCGTCGACGCCGAGGACCAGGCGGCGAAGAAAAAGCAGGAAGCGATGGCGCGGGAGATCGAAAAGGTGAAGAAGGAGTATGAGGAGAAGCAGAAGAAGAAGCAGAAAGAGAAAGAGAAGAAGAAAGAAAAGGACCAGAAGTCTGACGATGCCGACAAAAAGACCGAAACTACCGACAAATCTGACGAGAAGGAGCGAGATGAGAAGGTAGCCAGCCCTTGTTCGTGAGATGAGATGAATAGACTAACCGTCATCAGATCGAATCCATTCAAAAAGCCGAATCTGGTAATCCGTCTACACCAGATGATTCGCCCCGCGTCTTTGCCCTGCACAAGTACGCGCCCTCTATCTCTTTGCCATGACGCCGTGACAGCTAACCACCGCAGAAACTTCTACCAGATGCGCATCGACCGGATACGCAACGCCGAAGCCGCCAGACGCAATCGCCAGCGTCTGCAGGATCCGTCTTTCTTTCCGTCCGTGCCGACAGGGGGCATCTGAGCAGTCCTCACTCCTAAGCGCACTAGCTGCATCCGGTGCGATTCAGCGGCCGGTCTCCATTTACGCTGTCAGGCTGTTATGAAACCATCGTGGTTCTCCGCTGACGCGCGCAATAAACTTCATCCAGTCCGCGTGGCACAAAGAACGCCTCGCCCTCATGTCTCAGACACTCGTTCCACTGCTTCCGAACACAAACGTCATAGGGCGCAGGCGCAGGCGCAGGATCGACCAAAGAATCATTCTCGAACCGTCGGATGACCTCAGTACTACGGCCAGCCTTGTCAAAGGAAGCGAGAGCGAGAGCGCGATCTCGTGTTCGTCCGCCGTCAGCGTCAGCGTCAGCATCTTGAAACGGAGCTCCGTCTGATAGGGCGTGCACGAGCCTTGTGATGTATGCAGCCTAATTGATAAGCACTAGCATTGGGCACTACAGAGCTCTGCTAAGCACTACTCCGCTGCGCTGCTACCTACTACTATATGCTACCTTTACGGAGGATGCTGCCTGGAGACCGGAGTGTCAGTCTGCCTGACGATGACGATGACGAGTCCCCCGTGCCTTGCGGCTCATGATGTGGGCATACGGAGTACAGGAGACTATTGCGAGGCCGCTCCGGCGACGTCAGCAATCGGCCTGATCGGCAAGGACCCTGCCTCCCGGCGTGACGGAACAAAAAGGAGGTATGCGGATCCGACATGTATCATATGCAGAGGTAGTCCAGAGCATATGGAGTGGTGTAGCAATGTAACGTATGTACGAATGCAATTTGCATCCGACGAGGGGTAGTTAGCGGTGCCTGGTCCTTAATAATCATGCTTAATTACAAGGCGAGCCTTTATACGCGAGCATGCGAAGAGATCCGGCAGGCATGCAGCGGGGTGGAGCACGAAGGAGGCTGTGCTGCTGCTAGTTCTTGGATCTTCCAGTGATAGCAGCGGATCGATATGAGGCGGACCGGCGGGTTGGTACGGAGGATGGAGGATGTTTCTCCCTGTCTCGCAGTGTGTCCAATTATGCTGTGTGGATGACATTCTCCTAGTTTGGCATTGTGGGTGTATATACAGTTTGGTAAACAGAATGATGGGTGACGTCATCTACAGGCACCTGTATGTGCTGGACAGATAGATGCTTGTGATCAGCCAAGAAGCAATCAATGCTTACCTGGATCTTCATATGCGTCACAGAAGTCGCAGAACCAGCGTAATTGCAATACACCGGCAGTGTATTGTAAACCGAGTAAAATACCTGCAGGCATGGATGGAGAGGGACGGATGGGTCTCTTGCGTAAGAGCAGTTTGCACAGCCCCCGAACCGGCGCTAGTGGCCTTAGCGCTGCAGGCTAGACCCTGCTAGCCTACCAGGCCATTTCGCTGCGGTGCATTAGTCATCCGTCCCAGGAACCTGTTGCAAGAGGGCCCCCTTGCCTTGGCTGGGAGTGTTAGATCTGCCGACTGCCGCAGATCCCGGGTCTGGAAGGGCCGGGCGATTGGTTGCGGCGTGTCCCAGTGGGGCTGCCTTAAAACAGCCTCGTGGGGTTGTGGGGTTGCTTCCTGACAGGTCTAGCGTTGTTGCCATGCGGTAAAGCCATTATTCTCCTGTTCCTTGGGTCGAGCTCGTCCTTGGGTCGACCACGTGGAGTTAACCTTGGAATTCATACGAAGGCCCAGTCAGACCTGGAAGGAAGCGTTTCGGTCACGCGATTTCAACTAGCCAACTACCTTAGGTAGGTCGCTATCCGGACTCCAGGCCATGGAGATCGGCATCAGGGTCCTGATTCTGACGGCCCGTGGCCCAGACCTGTGAGTCTTATCCTTCTAACCGCGGGCTAAGATCCTTCACCGGTCCCCCGCCAACACACGAGACCTTGGAGCGAATCATTCCATTCGACTCCTCCCGTCTGCCACAAGAGTTGTAGATACCAACACCGCAACCAATCACACGCTCCAGCCGGCGTTTAGCTTCACGACCTGTCCGTCCAGGAAATGACGAACTGTCGATCGCAATACCACGTGACGTAGGTGGAAGGGTCTGGGATGGGGTTGTGGCTGCAGAGTCAGTTGGGATGAGGCGCCCAGGCACTCTCAACCTTGATTTGCCGCACCACGGTCCCGTCGCGATGCACCATGACACGGTCAGACTCTTATCTCATCATGATCTTCACAGATTCCCCCGTCCACTGCCGGATTCTGTCTGATCGTCGTCTACGTTACTCGTCCGCATACTCGGGGGGAGGCGAATGCCCAAGGCGGCGGGAGGCAACCGCCCGGCGCCGGGCCCTGCGTTGACGCGAGTCGAGATGTCGACCCGCGCTTTGGCGAGGCCGATGGCCGGGACGACCCAGTCGCCACAGCTACATTGCATGCCCTGCCACGCAAACTTGCCGATGTTGAACCCGCACGTCGTATTGGGACAAGTCAGTCGCCCGGACAGGGGGGCGTCGGAGCCGTAGGGAGACAGTTCTTGCGAGTCTCCATCGCTGTTGGGGAAGAGGCACGGACGCATCCACGTCAGTGGGTGTAGGAAGACGTGTGCGCAGTCTGTCGATGGCCGCGCATCTTTCTGTGGGCCGTGGGGGACAACAAACGGCGTTGTGGCCAACGTCCGTCTATCTCATCAGTATCGGATGCTGAAATTATCAACACGGGAAGGGGGAGGGTTCAGTGGGACGAACCGGCATTTGCGACATTTAATCTCTGTAGCTCGATCAGTAGGACCTTGCGGCCGAAGCGGCTGTTCATCTTCGAACAGCACCGACTTCATCTCCGGCGCACGCCCGCATGCCACACTCTCCTCCACTTCGCGGCGATACAGCCACCGACTGTACAGCGGGTGGCCGGTGACGTCGTCTGGACAGCCCATCTCACGGTAGACGGTCAACTGCTCCATAAACCCGTCATTCGGCTCACAGAGAGGTCGACTCTCGCGGATGATGGCCAGTGCTGCCTGTGGCGTTAACGCTGCCCTTTGTTGGTGAAGCATATAAGCAATGCAGACGGTGGCGGAGCGGGACTTTCCCATTGCACTATGTCCTGTCAGGGCATATTCTCTCTAGTGGCGTCGTATGCTATAGTCTCTTGACAACCAGGGCGGGGCGGCAACGCCACGTGAAATGCAAGGTTCACAACGGTGGATTGAGGGGAAAACGCCGTTCAGTGATGGAAAGCACAGACATCTAGAATAGGAAACCTGGACGAGAATGAAAGTTTCACTGACCAATGAACAAGAACGCTTCCACCGGCGTCTAAGCCGGACTGGATGAACTGAACGGCGGACGGGAAGTGCTCCAGAAGATTCTCATCGTCGACATCGTCCACTTCAATGCGGTGGTGCTGGTAAGATGCAAAAGTTTCTTCGTTTGGTTGTAGTCTTAACACCGAAAGTATATGTGTGATGTTTGCTCTAGCCAGGGCCGCTTTATTCTTGAGCGCAAAGATGCTACCGACGGGTAGGTCAGCTAGCGTTCGGATGAAGACTCTCTCTATTTTCCTTGATTTCGTTGACCGGTATGGACCTTTCCTGGGTAGGGAGATATCCTATCAAGGAAGTCGAGTACGGCACTGGGGCAGGACAACCAACCCTCCAATGTAGATGTTCAGACCAGGGATCCGGTCCATGGCCATGATGACGAGAGTTCAGAGCGTTTCGGAGAAAAACATGAACAAATCAAAGATCTAGTCACGGTCTATTGGACACGAGGTGTGATGGAGAGTACAGGCGTCAAGGCGATGCAAGTTTGATAGGGTGGACATCGAACGCTGTTTCTGATGTCGAGCCAAGACGTCGGGGCGACGGCGGTGATTGGATGCCCGCCGGAGGGACGTTGCGGCACGGGGCGTTGTAGTTAGGGTATAGGGCAAGGGCAAGGGCAAGGGTTTATCAGCATTGTCACCTCAGGCACCCCCCGGGTTGAATACCCCGCAAATAATATGGAGCCTTATCGTAGGAACACATGAAAGCCTTCCCCATCTTACGTACCTAGGAAGACTTACTGTGCGACCGCCATGGGCCTAGTCTGCGCCTCCAGTCCTGTCCCACATTGCGTCCAGTTTGTCGTACCGCGGTCCAACCAGCGCCATCTGCATGGAACAGAACAAATGGAAGTGGAGAGAATGTCAACGAGGACATTTCAACCGACGGATGGAAGGGAAAAAACCCCCTCCTGTCCTCAATACGCCAGCATTCGAGGGCGGCAAGACGTCGGATACTTCCAATCTCCGTGTAATGATTATTGGCGCTCCGTCCGCGCCAAGTTTCAGACACGGGTTTCAGATTTGGACCGCTTGAAACCGCACTTTAGTCGCGCAGGTCGTGTCGATCTGTCAACCACATATCGGGACAATGAGTCTGTGCGACGGCCATCCAAGTGCATTAGTGCGTATGATCTAGTCCAGCCACGACTGGCTGGACGGTACCAGATAGGACGATGATCCATGGGAATCAACAGGATGTCTGCATTAATTGACTGGAGTCAAACGCATATGGTATAGTTAGTTGTATGGTGTACCGGGCTAGATGAACCGCGCAGTTACGTGGACATGGACCCTGGCCAAGAAACCCCATAGGCACCGACTAGGTAAATAATGCTTAATTCCCCGATAGGGCAATGATCACACTGATCCAGCTATGCGCAGAGGATAATTAACTATCTTCCGCTGCATTCTGACTCCGTAACTAACACATAGATAGCTGGCGGACGTGACCTTGCTCTGTCCCAGTACTACTCGTACAGGTCTGTGCACCACTTAACCTGCAGCCTGTTAAGGCTTAAGGCTGACGTCGTCCTGTCCGATGCAGTCTAGCGGTGCTTAGCTCGTACCGGTCCCTTTTGCCTGTCTTGAAAAGTATGACCCCTGTCTCAGTTCCGCGAGGCGCGCCGTGTGTATGACGGACCATAAGACAAGACGAGCTATTACTGGCATACCTAATAGGCCATGCGATTATGGAGTACGGGCTCGTTACATCGCTAGCGGATACATTCCGAATGAGGAGGTCCAGAGCCGACCTTCAATACGACCTCCGGCCTATCTCGCACACCCAGTCCCAATTAATTAACTCGCGCCATCAAGACGAGGAAGGGAGGGGGGCAGGGGCAAGGGAAGGGTGGCCACTAGCGGTGTCAGACCCGCGATCTAGAAGGATGCTAGGGCAATGGCAAAATGACACCGGCCCGTTGCCTTACAAGGAAGAAAAGGCTAACTTTGACTGCGCACCCAATCCGCTGGATTGCCACCACCACCATCATCATCACTGTGGATGCATGCGTGCGTATTCTGCCCGTGTGATACCTGTGGGAAGGGTGCGTCAGACGGTAAAAAGGGAGGGAGTGAAACCCTGTCTTTCGTGGTTGGGTTGTCGATTGCATATCACCCCCCGGTGGGCGGAAGAATGGGATATTTTGAGGGGCAAAGGGTTTCTGATCGTCATGCTCGATACAAGCTGAGAGGATGCGAAGTGAAGTGGCAAACGGATTGTGAAGTTTTTGGTTGACTTTTTTACTACAGTGTCCTCTGTAGATCCTGAGTTTGCTGCCTTGTTTTTGGGTAGTTTCGGAGGGGATGGTCGATTGATATCCAATGGACCGTAGCACTGGCGCGCGGGTTATCCAATCTAAAAAAGGCGGATGAATTTGGGTTAAAAGATGGTACGATAGTCAACTAACTACCTACCTACCTAGCTACCTAGACTCGGCGGGTTTCTCTGAGAACAACTCTCATAATCCAGTCACACTGCAGGGTGCCGTCATACTATCCCCGGTCTTGGCGAGCCAACACTGACGATAGGTGGTAGTATTCCCCTGTATTCTGGGAATTACGACGACTGCACCTCCCCTATTTCTCCTATTTTCTGCCGAGAAGGAGTCTCTCGTATTGGAGATTTCCCCTCGGATTGCAAGGTGCGACGACGGGGGATGCCAAATGACAGCACTGTGGCAGTGCATGTATCTAAGGCCATAGTGGGGGCCGCTAACGGCGGGTCCAGCAGCACAGGGCCAGTCAGCGTTGCAGGCTGCTTGTCCGGTGGGGCGGGTCTGCATCAACAGTCGGGTTGCGCTGTCCTCGGTACCCTGGATCCAGACAGTCGAAGCCTGGATTGCTGATTCTTCTGGAATCCTGCGTACGTCCGTCTCCTGGGCCGGTACGGGCGGGGAGGGGTGGTATGGTCCGTGTTCTGAGCGGGCTTCTGGTTCTGGTGTCGGGGAACAAGGAGGGTACTGGGTAGGTATTTTCAAAAAGAACCGAATGGAACTGGGGGGAGGCATCGAATATGGAGTAGGGATCTGGAAGGGAATGCTCATCTCGATACCAGACTATCTACCCTCCACAGGTGGGTAGACTGCCTGACCCGCAGGTTCTGTCATGACCAGCATATTGTACATACGTACTTAAAGCACACGTTGATGAGCAAGGGATGTCGATGGATTGGCATGTTTCGCTTATAAGGTGGAGGAATAAGGCCGAACAATGACTACTGAGGGAGGTGGTATTGTGATTCGGCTGGTTGAGAAACCTTGATGATGCCAGAATGATTCCCCATAGCGGATGGAGTCCCTCAGAGGCAGACCAATCATCCTGTTCCCCTAGTGGACGATGAAATAACAATCTTCCAGCACTGCCTCATTCCAAACCGCTTGTCCCCAGTCGCCTTGCCCACGGTCACCACCAACCAACTCGGCTAGTCTAGTCTGCTGTTCACCGCTCGAGGGAATTTTTCTTCTTGTGCCTTTGTTTGACTCACTGGGCCCAAGTGATTGGTGTGCGGTTTCTGGATGATGAGCTGTCCACGACAGGGCAAACGGAGTAGGACTGTAGGGCTTTTCTCTGGAATAATGAACAGAAAGTGTCAATCAACTTAGTGCAGTAAGGTAACTCCTCCCGGGGAAGATTAAAGTTTCCTCTCTCGTGGGCCAATAATGGACACCAAGTTGGAGCGTACGATCATCTCTGTTGGACGAAGCATGGATCAGACAGAAGCTCACTCCAGTCACCCCAGTTATTCCTGTTAACGAGAATAGGTAACTATTGAGTATTCAAGAGGTTTCGTCATGTTACACTTTCTCACAGCAGATGGCTTGCCCGAAAAGGAAGGTCACCACCCTGCCCGGTACTAACTAACTAACTATATGGACCGAGATGATTAGACGGAGCGCCCATACGGATACGTCGAGTGGTTCTTGGGTCGATCCGTCCAACGTGTCGGCCACCCATCGCTTCTAGCCCTGCCATTATTTCCGCTGGAGTCATCCCCTAGTACGGAGTAGCTCACGAGTCGATTAGGTTCGCTTGAAGACGCTAACCACCCCCCAGCATCAGGCAGGCGGGGAATATAAACGTAGATGCCTTGAGCAGTCGTTGCGTAGTCGTTTTATTCTTATGGACTTAGACATATGATGAACATCTTCACTCGTGGTTTGCAAATTCCACGGGGAGAGGTATTGTGAGTACAGGCGTAATATTACCTCACGTACTGCAGAGTGAGTACTGAGGTGTACCTACCTTAGTACATTGGACCCTTTACCGGGGTACTAACCTGGGAAGATTGAAGACCCTTGGACGTAATAATGAACAGTGATCCATAGCAAAAACAAGAATCAACAGAGAATCTACGGAGTACAATAGGTACTCTGTACCTATGTATAGTGCTACGACGGAAAGGGGCGTCTACAGCAGGCCCTGGGTCAAATTACCGCTGCACCGAAAAGGGATGGTCCACCGCGACCAAACTGCAGTCGCCTGCGGTTACTCAAATACCAGCCTTGTATCATCCGTGAATGACCTTAATTGTTGTTGTCTTTTTTCTTCTTCGATTCTTTTCATTATTGGATTTGTCGTCTTCTTCGTTCTTCTCTTTCTCCAGCTGAGAAAACCTCTCTACCCGATCATCACTACCCTTACAACGCCCCTCCTATTTGACGGAAAGGCCGGAAGAAAGAGCTGAAAGAGGATCCTGCAAAGCTGCCACCACGAGGCGGATAACCAAATAAAATTACAGCCTTGTAGGGAGCCGACCTGCTGTACCTGTCTCCGTCTGTCTCTCTCTTACTTTAGGGACCAAACCAATACCTTAAAAGTCCATGGACGGCGGTGGTGGTGGCATCACCGTCGGATTTTCCTCGCCTCCCGCCCATTCGGCCTACCTACATACATAGAGCTCTGCGGCCTTCATCTTCGCCTCCCTCGCCTCCTCCTTTCTTGCCTTGTACCTCTCCCACCCCGTCGGCCTGAGGCCCTCCTTTCTCCTCTTTCCCAGGCCAGGTGGTGTCGCTGAAAAAGAGACATACATCACACGTGCCTTTCCATCCTTTCCTCTTCTTTCTCCTCCAACACCACACCACTACCACCTTTTTCTCTTCCTCTGCCTCCCCTTCTCATCAGTCCGTTCTTTTCCCCTGTCTGGTCTGGTCGCTTGTTTGTCCTTTTTCTTTTCTTTTTTTTTTCGTCCGAATTATCCGGATTTACGCCATCTCATCTGAAAGGTGCCCCAGAGGAACGCCCGGTCGTGTCTGACGCTCCCTCTGCTCCACGGTTCGGAGACCCTGGATTGCATATCTGGCTTGTCCTCCATTGCATGATTCGTATCAGTCTATTCCATCCCGCCACTATCTGAACCCAGGCCTCTCATAACACCCCAAGAAAGACATTCCAGCATGCGGTGTGGTCCCTGCGCCAGTTCCCCTCAATAACTTGCCGCTCTCCGGCGAATTGATGGCACACAAACTGTTTCGCAAGGCTGTGCGTGACGGTTACAGAAAGCCGTTGAGGTAGCGAATCGCCCGTTCAATCCTTCCCTGTTCTAGTGTTTCTTGCGTTTTTAAATTACGGTGCTGGAACGAAAAGGCTGTTCTGGGTGAGGTCGGTCACATTCAGCCCTATCCATTATCCATTTACTGCCACTATCGCGAGACCATCATTCTGACGGCCTCCTAGATTCTGAGATCATCTCTCTACCGGACAACTATTTCGGTCCTTTCTCTCTGGCTCATTGATTATCTTACGACCAATTCGCCAAGAATCAGAAGCGGGTTCTTCTGTTCAGGCGTCCCAGCAGATCACCATCCATCTTTAACTTCTCGGCGGCCGCCTCTCCTTAGGCTCATTCATGATTACATGATATTGGTCCTGATCTTCTCGACGCATCTATTCTTCTCTGGTGTTGATCCGTGAGCATTGGTCGATTCTACTGTACCATGGACTTTCCGCGATTCTCGCCACCCTCCATCAACGTGCATGAGTACAACAGCGGTTATGATCATCGCCATTCCAACGAGAGACCTTCATATACCATGACTGGACATACCTTCTCGCCCCCAGGGCCCTTGCCCATATCGACCTCATCGATAACAACATTTGCGCCACCGCCACTCCCTCCCCCATCTCGCATTACGGACCTCGATTACGGTTACGACGCTGGATGGCTCCACGCCAATCCCAAAGGATCCTCAGCTACCAAGCTCGCGCCAATCAATCCCGGTTCAAGCCTCTTCGGAGGTCACCGTCGCCCAGAGTCCATCCCCCGATCTGATCGCATGGCCTTGGACGAACTCGATGGCCGACAAAGCGGATTGCCCGTATCCAGAAGCCCCGAAGCTCACATCAAAATCGAGCCCCCACCCCCGGTGGACGAAGGCTTTCGGAATGCCATCTCAATCACCCCAACGAGCCCTATGTAAGTACCTACGACGAAGCTTCGAGTCCGGTCTTTCCATTTTTTGCGAACGGCAGTCTGTGCTTGTAGTTCTGGTCCTATCTTCATAATTCCCCCCTCAAGTGTGCCAAAGTGTGCATGTTTCCAAGTTTCTGTACTGACCACATGATTACAGTCTCAAAGGCGAAAGAGACTTCTCTCGACGGAGTGTGAAAGATTCGTCAGACGCATACGATCAGCACCTCTTGTCCAAGATAGGCAAACCGCTTTCTCCGCGGCAGTCGATCAGCGTCGGGAGTGAACCTCGAACTACATTGTCCACCTTGCCCATTCCGCAGAGGCCCTTTGGAAGCTTACCCTCCCCGGGTGGCTCGGAGGGATCCACTCTCGATGTGCGGTGGTCCACCAGCTCTCAGTCTGGGGGGATCTCCCCCGGTACTAAACTTGGCTGGAAAGACTACATCGGGTGTCGGAGTCCGAGTGTTGAAAGCAGCGCCCCGTCGTCCGCAGTAGACTACGACCACTCAGCGTACCTGCGTGATCTATCCCGCCGCCGCGCGGGCGGAACGACACCACACTATGACGAAACACTCAGCCTCCCTAGTCGCTCAAATCGAGGAAGCTACGATCAGGGCGTGTTCTCCGATATCGAGGGCGACTATTCCACCGACGAGTCATTACCGTCGCGGTTAATCAATCTCCGCGAAGCAACACCCCCCTACTTGGATGCAGCAAAATCTGGGATGAAACGAAGAGCTTCTTCTCCGCCACGGGAAGCCATAACCGACGACAGACACGTGCTTCACGTCACAACGAGTAATGGCGATTTATCTCAACGAAGAACCAGCGGTCACCCGTTCACAAATACCCTCTCGGTCAACACTGGATATGCGCCAAGTCACGGGAGCCTCTCTGCTGCATCGTCTCTGAGCTTACGGACATCCGGATCGTATTCATCGGCAGTTCTATCCGGGGGGGGAAGCAGTATAACCAGCGCATCAACATATGACCGTTCACCGGGGCGACTTTCTCCCAATTCCGATCTCGACACTCTCCACGACAAGTCTCTTCTGAACGCAACCTCTCCCGGTGGCCTTGCGCCTCCGGCCCCCAGACACAGTCTCCCGGGACCAACGTCTCTAGACGCACCCAGTACGAATGCGGCGCGCAAGCTGTCCCTGCAGGGCCCTGCGAGCGCACCCAAACCACCTGGGTCTAAAATGAGTGGTCTGTACATCTGCGACTGCTGTCCCAAAAAGCCCAAGAAGTTTGAAAGCCCAGAGGAGCTTCGGTAAGTAGCCTCCCTATTACGGTCTGACGTGTCTAATCGTACCTTCTAGGGCCCATGAGATGGAAAAGCAATATTCGTGTCTGTTCTGCAACAACCGGTTCAAAAACAAGAACGAGGCCGAGCGCCACCAGAACTCTCTCCACCTGCGTCGTCACTCCTGGTCCTGTGCCGCCTTGCCGTCATATCAGGCCGCATTCCACCCCTCGTCTGCACCGTCTAGCCAGACGACTTCCGGTCCTTCCCACGACACCTGCGGCTACTGTGGCGAGGAATTTTCAAACTTCCCTCAACCGGACTGGGACCGCAGATTCGAGCATCTTACATCGGTGCATAAATTCGGAGAGTGCAACAACGCCAAGAAGTTCTACCGTGCGGACCATTTCCGGCAACACCTGAAACACAGTCATGCTGGTACAAGCGGGAAATGGACGAACATCTTGGAGAACGCCTGCATGAAGGAAGAGACGCCGCCGGAACCGAAGAATGCCAGCAGTACGACGGGCTCTACGGCCCCGTCGACGGGCGGATCCCTCGCGTCAAACAAGATCAACGAGGTGCTCGGCGGTTGTTGACAATCACTGTGCTCCGTTGGGGTTTGATAGGCTCGACGCTGCTGTTGCAAAACGGCAGCTCATGCTCCGCCCTTGGCTTTGACCTGGCCACTCGGTCAGGGATTTGATCTCATTTGCATATGTTTTTTTGCGACATCATAAACTATACTCATTTGCTTCCCATCTCCCTCTTTTGGGTGAACTCGACCCAGCCATTTACCGCGGTAGTATCTGCGACGCTGCTAACCTCTTTGTACTCTCTACACTTGGCCTGCTTTCATGATGCTCTCTGTACCACGCATTTGGATGTCTGTCTGCGATGTTGCATACACTGGCAGGAGCAAATGATGACAATCGGACAGCCACCGTGATGCGAACATGACCTTTGCCTTGCTTGTTCATACTTTCTTCTATTCATTTGTTTTGTTGTTGAGCCTTTGGGGAGGGAAAATTCGGAGTCTGGGACATTTCTGGCGGGAGGAATCGTCGGTTTGGGTTGTGTGTTGCGTGCGAGCGCGGACTTCTTTGTCACTAGCCCCATTTTTAGTTTTCTGTTGCTTCTCGCTTCTCTTGACGCTCTGATCATTTCGCGCTGGGTGGTCGGCTTGTGACGGCTTGCTTGAGTCACCCCGGGCGCATGGTTCGTGTACATAGACACTGTATATGAGATTTGAAAGAATCAACGAAAGATATACAGATTGCGGCGTCCAGACTACCGTACAATAAGCCCTAGGTATGAAAATAAATACCGTCACCACCCATTACATCGGTCAAATCAATCAACTAAACGCCTGATCCATGCATAGCTAGCCAAGAGACGAAAGCCTAGATATCGAAACTCCTATCGTCTTGTCTTTGGTCATGAATTTTGTTCCTTCTACGGCTCATCACATCCTCATATCGACACTACTGCCAAAGGGATCAATTTTCATCCACGAGTCCAGCGGCCTCCCTAGCGAGCCGGAGGTCTTTGCCCACGAGCCCAATATCTTTGAGATAGAGGCTGAACGCGGCGAGGAGGTCCGCCAGCGAGGTCTTGAGTGTGTCCAGGACGAGCTCGACGTCCGGAACGCGGCGCGCCGCGGCCTGCGCCTGGGGGTCGCTGGACGGCGGGAACGTCACGTCCGTCCAGTGGGCGTCCAGACCGCCGTGGACGAAGGCCTCGAGCGTCATGACCGTTTCGGTGAAGAGGCGCACGACGCCGGGGACGTCGGCCTGCACCTTGCCGTACTGGTCTTCCTGGAGACTAGCCACGAGGAGCTGGGTGAGCGACTCAATAGCGTCGACGATCGAGCACAGGCTTGCGTGCGGCGCGCCGAGGACGATGCCGGACAGGCGGCGCGCGTACGTCTGGCGGAAGAGGCGGCCGATGGGGGAGCGCAAGGCCTGCGCGAGGAGAGGGTGCAGGTTCTCTGGTTTGCTGGTGGACGGGGCTGCGAGCAGCTTGAGCTCCTGCGAGGGACGCGAGGAGCTTCTGTTTGCGCTCGGGGCTGAGCATCGCCGACGACGCGCGGTCGAAGACGTCCCTGGCGCGGGCGCGGGCGGTCGGCGTCCAGTCGGCGGACTGGCCGTAGGACCGGGCGGTGGTGCTGAACGCCTCTCCGATGCGCTCCTGGCGCGACGAGGCCTTGGGGGAAGGGGCAAAGAAGTTGCCTTCTTTGGGAGGGTCGGTGAGCCGTGGCAGGGTGTGGAGGACAGGCTGGGGTTTTTCGGTTTCGGGGGATTTGGCGGCGCTTGCAGGAGGGTTTTGTTTTTCGTCGATCCGGGTGGTCATGCCTTTGATCACTTCTGTTGCTGCCTCGAGGATCTGCGTCCAGGCGGCACCACCTTCGCGGTCGATGTCGTTGAAGATCGCCTTGCGCCGGTCAGGGAACTGCTGGCTGATGAAGCACAGCTCCCAGAACGCAAAGGCTTTGACGGTCTCTTTCTTTGCTTTCAGTCCGGTCAGCAGACTTCCGTTGGGGTCCTTGGCTTCTGATGTCAAGGGTTGTCCTCGCTTGAGAGGTTCCTTGCTGATGAACACGGAAAAGAAAAGGTTGGCTGTTTGCCAGCACAGGACCAGTAGTCCTCCGGAGAAGATAGTGCGAGGCACCAGTCCTAGACCGATCCCTGGGAGGAATCCTGGCGGGTCTGCGGCAGACCGGGGGAAATCCCAGAACAGTCTCGCCCAGTACATGGTAAAGCTCCAGGCGGGACGTCGGAAGAGAACGGTGTACACCACAGGGAAGGTTCCGGCGACTATGGTACTCCGGGCAAACCCATCCAGGATTAGCCGAGGGAGAGCGGCCTGGATCCGCTTCGACACCGAGTCCAGGGGATGGGTTCTCTTGTCCGTAGCGCCTGCAGCCCGCTTCGCAACCGGGATGGGAACCTGGTCATAGTCGTAGTAGAGGTGCGCAACCGATTGCACAACTGCCAGGAGAAAATGACAAGTATAAAGGTAGATGGGGCGTTCGTTTAGGCTTGCTCGTTCGTGTGGCCTAGGATCTTGTTAGTCTATCATACAAACAGCGGAACACATCACACATACCGAGCTCGCTTTACCCATTCCATATGGACGTCTGTCGGCACGGACCATTTGTAAATCTCACTGAACCACCATGCAGAAAACAGATACCATCCAAATGTCTGCAAGATGTTGAGCGGGACAAGGTATTTGAAGGTGCTGATGGGAGAGCTAGTCGTTCGCGAGCCAATGTGCATCTGACCAACACGCAAGACGAAGACAACGAGACTGGACAGGAACAGTAGAATTGTGCGGATTCCACATGCGCCAATTGGAAACCATGCCCATAGTACTGGCAGAAAAGACCTGGTTAGCTGCATTGAGCACGAATGGCTGCCGCCTTTCGCCCAACAATGACTTACAGGACGCTTTTTGGCCGATCAAGAATGACACAATGTAACAGACGAGCAGCGCAAGTGCCGAAGCATGGACGAACCGCCGATGTAGCGCAGATGTCAGAATGCGCCGGTATGGGCGCGGCCGGGCGGGAGCCATGATGCAAGCTAACAAGGACAGTTGACGATCTCTAGCTCGAGGGGTATCCAACAAATCACAGCATGATCAAGTACGCGAGATTTTAGAGCTCCCTGTTCGTTTTCAAAGCGCCGAAGACCAAGTTGACGGGGAGAAGAGCTCGAATGGCGCGGCGACGGAGACGTTGGCGGCGGCATGCGGCGATTGACGAAGCTTTTTTTGGACAAAAGCATCAAAACACACCAGCCACAGTTCATCGATCACGTGGTTAATCACTGCCACATGAGCTCATCGCAGCCTGCAATTGCAGGCATCAGCCCAGGCAACCAACCACCTGATAAGGTAGCATCTATCATCATCCGCTCTCCTTCTCCTCACCTCCTCATCTCCCGTCGGCACCTCTCCCTATCATCCACCATGTCATTCGATCGGCTTAACTCCCTAGAAGCCCAACCTACAACGTTACGTCGTTCCGATGACCCGCAGTATCGAGATGATCCCGAATTCCACCGCCTTACGGAGTCTCTATCCAACCAACTATTCAACTTGACTTCAAACATCACCCGCTTGTCGGATCAGATCGCACTCCTAGGCACAAAGCGCGACACAGAACGGGTGCGCGAGCGCGTTCATAATCTTCTGGAACAGACTCGATCCGGCTTCAAGGATGTGGGAGAGGGTATCAAGAAGGTCCAAACTTGGGAAGACGTCAATGTAAGCCCTAGGCTATCGCTGCTTCTTCATATGCACATGCTAACACAAATACACAGCCTTCCCAAAAATGGACACAACAGAAGTTGTCGACGGAATTCAAGGCCACACTAGACGAGTTCCAGACGGTGCAGCGCCGGGCCCTGGAGAAACAACGAGCCTCCGCAGTTGCTGCTCGCACCGCCGTCGAAGAAGGCCATCATGCTCCGGAGGAGGCCGAAGCCCACCAGCAGGAGCAACAACTTACGGAACAACAGCCCCGTCTTGCGAATCAAGACGAAGTCGATTTCCAGGAGGCTTTGATCATCGAGCGCGAAACGGAAATTCGCAACATTGAGCAGAGTGTTGGAGAACTCAATGAGCTATTCCGGGATGTGGCACATATCGTCCACGAACAAGGTGGTCAGCTGGACATCATCAGCGAGAATGTTGAACGAGTCACCGACAGCACTCGCGGTGCCAATGTCGAGCTCCGTAGTGCCAGCAGACACCAGAAGAATGCGCGTAACAAGGCGTGCTGTTTGCTCGTTATCCTTGCTGTCATTTTGGTAATTATCGTTTTGGCTGCTACACTAGGCTAAGTCTGAGCGATTTGATGACGCCTCTTTGCAACTGGTGGCTTTGCTCTTTCTTCATGATATCCACCGATGTATGGTTAACTGTACGCTTGTTTGATCTGTCTTATCATTATTTTTATGGATTTTATGACCATCAGGCGCATATGGAGCGAGGGAACTGCTTTTTCAACATCCGCTTATGTCTTCTTGATTTTTATGTCCATTGATATTTGAGTTGAGTATCATACACTGTGGTATACAAGAGTTATACATGAATCACGTCGCCCAAGCCGGTATTAAAACGCCAATTTCGCCCTCTATATGCACAGTTGGAAGTGCTTCACAGTCCTGCAAAGCGGCTGAACCTCATCCGGCAACCTTCCCAGGTGTTCATTTTCGGGCGTACATCCAGATAGAAGCTGAGTTTGCCCGGTCCAGCGTTGGCAGCCAATCCAGCATTGCTGCTACCTCCATCGGATTTCCCTTGGTAGAAATCGATCACGTATTCAATTCTCTCCCCGCCGCATCTTTCCACAACCCAGTCATGTCGATCAAAGGGCAATTGGTAACCCATCAGATTATTAAGGCGAGCACGGGGGCTCAGGAACTGGGGGTCAACACCCAGCCCGCGGAACGAATACAGCTTGGGGCCCCCGCACTTCTTGCTTCCAGGGTCTGACCGGGGGGCCTGGCTTTCCCAGTCGAGGATTTGCTGCCAGGCACGCTCGTTGACGGCGTTGTGAATAGGAATGATCGACGCTACGGACGTCGCCAGTTCAGAGGGGGAGGTGGTGGAAGCCGGAGTGTTTCCTTTGCGCATCAGCGCTTCAAAGAATTGACGTTCCGAGGGATAAATCCAGTTTCCGGTCTTCTGGTCATGGCCGGTTTCCGCCTCCGCATTCGACGGGGTGCCATGAGATGCGGCTGAGGACGAGTACGGCGATGGAGGGACGGCCGGGGCTCCCTGGGGTGTCGGATCTATGGCTCGAGGAATACTGCTAATTTCGCGATCAGTCGACAATGGACGCTGCGATTTCGCTTTCGGTTTGTCGTCCGATTCTGCCCCAGGCACCGGGTGAGGAGGCGCGGCACCACCGGAAGCCTTGTGTTGTTGCAGCCATATCTCACGGGTTTTGTGGTCGACGGGACATTTCGCCGCCGGGTCGGACTCGGCTGGCGAAGGCGAGGGCGTGCTTGCACCGGCACCCATGACGACCGCGAGGGTGGGAGGAATGCGAGGGTGTTAAAGAGTCTCACTGCCGGGTTGAAATGGGGTGGATCTGATTTGACTGTGACAAAAGAGTATGAGGGCGGTGAGAATGGGCAGTAGTTTTTATTCTTCACCGCCTCCGAGTGTTTGCTTTACCCAACAGGGAAATCCCCATCATGTCTTCTCGCATTGCCCCCTATCTCATCCCATCCTCTCCCATTTACAACTCCTCTCCCTCGCCCGTTTCCCTCCTCTCCATTGGTGCGAACCTGATTTCCTTGATTCACAATGGCTGATACTACGGTCTTTCGCGCTACCACCACCGCCCCCGTCAACATTGCGGTCATCAAGTAAGCCCACCTGTGCCCCGCCATTCCTGCTCATGACAACGCCCAATCGATAACATTCGATGCTGATCGCGATTCTGTAGGTACTGGGGAAAAAGAGATCCTTCTCTGAATTTGCCTACTAACTCATCTCTCTCCGTGACCCTATCCCAACGCTCTCTGCGCACCCTCACCACCGCCTCGTGCGCGGCTCAGTACCCCTCCCAGGATGAGTTAATCCTGAACGGCAAACCCCAGGAGATCCAGTCCTCGAAGCGCACCCTCGCCTGCCTTTCGAACCTGCGCGCTCTCCGCAAAGCCCTTGAAGATGCGAACCCCTCCTTGCCCAAGCTGTCCACTCTTCCTCTCCGCATCGTCTCCGAGAACAACTTCCCCACGGCCGCTGGCCTCGCCAGCTCCGCCGCCGGTTTTGCCGCCCTCGTTCGTGCCGTCGCAGACCTCTACCAGCTCCCCGATTCGCCGCGGGATCTCAGCCGTATCGCTCGTCAGGGATCTGGCTCGGCTTGTCGGTCGTTGATGGGCGGATATGTGGCCTGGCGCGCGGGAAGCCTCGATGACGGAAGTGATAGTCTGGCCGAGGAGGTCGCTCCCGCATCCCACTGGCCAGAGATGCGTGCGATCATCCTGGTCGTCAGCGCCGAAAAGAAGGACGTCCCCAGTACCGAAGGCATGCAGACCACCGTCGCTACCTCCAACCTGTTCGCGACCCGCGCAACATCCGTGGTCCCCGAGCGCATGGCTGCCATTGAGACCGCAATCCAGAACCGTGACTTCCCCGCCTTCGCGGAGATCACCATGCGGGACTCTAATGGCTTCCATGCCACCTGCCTGGACTCCTGGCCCCCGATCTTCTACATGAACGACGTGTCCCGCGCTGCGGTTCGCCTCGTGCATGATATCAACCGTGCCGCTGGCCGCACCGTCGCCGCATACACTTTCGATGCTGGCCCAAATGCTGTCATCTACTATCTCGAGAAGGACAACGACCTCGTGGCGGGTACGGTTAAGGCTATCCTGGGTCCCAACACAGAGGGCTGGGATGGTCCCTTCTATGAGCCTCTGAAGAACACCACCGCTCCCGGAGTTCCTCTCGATAACGTGGATTCCCGCGCGCTGGCTGTACTCAAGGATGGTGTGAGCCGCGTGATTCTGACTGGTGTCGGGGAGGGCCCGATCAGCGTCAACGACCACCTTGTTAATGAGAAGGGTGAAATTATCTCTCAGTGAGCCCGATGGCATGGTCTAAACAAACTACTTAAGATGCAAGCATTGTTACAGTGCATAGTTGCTTGGCAGATACCCAACCATTACATTCTTGTTCAGGTTCAAGCTACCTGCGTTCTGAGTTTATTGCTGAAAAGCGGCAGCGAATGTGTTTCACGGAAATCTCACGATACATATGGTTTGATTAATTTGACTACCTTATCTGACGAAATAGAATGGCAAGTTCCTGGCACTACTACGCAAAGACTGCATCGTTCAAAGACCTTCCGGACATGATTTTTCTATGTCTATTGATAGGAAAATTGGGGTTACAACTTAAATCCAGGCTTTTAGCTAAGCAACGCCGACGACTTCAGCTCCTTCACCGGCGGTACTTCCTTCAGACCCGTCCCTCCTACCTCCGTAGAAGTAATGCTGTCGTAGAACACCTTCTGTGACCCCGTAGGCTTAATCATTTCGCCTGCATCTTCCGCAGCCTGCAACTCCCCTCCCGACGTCGTCTGCTGAACAGCCACATCAAAGACCTCCTCCCGACTCTCAGCGCAAAGCTTCAGGACCTCCTGCATCGCCTTCTCGATGGCCGCGGCCCGCTCCCGCATACCACGGCGCAGGAGCGCATCCACAAGACCCTCAGCCTCGGGAACGGTCGAGTTCACTCGCTCGATGAGTCGACGCACACTGTTGACGAGATACTCCTCCTCATACACGGTACCCTTCTTGCCGCGCGCACGCTTGCGCTCCTCGCGTCGACGCGTCTTCGACGTCTGCCGCGACGCCGTCGTCTTCCCCGTGTAGCGGGTGTACATCGTGCGCCCTGCAAGTGTGGACGCGTCCGTCGGCGCCAGCGAGACGTTATCCGGGATATCCACGCCCAGCTCGCCGGTGGTGGGGTCGCCGCCGAAGTAGGCGAGCGGGTCGGCGGCGCGCCGCACGCGCAGCTCGCGGATGCGCGGCACCTGGGCGTTGAGCTGGCCACGGAAGTCGGCGAGGAGGTCCGTCATCGAGCCCATCGAGTCGGCGAGGCCGGCGTCCACGATCTCCGGGATGAGGGCTTGGTGGCCGTGCGTGGCGAGCAGCCGGGTGGCGTCGGCGAAGCGCGAGCCCCGACAGTAGAGGCGAGCGGCGCCGGGGATGTCGTGGAGGTGCTCGGCGTGGATCTGAGCGGCGGAGACGTAGTCGCGCGACTCGTCGGTGAGCGTTGTGGCTAGGGTTGTTGCGTGCGAGCGCAGCTCTTCTGCGGAGAGTGGGACCATCATCGCGCAGTACATGGACTCGCGCCAGAGATGGGCGAGGTGATAGCATTTGTAGGCGTCGGTGTAGAGGGAGAGGGATTCATATGCTGGGGTTTGTCAGTAGTTGCTGGCTGCTGGGTAGAGGGAGGTACGTACCGATGCCTGCGTCTTTATACATGGACTGGTCGTAGAGATAGTCGGCGTAGATGTGGGTGATGTCGTGCAGTTGCTCAGGCTGGTACTTGTAGACGTCGATGGCGTCCTTGTACAGAACGTGTTTGATGGCATACGCCCGCAGTTCGTCGTGGGCATTGAGCTTGTGAAGATGGCGCAGAGCCTTGGCCCAGCGTCCCAGGTAGTTATCAATCTCGAATTGGCGTCGAGTGTCGGGGAGCTTTTGGAGCTTACGCAGGAACGGGAGATATTCGCGAGGATCCTAGATACAAAGTCAGGGACGTGGGTATGCGTTGATTGGGAGATAGTCTTACCCGCTGGGCTTGCTGAGCAACCAGCAAGGTGAGTTCCAAATCGTAGAGACCCAGTGCGTTGTCATACAGACGATTGGCGTCTGTCAAGAAGCACATATGCTCGATCGCATCCTCCGCTTGCTCAGGGCTCTCCTCTATATAGAGTCAGCATGGTGATACAGTTTTTGGGCAGGATATTCCGTACCTCGCAAGCGCGCAACCAACCGAAGTCCTGACTCCAGATCTGGTGGGGATTTGCAAACATGGGCAGTAATCAGGTTATGCAGATTTGTGTCCATTCGCTTTTCCAATAGAGCGAGAAAAGCATCGCAGATCCGGTTGACCTTACTCTTACCCAGTGCTTTGACGGGAACGTTTCCATTTGGCTGCGTGTCATCGGATGCGGCGGTCTTCAGTGTGTCCTTGTAGAGTGTCTGAGAGACATCATCCTCGCTATACGGTGTTAGATGGTGAATTTTTGGGCAAAGATTCTGGACCATACCTCAACCGTGATAGAAACTCGTCAATGAAATCGACCCTCTTCACTTGATCAACAAATAGATGAACACTTTCCATGAATTGTTCAGGCGCATAATCGTGGATGATGTTCATGTCCACCATTTGGCTGCGACAGGTCAGGTACGCAGACCGGTAGTCCTTCCGGTCAATAAAGGAGCGGATACCAGCCAGCACAAGAGCTCGGGGATAGATGGTCTCGATATTTCCACGGGGCATTTGCAAAGTCACCGCGAATATCGTCGGCATCACGGTCACCAAGCGTCCGCCACGTTCAATGCTTCTGCAACGCTCGTCCGTCTCTGGGGTATCGGGCGGCACATCCATCACTACGGAAGGGTCAATGTCAGATGCAAAGCACGCGAGGATTTGTACTGACCTTCAGCTCTTGTCAAGTGGACGAATTTCAGTAGGTGCTGGGAGGTAGTAAATACCACATGGGTTTTCGTGACGAGGAACGAGGTGCAGTTCTTGGCGAGCAGACGTGTATTCGCATATAGAGCTCCAGTCCTTGTCAAAGAAATGAGAATATGCTTGTTGTTGTTAGCATATCTTTCATGCGAACGAAGTTACGTAGTGGTTACCTCGTCTTCGGATAGAACAGCAGCTTCGGCCCACTGCGTGTCAACAGCAGGTCCTTCTGTGTATGGCGCAACGACTAGCTCGCCGGATGAGTCGGCCTTGACGGTGGAGTACGCAATTGATTGACCTGGCTGGCCAGTATGAGAAAGCCACAACGCTTCATGTGTTAGACTTGCGAATATCGACACCAATTGCTCCGAGTCAGCTGCGTGATAAATAGTGTTGGTCTCTCTGGTCTCCAGTGTCGTCCGCTCGACTGCGGTAGCGTTCGGACCACTACTCTTCAAAATGTATACTTCGGTCTCGTTACGGAAGGCAATCTGTCGTGGTCGACTCTCTGGCGCGCCTGACAACGGATAGCTAGATTCAAGAATGGGCGGTGCAATAGGACGGGTCTTGAAGGACCACATGAACACAGAGAACCGATCCTTCATGAGAACAGCAATTCGGGTACCGGATTTGCTAAACGCGACGTCGACGATGTTGGAATCCAGGGCCACTTCATTGTGAGCCATGGGAGGAGGAACACCCGACAGTCTCAGGGGCGTCAATTTCAGGATTTCTTGCAAGTTAGCATTGTTTTCAGACAGCAAGAACTAATACTTACTTCCGTCAATAACAGCAACTGCCCCAACATCGTTAGGCGGTACAGTTGAACCGTGGGCGACATCAAAGACAAAGTCCATGTCTAATATAGAGCCTGCGCGTGTGTCAGTAGTAGAGGGACAAGGACATGTTGTTATCGCGTACCAGATGCTCCAGCGACAAAACGCAGGGCTTTCTCTTGATGCCATTTGAAAGCGAACAGGTTCGGATACTCAGGATCGACCATCACAGGCACTTCCTGCTTGAGATAATAGTGGTAGTTGCCCATAGTCCAAAACTGCACTCTATCCTTGAAGTGAACAGCGAGCACAGTGGAATCAATATTCCAACTCAGATGAATATTCGAGGCCCATGAGGATCGCTCTTCTTCGGTAAGACGAAGCGTGAATTCTCCATGGCGCAAGCCATTCCTTTCAAAGAACACAACGTCAACCCGTCCCTCTAATCTCTGGATACCCGCAATGAGATTTCCGTACGGTCTCCAGCTGAGTGCGGATTCTAGCCCGTCAACTGGCTCGCTGACACTGTCAAGTGTACCTTCTCGTGAATACACCCGGATGACACGGCGAGAGCCTTGTTCAATGCTGTTCACCGCAACGTACGCACCATCACCCCGCCAGCTGATAGTGGTCTTTCCGTCGTCATTGCTACTCAGCTTACCCTCGTCGACCTTCTCAGGGACTGTAGGGTCACGCAGAGCTTTGGCTCTCTTTCCTTGGAACTGGGTCTCGCGCTTGCCCCAGCCAACGGAGACATGCTGAGACGCCTGAAGATCTTGGGGGGTGAGGGTAATCTCTGCCACATTTTCAAACTCGCGAGTCATGTACAAGAACGTGTTTGCTCTGGTGGTCAGAGCGAGGAGCTCTTCATCAGGAGACCACGCGGCAGCTGTGATACCGACATCAACCGAACCCAGGATTTCGATCTTGTCCTCGCCGGGCAGAGGTTCCTCGCGAACAATGATAATGTCGCCTCCTTCGAGTACCAGACACGCACTCAGGTTGTCGGCAAAATAATGAAGTGAAAGCACCCGATCACAGGCGAGGCCTGGCAACGGACACGGCGCATCCCACGATGCGATGCATTCAAATACATCTGCAGCTACCGGGTCCGAAAAGTAAGTGTCTTGACGCTTTCGTCTCAGCTCTATGACAGGATTTGTCTCGGTCGGACCAAAGGTGCAAATGACAGCGTCCGAAGCTGTATCCCACGCCGTTGCAGTGAGAGGGAGCTCATTCTGAAGCTGCACCTCGGCGTGGCGCACGTTTTTCAGGTTGCGCATTTTGGAGAGTAGTCACGGTTACCCCGCCGCCATGTATCAACAAAAGTCCACGGCAGATGGAGATGGGAGTCGCAAGTGAAGGAATAATTAAAGGAACCGGTATACTCTCCGGCGAAGGAGTAGTAAAGAGACGGTATGCAGCTAGTAGTGTTTTGCGGAGGTTGGTGTTCCCAGCGGAACTCGATATCAAATGCGGACCCGAAGATTTTAATTTTCGAACAGTCAAAAAATAATCGACCAATGACTTCATTCATATTCTAAGGTGCATCAGACCATCCACAACGACAGTCCATGAGTTATCCCACCACCGCGACAATTGATCAAGTTGAATTAGCTGCGAAATATACAATTACTTTAAAAGATCAAAGGTGATGAATTCTCTAGCTTTGTACACAATATCCGAATACTTCCAACGTAGGATACAATTTCAACCACGTCCCCATGCCCCAGCTCTCCATGGCGCGGAGAAATACAGCGCAGAACAGCATTTAGCGGGTCTTGTAGGTTTGCCAGACTAGAAAAGCACATGGTTAGTCCATTGAACCTGACCAGCCTATAAAGCTGGGTGAAACACATACCAGCAATGGCGAAGGGAGCACCGAAACCGGTAACTAGAGGTCCACAGTTAGCGACTTCCGCTGTATATCTTCGACGACGAATCAATTGGTGCGCACGAACCCATGAAAGCCCAGTATCTCCAGAAGAAGTACTTGGTCAGAGGGTTGAAGGGGATGTTGGAGCGAGGACCCTCAGCGTAGTGGTAGGGGCTGCCGAGCTGGGCGCGGGTGGTGGAAAAGCCACGGCGGGCAACGAAGGAGGTGGCCATGCGGGCCCGGAGAGCGGTCGCAGCGTTCATCTGGCCGGTGGGTTAAAGATGCAATTCGCAAAGCGTCCGGTATAACGTCGAGTCACCTACCTTGAGTGAAGTAGCCGAGAGCAGGGGAATGATCGAGGCAATGGACTGACAGGCGGGAAGAGCAGGAAGTGGAACGAGCAGTGTTCGGCGGCTCCCCGGAAGGAAGAGTCACGTGAAATACATTGACCTCCGAACAGCAAGTTTCTCCGGCGGCAGTGCCCGTCGGCCAATCACACGGCGCCTTCCCCATCGGGATTGTGAAATTTCTCGGTGCGATCATCCCCAAGTCGTTCGACAAGAATCGCATTTCTTCCCCAGTCTTCTGGTTCCGTGTCGGTCGCCCTGTTTGCGACGGACTGGCGACTTCATCCGACCATGGATGAGCTTTTCGATGTTTTTGAGGACCAGCCTCAGGCGGTCACGCCCGCCGACAATGTGCCGAAGCGATCTAAGAAAGACAAGAGCAAGAAGCGCCAGATTAACGGAGACGTGAAGGGAAACGGTGATGTCGCCAAACCGGAAGAGGAAACCCCGGCTATCGAAATGCCTGATGCTGGAGCTGCGAATGGGGAGGATAGCGAAGCGCCAGCTGCGGGAAACAGCGACCAACCCGACGCCAAACGACCACGACTGGAACAAGAAGCCGCGCCGGTGGTGGCAGATGAGTTTGAGACTGCGCAAGAACGTGAAGTCGCTGGATCTGCAGGTCTGCAAGCTACAAAGGATTCCGGATCAGTCGTTCTACAGCATCAGGTCCGCCATCAAGTGTCTCTTCCGCCCAACTATCCATACGTGCCCATCTCCCAACACCAGCCTCCCAAAGACCCTGCGCGAGTATGGCCCTTCACCCTCGATCCTTTCCAGCAAGTCGCGGTATCGTCCATTCAACGCGAGGAGAGCGTCCTCGTTTCAGCCCATACCAGTGCCGGTAAAACTGTGGTTGCCGAGTATGCTATCGCTCAGAGTTTGAAGAACAACCAGAGAGTCATCTACACCAGTCCTATCAAGGCTCTGAGTAACCAGAAGTACCGAGAGTTCGCTGCAGAGTTCGGTGATGTGGGTTTGATGACCGGTGATGTTACGATCAACCCTACGGCTACTTGTCTGGTCATGACTACCGAGATTCTGCGGTCGATGTTGTACCGTGGTTCCGAGATCATGCGTGAAGTCGCGTGGGTAGTTTTCGACGAAATTCATTATATGCGCGACGCTACTCGAGGTGTCGTTTGGGAGGAGACCATCATTCTTCTCCCAGATAAAGTCCGATACGTCTTCTTGTCCGCCACTATCCCTAACGCGATGCAATTCGCCGAGTGGATTACCAAAATGCACAACCAGCCATGTCACGTTGTATATACCGACTTCCGGCCAACACCCCTGCAACACTACTTCTTCCCTGCCGGTGCCGAGGGAATCCATCTGATTGTGGATGAGAAAGGAAATTTCCGTGAAGAGAATTTCCAGAAGGCCATGAGCAGCATTGCCGACAAGAAGGGCGATGACCCGGCCGATGCGTTAGCCAAGAGGAAAGGCAAGGGCAAAGATAAGAAAATCAACAAGGGTGGAAATGAAAGCGGTAACGATATCTACAAAATTGTGAAGATGGTGATGATCAAAAACCTGAACCCCGTCATCGTTTTTAGTTTCAGCAAGCGCGAGTGCGAGTCATGTGCCCTGAAGATGAGCACGCTGGCTTTCAATGACGATTCGGAGAAAGAGATGGTGTCCAAGGTCTTTAACAGCGCCATCGAGATGCTGTCTGAGGAAGACCGGAATCTGTCCCAGATTCAGAATATCCTACCCCTGCTCCGGCGAGGCATCGGTGTTCACCACTCCGGTCTCCTTCCGATCTTGAAGGAAACCATCGAGATTCTTTTCCAGGAGGGTCTTATCAAGGTCCTGTTTGCTACGGAAACGTTCTCCATCGGTCTTAACATGCCTGCGAAGACCGTGGTGTTCACTAGTGTTCGCAAATTCGACGGCTTCAGCCAACGCTGGGTCACCCCCTCTGAGTTTGTTCAGATGTCTGGTCGTGCTGGTCGAAGAGGTCTTGATGACCGGGGTATTGTCATCATGATGGTGGGTGAAGAGATGGATCCCGCTGTAGCCAAAGAAATTGTCCGCGGTGAACAAGATCGGCTGAACTCTGCCTTCCATCTTGGTTACAACATGATCCTGAACCTCATGCGTGTGGAAGGCATCTCTCCCGAGTTCATGCTGGAGAGATGTTTCTACCAATTCCAAAACACTGCAAGCGTTGCGGGACTCGAGAAAGGTAAGTTGACATTGACTCATACAAGGCATTCAGGCTAACACAAGATTAGAACTTCATGAACTCGAGGAGAAGCGCTCCAATCTGACCATTTCCGACGAGGGAACTATTCGCGAATACTACGACTTGCGGAAGCAACTCCGGCAAGCCAATGAGGATATGCAAGTGGTGATCAGCCACCCGGATTACTCCCTTCAGTTCCTCGTGCCCGGTCGGCTGCTTCGCATCAAGCACAAGGGTATCGAATTCGGCTGGGGTGTCGTCGTCAACTACAAGAAACGCAAGCCCGCGAAGAACCAAACAGAAGAGTTTGAGGCGCATCAAAAATACATCCTCGACGTTCTACTTAAGATTGCCGATGGTCCCTCTGTTGGTACGAAGACATTTGAGGATCTGCCTCCTGGCGTTACACCTCCGAAAGAGGGAGAGAACACTCGCATGGAGGTGGTTCCTGTTACGTTGAACTGCATTGAATGCCTCTCCCACATCCGGATTTTCCTTCCCAAGGATGTGAGCTCTCTGGATGCACGGAATGGAGTGAAGAAGGCCTTGGATGAGGTACAAAAACGATTCCCGGATGGAATTGCTGTTCTTGACCCTATTGAAAACATGGGGATCAAGGACGATAGCTTCAAGAAGCTTCTCAGGGTAAGTTTGTGATTTTCAACGTCCGGAATCGGATCCGCTAATTGGATTATAGAAAGTCGAAGTCCTCGAATCTCGCCTTCTCTCGAACCCGCTGCATAATTCTCCCCGGCTTCCCGAGCTTTACGACCAGTACTCGGAGAAGGTGGAGCTTGGATCGCAGATTAAAGCGACAAAGAAGAAAATTTCCGATGCTATGTCGATCATGCAGTTGGACGAGCTTAAGTGCCGCAAGAGAGTCCTTCGTCGATTTGGATTTATCAACGAGGCCGAGGTAGTACAGATGAAGGCGCGTGTGGCATGCGAGATCAGCACAGGCGATGAGCTGATGCTCAGTGAGCTGCTTTTCAACGGTTTTTTTAACAAGCTTACCCCGGAGCAAGTCGCTTCGGTGATCAGCGTCTTCGTGTTTGAGGAGAAGACGAAGGAGACCCCTGCTCTGACGCGGGACGAGTTGGCCAAACCCCTCAAGGAGATCCAAGCCCAGGCTCGGATTGTTGCCAAGGTCGCGCAGGAATCCAAACTCGCGGTGAACGAGGAGGAATATGTCCAGAGCTTCCACTGGGAACTGATGGAGGTGATTTACGAATGGGCGAACGGCAAATCTTTCGCCGAGATTTGGTAAGCTGCATATCCATCTCCTCCTTGCCACCTTGTGGGAAGTCCCCATCTACTCAGCGACCGTGCTAATTCCGACTGGTAGTAAAATGACGGATGTCTACGAAGGTAGTTTGATTCGAGTGTTCCGCCGATTGGAAGAATGTCTGCGACAGATGGCTCAGGCCGCCAAGGTCATGGGCAGTGAGGAGCTGGAGAGTAAGTTTGAGACGGCCTTGACCAAGGTTCGCCGGGATATTGTGGCCGCGCAGTCCCTGTATCTGTAAGGTCTTTGTTCTCTCTGTTTCTTTTCTCTTTCATTTGTCGAGGAGAGCTGCGTGGTGTGGTTACATACAGCATTTTCCTGGCGTCCGGGTTGAAAAATCGGGATTCGTTGTAGACAATCTATCATCTTTCATTCATTGTCAAATATACATTCACTATAAATATTCCTTCATAAGTTACATCTCGACTACATGATCTAAAATATAGAAAGCATCAGACGTAGCATCTCTGCCGTCGATGACTGGGTGCAGTGGTCATCGAAAAGCAACCTGCGCAAGAGGAGGGCGTTGCCTCCCGCAACCTTCCTTCACTCCACCGCTTCTCTTTCTTTCTCTCTTCCCCACCACAACTTCTCTTCCTCTCCCTCTTCCACTCTCTCCCCCTACTTCATCTCGCCTCTTCAACCACTTTTTCCTTGCTTTGTCGCTTTTCATTTGTTTGAATTTATTTCCTGTGTCTCCTCTTGCTGGAGCCACCGCCTCTCCTGCCTCCTCCCCATCTCCTTCTCTCCCTCGGACCCAACTCCCTTACTCCTGTCCACCAGCTGTTTGTGGCCATCATGAACAGCTTGGTGGCTACTCCTCCTGTGCCACCTCATTTCTACGAGTATTCCCGTCTTGCCTCCGCTCGTCAAAGTAGGTTTTTCTCCTTGATCTTTCAAAAGATATTTACTCATTGTGATCGTCACAGTGTCTACCCCGACTGTCACCCCCAACTCCCGAAAACGGAAGGCCGAAGATGATACCGCCGACCACGATGGACGCATGTCTGCTTCTCCGACCAGCTCTCCCGCTTTCACCCCGAGAACTCTTCCGTCCGCCCGCAATGTGAAACGTACTCGCCCCAATATCAGTGGCAGGCCGCTGTCCTTACCCCGGTTGCTGGAGACGCTGGACACCGATGCCCTTCGAGGAATGCTTCGGTCCATGTGTGAACGCCACCCCAGCTTGGCCGACGAGATCGTTCATACCGCTCCTCGACCGAGCGTTTCTTCCGCCCTCCAGGTGCTCCGGCAGTACCAATCCAACCTTCAATCATCCTTCCCCCTGGGTGGCAATCCAGCTTCCGACTACGCCTACAACCGGGTCCGGCAGCCTCTTGGACAGCTTCTCGATGCTCTGAGCGATTTCACCCCACATTTTCTACCTCCGAACGAGACTCAGCCGTCCGTATCCTTGAGCTACCTGGACGACGCCACCGAAATTATTCACGCCCTGCCACGGTGGAGCACACCCCAAAACAACATAGAGCGGGACTCTGCATATGACGAGATCTGCAAAGCTTGGATTCTGGTGATCCGAGAAGCGGCCAAACGTGGAGGGGGCTTCCAGCTGCAGTACGGCGGCTGGGAACAGAAACTAGCCAAACATAATCAGAATTCCGGTGGGAAGCTGCAGGCAGCCGTTCACGAACTCGCCTCCTGTCTAGGGTGGATGCACGGACCAGACACTCAAGCCTACGGTGGCTCCGGAGGAAACAATGATCTAGGATCTATACGGGAACAACTTCTTTCTGGTACATATGGACTCGGCACTCCAGTCAAAGTTGGACCATGGTGAATATTTAGTCCGCCACAGCCCAAAAGAGCTATCCTTCGAAAGCGCTCAGACGTTCTGTCTATGCACTCGACCGTGCACGTCTACGCATGATACGATCACGATACCAACAGCATGAACTAGAGAGTTGAGGGTCAACCTGGCGTTTACATTGTGCAAAGAGATTCTTCTCCATTTTCTTATTCCGTCTTCTACTGTCTCATAATTGTCAAAACCACAGCCGATGTCACCCTTCTTAGACGGGGCCCCTGTTGTCTCGTTGGTCTGCATCGCCACGTCATTGCATTCGTCACCTCACACGGTCCCTATTTTCTTCGGTCAAATCATTTGGTTTTTCTTTGTTAAGCCGTTGTTTTCTATTCTACCGCTCGCTACATTTTCATGTTTCATTTTCTCGAATTTTTCATTGCTTCATCTCAATGTTTGCCTTTGAATTGCCATGTATACCCTTTTACACCCTGTGCTCCTTATCTCAGGCCATTATCATCTTCTATTTTCTTTTCTCTCCACGTTTGGCTATTGTTCACCAATATTCGCTGGGGCGTTACACAGAATTGTTCTATCATTTAGGGTGGTTTTCGTGTGAAGTGCCAGCCTTCCCATCTGACAGAATGTATCGATCACGGGTGGAGCGCACAAGCTGAGTCGTACCCTCGGGACCATCAACCAGGAACTCACCTGGTTGAGCTCCTACGGTACGCCGCTAAAACCAAATCATATGGTTCAGTCAGTCTTGTAGACTACTGTTCCTTTTATCTAGGATTGAATTGGGGATGGTTACATAGTTGTCCGGAAGAATTGAATTAAATTAATGCTATGCCAACATAGTAACCGTATATCAAATTCGCAACTATGATGTCTGCAGGATGGACTGTAGATAGGTGTGATGTATGAAGAGATATTATCAATGCAACGACGAATGCAGTCTGTCATGAATCTTCTCAGAAAAAAGCACGCTTCATGGTCCGGAACAACCATCCTGCATCCTCCCATCCCCCGGCCGAGCCCGGCTTCTCGATCACGCTCTGACGATCCGCGTCGCTCACAGACGCTCTATCGAGATCATCCGCCACGGATGACACAGAAAGGTGGTCATCATGCTCTCCAGTAGTAACTGAACGCTCTTCCACCGTCTTCGACGACTCAACCGGAGCGGTAGCAGAAGCCCAAGGCCAGTCATCATCTCCAAACACCGTCCATCCCACGACCCTATCGACCCAACTCCCCAACCCGAATCCCCGTTCGCGGGTCAACCGCTGGAACTCCTGCTCATCGATATCATCGTCCGAGTCGAAATACCCATCTGACGACGCAGACGTATACCCCTCCTCGTCCTCCTGCTCCTCCTCCTGCCGAATCCACTCCATCTCCGCCCGGATACGCTCGTCCACAAAATCTGGCACAAAATGCCGCACGTCCTCCGCCGGCATGCCCATCTTGCCACCCGCCCCCGCGCCCGTCATCTCCAGCCCCGTCATCGAGAGCTCCGGCCGACTGCCCCGCCGGCTGGCGGCGCGCGACAGTGACCCGCGCCGCGAGAACGCCGCCGGCGTCGACCGGCCCGACCGCGACCGCCGGTACGCGCGGCCGCTGCCACTACCACCAGCAGCCGCGGCTGAATCCGCGTCGTTGGCGTGCACCTCGCTGACGAGCGAGGTCGAGCTCGCCCGCTTCACGAGCCAGCTCTGGCCCTTTTCCTCGCGGGCGGACGAGGCCAGCGCGCTGGCCGTGCGGAGCATCCACTCAGTGTCGCGCCGGTGGTGAGAGTGGGTAGATTTAGTTCGGGGGGCGGCATTATGGTGGTGGTGCTGGTGGGAATGGGAATGGTGGTGCAGCGGGTGTGCAGCCGCCTGGTCGCGCAGGTTGGTGTCGCTTAGGGTCTTCTCGCGGGTGGTGCTTTTGCTGCGCTGGTGGCGGTGGTTGCGCGCGCGCGACCCGCTGCGAGATTGGGAGTGAGAGAGCACCCCCGGCGTGCCGGGCACGGAGAAGCTGGACAGGTAGGAGGTGCGCGGCGGAGTGTCGTACCCGCTGTATGTGGGGGCGTGCTCGGCCTCGCCCCGTGGGGAGAAGTAGTCCTGCGGTTCATTGGGGTAGTCGACGTCGTCGTCGTCGATGGGAAATCGTGGTGTTAACGGCGCGAGCGAGATGTGGTTTAGAGATGGGTAGGACCGTCGTGAGCGGAATCCGCTCGGAGACCGGGGGAGCTGTGAGGTCATCAGTACACTGGTAGAATACATGGGGTGTGGGGAGTAAGGTTGAGGGTGTGCTTACATCCATCAGGGTGGGTTAGAGATGGTCGGAGTAGATGTGGGATTGAGTCTGGGGAAGATGCAAGAATGAGGTCGAGGAGGATGGCAGCTGGGGTTGGAGGTGGTTGTCGGTTACTCCATCCAAGCATGTGAATGCGGGCACCAACCGTCATCATCGTCACCACCTCACGTTTGATCTGCGACTCTGCACAGTAACGAATCATTTGATTAGGAGTTATGGTCCCTTTGATTTTAGAGGCATAATTAGGATATTATAGAGAGGCTATTTTTTTGTAGTGTGCGTCTCGAATGTGAAATATCCCTGGATATGTCCTATGAACGGAGAAAATATATTTCCCCAGACACTACACCAAAAGCCATAAACCTGAACACTTATTGTAGGCATTTTGATTAACTAGAATTCACTTGGTATCTTCATCCATTCATGCAATCTTTCCCTTGTTGACAACGAATCCCTCCAGAGCAGAGATGGCAGCCCACAGCCGATTCTCCGCCTCGGGGAAGACTAACGACCGGTTACTGTAGAAGACCTCATCACTCACTTCCTCCGGGTGCCGGGGAAGGCAGTGCATGAATTTCCAGTTCTCGTTGGCTCCTCCACGCTTGGCAAGTTCCGACGTGATCTGGAAGCCTTCAAAGGCCTTCATACGCTTGAGCGATTCCTCTTCCTGGCCCATCGAGACCCAGGTGTCAGTCACCAGGATATCGGCCTTCTTCACCGCCTCTTCGGGGACATTGGTCTGGATGAGCTTTCCGGGGTTGGCCACGCCCTTGCCGGCTTCCTGGATGAGCTCCCGCATGGAGGCCGGGATCTCATAACCCTTGGGGGTTGCAACGGCCAGGTCGACGCCCATCTTCGCAGCGCTGATCGCCATGTCGAACAAGACGTTGTTCGCATCGCCGACCCAGGCAATCTTCAGGCCCTCCAGACCCAGGCTGGACAGATGATGGGCCTTGGGGGTGAAGGTCTCGTAGATGGTCTGGAAATCGGCAATGGCCTGGAGCGGGTGGAACGAATCACAGAGGGCATTGATGACGGGGACGGTCGAGTGCTTTGCAAGGTCGGCCACTTCGGCGTGCTTGCCCACGCGGGCCACAATGGCGGACACCATTGACGAGACCACCACGGCGGTGTCGTACAGGGATTCATTCACTCCGAGCTGGATATCGTCCTTGCCGAGGAACATGGGATGTCCGCCCAACTGGACAGTAGCGCCTTCGGTGGATATCCGAGTGCGGGTACTCCGTTTGCTAAACATCATGGCCACCGTCTTTCCAGCCAGGGAGCCCTGCAGGTTGGTCGGGATCGACCCGGACTTGATTGAGTGTTTGTGCGAGGAGGCATTGCGGACGAGGGTGGTGAATTCGGTGGGCGTGAGGTCGGCAATGGACAGAAGGTGACGAGGGGCGAAGGGAGAGGTCTTGAGGGTCGTGGACGAGGAGTATTGGCGCACGGCCTGGACGGGGATCTTCTGGCGCAAGGCGCCGCAACGAGCGGTGGGAATCATGATGAGGAGAGATAAGGGGATGCGGGAGATGGAGCAACGGATTCGAAAGCAATTCAATTCGGTCTTTTGTCCAGATTGAGACCGATATAGAGACTTTATACCCGGCCTCGCGGAGAGGAGATTGAATGGAGTCACGTATGAGTCAAGTCTGGAGAAGAGCAAACGAGTCAACAAGAAAAAGAAGAAGAATAAAGTGTCGAATCTCCACACCGCGCCTTTCCTCTTCCGGTTTAGTCGCGGGCCCGTCTTCCGTCGCCGATCGTCACACGTCGATTACCTCAGGTATACCTCACAGACTCATTTCTCTCTCTTTCCATATCCTCCATTACCGGTCTCTTCTCTATCTCTTCTCAATTCCATCCCCTTTTACCTCTTTGTTGTTGACTGTGTATTCATTCCTGGCTCTGAGCTGCTCCGGACGCCGTCTCCGTCACTCCACATCGTTCCCCGCTTATCTCCAGCCACCATGGCTGATGAGGCAAGGACGCCTCTGTTGAGCGAGGACGACTCGACATCCTCCCGACGTCGATCGTCCTCGACAGACAAGCATGCATCGACTGAATCAACTCAACTACCTCCGCCGTTCGAGCTGTCGAATGAATCAACTCCCCTCCTACATCGTCGCGACGATGACTTGGCTGCGTACGGCGGTACCCAACACCCAAGACGTCGTTCGTCGGTATCTCAAGTATCTTCCATTGGGGAATCATTTACCAAACAACGTGGACGCGTTCGATGGCCGCTATTCTGCGTTGCGCTTGCATTGTTAGCTGTTTTGGCAATCCTCTTGTTTGCCTTCGTCGCACCGGCCATGGTAGAAGAGTATGTGAAAGAGGCGGCCATATTCAGACCCACGAATGTCTCAATCGAGTCGGCGACTTCCAATGGGATACGAACCAGGGTGCAAGGCGACTTTACGCTTGATGCAAAACGAGTGCACAAACGTTCGGCGCAGGCGTTAGGTCGTTTCGCGACTTGGATTGGCAGGGAGGTCGAGACGGGGGATTCGGAGACCCGCGTGTATCTTCCGGAATATGGAAATGTTCTTGTCGGCTCTGCGTCGCTACCCTCGATGAAACTGGATATCCGGAATAGCCACGTGAACCATCTCGACTTCACTGCGGACGTGATAGCGGGTGATATCCCCGGGATTCGTGCCGTGGCCATGGACTGGTTAGAAGGGAGGCTCGGTCATCTGCGAATCAAAGGAGCAGCAACGTTACATCTCAAGTCAGGTATATTGTCCTTGGGTGAACAGACGCTTTCGGACTCCGTCACATTAGAAGGTAAGCTCCGCCTATTTCTTCCAAGCATGTTTAAATTGACTGACGGTCCCAGCGAGTGATTTCCCTTCAATTCCCGACGTTAAAATTGCGAAATTTAATGTGCATGATGCCGACACCCCTGGTAAAAAAGGGGGTCTGGCGGTGGATGCCTCCGTCTCTGCCCAGGTCGACTCTCCTTTCACTCTTACTGTTCCGCCCCTTGGGTTCGAGATCCTCGTGCCAAATTGCTCCCCAGATGATCCATACATCTCTATAGCGGAAGTGACGACAAAAGACTTCCCTGTTAATCCAGGGCAAGCGACTTTCATTGACATCTCGGGATTTATTCGTGGCATCTCGGATGAGCTTACAAAGACTTGTCCGGGAAAGAAGAAATCTCCCCTAGACTTCTTAGTCAAGAGCTATATCCAAGGTCTTCGCACGACTGTCTATGTCCGTGGGGCTGAGGTCCCTTCCCTGAATACCCCTGACTGGGTGACGGATATCCTCAAGAGCGTGACCGTTCCGTTGCCCTTCACCGGACACGCCCTGGATGATTTAGTCCGCAATTTCACCATGACCGATGTGCACTTCTCTTTGCCTGACCCTATTGCTGATCCAGAGTCACCGGAGTCCCAACCAAGGGTGTCTGCCTTGGTGAAGGTTCTCGTTGGATTGCCGAAACATGTAAACCTTCATATCGATGTGCCCCGTGTTCGCGCCCTTGCCGACGTTTTCTACCACGAGAAGAAGCTTGGCGTCTTGAAGTTGCCAAAATGGGTGCCTGCAAACTCCACTCTTCTGGATGATGTGGATGGTGCTCCTGCTTTGTTCGTGGATTTTGCTATGAAAGACGCACCGCTTGACGTCACAGATGAGGATGTCTTGACTGAAATCCTACAGACATTGCTTTTCGAGGGCAAGTCAGTTGAGTTGTCTATTTCGGCGAACGTCGACGCAGAAGTTGCTACAGGCCTCGGCAAGTTTGCTATTCGAGGGATACCGGGAGAAGGTGTTATCAGTGTCAAACGTAAGTCATTTGATGATCTTTAATGAAATAAGGAAGGACTGGGTAACTGACTCAACTTAGCACCGTACGGTCGTTTCCTTGACCACTTTGGTGCTCAGGTAGAATCTTTGAAGCTAGGAGCTTCAACTGCCTCATCCCTCACGATAGAAACGACGCTCAACGTTACCAACCCTACAGAATATTCGGCTACTGTGCCATTTGTGGACCTCAGGATGCTTTATAATGCGACGAGAGTTGCCCATGTTACAGCCCGCAATCTTTCCATCGTTCCAGGCGTAAACTCCGGTCTCTCTGTCGACCTTCAGTGGAGTCCATTCGACCTAGATGGCCAGGATGGTGCTAATGCCGGGCGGGAATTGGTCTCCCAATATATATCAGGTGAGTGGCATGACGTCCACAGCGCTTCGCCCTATCTAACCAGACAATCATAGGCGCCAACACCAGCGTGACTATCCAAACTTATGAGGGAACGTTCCCAGCGTTACCGAAGATTGGCCAAGCACTATCTAGACTGGGACTGGAAATTCAGATCCCTCGGGTGCCTGTCCCTGGAAACCCTAATAATGGCAAGGACCAGGGTTTCATCCAAGATGCTACGGTATTATCCACTTTCATGGATGCCGTTTCTCAACACGATGGTCACGATTGAGTCAATATAGACATTTTTGGACATACCATGTAAAATCTTTTGATGGATAATATTCTGGTCCCGCTAACGCTCATTGTTCCTAGCTCCATCTGTGGTCATCGACGGCTGAATTCACCTTATCCTCCCCATTCCCCAATACGACCATGGAGATCACGTCAGTAGAAGCCAACGCTTCTTACCAAGAGCACGAGGAAGTGGGCAAGATACATTATTATCAGCCTTTCCAGGTCCCTCCGGGCCTTTCGCGGACTCCACGGTTACCCGTCGAACTGAACATGACCGGCGTCGGCTATGATGCGGTGAAAAAGGCTCTTGGAGGCTCTTTGGAGTTGGATGCAACAGCTAGAGTTGGTGTTCAGATTCAGCACTACAGCGATACTATATTATATCGCGGGAAAGGGATCGATTCCCGAGTTCAGCTTTGAGTTTGTTCCAGCGTTTGGGTATGGTGTTAAGGAGTCGATCATTTGGGATATCACTTTGCGGAGTAGACTGATAAAACTAGAGATGAACTCAAGTTGAAAACTATACATGTCCAGTGCATATACGCTGGAATACGAAAGTAACAATCATCCATTAAGGACAGCTTCAACGGTACAACGGAAAGCAAAAATAGTTAAGATACACGCGCACAGATAAATATGTGGACACGAAAGAAACAGACGGTATCTCAGGCGACGCTGCTTGCCATTGTCTTTACGGACACTTGATAACTCCGAAATTAATTCTCATTTTATAGCACAGAGAAACATCATATCAGGCGTGGAAATTTAACCAGGAGGAAGGGTGCTAGCATCGACCACGTCGGCTGCCTCCTTCTCCAGATCCTCGTCTTGCTCAGACAGAGGAGAGCGAGGGAGCGCCATCAAACCGGTCCGGGTGGACTCCAGAATACCGAAGGGGCCGATGAGCTTCATGAAGGAATCGATACGGGATGGCTTGGCGGAGCTAGAAGCGGAGGGTCAATCATCCATTCTCTAACAAAACCGAGCAGAAGCAAGACTTACAGTTCAACAATGCAGTTGTTGTTGCTGATATCCAGGACCTTGCCGCCAAACTGGTGGGTCAGACGGGTAATAGCATCGAGATGCTCATGCTTATGTCTCAGGGCCTGACTCTGGGGCAGGTTGCGAGGGTGGTATTCGGTCTTCTGGGTCTGCTGCGCCTGCTCCTTGTGGCCCTCGGAAACGTCACCAGGGGAGGTGATCTCGCGGTGGTGCTGGAGGAGCTCTTCGAAGAACTCGGGGCCCAGGATGCTGACCTTGGCGAGGAGCAGCTCACGCTGCACGAGCGCCGAGTCAGTGTAGTCGAGCACAGCCCAGACGGGGACGAGGTCGTCGAGCTGGCGACGGGCCTGCTCGACGACACCGTCCTGGCCCTGCAGCACGATGGTCATGCGCGACAGATCCTCGACCTCGGTGTTACAGACGACCAGACTGTCGATGTTGAAGCCACGGGCGGCCAGAATGCCGGACACGCGGGACAGCACACCGGGCTCGTTCTGCACCAGGCAGTTCAGAACATGGCGCTTAGGCGGGTTGGTGGGCGGAACGGGCGTCTCGTACAGGATGGACGACACGGCCGTGGGGGCGTCCCATTGCGGAGAGGATTCCGACACAGGCAGAGGGAGCGGCGAGCGACGGTGCAGGGCCTTGTAGGCGAGCGCGGAGGTCGAGCTGGACGACGCTCTGGTGCTGAACCGGGGAAGCGTGGCAGCCACGCGGGCAGAGGTTCTGGGGGCTACCGACCGAAGAGACGCCGATGCTGTCTTGGACAGCATCAGAGGATGCCGGAAAGCCATGATCTCCCGAATTGGACCTGCGAGGACAGGACTGAAGGGAGAACGATGGGGAGAAAGCTGGAAATTCGAGTCCTTCAAGAAATCGGATCCGGGGCGATTTTTAGTATGACTCGGGGCGTTCCGACCTCGGGGCAGGATTTCATGGCTGACTCATCGTACCGCCCGTGACCATACCGCTAGGCTGTTTTGGGATCCTCCAACTTCTTTGCTTCAACTTCGCTCCTTCGACTTCTTCTACAATCAGGTCCCGCTTTGATTCTGGAGTTAACTCGTTCTTTTCCCTCTTCATCTCATTCTGTTCTCCCTTAATTGCTATTCGTTCGGCTCTCATTCCCTATTGATTACATCTTACCAGTCACTATTGGCCCGTGGTCTCCGCCCGTGCTGCCGTTACACTAGCGTCCACTACCTTACATATTGGGTTGACCTTAGTGTACCAGTCCTTTGCCTAGGCTACTGACCCAAGTCTCTCCGCTGGCTTCGAAAAGTCCTGGACCGCCTTGGCCTTTTTTGAGCGACTGATCTTTTGCTACTGGACTTTCCGCCCAACTTTCTCCGCGTCTTCGATCACCACCCTCTATCACCTCCACATCCAATTCTTTACAACTATGGCCGACGACGAACGCCGCTCGAAACGCTCTCGTTTCGACCAGACGGAGCCTGAACCCCGTCGACCTTCGAGGTTCGACCGTCGATCCCGTTCGCCCTCGTCGCGACACTCCGAGACTGCTCGCACGCGCAGTCCCCTCAGCCGGGAACCCCGTAGCCCCAGCGTCGATACTTCCAAGAAGCCGGCGGTATCTGATCCCGCAGCTGCTGCTGGTAAGAATGCGTCTGTCTGCGAATTGGGTATCGCTCGTTGAAGACTGACTGTGGGGGTTTGTGTAGCTGCCGCCGCGGCCAAGATCAATGCCCAGTTGCAAGCGAAGAAAGGAATCCAGCATGTTGACGTCCCTCCAATTCGCTCGGTGCGTTTTTACTTCATCCACACGCGGCCTCTGTGCACTCAGTGTTAATTGTTCTTTTCTCTAGACTGCCAGCCCGGCGCCGAACTCTGCATCTCCCTCCGCCCGCGACGACGCATCAGGAAAGCTGAACGCCGAGATCTACGTTGCTGACGGCGATTACATCAAAGATATCGAGATTAACGATTTGCGCAATCGTTATACACTGACCAAAGGCTCTACTCAGAAGATGGTAATTACTCCTGTTACATCCGCTGATCTTCCAGGCATCATGTCGCAAGCCGGCTTTCGCCGCAGTCACATCCTGCTTCTGCTTTCCCCTCTCTCATTTCCCTTCTCATCGCGTGCGGTTGTGGCTGAAGCTTACGCAACTGATGATCATCCATAGCATACCACCTCCCCTCATTTGCATCTGCTGACCTCCGCTGCGTGACATCTAGATCAAAGAAGAAACTGGCGCCGGTACGCCTTAATCCATATTATATTGTCAACTGGTTGAAGAAACATGCTCATCTGTTACTCTCTCAAGATGTCACCACCCGAGGAAATTACTACCCCGATAAAAGCATGGCTACCGCTGCGGTACGTGACAGAGACTAAGCCTCCCCGAAATTGGAACTCGCTAAACCACTGTTCCTGCAGAATCCCCCGTTGTACCTCCACGTGACGAGCACGAATAAAGAAGGGCTCGATAAAGCCGTCGCCTTGATCGACGAACTCATGAAGAAGGAGCTTCCCAATTTGGTTGATGAGCGCCGATTCCGTCGCCGGGAGCCGGAACAGGTTGAGCGAGATGAATTCGGCCGAGTATGAAGACCCTGTTCATGCTGTATCCTAGCAAAAATGGCCGAATCTTGGACTGACCATGTCTAGCGTAAATGGCCCGAAGAGCGCATCCCTATCGATCTGGAGCCAATCCCTGGTTTCAACCTTCGCGCTCAAGTTGTCGGACAGGGCGGCGCATACGTGAAACATATCCAGCAGCGTACCCGCTGCAAGGTCCAGATCAAGGGCCGTGGCTCCGGGTTTGTGGAAACTAACACCGGCAGGGAAAGCGATGAACCCATGTTCCTTCATGTTGCGTAAGATATCTCGATCTTCGGAATTCGGATGACGAACTGATCAATGGCAGTGGACCCAATCCCGATGATGTGAAGATGGCAAAGGAACTGTGCGAGGATTTGCTGGCCAATGTGCGTGAACAGTATCAGCGGTTCAAGGAGAACCCGCCTCAGCACAGCTACGGTGGGTACGGCCAGCGCGGGGATCGCTATAACTATGGCGGTGGATACGGTGGTGGATATGGCAACCAGCACCAGAACTCCCCTTCGGCATCGGCTAGCCCAGGAGCACAGGCGACCCCAGGTTCGGGTACTCCGGCTGATTACAGCGCGCAGTATGCGCAGTATTACGGATCCGACCCGTACGCTGCGTATGGCGGATATCAGAACTACGTTGCCTACTACCAGTATTACCAGCAGGCTGCCCAGCAGCAGCAGCAATCTCAGTCCCAGAGCCCGGCTCCCCCTCCGCCGCCTCCTACCAGTGAGGCACCACCCCCTCCACCTCCTGGATCTGGATCTCCTCCTCCTCCGCCGGGGGGTGGTAGCTACAGTGCTGTAAGTGCTTCTGGTCGGTAACTCTCGAATAGCGCTAATCTATACCCTTTAGGTCCCTCCTCCGCCGGGGCTGTGAGCCCGTCAAACAGCTGTCGACTCACCCAAGTTGTAGACAGGTTTGATGGGTGAACTGCAAGCAGAGGTACACTAATTGCTGAAATGTTGGTATTGAGTTTTCTAAATCTGATACAATAGCTAGGGTCTGTGGTTCTCGAAACTTGTAGAACAAAAATTGGAATTCCTCTCCTTTGGCCGCTGCCCCCAAACGGACGTGCTTTTCACATAACACTAGACGATATCACTGCTGAAGATACTAAGCCGGCCAGGAAGATTCAAAGATATGTATATTTGATTGGTATGTATTGGGTCTCAACGATATACAGCAATCTTGCTGCATGTAACAGACGATGTCTGAGGCAAGATAACGCACGTCAAGGTCCCACGGCCATCATTACGGAATACATAACACCATAAGATACAAGACATTGACCTGCCTTCAAGTGTCGGCCTTGCCAAACACGCAACCCATTGAACTTCGATAGGCCGCTTTCCCCTAGCTGAAGGGTAGATCATCAGTGGGTCGATGCAGAAAATGGAGAAACATCTGCTCAGCATCCACTATATTGTCCGTTAATCCTATCTCGCACGCTATGGCCATGTCAGCTTTCCGTCGTTCCAAGGATGCGGGCCCTTCTTTGCAGAAGTCACACGCGAAGTCACACGGCGACGATGCCTGGCCATTGGCATGACTGGTATCTGATTTTCGCGGAGCCTGCGATCCCATAATCTCAAGCTCTGTGTCGCCGAAGAAGTCTTTGATAAGCTCATGTTTGCAGCGCTTCGTGTCCTCACAATAGCGGACCACTTTCCGAAAGCTTTCCAGACGCGCAACCTTGTTTTGGAAATCGTTGTCCTGCTTCTTTCTATTGGGCGGGTGCTCATCGCGCTCTACGCGCTCCCACACGTTATTTCGTTCTTCGTAGTTGTAGTATACTATCGATGCCGCGGCACGACCGTCCCGGCCTGCACGGCCGGATTCCTGGACAAATCGCTCGAAAGATGAAGGTGGGTTCCAGTGCACGACGAACCGGACATTTGGGTTGTCGATGCCCATTCCGAAGGCGTTCGTCGCTACGATCACGTAGAAGGCAGGGCGCTTCCCGTCTCCGGCTTTCGTGCATGTGTGAGGCGATGTCCATTCGGTCTGTATGCGTTTCCTCTCCTGATGTGGAAGACCAGCATGGTAGGTAACAGCGTGAATTTCCTCCCACGATTCAGACAGCTCTCCCGCGAGCGCTTCCGCGGTCAGTCGCAGAGTCACATATATGATGCCCGTCATCGGGGCAAGCTCCGTCGTGCTCCCCTCTAGCCGGGCATCACGCCGCGCCTTGATGGCCTTCAGCCAAGCGACGAGGTCGCGCAACCGCGTGGGCTGTGGTTTCGAGTAGTCCCTCGAACGTGCTGGGAGGTACCTGACTTCGTAGTGGATATTAGGCCGGGCCGACGGCGTGTTGAAGATCTTCAGCTGAGCCGGGTCCAAACCGAGGAGGTTGATGATGTCGGCGCGGACGCGCGGGGTGGCGGTTGCCGTGAAGGCACTGACGGGGACGGGCGGGTTCGTGAAGGTCTGTCTGAACCAGCCGAGCTCTTTGTATGCGGGCCGGAAGTCATGGCCCCATTCGCTAATGCAATGGGCCTCATCGATGGCGATCCGCGTGAGTTCTCTTTGCGAGTGGATGGTTCGCAGATTTCGGCGGAACCGCTCGCTTTGGCAGAGCTCCGGGGTCACGTAGAGCAGACGCGTGCGCGGATGGCCGGAGAGAAGGTCATCTATGATCTCGTTTCGTTCTGAGAATGAAGTGGTCGAGTTGATTGTGGCGACTGGCACTCCTATCGCTTTGAGAGCGTTTACTTGATCGGCCTGTTAATGGTTAGTACGCCTGCCGATATTTGGTGTTGAATCAAGCTCACCATCAACGCTAGCAGCGGACACACCACGATAGTCACTGTGAGGTCTCAGTCAGACGTGTCCGTGATAGTCAATGGGTGAGAGGACCAACCGCCATGATTGACTACAGCAGGCAACTGGAAGCACAAGCTCTTCCCAAAAGATGTGGATGCCTGCAGGAAGACATCATGCCCTTCAACTGCCGCTGTAATCACTTCTCGCTGCAGCGGGCTGGAAATTCGTCATAATACCAAGTTAGTGCGAACTGTCCATCTCTGAATGCTTCGTGCCCAGTACTCACCGGAACGATTTCTTCTGGAAGACGCGGTGCAGATAAAAGTCCAGGTCCACTTTCCGATTATTCAACCGACCAGATAACATTTCCGCATCATTGTAAATATCCCGAGAGAGATTTCGCGAAGGAATTATGATATATGGAGTGTGTTGTGTCAAAGTCTACTTGAGGAACCCGCGTTGCGCGACGAACAGAACGCGATATCACGTGACCCGCTCTTTCCGTATATTGGCTTTATGTCCTGACGAGAACTACGACTGACCTTGCACTCGGTGGATGGCCCGGTATCCAGGTGATAGTTGGCTACTATTTGGATATACGGCCGTAATCTGAAAGCATTATATTGATATTCGCCAAAATCTAAGCTTGAAATATTCACTGTACAGGTTACAACCACATGTGGATGTGGCAGCTCTGAAGACATCGCGGTCCAGTTTGCACCAGGAGGGTATATATAACAGGTCTATAATATACATGTAACAAGAGGCATACCAAGCGTCCAACAACCCTACCTCCGAACTCGGGTCATCTGCTTTTCCAGCTCTTCCTTGACGGCCAAGACGTCCAGCGCTCTGCGTCTCTTGGGTTGCCAGAGACGTTCGAGTCGGAGCCACACCTCCATCACCTCTTTCGGTCCACAGCACGTACCAAAAGCACGGAGAATAATGATGATCATCCGGCGCCCCAGAAAGACACCGTTCTCGATCTGGCGCTCCAATCCTTCCAGCTCATCTTGTCCAGTCGGTGGGTCTCGCGTCCGGTGGCCAAAGAGCTCGTCCGTGTCGATTTCATCGTCCTCATGGTACGTCGCCTCATAATGTTCACTGGATTGGGTTTGTTCCTCGCTTGCGTGGGTACTAACAGAATGAGCCCCGGCTGTGCTGGCATGAGTCTTTTCCGATTCGTTGCCATGGTTTGACGTTGGCAATGGGGTATACAAGCCGCGAGGAGCGTGTGGCAAGGAAGGTGGGTGCGTCTTGACTAATGTAGGATCGCTCTCCAGAGGATTCTCCCAAGTAGGCCTAGCCGGCCGAGAGTGGAGACGATCATTGAATCTTGCTCGAGACTCGTAGAGAGCCCGGAGATAGGATTTCCACACCCCTCGCAATCGCTCCGCAGTCCAGCCTTTTCGTTTCCGGCCGTTGCGAGCAAATCCGCTGAAAAGCAGTAGATAGATCATCCCACGAGGTGGCACAGCGAACGTCTTTTCCATGTCCTTGAGCACGGAGCCGAAAGCCTGGATATCGCCTGTTTCGTAACAGTGGAAGGAAAGAAGGATATGGAATGTGCGGGTATCTGGGGCCATTGGAAAGGCCTCCTGGAGCGCGCGGTGGTGTTCAGGCAACTTCTCCCTAAGAGGGGCGGAGAGCTGTAGGAGTGTATTCAGTTTTCTCGACTTCTTCCGGTAGACGACCAATTCCGACGTCAACCCGGGTTGATGTTGGATTCTCTGTTCAAGGTCTAACCCGGTTGATTTTTGCGACTCGAGCATACGACGATAGAGACTCTCCGCGGTTTCCGTATCCCCGGCCCGAAGAAATGACGCGAGTAGACAGTTCAACACGGGCGTGTCGACGATCTCACCACTAGCCACAAAGTCGTCCAGCGCTTGGCGAATCCCGTCGGGATCCCGCAACATGCCGTAGTAGTAAATTCTCGAAACCTTCCCTGCGCGACTGAAACTGACATCCCGCTTGGCCATTTCCTCCAGTAGACGATCTGCAACTGTGAACTGGCCAGCTTTGATGGCTATGTCGAAGAGGATGCCAAAAACAACCCCATCCGATCTGACTCCACCGACGTGCTCCATTTGCTGCCACAGTCCAATAGACCTCACAAGATCTTTCTTACATACTTTCCCCGACGCTCGACCGGCTAGGTGTATGGCAGAGCTCCATAGCGACCGGGAGATAGGCAGACCTGCGGCGATCATATCCTCGACCAACCCTAGGTAACGGCGCGCGTCTACCCAGCGACGGTTGGTGGGATTGGCGAACCGCCGCAGGAGTGCACCCCGCGAGCGCTTTGACAGGTAGGAAACTCCAGGGTGGGGAAGTTCGCGGTATAGCCGGAAGACGTATTGGTTTGATTTCTTCTCGTCCCACATGGCTTCAAGGAACCTCTCGACCGAATGTAGCTCAACAGCATCGAGGCGCTTATCTGCGCGACGGGAGACGGCTGGCAGTTCCTTCATCGCGGCGTCGACGGCCTGCTTCCAGTCTAGTGAATCTCCATATACAGCGCGATATAGCTTCGATGCAGCGGTATATACTTCCTTCGCGGGGCTGGTTTTTCCATTGTAGCGATATCTTTCGCTTGGACCGTGCGAGGTGCGCGCTTGGTTGGGTGTCCTAGTCGCAGTAGGTTGAACAACTTCGAAGGAGTCGGAGGGTTCAGGTATATTCGATATCGAGTCACGATTCCAATCCCGTAGTAATCGACTTGGCGGTTTCTTGAGTAAAGGCCCGTTCGGGGGCAATATTTTCTCTTTCTGATTATCCCTTCGTATCGTCGCGCTCTCCAATGAGTGACCCGGTAAACGATCCGCCTCGCTCTCATCCTCTTCTACTTTCTGTGCGACACCCGAATTGAACATTCGTTGTGTGGTCGAACGGTGCTGTGTTGTACTCAGACATTCCACCGACGAGCCTAGGAATTGAGGACGGTGTTGCGGGAAGTGCCTGGAGGCCGGAACTCGTCTCCCGTGCCACCTAACCACTGTTCCATTCGAAGGCGCATTGACAGAGATTGTCGAAAGCCCTCTGCCACGAGGGGAGTGTTCGCGACAATATCCGGCCATGACCAAGGAGCCAACGAAAATATCTGCTATCGACGCAACGGACGGGCGGGCACGTCGGGAACCGAGTCTTCGGATAGAGGCATTGTAGGCGAAGGGTTCTGGTTTAGACATCGAACCGGAATTGGAGGGTAAGCACGTATCCACACCCTGCGCGGGGGGTAATCGCAGGTTGGGCGAGCTCTGGGACCTATTGGGATGAGGCATGAGATGGCAGACATCGTGGCATCGAGTCAGCCATGCATGTCCCGAGAAGGCCTCGAGCAAGGTGCGAAGGGGGAGAAGCAGACTGCCTATAGACAGAGATGCAGACTGCGAAGGAAATGGAGGAGCGAAAAGGGGAAAGTGGAAGGGGGAGTAGGGAAGAATAATGGTAGTCGTTGAGAAGCAAGCGAGTTTGCAAGCTCCGCGTCAAATTATTATGGATGTTCTTCTCTCGGTCTCCAGAGCGGAGCCGGGGGTCGGTCCAATCGGAGTCGCGCATTGCCAATCCTCTTTTTCACACCACTTCAACATCACATCTTCTGCCGTCTTTCTCCCTCATTCGCATCCCACGCCCTTTCTCAATTGTCTCGGTCGCGGTAGCTCTGATACTACTCTTTTACGGCTGAGCGACTGCACCACCTCTCCTTTGCACCCCCCCCTCCCCGTCCGCACTCCGTACCGGTGAGGGCCGCTTCCCTCCGATTCCGCACACCATGGGCAAATACAACCTCACAGCCCTCCGGGTTCGTCAGACAGCCCTCTCGCAGAAAGCCGCCGGGAAGATCAAGCGACTGCCGCAATGGGTTGATGTCATCGGCGATATCCCGCCTGCCCAGGTCCTCGTCCGGAACCAGCCGCAACAACACCAGCTGGTCCGCCAGCGCGTGAAAACGCTCCCCGGAGCTTCGAAGCCGCAGGTCGTCTTTGAAACGGAAGAGAAGCGCGTCAAGCCGAAGAAAGCCAGTCGCATGTTCCAGCCGGTTCAGATTAAATTCGAGGAGGATCAATTGCGAAAGGAATTTTTCCGCGACCACCCCTGGGAGCTTGCGAGACCTCGGGTTCTGGTCGAAACCAGTGGCAAGGACTACGAGAGATACGACTGGAGCCGACTCCAGCAGCCAGGGAAGCGCTTGGATGGTGAGAGGTATGTCATGCGATGTTGCGCCGGGAATCACCTGCCCGTTTCCCTTCGTGTTACTGCTTCAATACAATACTAACGCGCTCGATTTTCGTCTAGTGTCGTCCAACGTCAACTATGGCTCCTGAATAATGTTCCCGACATGACGAAGAGTGCCGCCTACGATATCGCCCGTCGCGAATTCTACCGTCTCCGTTTACAGGAGGATATCGAACGACGAGTGGCTGCCGAAGAAGCCGAAGCTACCGGAGCTACTTTCGGACCGACACGTTTAGAGATCGGTATGGAACTCGAGAACCAGGAGTACGAACGTTGGAAGCAATGGGCCAAGATGGAGGCCCAGATTCAGGAGCAGCGTGCCGCATCATTCACCGGATCCGCTCTCCCTAGTAGCGAGGAGAGCGCCCCCGTGGATGAAGAAACCGAGAAGGTCCCTCAACAGGTGTGAATTCGGGAGGAGTCGATTCATAGAGTGTAATATTTGAAAGGGTCGCAAAGGGGGTTTTGAATGGTCATGTATACTAGTTGGACACAGCTTCTTTTTTCTTTCCCGGTTCTTTTTCTTGTCACCATTTGTAGCTAGTTTTCCGATGATATACCTTGAGATGAAACTATACACAGAAACGCGTCTGTTGTAGACAATATGGTGCCTACCTGTATGTAGTTACCTTAGGAAACTTGGAAAGTGAGGCTGTTTTGCTTGGGGCGGTCGGGCCAATCAGGAGGGGCGACTTATCGCGCTTCTGGAACACCCCGTTTTATCGCTCGCCTCTTTCATCCATCCCAGGCTCCCTCGTCGTCTTCTCTCTGCGTTCACTGGGTTATTGCCGACACTCAGAGATATAACGATCGCTTTGCAGTGTTATATTTCGAATACGACTCCAACTTGGTGGATTGGCACTCGAGGTGGCTACCTGTGACCGCGGCGCCTATCCGCGACTCGTGAAGTGACCCGTTATTGCCGCTGCCTCACTCTCAACTGATGAACATCGAAATCTAATCAGCCTAACGACCACTTTCGGCCTCTTCCGATACTACCTGTCGAATTGATACCTCAGTCCCCGATCCTCCCATCGATCGTGTCTCTCCCGTCGCTCCCGATCAAATTGAGAATCCCACGAACGGAACATTCCGGCCTAGTCTCGCGCTTCACTTCTCCGGTCTTTCACCAGATCAGTGCTATATTTCGTGGATAAACCTCTCCCTCAGCTGTCGCTGCGCGTGTTGATCATGCCCTATTCTCGTTCTTCAAGTCTCGAAAATACGCTGCTTGTCTGATCGATCGCGCGAACCAGTTAGCAGCCCTCTAGTTGGCAAACGATCACTCATCACCCAGAAATCTACTGAGATTCGACCTGATTGTTCGTTGTTGACCATGCTTTCAACCATGGCACCCTCGGAGGATACGATCAGGATGCCCCGTTCGTATCGTGATGAAGCAAACGAGGATGATGGAAGCAGGCAAAGTACGGATCACGACGTCTCGTTAACATCATCATCTACTTCCACCGTCTATGGAGACTCGCTCAGGAGTGAAGATGAGGTCACGCTTGTCAATGAATCCACGGGAGACGGTGAAGGTAGCGGTAAACAAACCTCTGGGCCCCGGCTTCTCTCTCCGGACGACACTATTGAACTCGCTCGTCGCGCGGTTGAAAATGGGATTCAGGAGACGAAACGCTCTCTGGCCGGAAGCGAAGCCGTTAGCGACGTGGTGAAGCCAAAATTGACGATTGATCTCGGCCACTCTAATATTGTGCGCATCCCGGAAGCGGTGGTGGATGCCATCAAGGACGAAGTTGAACGGTATGTGACGACCAGACGTCTTGTCAGAGATTGCATTATATGACTTCTCTTATTTCCAACAAATGCTGAATCCGTGACTGACTGTTGGCAGACTTTCCCTATCCAACAATCATTTATTTCATATTCCATATCGCTTCGCCGAATGCTCTCATCTTCGATACCTCAACATCAGAGCGAACAACTTCCGAGAGTTTCCTAAAGGCGTAAGTTAAGATATTAGTAGATGCCCATCAGATGACTTTGCAATGCTCACAACATCTAGGTGTACAAACTTCCCCTTCTTGAAATCCTGGATCTCAGCCGCAATAAGATCAGTCATCTGCCGGAAGAAATCAAAAAATTGACTTCTTTACGGGTCTTGTCGGTGATGCAAAATCGCTTAGATGACCTTCCCCTCAGTATTTCGGATATGAACAAGCTGCAGATTTTAAAGGTCGCCGGGAATCCCTTGCGGTACCCTCTGCGTCGGCTGCTAGAGGCTTCCGACACCGAAATCGGCCCCTCGACGATGTCGGATAACGAGAAGGAGGTCGCCCTGACTGCAGAGCTGAAACGATTTTTGAAAACCAAACAGCCGGCGGTCACGCCTGACCTCGACGATATTAAGTAAGTGACTACTGGTGGAATCTCCTTGAACCATGCTGACCCTCGTATCAGTGAGATCGTGTTTGATACTCCCAAACCTGTGAAGCGTGGGGTCAGCAGCCGTTTCCCTGTGATTCCGAGCACAGGCGACAGTGCTTCCGACCCGAAATCTCCATCGCTCTCGCGGCCTCCTCCAATCCCGTTGAAGTCTCATTACCGCATTGCTTCGGGCCAAGGGCTAGGTTTCCAGAGTGGTATCCTCCAGCGGCCTGGTGCGAGCATTATTCATGGAATCAATGAACGCAATCGAAGCAACAGCGAAGGCATCATCCAGGCGTCACTTGCTGCACGAAGCAAGCGCATGGGAGTCATCCGAAAGAATACAGATCTGGGGACTCTGGATGAAATACGACCGTATCGAAACAGCCATTTACGCGGCCTGAGTCACGGCTCTCTCCTCCGCACCAGGCCATCTGGCACCGCTGGTGGGAGTAACTCGTCCAGTCCGAGTAGCCCAAGGGAGCGTCGACGGTTGAAGGACGGCTTCGTCAATCGGATGTCAAGCCTCCCGGAGCACAAGGGCGAAAAAGAGACCCCTGAGCCTATCATTGAGAGCGCAAAGGGCATCCTATTTGCCTTGTTCCAAGTACAATCACATGTTTCGGCTTTGATCAACGTGATAAAACGTGACGACACGCGGCGAAACAGCCTCGAATTGGTTTTTTATAACGCTTCCACCCATGTCGAACGCTTAAACGATGCCCTCGAAGCTGCTGAGAACCCTCGGTCAGATGAGACGGAGTCCAGACGATTATCAAGTGAATCGGTCAAAAGGGAATGTGAGACCTGTATCATGGCCTACACCCATGTCGGGACGCAACTGCGCCACAGTTTGGACAAAATCGTCGCCAACGGTGACGCTCGCTACGTGCGGTCACTGATGTTAATGATATATGGAAGTGTGGTGGAGTTGCGCAATGCATGTGAAACCCTTGGAGTGCCCATCCAAAGTGGCAAACAAGGCCCTTCTACAAAAGCGCCGATCCCGGATATTACCAAAGATTCTTTCATCTCGGATGGGGTATCAGGGCCCACGTCAACTCCCACGCGCGGGAGAGAACCGTCGTTCTCCGTGCGTCGATTCCGGAGCGACACAACGATCCAGCATCCTCAGATCCCCGTCACGGAGCCTTTACCGGCAGCAGCCAACTACCAGTCTGCCATTGGTTCTCCCGGACCTATTTCTACGCCTTTCAGTCTCGATTCTCGAAGTCGATCAAGTAGCCGATCGAACCTCATCAATACCTCGGTCCCTTCTTCACTCGCCACCCCTCGTTCGGGCGAGGCTTTCCCTCCAATGCCTACTGCGGTGGTGCCACGAATCAACCCTCTGACCGGCTTGGATGAATTGGAGGAGGAGAGGATTTTCGAGAGAATTTTCCACCAACTGACAGCTGCGTATACGGCAGCTCTGCAGGCACTACCTGTGGCCCGTCGTCAATTCGTGCGCTCCCTTGAAGTGGCGGAGCAGGCAGGGGAACCCGAGGGAATCCGACTACTCTGGACCAACCTCATTCGCCGTTGCCGTGTGTGCATAGAAGTGTCTGAAGCGCTCAGCGTCCGCCTTTCGAGTATGAAGGTCAAGGAACCCGGTGGTGGGATGCGAAACCAGCGCGAATTCTGGCAGCTGTGCAAAGCGTTCATGCAGTCGTTCGTCGAGCTTGTGACGGATATGCGCGAGGTCCGGAGCATGCAGCTTCTTCCTGCGGATATCATTGTCATCCTCCGTCCTGTACAGAGGGCCAGTAGGGAAGCTGGCCGACTGATTGAGGCCTCCCCATGGTCATATCTAGCAGACATGGCCTCCGGGAATGCACCAGCCAATATCTATGGCCCACCATTGCAATCCCAACACTCGCAACATCAGATGAGCTCTAGTCTCTCTCCTCAGTCTATCACCCTTCCCGCGACACCCCTCAGTGCTGCCCTTGGACCTGCAGCGCAGGCAACCGTCCCGTCCACACCGGCCAGTGCGTATAGCGACAAGTTCTTCGAAGGTGATGTCTTCCAAAGAGCGGATTCGCTGCTGTCAATGCCTAACCAAGCGCCGTTCTTTGCCCGGCGATGATGGCACATGTCTCACGACAGGAGAACTCTTCCTGTGTGAAATTATAAAATTCCACTGGACCTGCGAAACGTTTCACGCAGAGACTTCTGGAGCGTGTGCTACTGGCATTAAGTGACACACCACGATCCGAACTCGAGCATTACTTATCCATCTATTGGATAGACGCGCGCAAACAGCTCCAAAAATGACTGGAGTCGGACGGTAGGACAACTATCATTGCGGACTGTGTCTGCAGCGCCTCCCCCAAACACCCCTGATATGATTGATTGTGTTGATGTATGTACACTTAGCCACATGTTTGTGTTTGATCTCTGTGAAATTTCTGTTGTGGCACTAGACCGGAGGCCTTAGCGCCTCCGATGGAAAAGATGGCGTATAGGATGAGGACTCATTTCATTTGGACATTGCATAGCGTACCTGTCATATTTGATGTTACCAACGGATGATGAGATATAGCGAAATGAATATTTTAAGAGACTCTTGCAGCATATCACAATATATCCTGCCAGCATGCAGCATCCATGCTTATGACAGACAGAACATTATATACCGGCGTACAAAAAAACCCAAACGCCAAACTCCGACCCTCTAACGTCGCACACAGCACAACCCCCCTTCGAACCACGCGGTGGGAGCAAACCTCCACCACGCGATACCATCCCCTACCGCGCAAGTACCACATCCCGCACATACGAGAACATCTCACGTGGCTTATTAACAAACACGGTGTGCCCAGCGCCGCGGAACAGATGGTACGTCAGGCCACGCTCGGACGCCCAGACGCCCGCGACGGCCGGGTCGAGCGCACACGCCGCGATCGCCTCGACGGGGCCGTTGCCGCCGTCGACGCTGCCACAGGGATGCGCGGCGAGCGTGACCGCGTCCGGCGCGGCGTCCTGCACAAAAAACACCCGCCGCGGCGGCTGGGCGAACCCGCGCGCCCCGTTCCAGGTCATGTTCTGCAGGACCAGCTCGGTGCCGATATGGTTGAGGAGCATGTCGAACTCGCCGGAGTAGATGTGCACGGCGAGGCCGTGCGTGGTGAGTAGTGTTGGGAGGATTGAGTAGGCGGGTGGTTCCGGGGGCGTGGCGAGCAGGAGGGCGGCCAGGATGGTGTTGTTGCAGGGGGTATAGGTGCCGTCCTCGTCGTCGTCGTCTTCGCTGTTGGGAGAAGGTGATGTGCGTGCGGAGAGTGGCGGAGGCAGGTTCAGCGCGCGTTGCACGTCGGGGCGGCTGAAGTAGGTCGCCAGCAGGGGGAGCGGGTCGACGGCGTCGCAGTCGTTATGGATGTCGTACACATCGAAGCACTTGCGGCGCGGGCTGGCGGCGGCGGCGGCGCGCATATAGTCTGTGGCGGTGGAAAAGGTCGCACAGGGCCCGTAGCAGGAGGAGTCGAGGATGGAGGCTTCGACGGCGTCCGGGGTGGGGGAGTCGATGGCGCAGGTGCCGTTGAGGGTGGCGCCCAGGCCGCGGCGTTCGAGGCTGCGGCGCTTGTAGTTTAGATATTCGGGGTTTCCGGGGATGCGGATGGGGTCCTGCTGCGGGGGGTAGTGGTTTGCCTGGTCGAGGACGTGGGTGAAGCCGCAGGAGTCGTCCGCGTCTGCGAAGACGGATAGGATGTCGTCAGGGAGGTCGAGGCGCGCGCGCTGCGACTCGAGGTACGCGCCGATGGTGACGGTGGACATGGCAGCGGGGTTGCCGATGGTGCCGTCTCCGAGGGCGATGGACTGGAGGTTGATGTGGAGGGACGGGTTCTTGGTGTTGCTGTCGACGAGGGCTGCGGCGATGTAGGGGATGTAGATGCCTGCGTAGGACTCCCCGATGAGGTGGACGCGCTTCGTCTGCAGGTGAGGGAAGACGAGGAAGAAGGAGCGCAGCCACTTGGAGAAGTCGGAGGCGACGCGGTCGTTGTGGTTCACGGGGTAGGGGATGCTGGCGGTGGAGTATCCGGTTCCCACGGGCTGGTCGACGTAGAGGACATGGCCCAGCTTGGTCCAGGAATGAGGGTTCTGGACGAGGCGAGTCGAGTTGCCTGAGAAGGACACGGGACCGTTGCCGGTAGTCAGGCCGATGAGAGATGAGCAGCCCGGACCGCCGTTGAACCAGACTGTGGCTGTTAGTTCTGTGCTTGCATGTGAGGGCATGGCAAGGGGAGAGACCGAACTGATCAGGTTTTCATCGTAGACAGGGTCTTCGGTCTGGAAGAGCCAGAAGAACATGGAGTTTCCGACCTCTGTCTCGGGGACAGGTAGCCGTCCAGCCCAGCTTGGGGGCAGCGACGCACTATCGGGCAGCGCTTGGACCTGGAACTGCGAGGCATTTGGCGATGCACGGGCAGCGCTGGGGAACAGAATCGCCGGGACAGTCCATAGGGCATGGAGAAAGAGGTAGATCGCTGCGAGATCCATAGAGGCCGGCGAGAAGCATCAATAAGGTATTCAGATTGGATGCAGGAATTCATCTCGTTAGAATCTATATACACGTTTATGGACATGTTGAGAAGTGGTCCAGAGTGATAAAGAAAGCTTATTGAGAGCCGTTCCGCTTGTAGACCTCAATAGCGGCGGTTTATTGAGTGTTAGTCCATGGAAATTGTCATTTGGATCCTATGGAACATCTTGGACAAAGAGACTCTCACTATATTGCGAGGAGAGTAGTATACTGGAGATTCGCAGAGTAACCAGCTACGAGAAGGCCCCTTGCCGTGTGGGATGCATGGTTAAGACCGACTTGAATCGGGGAATTTCACCTGCAGGTCCCAAAGGCTATCATGAGATGCAGAAACAAAGGCCTTCAGAATGGCTTCTCTCCTGCTCACCCTGCACGGGTTCAACTATGTTCTATACTCCGTATGTTCTAAGCATTCATTTGGATGTTGTTGCATCGAAGCAAAGGGGTTGGGATAGGGCTTAGGGCTAGGGCCGAATCACGGGGCCTCCATCCCAAAACGGCATTACTCCGCCTTCTTCTACACTGTCTCAGCCTCCTCACTTCTCGATAACGTCCATGGAGATTATCCCCATCACTCCTCAAGTCATGAGCCTACCACGAAAGCCAGGCTAGAGCCAGATCACCTCGTGGACTACTACCTCATGGTGTACTGCATAACTACGGAAGTACTACCTTCACCGCTTGGACGTGAAGAAGGTTTGCTAGCGGAATCCCGAATCAACACCGCTCCGGTATAACGCCTTGACTGCGAACGGCCGGACCCCCAATTGCCTCTGTTCCAGCCGAGCCGAAATGAGGCGACCACGCGACGGAACGAAACTCGACGCCTCACTTCTGAAATGCACGAGTCACGCCATGGAAGCTGTCCGCAACCTCCTTCAAAACCGCATCTGTTCACCGTATTAGGATGCTTTCGACCGCCGGTATGGACTTTCCCATCCCCCCTGTTGGGTCGTGCAAAAAGGAGACTGGGAGATCCCCCAAGTTTAAATAGCTGATAGGAATCCCAGGGCGATGATCTCCACGGTCGATTCCGGTTTTTCCACCCCTTGGTCGCCTGCACGTTAAACCCCAATTTAGTTGCAATAATTGGTCCGTATTATTGATCCAGGCCAGCCATGCTTGACCCACCCGCTTTGGAGATGGACGTGTCTAGTTTACCGTCAGTCGGCCGCTTTCGTATGTGGGTCAGTATAGGCTCATCGTCCACGGCAAAAGCCGCGGGATGGAAGGCGAAAAAGCAAACAAGCATTTGCTCGCTATGTGCGCCCCTATCCTTGTCTCGATTCGCCCCTTCAGCGGCGTGGGAGGGCTTGTAGCACGAGTTGCCGACCATGATGGGCGCGACAGGACTCGATTTGCGTATGTCGGTGGACAAAACGGGACAGAGACGTTCAAACTATTGCCCCCCCCCAAGCCTGGCCCACGGAGTAGACACGACTTCTACAGCCGTGTGGGTTCCCCCTGCATTTTCCAACGACACTTGGACATCACAAAAATATCAGACCTCGGCCACCGACCGGTGAGAGGTCCAAAGTAGCATCCATCATCACCTCTTGGAGTCAATGAAGTCCGACTCTTGATCCGTGGTCCCAATGCGCCAAAACACCGCCTCCGACGGTCCAGCTTGGCCGCATGACTGCACCTCGGTATGCTGGTGCAAGAACCCGTCGCCCCGGATCAACACCAGACGGTCGTCTTCCGGTCTCCGCTCAGGAAACATTAATCGTTTTATGGATGAGAACGAGCGAGGCACGGATGCAAGCCCGTTAAATGTATCCACAGGCCCCATCGACGACGGATCGGACTATTGGAATGTTCATCCCTAGCTTCAAGTTATGTTTCTTGGGGCTTCGGATCGGGAAAAAGCAAAACACCAATGTGTCTCTCTTGAACACCGCTTGCGGCAGGCTGCATTACTCTCTATCGATTCATACAATTGTGGGTGAACCCGTCCAGACGATTCTCCTCTTTTCCGGTGTTCTCCATGCGTTGCAGGATTACCATGGTGGATATTATGCTGCCACCTGACTCTTTATTTTGGGATTTTCATCTTCGCCCCCTATACAGCCGACGGGCCACTTTCTTTGTCAATATTTCTTTTGCCTCCTGCACGTACAATCGGCGATCCCGTGGCGTCCCGTAAGGGCAACTTTCTCCCTATGATCTCTCCCTGTCTCCAGGCTCGCACACCACGGGTAGCAGCAGCGTGTCCACTCCCCAGATCACTCCCGATACCGTGCCCTGTCATAGTGAGGAATGCGCTGAGGCTACCGAGAACCCGCTGCGTGGAGACCAGGGGATTTGAGTTTGCCTCCTCGCGCATGCTATGCACTCGCTCTAAGACCCCCTCCGAAGACGTCCTGAAGACTGCGAGTGGGTGCTCTACCTGCTCTCGGATGGCCACCATCCCACGTCATCCACTACCGACTATACTGTACAGCACTGCTACCACCACCGTTCGTGACTTGCCTGTCCCGGCCTTCTGCTTCCATGGCCATTTAGAACCTGTAGCTGCAACCGTCAAGAAGTCATCAGCCTCACTTTGACTTTCCCCTGCAATAGGAAGTGGCGCCTCGGGCTGGTGAGGTTCGCCGTCTCCATGCTGCTGAACCCATCCTCTCCCTTTCTCCCTTCCTTTCTGGCCCGCGCCGTTTATCTGTAATGAATCCTCTGATTCTTTTTAAATTTTTATCCTGTGCAAGGTCCCCTCTTTTCTCCTCACCGATTAGAGGTCATTGATTTCCCCAACATTGACAGACGCCCACTTGGTTACTTTGTCAATCGTGCCAGACTGCGGCCGTTTGTTTGCTAGCATTTTTAACAACTCCAGTTGCATAGATAGGCATTGGGCTTTCTTCCTTTGCTCCTAGGTGTCTCTGGTTTGGCCAGGCTTCCGTTGTTTCCTCGTGACATTTTTCCTTTCGTGGGGAAGGGGAAAAAGAAGGGAAGAGTCAAGCGGTGACTCCCCGAAAGATAGGAAGGCCAACGTCCAGCATACAAACCCCCGTGAGTGATCGACATTGCGATCGGTGAGTACTATCATCTCCTCCTCACCTGGTTACCCCTCGAGCTCAGCAAGGACTGATAAAACAGGGTTACTCGCAGGGATCCCGATCACTTTATCCCCCGGCCGACTGCTGTATGACCCAGCTGTTCCTTGCTTCAGTCAACGAGACATGCCCGTGGACTTTAGGACTTAGCGCACCCAAGCCACCACAGATACCCGCCTCAACACTCGTGGTCATTTCGCGGAATAAAAAAGAATAATAAAACAAAAAAAAATTTCCTGGGATCGTGGGATCGGATGGAGATGGACCTTCAGAAAACGAAAGAGGCTCGGCGGGATGCTCCTGCGAAGCAAGAAGAAGGCACCGAAGGTCCTTTAAATGCGTATGGAGGGAAGGCCCATTCAAAAGATTCCCCAAAGAATGATTCTCTAGATCATCGGGATGCGAACGACTCCAAAACATCGACAGTTGTGGACCGACGACGTTCATCAGCCAAATTCACCTATGATGACGGAGCTCGTCGAGCTTCGATACCGTCGCTGCCAACTGCTTCCCCAGCCTCGTCGCCTTCGTCAAAGACCATGGACATTCCCCCGGCGTTGGGACTAGGGCAAAAGGAACAAAAGCTCTTGCTGTCCGCGAAGCGATATCCCCCGGTGACAAAGAGCACTCTCAGTGAGCTGGACCTGCCATGCATCATGAGCAACATCAACCTCCGCATGGACGCCAACTTCGATCGCGACCTCCACTTTAAGCCCGACCTCGATGGCGAAAAGGGCCGACGGAAACGCAAGGAAGCCGCAGATTACTGGGAGGCCATGGCTGTCGAAATCACCATTTACGCCTTTGGCGCAGCGCATCAGATGGGGAATATCACGGAGGGATCCTCCGAGCCACGACAAATGTTTGAACCTCGACTACCCGCCATGTTTGAAACGCTACAGGACGTTTTGAAGACCCTCGTACCAGAGCGAGATCACCCCAGCGTCATGCAAAACCTCGAGGTGGCCCTATTGATGCAACAGATCCAGAAAGGCGTGCTGGATATGGTCGGGGTAGCCAAGTGGCTGGCGGCGCTGCTGAAAACGCACTGCGCTCCGATGCGCGACGAATGGGCCGACCGGATGGTCACGCAAATTACTTCGGGGTCGCAATCGCAGGACTCGTTTGAGATTGTGCGCGGGTTGCAGACTCTGTTTGCGATCTTGGAAGCTATGAAATTGGTGAGTAGCTGACGCGAGCAGAATGTAGATGGGTCACTAACGTTACCAGGACGTTGCAAACCACCAAATTCGTGCGTTTCGGGTCCTCCTTATCGAAGACACAATCCCCTTTCTTCAGGAATACTTCCGAGGGAAAATGCAGCGAGACAATTTCCGCGTCGAGTCGGCCCGCCGCTGGTATATCGATCTGCGGGAACGCGAGCTCCGCGCGATGGAGAAACCGATCCAGACCGACAGCTTCTGGCCGTTATCCCTTATGTTCCGTGGTATATCTGAATTCCTGCTGCAGTTCCAGGGTCCCGATGCATTCCCCGAAACGTTTGTCTTTGATTCCGACCGGTTATGGCAGCTGCGGGCATGTCTGCAGAATCTCATCAATCTTGACATTTGTTGGTTTATCTTCGAGTCCTACATTCACACGCAAAAAAGATATCTCTCGGCCCCAGCACAGACATACGCAAGTTTTCGCTCTCGGATCGGATCCTTGATGGAGACAAACGACGATTGCCCGCGGGGGTCGCCTCGCTGGCTCAAGAACGTCCGATGCATCGCCCTCGAGATCGCACGGTTCGCCTGTGCGGCGTGCTGCGGCGAGTCCATGGTGTCGGACACGGTCATTGCGCCGATCGAAGCGGCGCTGGAGTGGCACCTGTCGAACGAATCCGGCCTGTTCCAGTTCTTCCAGAATTCCCTGCGCGAGAAGCTGCTGTCGGAGACTTTTGCCTGTGCCAAGAAGTACCTGAACATGTCGCCTCTCGCCATCTGCGAGTCGCAACGACACCATCCGCAGCCGGCAGGGCTCCAGCAGCAACACGATATCGAGCGGATTTCGATGCGCCTTGCCCATATGGGCGTTTTGCACTGGAAGGTCTGGGCGCCGATTCTGTACGTGCGGGAAAGCCTGTCGCCAACTGACGTGGCAATGGCTCCGTGGACTGCGTGACGTGGCGTAGATGTTGGTTTTCTCGGTTGATCTCGGCAGCATTGATTGGAGTTGACTGTTCGTATATTGCGTTTTGATTGCAAGTTCAGCGTCTGCATTGGTAGTTTGGGTCAGGCGTCCACCGGAAGGCTAGATACATGGCTTGTTATAGAGATAAACAGTTAATTAATAAGTTGCTATCAGATGCAACAGATGTAGAATACGTAGTGGACTAGTATGCTTTTTGGTACCTGTTTCCGTACAACGCTGAACAGTCTAAAATCCAGAACCTGCTTTAAGCCTAGGCCAATTGCCTACAACTGTGGTCTTTAATGTAATAGAAGCTCCCACATGCTAATTCGTACTAAAGCGTAGGTATGCCCTATGGCGGCGGGCCCATATGCCATATAATACAGTACAATTCCTATAACCGTGGCCTTCCATGTGGCAGATGTTTTCCCGGGGCAGACCTAATTATAAAGTAGGATATGCCCGTATTCGCAGCCAGAGAGTTAACTACAACCTACTAAACTGCGGTCTCTATAATAGAGGCCTTTAGCATTACTATCACTAGTCCTGTCAATCTTGCCGATTGTCGACTATGATATATGAACAATGACATGATAAGCTCAGCCCCTTGTTACCGGCTTTCTTGCACTTCGCTATTCACCGTCAGAGGCAAACGTTGGGGTTGATTCAGAGATCTGGAACACGAATCAGGTACAATCACCAGCGGTTGAAGATCTTTATCGATCTGTGGTCACGATGGGCTGGGATTGAACAGCTAGGATCAGAAGTATTGGCAAACAAGTAGTTCACTGCATCGGAGTATCAGATATCCGAGGGGTTTCCAACCGCCAGATCATGGGCGTACCGCAATACTTGACAGCGAGACCTAAGTTCTGGTTTCGCTATTCTTCCTGAATCAACCTTTCTGGTATATATTCAATAAGGTTGAATACAGGATTCCAGTCTTGCTGAATTTGAGCACGGCGGGACCGTGTTCTAATGATAAGACGGAAAAAAGCCAGGGTTCTGTGACTCATGCCCTATTCTATCATTAAGAAACAGTATACTTAGTCTAGATATATCTCCCCGTCAGAGAATCTGATCGGCAGCGCCCATCGTCGGTTTCCGAATAAGCTCGACAGATATCTCTGTCTATATGAGGCTGTCTTGTGTTAAGCGAGACAACTAATCGCGGATAAGCATCTTAACATCGGGCGAAAGATATAAATATAGAAGTCTTACGCTCTGCCATTGAGCTAGCCTAGCTGTTAGCTGTATTGCTGCAAAATTAAACATCTTAACACTGAAAAGTACTACCTACACCTTGGATCAACAGGTGTTCCGTTAGGACACACCTGCACCAGTATGACTAGTTAATTACAAGTGGGATGCAAAAAGTATTTAGAACACCCGAAAATGGTTAGATTGATTTCACTAGGCCGTCTACTAAAAATGGTCGATTCTGCGCGGCAGGAACCTCCAAAATTAATACTTTGTAGAATGAAGCTCGCAAATTCGCGATCTAAGCTGGGGGCTTAATTGAGGTCCTCTGCGGCCTCGTGGCGTCTCAAAATGTTGAATAACTTCATGAAATCTAAGACGCGTCAAGTGCTCTGGTTAGGTTCAGTATGGTAAATATAGTAGGCGGTCAAACGCGGGCACGCTACCCATTTTCGGGTGTTCTAAATACTTTTTGCATCCCACTGTATCCTCTCCGTTCACGGGCATCTTATCAACAAACACTCCCAAACAACCACAATGGCACACATAACCCTGCCCAATCAGCACCTATCATAAAACACAGCCAGACAATGCGCCTCACAAACCCCCTCCAAAGCGCACACCTATGGCTCCAATCCCTCAAAACCACCCAACTCCAACGCATCGCCCAGGCCACGGGAATCCAATCCGCAGGCCCAAAAGGCCCTCTCATCCAGCGCCTGGACACTGAGCTGACCGACTCCGCATACCGTTCTGGCCATGCCACCCCGCAGCCCCTAAGCATCCTCAGCATCGACATGGGCATCCGCAATCTAGCCTTTGCGCATTTGCTTGTGCCTCCAGCGCCACAGCTCCGGGCGACAACGCCCCCGGCAGCGACGGTAGTCCCCACCCTCCAAGCCTGGCGGAGGCTATCCCTCTCCGCCCCGGGAGATGATTTTTCGCCGGGGACGTACGCGCCCGTGGCGTACGCCCTGGTCACGGAGTTGCTGGCGACGCACCGGCCGACGCATGTTCTGATCGAACGGCAGCGGTTCCGCAGCGGAGGCGGCAGTGCCGTGCAGGAGTGGACGCTGCGGGTGGGGGTGTTTGAGGGGATGCTGTATGCGGTGTTTTTTGCGCTGCGCCAGCGGGAGCGGGAGCTGGCGCGGGGAGCGCAGGCGGAGGGGGGTATGATGCCGGTTGTGTTAGGGGTGGAGCCGCAGCGGGTTCTGAGGTATTGGGATGGTGTGACGGGAGGAGGGACGAAGAGAGTGTCGTCGCGAGAGGGGAAGAAGGTTAAAATTGATCTTGTTGGTAGATGGGTTTCTTCTGCGATGGAGGAGAGGGTGGAGGCGGAGGATAGGGTGGAAGGGGCGAGGAGGATGCGCGTTGGGGAGGGTGCAGAAGTACGGCAGTGGGTGGATGGGTATTTGGATCGGTGGACGGGGAAGAGAGTTCGACGGGGAGAGTCTGCGGATGGAAGACCTGACATTGGCAAGTTGGATGATCTGGCGGATTGTCTACTGCAGGGCGTGACCTGGTTAGAGTGGCAGGTGATGCGGGATCGCATTGTGCGCGAGGGTGTGAATGCTTTGAGTGATGTTTTATGATACCCTTGTTCATGTTCCAGGCTGTATGTACAATAATGACAATGGATCTCATTCTAGTTGAGCCATATAAGCTAAATACCATGACATGGTTACCGACCCATCACCTAATAACCATACACCAAGGCGGAGAACTGAGCGAGTGTAAAAGCTTGTTGAAGGGACCTTGATCCCATGAGAAAACCACCAGAGACTTACGCCACTGGATAATGATAGAAGTAAAGTCTAAAGCAATGAACAACTTTGTACCAGAAGTAAACAACATGCCTCTCGTAGATACGCCCGCGCGTGCTTGCCCACAAGACAATCTCAGTTACAAATGGTCATCGATGGCTCAGGATCCATGTCTTGGATCGATGGGCTTAGTGGCCAGTGGGCAGAGGGAGCTTGCTGCTGGTCAGGAAGCCAGTGGGCTTGGCGACGCCGCTGGGGAAGGGGAGAGTGCCGTTGCCGAACGGAGGGCGGCCGTGGCCGTGGCCGGGGTGCTCGGGGTGCTCGGGGTGTTCAGGGTGCTCAGGATGCTCGGGGTGCTCAGGATGTTCGGGGTGCTCAGGGTGAGAGGGCTTGCCCTCGTCGCCGGCACCAGCAGTAGCAGTAGGGGTAGCGGTCTGCGACAGTCAGTAAGATCGAATCTGTAATGCGGACATTCTGACATACCACAGTGACGGTGTCAGTGACGGTGACGGTAGTCGGAGCACCGCAGCCCTCGCCGCTACCAGCGGTGGAGGAAGTCACAGGAAGGATCGTGTAGGTAGAAGTACCAGCAGAAGGTCCCTCAGTGGAAGATCCCTCGGAGGCTCCTCCAGTGGAGGTAGCACTCTGCATGAAAGAGTTAGATTCGCAACACTCGACCATCAGGAATCGAACATACAGCGTAGACAGTCTCGGTGCTGGTGGCGGTACGGTGGATCGTGGTGGTGACCACCGAGCGAGAAGAACCCGTCCCCAGGGTGTAGGTCACGGTCACGTCCGAAGTACCAGTCAAGGTCTCAGTGGTGACGGGCAGGCCGGAGCTGACATCCGTGCTGAGGATGGGCTTAGAGGTAACAACGGCCGAGGAGCTAGAGACAACCGACGAAGAGCCTGCGGCCGCGGAGGACGAGCTAGGAGGAGTCGGGTAGACGAAGATGGAGGAAGTGGAGGTGGCGGTCTGGTTAAGGGCTCTGCCGTGGAAGAAACGGTGGTGACGGGCAGGAGCGTGAGTGGCCTCAGAGCTGGCGGCCAGAGCAGCCAGCAGGGCGACAGAGATCTTGGTGGTGAACTGCATTTTGATGGGAACGAAGGATGGTGACAGTCAATGTCGGTGAAGTCAGAGAGTGAGACAAGAAAGAACGAAGTGCGAAGTCTATTCGCAAGCAAGACAAGAACAGTAAAGAGTGACTGGAAAGGCAGTAAGGAATGATGTCTCTGACACGGGGAGAGAAACAGAAGGGAGGATGGGGCCAGATGGTGGAGGGTGAGGGTTATAAGAACGCGCAAGAGAGGAATGGCAGAAATTAAGGGAAAAGGGAACCCAAAAGAAAAGAAAAGGAGAATAAGCTTGTTTGATTAATTGTGATTAATTCTGGATACCAACAGAAGAGGAGCCCAAGTATCTGATACACACACACGCTTCATCCTGGAGTTCCTACTGGGTGGGACGGTACGATCAGAGTGGGAAGACCGGTACGGCGGTACGACAGTACGTAGGTAGTATAGGTAGGTAGCAAAGTAGTAAAGTGGGAGAAAAAGACTCGAGAATTGTTCATATCGAGGCTAATTAGAATTCATCTATTTTCCATCGGGTTGGCTCATTTCTTTTTATCTCAAATATTTTTTTATTTTATGCACGTTGACGCAAGTGGGCCAGGCACAGCCTTCTGATTGGGTGTATTCCCAGATTAGGGCCCATCGGGAAGAGTGGCGTGGATTATGATTAGCCAGGGATCTAGTTTAATCTCGCCGCGTGCCTCGAGTGGATCCAGACAGTGATTTTCTCCAAGTAAACAACGAAGGCACCAGCATTGTTTGTCCGATTTCTTTTCTGCGTCTCTCTTGACCATTCAGTCACTCTCCAATGGGAGAATTTCTACTCACACCATCATAGCCCGTCGTATCATCAGTGCCACCTCCTGCTGTCAGTCGGGCAAAAGAACCTGTGCCACAAATGTGACCCGGACTCATCTCATTTCCCGGATGGATCCGTGGATGGTGGCGGTGGTCGACAATTGGGACTTAATATCCAGCCCGTGGTGGAAGACGCCAATCTACTGGGAGTGGCGTGGAGATTCCATCCACTTTACGAGCATACTCAGGAGGCTGAGAGAAATCGTTCAACTACGGAGTAGGTAGAGGAATTAAAATCGGAAACTTACTCCGTACTATGGACGCCGACGGATGCCTCTCGGCTTCTGGTTACATTCCACCATTGAATTTTAGTCCCTAATTCCCGTTAGCGAGAGACATTTTTTTTCCTTGGCCGACGGGGAAGACTTTCCTGAATCGGCTTCTTGATTCAATCGAATTTTTGGGGACTCCCTGAGTACAACAGAAGTCGGTAGAAGAATCTGTAACGAATCGAAGCTATCAAAGCTTTGACACGCCGATCCATCAAGACAACCTTCATCCACAACGGCCGATGATCAAACAGATGGAGGGACGGAGGGCAATAAAAAGCAAAATAAACAAAGGAAGGCAAGTGGAGCCTGTCAGGGTCTAGAATTTCCACGGAATTCTTGTGCAACGTCACACACGGCACAGATACATATTGTACTTGTACAACGGTCATTATGCCAGCTTCACCAGGTGTCGATGAGTCTCACAGACATCCCTGCGATAATCAACATTGTTCGGTGTATATTATCACTCTGTCACAACAGCCTCAGAAAGACCAAAATTGATGTGTATGCGCGACCCCTGGTTCTTCTCCTCGATCCCGAAACCCATACGGCCGGTGTTTCAGCCAGGGTGCTCGGATCCCACAATAGACTGCCGACTCATCGGCTTTCGCCTGCACAGTTCTTGCGTGACCGGACCCAGAGTGACTTGGTGGAGGAGATTTCTCCTAGTCCGAGACTGTCTGCTTCATCCCGTCCAGACCGCCCCTCACTTCAAATCCTACAACCAACTCGATGGGCGGCCCTCACGTATGCCGATGCAAACCCCGCCGTCACACGGCACTTGATGGTCAGATCTCTGTTTCAGTTTCATCTGGATCGAGTTTGCTCGAGGCGATCGGGAAGGGTCTCGATGCGATGTGATTGAGATCAACCCTGACTTAATCTAACTGGCACCGTGTTGGGCTCATTGACCACCGTTAAACCCGGGCCGCGATGGGAGGATGGTGGTGACTAAGGAAGGGAATGACAGGCCCCGGACCCAAACCCTGCAGTCTTTCCCGCCCTGCAGCGCGCCACCACCGCCAACCGTGGTAACCCCCCGTCTCCCCCACCATCAGCCGCTTCATTCAAGCATCCTCGATAACAGTACTGTACTCCTCTGCTAAGAGGTTATCCTTCGATTTCATTCAGCCGTGCTATCGGCATCCGCCTTAATATGGCGTCCCCCTCATTCCAGACCCTCCGTGCACAATATAGTTCCACGCTACGACGTTTCATCACGTCATCGCGGAATTTCGAGGTCCTCACCTCAATCCCTTCCGACCATTCCCAGCGCACACCACCCGAGGTCTTGTATGTGCTGGACTCGTCCTTCAACCCTCCCACCCTTGCCCACCGCCGCATCGCAAGCTCCGCCGTCCTCGAGAACCCTGGCAAGCCCTCCCGCGTGCTCCTGCTCCTGGCAACGCAGAATGCAGACAAACCCTCCAAGCCGGCCCTGTTTGAGGACCGCCTCGCCATGATGGAGTTGTTCGCGCAGGACCTTCTGGATCATCTCAAAACTTCCCTGTCATCCACGACCGCCCCGCACCTCCCGGAAATCGACATTGGCGTCACGAAGAAACCGTATTTTGTGGATAAAGCGGCGGAGATCGGGTCGTCGGGTGTCTACCCACCGTCGCTGGAGCAGGTTCATCTCACTGGGTACGACACGTTGATTCGCATTTTCAATCCCAAATACTATCCGCCAGAACATACCCTCCAACCCCTGGGGCCATTCCTCACGCAACATCGGCTTCGGGTCACCATGCGCCCGGACAGTGAGTGGGGTTCGCAAGATGAACAGAAGGCATTTCTCCTGAACATGGCGCAGGGCGGCATGGAAGCGGATGGCGGGAAGCGGGAATGGGCCCAGCGCATCCAACTCGTAGAAGGGAAGAAGCCCGGCGAGCGCTCAGTGAGCTCGACAAAAGCCCGGGAAGCTGTTCAAGAGAATGCCCAAGATCTTGATCTTCTGGTGCCTTCGCGTGTGAAGGATTTCATTTTATCAGAACGGCCATACGAGACGTAACCCGAGCAAGGAGATGTCTCCTGCCCTAGAAAATATATGACGACATAGGTAAACATGCAATCTGCTGGGTATTGACCCAGCGGTCCACAGTAAGGTGAACGTTCTTGATAGGTAATGTACAAGATCTGTTGCTCTCTTCTTTCTTTCCTTTTCTCCAATCTTATGGATCGAAGAAAGCCACCAACGGTGGTGTTACTTCCAGGTAGACAACTCCATCCTATCTCCGCTCCTACAATCGTCCCTATTCGAAGAACATCTGTAATGCATACAAAGAGCTTCATTACGTTAGGGCTACCTTGACTAGCCTAAAGCAACACCAACGATATAGTCAACAACCTCAGCCATGTCCTTGATCGGGAACGCTTTGAGGTACCAATAAGATGTAGGGGCAGCAATTGAGAGGGAAAATTCCTTGGGCAGTTCCTTTCTCAATGCCTTGAGTGTTGCCAGGTAGTTAGGGGCATCTGACTCGAGTCCAGGAGGGATTCCGGGGATATCAGGGGCCTATAGGAGTTGCATGTGTTAGCAGAGATTAGAGGAACAGAGAAGTGAAAGACAACGCATACCCCAGGATACTCCCAATCGATGTCAATCCCATCTACACCGGCCGCCTGAGCAAATGCGACCATGTTCTTGACGAATGTGTCGCGGTTGACGGGCTGCATGGCTCTGCGAAGAATGTCGTACGTTGAACCTTCAGTAGAGAAACCCCAGCCGCCAAAAGAAACAATCTTCTTGGCGTTATTTAAGCTCTTGAAGCCGTCCCACTGTTCATAAGTATTGTTAATGTACACCATATTTGTCTCAAAAACATACTGGGGACCAGGGGATGCTCGGAATCAGGCTGGGTTGGAGAGGCTCAGGAAAACCAGGGACATCGCACAAGCGGCTGTTACCATATATGAAGGCTACGCCGCTGGTACTCGGACAGAATGGCAAGAAAACAGGCCGCCCGAGGTGGCACTCCACTATGACCAGGCGGAATACCTCTCGGAGAGAAACAGCGCTGGATTGACGTACAGCGAAGGTTAGTGCGTCTGCCCCAATTCCAACCCTAACTGCTAATTCGGCCGCTAGATCGGAATGAGCCTAATCGTGAGTATCATCGACAGTCCTCACACCATCCACCTTTACTATGTCCAAAGTGAAAGGCCGCGCCACAGTAGATGATCTATATATGAATGGTATCAGCCATTGACATGCTTGGCCTCGCTATAGTGGAACCCCTAATAGGGCTGTTGATAAGGATCAGCACATTTTGCTAGCTGTCAGTGCACCAGTCTTTGGCCCCTAATACTCACATACACACTCAAGCCTACCTTTTGTCGCACATTAACGACTGCTGTTGGTGCAAACTCACCAATGAGATTCCATTACCTGCAGCATAGGATGAATAACCTAGCATACCCTCTACAATAGCGAGAGATACACGATGAGAAGTGACGTCATATGAAGTCCATTACTACATAATGTATCGTTTCTAGTAGCTTGTTCAGCTGAACAAACAACCAATAAATACAAGTGTATCATTAAAGCGCCCGCCATATTAATGTAGCCACGCCGATGGCCAGTGGATTGGTAAGCAAGAGGCGGGCTGGCGCAGAATTCTGGCTGCTAGTAGTTGAGGCCGCAGCAGCGCCAGTAGTTGAGTCCGGAGTAACTCCTGCAGTTGCAGTGCCACTAGAGCGTTCCGTGGAGGATGATGAAAGGGAGGACGATGAAGTAGATGGCTTGGGGCACAAGTTGTTGTACACAAGCTGCTCCGCATCGCCACTACAGGCGGTGGCAGACCCAGCGTCAAAGGTGCCGTTGGAATAGATCCAGCAAGATCCCGAGGCATACGGCGAGTTGCTTGGACCATGCGGATTAAAGACGACATAGCTGCAGGAATCGGCCTTTGCACATTGACTCAAGCAGTCCGATGCACCTGAACTAGCAGTACAATCGTACAAGCAGTCTCCAGGCGTTGGGTACCCGCAGACCGAGGCAATAGCAGAGGGGGTCGCAGTGGCGGCGCAGGCGCCGGCAGTGGTGGTTGCGCTCCCGCCAGCACACACGGGCTGTCGGTAGACGGACAGGTAGGGATTGCCACAATCTGAACTACCTTTGCTCACATCGAAGGTTTCACCCGGGTACAGCCAGCACGTGCCGGTGCCCGTGTTAGGGTTGCCGGCAGCGAAGATAACAAAGTTGCATGGAGGATGGGCGTTACAGTAGTCCCAGCAGCCGGCCCTGTTGTCGATAGCGACAGCAAATTCTGGGCCAGGTTCCGGATAGCTGCAGAGACTAGTGATGAGCGAAGATGTACAGCTTGGTGCAGCAGCAGTAGAAGTAGTGAGCGTAGCAGATACCGCGCTGGATTCGGTGGGGTCCGCCAGAGCCCGTGGAACCACTGATAGGGCGATAGAGACCACGAAATGAACGATTTTCATGGTAGCAAGCGTAGGTAAGGATTGGAAATGAATGTGCCCAAAGCTGGGAGAAGAATTGAGCCTTCACTACTTTTCTATAACTAAGTGAAAAGGGGCAGCAGACCCTGTCAGCTTTTTATATCACGTGGTTCACCTTTTGCTTTAGTATATAACTAGTGAGCTGCTCGGCACGGCGGGGTGATTTCCCGAGGCAGACTGAGGTCCAGGCCTTTATATTCGACAAACGTGAGTTTTGTACGTCGAGTATCTGAGTTGATCGAGAGCAGACAGCAATTACTTGTTCGCAAGCTAGTCGGGGGGATAATCCCATCACCACTCAGGACTCTAGAGGATTCATCGAGCCTATTTTCTTGAGACCCTCCATAGTGTGGCGCACATATTGACTGCCTCGCTTTTCTTTGCCTTCTAGTTTAATACTCGCTACAAGATCAGGGGGTCCCTGGTTTTCATGCCTCAGTAGTCCCAATACCTTTGGAGAAACTCAATGTGAAGAGTATCTATATCGTCCAAGTTTCAATAAGCAATAATTAAGGAATAGGAAAGAAGTTAATAACTTAGTTGATGTCGGTAGGCGTCTGAACAGGAGATCTAAAATATTTTATATACATTAGACGGCTTTCTCCTGAGCGTTATCATCTCGAAAAGAGGCTGAGGAATATTATAAGATAGCTTAATAGGGACGTTAGGCAGAGGTTTGATAACTATATATTGACGCCGGTACCTACCCGAATATGAGGCACCATATGTAACAAAGCTCTGCAAGGACATTGGGTATAAGGCGAAAGAGGCTGGCGTCCCACGGAACAGTAAAGTCACTGAGATCATCACTCCAATAAGAAATAGGAACCAGCGTTACTAACGACAGATACGAGGCGAGGGTTAGGTACTTAAGATATGGATACTTTACAGACGGCCGACTCCCGTGGTTAGGCCAAAGCCAGTACGTCATGGACCCCCGCCCTTCACAGTGGATGCTCGTACTAGGCCCGCAGCGACGGATCAAAGGATGGATCAAATCATGAGATATATATATTACGATCGAGTCTCAAAATCGTACGTTCCCGGTTGCTGTGCCGGTGTTCATCATCTATTTATTTGTTTATTTGAATTTTGCGTACAGCGACATGGTTCCACGGCAAAGCAGAGCACGCTATCCGACGCAGTTTCCAAATATGGTCCCATAATGTCTCTTCCTAACGTTGGCAGTACCCTTGACTCCAATATCCCACGTCCCGTCACCTACGCCGTTGTGTCTCTCCTTTCCGTCGCCCTATACAACGTCTCGGAGCTAACGTTCCTCCTCTTCCTGACTTTCAAACGCCGCAAGGGACTATATTTCTGGAGTTTCTTTTTTGCGACATGGGGCATAGCATTCTACGCTATAGGCTTCATTCTCAAAGACTTCCGACTTGCAACCTCTATCCCTGCTTTCTACGTGACTCTGATAGTTTTCGGCTGGTCTGCCATGGTTACGGGCCAGTCAATGGTCCTGTACTCTCGCCTCCATCTGATCCTACATAATCAAACCGTTCTGCGCCTAGTTCTGGGCATGATCATCTTCAACGCCATCGTCTTGCACATTCCGACTATAGTCTTGTGCTACGGTGCAAACTCTATACAATACCAGAACCAATTCGCATTCCCATATGCCGTGTACGAAAGGATACAGGTTTCGATTTTTTTCGCTCAAGAATTCTTAATCTCAAGCATCTACATGTATGAGACCTGGAGGTTATTGCGTACAGGAGGCGTATTGGACCGGGATCATCAGCAGCCACGACGGAGGCTTATGCTCCATCTGATGTACGTGAACGTCATTGTGGTATTATTGGACACCGCAATATTGGTACTTCAGTTTACGGGCCGGTATGCCTCGCAGACTGCAGCCAAGGGGTTGATCTACAGTGTGAAACTGAAGCTGGAATATGATATTTTGAACCAGTTGGTGAAGTTTGCGCAGAGAGGAAGCGACCTCAGTTCTTCGCATGATTATGGGGACGAGGCTTGTTTCACTGAGCACAGAGAGGGAAGACGAGACAGTCATGTCGATGTGGTGAATCATCGCCGGCGGTGTTCCTGTCCTTGGAATATCTTCGTTAGGAAGAGTGAGCGCGAATTTGGTCGACCAGCTGAAAATAGGCCATGGTATGGTTGATGGGATGCCATGCGGTAGGTCCTGCATATCAGTCTCCCGATCCTTTGCGGCTCACGTTGATCGTATTGCATGCTCTAGATCTGCTACCGATGCGTGAGCATCAAGAGGCGGCTCTTAACTAATCACCGGGTCCAAGGGCTGTCAATATACATCGTTCCTACGCTGAACAGTGTTCTAAGCTCTATTATTATTAGTCGAACGCTCACCGAACGAAGGTAACGACGCGTGCTCTGGCAGAATCCGACGCAATTTTTACTCTTTTTACCACAACATGGCCTCGTTCGTGGGGTCAGTCCAACCAGAGCGTTCCCATATCGACCGCTTTGGCAACTGCCCTGGGTAATACATGAAACCGTAGCCATCTCTATTGCGTAATAATGTAACGGGGTGCTTTCTGATCGTGCTTAGTGTTATCCTGAGGTATGTCTAAGTATGTTGACCCGTGACATGATTACGTACTCTGGAAAAGAAAAATCCAGGACATACATAGCCGTACAGACTTCTATTGGGCAAAGGAGAGGGGTACGCAAAACTAATGTGATACAGTTTGGTGGGACTGATTAAACATCATATTTTTATCTGTCCAAAAGGAGGAACTTGCAAACATTCCTCGTAGCTCGGCCCCCATAAGTGGGACGGATACCGCGGTCGAGAATTGGCTAGCGAAGCAGTACTCAAGATGATGGCCATAGGTCGAAGTAACTGGATATCAGATCTGTCAGAACTGCTCTACCATTATCTCCGATCCAAAGCATGGTCAAAGAGATGTAGCGGATGAGGTTTATGGGTTGCGATTGATGTAATTAGGTCACATCCGAGGAAGATAGATCTAGGCCTATATATTCTATGGAATAGAGTGCTGGGCTTTGAGTTGAGGGAAGAGTACCTAGCCTTAGATATTTACTTGCAACCTAGTCGGAATCGTGCATTAGAATGATATGGATATATGTGTTGCAAACCTCTCCTTGGAAATAATCAACGAACACCGAGCCTTGTGACGCCTCCTCTCCCCTCCACCAAAAGCCGAATTTGATACCTAGACTCCATACACCTCCATGCATTTTGATCCTCTACTCATCTTCCTCCTCTTCTCTCTTCCCCAGTGTATAGGCCAGACCACCACCCACCATGTTGGCCAAGCAGAGACCCATGGTCATGCCGCGAACGATACCCCGAGCCCCCCATTTCTTCATGAATTGTTGTCGGCGACGGCCGGCAAGTAGGAGATAGAGACCCGACCATGCAGCGCTTATCCCGGCACTATCCTTTTTGAACCCTTGGAGATTTGCATAGCTTGTGAAAAGAAGGACCGGAGGAAAGAGCATAGGCATGGCCTGGAAAGGTCGCATGTGCTGCGCGGTGATCAAACTTGCGAGGAGAGTCGGAGGGAATGGATTTTCTGAAGCATGGGTTTAGAAACTTCTTAAGAGCAATTGAACAAATTTCGTAGCTAGTCCCATGGGCAATGGGCTAATGCTGCATTGGTTCAAATTCATGACATTATGGCAAGCTCACCTCCCCAAGCTCTCGCTTTCTGGACCAGCGACTGTTTCGTCTCTTCGACGGGCGACTTTGAGTCTGCCATTGCGACAGTAGGTAGATTGGAGGAGATCAATAGGGTATACGGTAAGCAACAAGAACCGTTGAATGGAGCTCAGCTCAAGCTTGCATGCGGAGAAGGATGAAGTTCCGAATGACTAAACGGGGCTTGGCGGGCGGCAACATGGTTGGAATTCTCGAAAGACACCACGTTTATCAGTCATCCAGTCCTACTCCACATCGAAAGAACTTCGATCACCCATCCTACCCAACCATTTGGTCCTTGTCCCGTTCACCGCGACCGATTCGATCGTTTAGCTTCCGCTCTTTTCTCCCGCCGTCGCCGCTTCGCTCGTTCCCCGCCATCGACTCCCCCGTCGGCTTACTCTACCCGGGACTCTTCTCCGAAAGAGAGAAAAACAAACGGACGCAAACGAGAGACTAGGACCGACACTTTGCGTGGTATATATCTGAGTCTGACCAGGCTTCTTGGAGGCTTTGAAGATCCCGGTTCGCTGCCATGCCCGCCACCGCGTCGGGGGTGGACAACGGGGGCTCCGCCAAACATCGCGAGCACACCCAGGGGAACCAAGAACGCAAGTACACTCCGGAACAGAAGGCGGCTGTCTTGCGGATCCGGAAATGCTCCGCGACAGCGTACTATGAGATCCTGTCCCTGGAGAAGACGGCCTCGGATGGAGAAATTAAAAAGGCATATCGGAAACTGAGTTTGTTGACACACCCTGATAAGAACGGATATGAAGGTGCCGATGAGGCATTTAAGTGTGAGTTCTCCATCACCTGCAATGCGATCTCCTCTACAAGCGATGGCCCTTGGCTAACATTATATGGGGTTTAGTGGTGTCTCGTGCGTTCCAAGTCTTGTCAGACCCCGAAAAGAAGTCCAAATACGATAAGTTCGGTGGAGATCCCGATAGTCGATTCACCCCCAGCGCTGGTCCTTCGGGGGGTTCACCTTTTGGCGGATTCGGTGGTGGCTTCCCCCGATCCGGGGGTGCTGGTGGCCCGGTCTTCGAGGAGGAAATCTCGCCAGAGGAGCTGTTCAACCGCTTCTTTGGCGGTGGTGGCTTTGGCGGCATGGGAGGAGGGTTTAGTCCATTTGGTACGGTCCCATTCGATCAATATACTACAGGGTACGAATTCAGCGAGATTTACTGACAATGCACAGGTGGCCCGCAGTTCGTCTTCAACATGGGCGGCGGTCCTGGGTTCCGCGTCCACCAATTTGGCGGTCCCCGGCCACGGAGACGGCCTCGGGAAGCCCACCCCGGGTCCGATGAAACGCCCTCCCCTTGGGACACGCTCCGACAGCTTTTGCCCCTCTTTCTCCTCTTCGTTCTCCCGTTGCTCTCCTCGCTTTTCTCTGGATCGTCCACGCCATCCGGTCCCTCCTATCGATTTGACGCCGCAGTACCACCCCATACGATGCAACGAACGACACCCAAACTCAAGGTCGACTACTTCCTCAACCCCGTGGATGTAGAAGACTACAGTCAGAGAAAATTCTCCCAGCTAGACCGAAAGGTGGAAGTGGACTATGTCACCACCCTCCGATATGCGTGTGAGAATGAGGTGCAAGTACGTGATCGCATGATCCAGGATGCTCAAGGGTGGTTTTTCCCGGATGTAGAGAAGATGAAGGCGGCGAGGTCCATGGAACTCAAGAGCTGCCAGCGATTGGAATCGTTGAAGGGCAGATATTAGTCTGTTTTACTCGATCATGACCTGCTTTGCATTCCGTTCCATGCATGTTGTTTATACCTAATGTTGTTGTTGCGCGTTGTTCCGTAACTGTTTGGTCCTCTGTTTTTGGGCACTAGATATCAAGTACTGAGAGGGATTTCCGGCGTCGGATGGAATCAAGTCAAGGATGGTCTTGAGCGATCATTACGGTGCCTGTGTATATACTAGGATGAAGGATCTGGTCTGTTCCTGTTGTTGGTTCCTGTCCCTCTATGGTCAATCAGCAATCCCGTTGCCAAGGCGGTGAACCCTGCCGGCTTAGTTAATGCGGCGAACCTCAGCGGCCTCGATAGAAACAATGTCGGCTATCGTCACTTCAACATCCATTCTTCCTTCTTACAACGCTCCCTTGGGTCTCTCTTTCTCTCGGTCTGGTCGCTGAGAAGTAGTTCAGGAACCCGGGAATCTTGGGTCTTTTAATAGCCGTTCAGTTCTCCTTTCATTGCTATTTCTTTTGGAAATCTTTATCTGACCTCACTTCCTCTTGCTCCGCACTTTCTGCCCCGCTGACACAGCAGTCTTGTGGTCTATCACCACAATGTCGGACGGCATGTCTGAGGCGGATAAAGTCAGTCCTATGTTTCTTGGAGTCCACAATGAACTTTCTATTGACACATATCGCTAACTCTCCCAGATCCGCAACAAGCGTCTGGCGAAGCTGGGGAATCCAACTCCGCCCGCCCCAGCCGAGGGTGCAGAGTCCGGAAGCCCTTCACAGACAAACCCTCCTCCGGAACCCTCTCGATCACAGTCTAATCCCACCAGCAGACCAAGCTCTACGGCTCCTTCGCCACGACCAGAACCCCAACAATCAGAAGGCAAGAGGATTAAGATCACCCCTGCGGCCTCTGCGAGTGTCGCCGCGGAACGATCACGACCCGTTACACCTGTCTCCAATACTCCTCCGCCACCCAGAGCGGAAGAGACCATTGAGACATTTGAAGATCGCACGCTATGCGCTGTGTTCAAGCTCTCCTTGAAGGAAGATCGACAGCATGACATTCACGGCCAACGCCTATACTACCTCCCCGGCCTGCGGAGCGAGCTGGAAGACCAGGGTCGGGAATTACGTGTGGAAACGTCCGTACTAGACCAGGCTTTGCTTGAAGCCGCGTCAAATGCTCCCCAGCATAAGCCCCTCGACTATCTCCTTCCTTGTTTCAAGAGGATATCCCGAATGCAACAGAAATTCCGTCGGACAGGCGACAACGACCCGAAATTCAACGTCATCTGTGAGGCTCGCCGCCTCTGCATTAGCTATTGTATATTTGCTATTACGATGCCGGAGATGTTTGGGTGCGTTGTGATTATTCTTATGGTGTGAACGACCGACTGACACTTCTCAGGGCGGAACAATCCGAAAGGTCACCCCTTAAACCCTATCTTCTCCTTGATCCAGAGGACGAGAGGGGGGTGGACTTTGATTTCATGAGTGAGGCTGTGAAGCGTTTCGAAGAGGACGACACCATCAAGCCTGCATTCATATCCGCCGTGGAGGATATGAGTCGGGAGTTGGCGGGGATGACCGTTAATGATGATCACAAACCCTACGTGATTGTATGTTGTACTATTCCTTCCTCGCTAAATACCCTGCCAACCTCGTTACTTGCAGGCGTTACAAAACCTTGTCCGGCACCCGGCGATCGGTACCGCCATCACGGAGTCGTCCATGTTCAATGCATCTCGTGACCCGGCATTGTTTGAGAAGAACACTCTGCTAGGCCCCTGGTTTCGCCTGTCGCCGTTGCAGGCCCCAGTTACTATGACCTACTTTTCTAGCCCGAAGACCCGCGACCAGGCCTATATATTGAATGCTCAGCGGTCAATGCGGATGATGCAGCAGCTGATCAGTCAAGAGCTTCTCGATATTATAAACCACATGATCCGTGCATCGAAAGAGGCCAGAGAAAGAATCTTGGACTGGTTCGCCGCCGCCTTGAACGTCAATCACAAGCGACGAGCGATGCAAGTTGATCCCACCACCGTGTCGTCAGATGGGTTCATGTTCAACCTCACCACGTGTCTGGACCAGCTCTGTGAGCCGTTCATGGATGCGAGTTTCACCAAGGTATGTTTCAGCTCAATCGGTTTCAGAGTCTTTCCCTGACAAAGTCCCCTCTAGATCGACCGGATTGATGCCAATTATCTGCACCGCAATCCTCGGGTTGACATGAAGGACGAAACCAAGATCAACGCTGATCAGCATGCTTCTGACGCATTTTATGCAAAGAAAGCTGAAGGCACGACCAATTTCATCACTGACATTTTCTTTCTTACGGTGGCTGCCCACCACTACGGCAGTGAGTCCTTGACGTCCAAGGTTGAGCAACTTGAGAGGGATTTGCGTCATATGGAGAGCACCATCACCAGGTTCGAAGCAGATCGGCAACGCTGGATGAACAACCCGATGCAACAGAGAATGTTCGAGCAAGCTTTGAAGAAGTACAAAGACAAGGTGGATCTGGGCCTTGCCTTGAAATACAGTCTCCAGGGTGTACTATTCGACGAGCACTGGCAAGCGCGCTCTATGCTGTTCATGCGTTATGTCATCGTCTTTCTGCTAAGGCTGGTTTCTGGCAAGAACTTCCCCAAGGAGGACATTCAATTGCCTCTCCCTGAACAGCAGCCGGAGGTGTTCAATTGTCTTCCGGAATATTTCGTCGACGATATCGTGAGCAACTTCAAGTTCATCACGTGGTCTATGCCTCAGATTATCACCGCGACGCAGGGTGACGAGCTAGTCATGCTTTGCATATCTTTCTTGGAAAGCACGGCTTATATTAAGAACCCCTATCTTAAAGCAGGGCTGGTTTCAATTCTATTCCGAGGGACATGGCCCCGCCCTGGTGGCGGCCGTGGCGTCCTGGTGGACCTCCTCAACTCGATGCCCTTCGCGAACGACTACCTGCTGCATGCACTGATGAAATTTTACATTGAAGCCGAGCATACCGGAGCTCATACCCAGTTCTACGATAAGTTCAATATCCGGTTTGAGATTTTCCAAATCATCAAGTGCATCTGGCCCAACACCCTCTACCGCAACAAACTCTACAACCAATCCAAAAAGAACCTCGACTTCTTCGTCCGGTTCGTGAACCTGTTGCTGAACGATGTGACCTACGTCCTTGATGAGTCGTTTGGAGCCTTCATTACCATTCACAAAACCCAGACTGAGCTTCGCGAGGAGGGCGCCTCGATGGATGCCACCGTGCGTCAGCAGAAGGAGGAGCATCTCGCATCGGCACAGCGCAATGCAAAATCGTACATGCAGTTGACGAATGAGACCGTTGCCATGCTGAAACTATTCACCGACGCACTCGCCGACTCGTTCACAATGCCTGAAATTGTGCAGCGTCTGGCAGACATGCTGGACTACAACCTGGATGCTATGGTTGGACCGAAGAGCTCTACGTTGCGTGTGGACAACCTGCAGGAGTACGGGTTCAATCCGCGCGCGTTGCTCAGCGAAATTGTTGATGTGTACCTGAACTTGATGAGCAAAGAGAACTTTATCGTTGCGATTGCTCGCGATGGACGGTCTTACAAGCCCGCCAACTTTGAGAAGGCGGCGGAGATCCTGCGCAAATGGTCTCTCAAGTCGCCTGAGGAGCTTCGACGATGGGAAGTACTCCAGCGTAAGGTAAAGGAAGCGAAGGCAGCCGACGAACAGGCCGAGGAAGACCTTGGCGAGATTCCAGACGAATTCTTGGGTATGTTCAGCGGGTTTTTGGTGTTGAGATTTATATTGACGTCGCTTCTAGACCCTCTGATCTACACGCTGATGGAAGACCCTGTGGTTCTTCCTGGGTCGAGGGTGTCTATCGACCGGTCCACCATCCGATCCCACTTATTGAGTGATCCTCACGACCCTTTCAACCGAGCACCACTTAAGATGGAGGACGTCACACCAGGTATGCTCCATACTTCTGTGGAACAGCGGGTATGCGCTAATAAATACAGATACGGAGCTAAAGGCGAAGATCGAGGCCTTTAAGGCTGAGAGATTGTCTGAGCGACGGAAGCAATTAGGACAGGACACTATGGATACCACTGACGGCTGAATGATGGGGTCTGGATGATAGTCACTTACCTTTCTAGCATGGCATTTGGTTTCCTAGAGGTGGTTTCACCACCGCCATAGGCTACTGTATTTGGAGTCACCTATTCATCCATGGGAATATTCTGGATTGTATATCTGTAGAGTGTAGACATCTCGACTGTAAATGTCAACTGTTCGTTCGCCAAGGCGGTATCTGGTAGCCATCCGATTAGTCTGACTCACTAGTGTCGAACGATCTAGACTACCAACCTTTCGTCCTACGTCCACTCTGCCACCCATTAAACACGTTCCAGACTCCGCAGGATGATTTCGCCGGAGGAGCGCATCTACGAGCACGACGCGGGGATAATTCCTCTTCTCGCGTCCCATCTCCCACACTCATGCAGCGTGCTCCGTCGCATCCAGCACGGAATCGCCTACCCGTCTCCGACGGCTAAGATCCTCGCGCCCTTCCCCGTGGGAACGACACCCACGGAGCCATGGATCGTCGCACATGTTGATCTCTTCTGCGGCCGCGAGACCCAGATCTTCGCATACTGCAGCCTAGAAGCAGCGCACACATCGACCACCGCCGTCAACGACATCCAGGTGTCCACCTTCAACGCGGACCCAACCACCCTCGCACAGACTCGCGCGCAGCTCCTCGCGCTCATCTCATACATCAAAGCCAATCTCCTCCCGGCCTATCTCGCCGCCCTGGCTGACCCCACCTCAGCCGTCTCCAAGGCCGCTGACTTCGGCGAGACAGGCCGAAACGGCAGCACCCCGGCGTTGATCCCCTCGCCGGATCCGCGCCATTTCCTCTTCGGCTCCCTGCACAACGGGCTCTTTGCGTTGCTGCAGCGGTCCGGCTCGTACTTTGGCGGCGACCCGCTGGACGGGCTCCGCGTGCACCGCGTCGACATTCCCCCCTACTGCAAGTATATCTTTCCGCGGGCTGCGTTTGAACCCAGAGACTGTGGCGCCGGTCTGCCCGCGGGGTATAGATTCCACGACCGCCAGGGAAGAGTGGGCGTTCTCCCCGCGCATTTCGCGCTGGTCCAGAGCCGGACGCATATCCCGCGCTCCAAGGAGCAGCTGGCGACTATGTTCGGCGTCGCGGTGTACTACGATGGTTCGGAGGATGGGGGCTGTAAAGAGGGACACGGTGAGTGTGAGAACCCAGTGGCCTGGGCCTTTCTGGGCAAGGACGGTGCGTTAGCGACGCTGCATGTTGAGCCGGAGCATCGGGGTCGCGGACTCGCGCTGCAGCTGTCTAAAGAGGTGATGCGGCGGGGAATGGCGCCCGAGGGTATTTTTGGGGCCGGTGGTGCGTCTGGGGGAGATAGCCGGATTCGAGATTGGGCGCATACAGAGGTTGCGCAGATGAATCAGGCGAGTCGGAGGGTGATGGAGAAGATTGGGGGGGAGGTTATTACTATGGTTAGTTGGACGGTTATTGAGATGTGTGATTAGTTCTCGTATATATGTTGATATGCTTGTTGCATTTGCATGGACGACGGTCATTGTCTAGATACCTATGCATTGCTAGAGTATTATCAATTAGCTTGGTTCATGTAGCATTAATAGGCACCCTATTTCAACAACTGGTCCTGTAGCTCAGTCGGTTAGAGCGTGATGCTAATAACGTCAAGGTCGCGAGTTCGACCCTCGTCGGGACCATTTTTTGCACTATTTACATGCGCACCTTTTGCTGTATATACAGGAGTACGCCATGTGTGATGGAAATACTGTATAGCTATTCTGTTAGACGTATGTGTATATCGAATATCCTCATGTTACATATATCTACCCTTCTGGGAATAAGAACCCCTTTTCGTACACTGTCAGACCTCCACTGCAGATCACGGAAGAACGAGCAGATATATATTCTGCCTGAATGCTAGATCGAGTGCATCACCTGCCAGTAAAACAAACAAGATGAATCATGGACCCGTGACCCTAGGGTTATCAAAGTTTGGCCGCTAACCACTTAATCCCTCCTCCATCCCTGCAACCTCCATCAAGCTATCCACCCCGACGTCACCAAAAGTACCTCGCATTTACAGAGTACAGAGTGCATCGCAACAAAAACAATCCAGTGTCTCAGGCACTATGGAGGCCACCGCCGCCTCATCCTTTCTCTCCTCCCTCCCGCCCCTGCGGGAGTTCATGTCTCCCACCCCAGAGACATACATCATCGCCTTGTTCCTCTTCCAATACTTCCCCATAGTACGTCACTTCACCAACTATACATACCCCATCTCCAGAACATATACTAACACAATCCAGTTCTCCATAATCCAATGGCTCACCTCCTTCCACCCAGCGGGCAAAACCTCCCTCTCCCGCTCCTTTCTCAACTTCCCCGGCAAACTCGGCTGGTTCCTCATGGAGATCGTCGGGCCCGCAAACCTGCTCTACGCCCTGAGCCAACACCACCACCAGAACGACACCCCCTTCTGGGCCCTCCCCGGGCCCAACAAGCTCGTCGCCGCCCTCTACCTCATCCACTACGCCAACCGCGCCGTCATCACCCCCTTCTTCGTCGCCCCCAGCATGTCCCCCATCCACCTGCTCGTCGTCGCCATGGCCGTCGCCTTCAACTGGCTCAATTCCACCTGTATCGCCGCCTGGGTGCTGGGGTACCCTGTCCCGGTGCGAGGGTACATCACTGACGGGTCCGGGTCGTCATCCCGCGCAGTCGCGGCCCTGCCCTATATCGGGGTCGTGGTGTTCGTCCTCGGAATGCTGGGGAACATCCGCGCAGAGCGCACGCTGTTCCGGCTGCGTCGTGAAGAGGCCGACAAGCGCGCAGCGAAGAAAGTCGACTCCGCCGGCCCTGGTGCCGCGAGCTATTCCAAGGTGTATGTTATCCCTCCCGCGACGGGGCTCTTCCGCGCCATCCTCTACCCGCACTATGTGTGCGAGTGGCTCGAATGGCTCGGGTTTGTCCTCGTCGGCACCGCTCTGTACCCGTCTGCGGCGCCGGCTTCGTCTCTCCCGCCTCTGCGCCTGGCGCCGTGGTTGACCCCTGCGGCGGCGCTGGCGGAGCGCCTGGGCGTGCCGCTCCCGCTGCCGGCGGTCGTGTTTGTCGTCAACGCCGTCACCAACATGTTGCCGCATGCGCGCTGGGGACGGAAGTGGTATGTGCAGAAGTTTGGAAATGAGGCGGTTGCTGGACGGGGAGCGGTTGTACCATATTTCTCCTGGATGTAATTGTAGTACTCTTTGCTGGGTGGGTATCTGCTTTCAGTCTGTACTTTTAAAAGCACTTGGTACCTGCTTTCACAGTGTGTATTCTAAAGAAGCACTACATTCTTTCTACACAAAAGAAAAGTGGTGTGATAGGCCGAATATTATGGCTCTATTGGTGTCATCACCTAGTGTGATATGAACACATTATTGTTGAAATATCTAAAACATGTCGGCACACCACCCCCACGGCAATGCCATGCCAGTCCCCGTGATACAAAATAAACAAAAATGAAACCATAAACACCTTTATGGGAACCGACCCGATAGGCACGCCGATGAGGGCAGATGCCGATGTTGAAATCGTGAATATGTTGAACTCCGTTGCCACCATGAAACCCTGAACCCTTATGTTGAACTTTTGGTATCATCATCGTAACTCATCACATAACGAGAGAAAGTAAAGTCCAGACTTTCTTTCTCTCCGAGGCGACAGGTTGAGAATGTCGCCCCCTCATGGGTTTATTAAGTAAGAATGTTGGATTTATTTGGTGTACTTCTGGCGGAAGTACTTGGCCGCGTTGACCATGTTGGTCAGGGCAGCCTTGGTCTCGGGCCACTGACGGGTCTTCAGACCGCAGTCAGGGTTGACCCAGAGCTGCTCCACGGTGAGGTACTGGAGCATCTCCTCAATGCGGTCCTTGATCTCCTGCTCGCTGGGAACACGGGGAGAGTGGATGTCGTAGACACCAGGTCCGATGTGGCGAGGGTAGGCCTCATCGATGAACACCTTGAGGAGCTTAGCGTCGGACTTGCTGTTCTCAATGCTCAGAACATCGGCATCCAGAGCGGCAATGGCGTGGAAGAAGTCCTGGAACTCAGAGTAACAGAAGTGGGAGTGGATCTGAGTGCCGTCGGAGACACCAGTGGTAGCCAGACGGAAGGCACGGACAGCCCACTTGAGGTACTCCTCACGCTCCTTGCCAGAGCGGAGAGGGAGACCCTCACGGAGGGCAGGCTCGTCGACCTGGATGACCTGGATACCGGCAGCCTCAAGGTCGATGACCTCGTCACGGAGAGCAAGAGCCAGCTGCTGGGCCTGGACCGACTGGTGGACATCGTCACGAGGGAAAGACCACCGGAGACAGGTGATGGGTCCAGTGAGCATACCCTTCATGGGCTTCTTGGAGATCGAAGCGGCGTACTTGGACTCCTTGACGGTCATGGGGGCGGGACGAGAGATGTCACCGACGATGATGGGAGGACGCACGCAACGAGATCCGTAGCTCTGCACCCAAGCGTGGGTGGTGAAGACGTAACCGGTGAGACGCTCACCGAAGTACTGGACCATGTCGTTACGCTCGGGCTCACCGTGGACGAAGACGTCGAGGTCGAGCTCCTCCTGGATCTTGATGACCTCATCGATCTCCTTCTCGATGAACTTCTCGTACTGCTCAGCAGTGATCTCACCCTTGGTGAACTTGTTACGCTGGACACGGATCTCCTTGGTCTGGGGGAAGGAACCGATGGTGGTGGTGGGGAAGAGAGGGAGGTTGATGGACTTGCCCTGCTCGGCGTGGCGAGTAGGGAATGCAGACTTGCGGTTGTGCATCTCCTCAGTGACGGCAGCCTGGCGCTCCTTGACCTTGGGGTCGTTGGTGCGCTTGGAGGAGGCGCGGGACTGAACAGACTTGGCGTTGGCCTCGAGCTGCTCACGGACGGCAGCAGGGCCCTCAGTGACAGCCTTGGCAATCACGACAACCTCAGCGGTCTTCTCAACAGCGAAGCTGAACCAGTCGCGGACCTCAGGGTCGAGGCCCTTCTCGCTCTCGAGAGTGTGGGGGACGTGGAGGAGGGAGCTGGAGGTAGCGACGATGACACGCTCCTTGCCCAGCTTCTGGATGGCAAGCTCGACCTTCTCGATGGCGTTCTTGAAGTTGGTCTTCCAGATGTTACGGCCATCAACGACACCAGCGGAGAAGACCTGGTTGGGGCCAAGGGCAGCGAGGACAGTGTCAAGCTGCTCAGGGTTGCGGACCAGATCCACGTGGATACCGTAAAGGCTGTGAAGAGCAGGGAGAACATCAATGTTGTGAACAATGTCACCGAAGTAGGTGGCGAGGAGAAGGCGAGGAGCCTTGTCACCGAGAGCGCCGAGCTTCTCGTAGGCGGGCTTGAAAGCAGCCTTGGACTTGGCAGGGAGGTCAAAGACGAGGACGGGCTCATCAATCTGGACGTCCTGGACACCAGCCTCCTTGAGCTTGGTCAGGAGCTCAACATAGACGGGGAGGAGCTCGTTGATCTTGTCAATGGGGTCAAGAGTCTGGCCACGGTCCGCCTTGGCGAGGGTAAGGAAGGAGACGGGACCGAGGATGACAGGGCGGGTGATGATACCAGCCTCCTTGGCCTCGAGGTACTGGACAAGAGGCTTGGGCTGATCGGCCAGCTTGAAGGTCTGGTTGTCCTGAAGAGTAGGCTTCACGTAGTGGTAGTTGGAGTCAAACCACTTGACCATCTCCAAGGAGGGGACATCAACGCCGGACTTCTGGAGACCACGGCCCATGGCGAAGTACTCGTCCAGGGGGTGGAGGTTGTACTGGCTGTAACGCTGGGGAACGACACCGAACATCTGGATGTGGTCAAGGACCTGATCGTAGTAGGCGAAGTCATTGCTGGGGATGATGTCAACACCGGCATCCTTCTGGATCTTCCAGTGCTCGAGACGGAGTCTCTTTCCCTCAGCCAAGAGCTCATCACGAGAGATCTTGTCACCCCAGTACGCCTCGGTGGCCTTCTTGAGGTCACGAAGCCTTCCCATACGAGGGAAACCCAGAACGGAGCTAGGCATGGAATTAGCATATGGTGCTTTAATTCATCGAAGATTGATGGAATTGACTCACGATTGAACCATTCTGATGGATATTTTGGTGTGGAAGGGAGAGAGAGGGAGGTGAAGAAGCGGTCTGGAGAAGAAAGGAAGAATGATTTAGAAAGGAACAATGGAAACACAAGAGACCACGCAGAGAAGTCCCTTGCCTGGAAATGAGAAAAATTCTCAAGAAGATGGGAGAGAAGAAAAGGGGGAAGAGGGAGAGATGAGAGAAGAGAGAAGAGAGAGAAAGAAAAGGGTTGGGAGGAGAGGGGAAATAATAAATAGTTGTCAGACGGAGGGGAAAATGGAGGGGCATTCTCACTCAGCACGGCCGCCCGAAAATTTCACGTTTCCCCGAACGGGCTATGGACAAATGGCGTGATTGCCCCCGGATGTCATCGTATTACGCGTATCTGGGCTTTCCCCGCGGGCAGCGTATGAAAAACAGCGCATTTGGCGTCTCACCGGTACAGATCGCCGGAGACTAAAAAGAGGCTAAACCCAAACAGGGTCCGGGATCGGCCTTAAACGGGCATTGATTGGCTGGACCAGATGTATATACCAAACGCCCACCTAATACGGCCACACCGTGAATGTGATAAGCGTAAGACAAAGAGATAGGCCTTAATTGACACCTGATATAGTATACATAGGTAGTTATAGGTTGCGTGTGTTGTCAAGAAGAGGTCAAATACGTGGGTGGAGACGGTATCTAGTAAGGTATGAACATCGGCAGCTGCATCATGGTTTCCCAACATGGCAATGCCCACTCACCTTCTCTGCATGGCACCTTCCCATTCAACACGCCGCAACCATGCATATCGGCGACAGCTGCATCACTTCTCAACATCCTGATGCACTACCATCTCCTTGCATCTCATTACCTCCCCGCGCACGACAGCTCTGCATTTCCAGACCGCTTCAATGGGTTTCCTCTTCTGTCCCAGATGGCTCCGTTGGAGCCGTAAATCTCCCACTGATCCGGAAACGCCTCAGTCGCAGCCACTGGATACTACAGACGAGCAACCTGCGTCCGAGCAGTTATCAGAAGGTGACTGTTCATCGGCCTGATCTTTGTCTGCATGTATAGTTGCTCACAAGACCAGGGATGACGGGGCCGACCCGCCATCAGAAAAACTCCCCAGGAGGCTTGTCCCATAAGATCCGAAAGCGCTTCTCCCACGAGAGTCCCAGACTGAGAGGCCGGACTTCTATTTTTGGAATCGCATCTAGACTTACCCACCGTCCGATTACTTCCAACGATGCGGGAAGTAGCCTGATGAGCGAAAAATGTTACGACAGCGACGCTCAATACATCGCCACCCCCAAACAGGTGGCAGAATATCCCTCAATCAGATCCAGGATATGGGGCCGAGTATCTCCCCTTGGCCAATCCCTATACGAGCCGATCAAAGATGAGCCCTGCGATGAAGGCCGTGAGACGACTGAACAACCTCGTCCAGCAGGAGGTAGCCGGTTCATAGAGCACAGTGATATCGAACTACCGCCATTTGAATGGCAAGCACCCGGATGCACTGAGAATGAACCAACCCAGAGGCGGTTCGGAAGCCCCAGGCTCGTCTATCCACCAGGATACTCGCAAGATCTCCGATTTAGGGATCCCATGTCTGTGATACATGGAGACCACCAACCTCAGCCATGCAACGATGCCCCAATGGCCACAATCTCCGTCAACCATACTGAGCATGGCAGCCAACGCAACACCGCTGGTAACAGTCTGGATCCATCGTCTGACAACACACCGAACCTTTTACTACCATGCGCAATGTCGGCTGAGTCGGTGACGACTCCCTACGTCGAACTGTCTGTTCGAAAGAAACGTCAGAGATACTCAGTGGACCAACAACAAACGCGCCATTCAGTTCATTTAGGAGAGATTGATATTCCTAGAGCTTTGGCATCAACCCCTACATCACCTCGGACTCTGTCCCCAGACCAATCCCAGGACGGAAGTGGGGAATCGACGGTTTCTGGTGCATCACGCCGATATAGCCATCCCGTAGGCAGCTCCGAGTTCTTGTCGACGTGGAAACCAGGGGGACTAGACATTGGGAAGCCCCGTGCAGCATCGTCAATTTATTCCCGCCCAACTAGTCTCTCGTCCGGTCCATCCAAGTATCGGTTCGAATCTCGAATCTTCAGCCACCTATATCACAATCCACCAGATGGGATCGCAGAATGTCCCTCTAATCTTGAGGAGAACATGGTCCCGTGCAAGCCGCATGATACGCTAAACGAGATCGGACCTTCTTCCCAAAAATCTGCAGCTCACACCGAAAACGACGTCGCACCCTTGCAAGAAAGCAAAAGAGCTCCGTCCTGGGTATCTGACTCCCATTCGGACCCATCGTCCACACGGAAAGTGAGCATCGGATGGATGACTGAAGGCCGGCGCTTGGGGTACGGGTACACACTCATATCGGAAGACGACGAAGGCTACCATTCACCCCGGACTGCTCGTGGATCACCAGAACCTGGCGATCCGGATCACACAACAGAGCCAGATAACAAATGCAGCACTGAGAATCAGGTTGATATTGACTGTAAAAGCACAGAAAAGGCGCCGGGAACAGGGAAATCGGTCTTTGATATCTTCAAAGTCTCCCACCGTTTCAATTCTCGCCACTTGCCCAGCAAGACCACGATCAAGAATGACAAAAACAGAAAGACAGGCGGAAAATCTGTGGCAGCCCTCTTGTTCCGATCTCCTACTGCCCGGAAAAGGGGCCAAAGTAAGGAGACGACGAGAACCAAGTCAAAGACTCGAAAGAGTGATTCTGGTGGTCAACATCAAACTTCGACCAATGCAGACTCACAGAATGGAGCCCATCCCCCATTTGAGAATTCAAGTCACTTTACAAAGGGGCAGTCATTGCGCCGGGCGAAAACTTTGTGGACCAGACGAAGTGTTGGATCAAGAGGAGTCGAGAGACAGTCAGAGTCGACGACGCCATCATCCTCTGGGCCATCTCCTCCCTTACTCCAAAGAAGCAAGACCCAGGTCATGAAGCGTCGCAGCCCGCCTCGTAGGACACCGCTGTTCAGCGAGGCCAACGATGAGAATATCCCAACGTTCCTGATCACAGAGAAGCCAAATCCCCAGACGCCACAAAAAGCAAAGGAACACAATCCGAACCTCGTCGAAGGTGATCCTCAGAGACGTCTGCATCGAGCCAGCTCAAGCAACTCAATGGATGATTGGTTTGAGGCTTATCAGGACTGCGTGGAGTTCCATTCGCTCTAAGGTGAGGTTTATATCTGGACCCGGAGAACTATGGAGTTGTTCACATGCACCGGCGTTGGTCGAATTATCGTTTTATGCTTAAACCATGTATCCGTTTATGTCGCGGCATGGGTTTGTTTGTTGTCAGTTGGTAGGACCCCCGGATGTGCTTGATACAACAATGACGAGGCAACGGTGACATAGATGGAGAATCCAGGTTATTATGGTGTATTAAAGAGGTTAAATCATCCATTAGGATAGGAGCAGCACAAGATGCGTCGCATTCATCGCAGTTCCCAGTAGAGCATGTTCATGTAATCGTACAAAGGTATAGGTATTAAACAAAAGGCCAAGTGATGTTCATAGGGGCATCTACTTCTTCTGCCTCTTCGAATCGTTATCGCTTGAGTTGCTCAGCACGCTTGCTGAACGTTTGTGCGAGGTGGCTTCTTGGTCTTTGGCTGATGCCTGTGCAGTGTTCCCATCAGCTCCAGCGTCAGGATTTCCAGCTCTGTTTCCCGTTCCTCCGCTTGATGCCTCCGTGGCCGTCTCAGCGGTCGACGGCGCTGGCACAGCAGAATTAGCCGGGTCGGGTGCTGGAGCGGGATTGTCATCCTGCTCCGTCTTCACCTGGGGGTTTTCCTTTTCCTTTGCCTCTCGTTCTTTCCGTTCCCTTTCCTCCTTGGCCGCCTCCAGCACACGGATCTCGCTCTCGACCTTTTCAGAGACTTTCCGCGCATCCAGCAGCAGGTTCACCGAGTGGATCAGCTTCTCAAACTCCTTACATACGCGCTCGGTCGGCATAACCAGGCGGAGAGGCACTTCCAGCTCCGCCAGTGCAGCCGCCAGCTTCTGGGTCTGCACGTTCGACTTGGCTTGCGTCAACTTCTGCGCCCGGTCGCTGCGGAACTGCACGCTTGGAGCCAGACGCTCATGGTGCTGCACACCGTACTTGGCTTCCTCGGCCGGCGTAAGAGTGCGGACCGTCTGTTGAGCTTCCTGTTGTTTTGCGGCGGCAGCGGCAGCGGCAGCGGCCTTCTTGCTTGTAGGCGCCGCGGGTGCGGTGCTCGGGGTGTCGGCGCGGCTGTCGCGCGCACCGCCGGCGCTCGGTGCTGGCGTCTGTCCGGCAGGGCTGGGAGCAGCACCTTCGGGGCCAAGTAAAGAGCGTCGCTTCTTGGATTTGTCGGCTTGGAGGAGGGTCTGGAGGAGTTGCGACAGGCCCTGGCTGGACTGGTACATGGTGGTGTTGCCGACGCTGACGGGGACCTCGAGGCGGGAATAGAGCTCGCGGCGTTCGGAGATGAAATCCTGTTCGTTTGCGGTGATGCGTTTCAGCTCCTCAAGGAGGATGCCTTCTTCGCGGACTTCGTCCGCAGTGCGGTTCAGCTGCAGGGCGGCGAGCTCTTTGCGCGCGCGCTCGCGCTCGGGATCGAACTTCATCATCTTCTCGTGAAGGTCGAACTCGGCCTCGGACATTTCCGAGGGCGGGTGTTCCAGCGCAAGCATGGACGCGGCAACAAAGTAGTACCTGGACTTCATTTGCTCCATCGTTCGGTATCGTTTGGCGGGGACGAGGGCGTTGGCGTTGGACGTCGAGTCCTCCGATCGGGGCTGGAAGTCGTAGCGGTCGGCGATCACCACCCATCGTAGGTCGTATTCCTCTACTATGTCCATCAGATAGTCTGTCTCCTCTCGGGACCAGTCGTCGCTCTTCAGGTGGCGGTTGTATTCATCGTCGGTGTATCGGTTGGGCACGCGGGCTTTGATATTGTATTTCGCGAACATGTATTCCTGCTCGAGGGGCTTCGAGGCGTCTTCTTCTGGTTTCTGTTGGTCGTCCACTTCCATCTCCGAACCCTCCAACGCGGGCTTCGCGGGTTCCGGTTGTCTCTGCCAGTGGTGGAGAACGAGGTCGTCTGACCGCGCGCTGTTCGTGAAGGGAGTCATGCGCCTGGATAGTTGAGTATTAGAGATAGCCATGCATGGCGTTTACAGCGGAGGAGCACGTACCAGGGGCGCACGCGCAGTTTGCTCATCCATTTCGGGCGTCCCTTGTAGCGATTTTCGTTGATCGCGATGGGTGGTGCGCGTTCACCGAGGAGGGCGTACAGTTCGCGGGTGATACCCTCTATATGCAGTTAGTATGGATCGCTGTTCAGACTGGACTCTGTATCGGTAGCAACGCACCGGGTCTCTTTTCGACGACCTTCTGCTTCTTGTGAGGTCGCGGCTGGCCCTCCGCGGGCAAATCCAGCATGTCGCGCACATCGGCGGCGGCCATGGCGAGGGCAAACACGGGAGAATAGGTAAGGTAGCGAGGCTGAAGGTGCGATGAATATTTGATTGAGGGTATTGATGGAGTAGATGGGATAAAAAGTATGGGGGAGGTCTGGACTGATGATGGACGGAAATGACAGGGCGAAGACGGAGAATTCGCGCCAAGACCAAGCCCGATCGGGCCAGCGTATTCAACTTCACCCTCAATAATCAACCACCATACACAACATCCCTTTTCTCTCACTCTCCCCATTGCCCTCCATCCCCATCATGGCTCCCTCCACACCGTCAGCCTCATGGCTCTCCTCCATTCTGGCTCTGTGTGCCATCCTGTGTCTGTCGGTGCCCACCCAAGCCCTCTACTTCTACATGGAGGGACGCCAAACAAAGTGCTTTTTTGAGGAGCTCCCCAAGGACACGCTCGTCGTCGGTACGCATTCTCCAATTACCCTCCCGACGCCCCTCGGCTTGGCCTCCTATCCTAACAATTAACGCCAGGCACCTTCTCCACTGCGGTCATCAACCAACAGTCGACCACGTACACCGTGGACCCGGACCTGAAGATGCTCATCACCGTCGACGAGACCTTCGACAACGACCACCGCGTCGTGTCCAAGCGCGACTCCCACTCCGGCCGCTTCACCTTCTCCGCCGCCGACGCCGGCCAGCACCGCATCTGCTTCACCCCCGAGACCAACGCCGCCTCCTCGGGCTGGTTCTCCGACGCCAAGGGCGCCGTCAAGGTCACCCTCGACATGACCATCGGCGAGACCAGCAAGATCGAGACCGAAGACAAGGACAAGATGCAGGACATCGTGCAGAAGGTCAAGGATCTCAATGGCCGCTTGCAGGATATCCGTCGCGAGCAGGTGTTCCAGCGGGTACGTCCAGCTTTTGCCCTACCCCCCCACCCGGTGCTCTAATGGAGTCAACTGACGATTGCAGGAACGTGAGGCCGAATTCCGTGACCAGTCTGAGGCGACTAACTCCCGTGTCGTTCGCTGGACCCTCATCCAGCTGGTTGTGCTCTCCGCCGCGTGCGCCTGGCAGCTCTCGCACCTGCGGTCGTTCTTCATCAAGCAGAAGTTGACGTAAACGATTGATGACGAGGTTATGCGAGCGAAGACGGTGTAGTGGGTGGGTTTGTATGGCGTCGCTTAATCATGTGTTATAGCATATCATATTATTCTGATTTCTTGGTAGTCTCGGCGTGATGCGCCTGCAGATAAATGAACTTAAAACGATGTCTACGTTTTGTCTTGTGGCATACACCCTTTAGCGTGGTTTGCGCAAACCGCATTGTGAATTTAAATGGAGGCCTGGATGGTTCTTCGATTCAGATCTAGTCCAAAATGTGTGGTTTGGCATCGATATCACCCGTCTGAGAACAGAACGTAACACCTGGTTGCGCATTATCTAGTCACCCTTCTTTCCAGTCATGATCATCATGGTTGCCTGTGTATCGCTCATTAAAACAAATTATAAATCCCAAGCCCTGACCTCCTGTTCATACTTGTCAAAAGTATCGGCCTGGACAGTGCAAAAATATGAAGTGCGAGGCATATGACACATGCCCCTATTAAAGGGAATCATAGGTGATGCTCATCACCCGGTCTAAATCATGCAGTCGTCGAGTCATCACGGTGGTTCGCCTTGTCGCTGCAAAACCCCAAGATCAACCGCTCAAGATCGGTCAACTTGTAGGGTTTGGTCATGTACCCCTTCATGCCAACCTTGGTGGCCCGGCTGAGAGCCTCGTCAGTGACGTCCGCACTAACGGCCAGGACAGTCGGCGTCACGATGTTCCTGTCCGCTGTCTCGGAAGGGCGGCTAGTATGGGTTTTGGGTGGGATTTGGCCGTGGTATTCATCTGTAAGTTGGAGGATCTTCGACGTGGCTTCGTAGCCGTCCATTTCTGGCATCCAAAGGTCCATCAAGATGACATCCACCGGCTTGAGCCCCTTCCGTTGGGATGGAGACTCAGGCACCAAGAAATCATCCGCTCCATTCTGGCGGTTCAGGGAGGAAGTCGAACCATTGCCCGCGGGATTTTTCGAGAGCGGGTGTTTGAGAACATCCTGCATGATTCGCACCGCTTCCTTTCCATTGCAGGCTTCGTAGACATCCTGGTAACCCAATCTTTTCAGCATGCTCACCAGGACCCGCCGATTGATTTTATTGTCTTCGGCTACCAAAAAGGTGAGCGGATGCTTATTACCCAGTTTAGTATCGTGGGAGTTTCCATCGAAGGAGCTTCTGGGTGGCTTGGAAATCGGTGCAGGCCGTGGAGTGCTGGTCAGAGATGGCAAATCATCCGTGAGGCTCGGAGATGGTTGCTGGATGGGAGGGCAAGGAAGCGGAATCGATGGGGATCCGATCGTCTCCAAGCCTATACTAGGCGTGCTGCTTGATCGAGACGATTCGTTGGCTTGCGGAGGAGTCAACAGCTTCGAGGGAGCAACTGGCCTAGTAGAAGCGTCATGCTGATTGGCAGGGATTCTGATTTCAAACTCCGAGCCACGATCAGGGCCCGAAGTTGAGGAGCGGACACATAACAGGTCACCTCCCATCTTCCTTGCAAGACCTTTGGCCACCAGCAGTCCCAGTCCCAGTCCATCTTTGCTTCGGGTGGTGGACGCATCTTGCTGAGCAAATGGTTTAAATAGTTTTGGCAAAAAGGCCTCTGGTATCCCTGGCCCAGTATCCTGGACGGTAATCAAGACATCGTTCGGCTTCCGGCCGACAGTAGCGCAGACTGTGATCATCCCATTATTGGTAAACTTCACTGCGTTCAAGAATACACAGGAAATCAACTTCGCAAGGTCACGGTCGTCCACAAACAGCATGTCTGGAAGCCCGGGATCCACGGACCAGTGGATTGTCTTTGAAAAGATCTCTCCATTAGAAGAGCGTGTGCGGACTTCGATCTTTTCGCCCACCTCCGTCGCCGTGGTTACGGCGAAGTCAGGACGGCCACCCACATGGAGGGATTCGTTGATCACCAGCCGAAGCAGATCTCGAAGTTTCGTGAATCGGAGGGCTGGGCTATTGAGGTTGAAGTTGAGGCCTTCTAGCAAGAGATGAGGGGCGGACCGCCGGACTGCCAGCGAAGGCCGAGGCTCCATCACGTTGGCCACCATAGCCTCTAGCTGATGCACCGGGGCTGCCTGGACGATCTTTTCGCTTTCATGGACTGCAATCTTGACCTCTTCGCTCCGTGGAGAAAGTTCCTTGGACTGCGAGACGCGGGGAACCTTTGCTTTTGGCAGCATTCCCAAATTGTATTCTGCAGGGTTGCTCCTGCGACGTTTGTAAGGATTCACCGTAATATTATTCCCTTCAATAAAGATGTTGGGGCGGGTTTCCGAAGCAGCGACGGGGGACTGGACAGGGCCACCGAAAAACTCATCCCGCTCGACTTGAGGGGTCTTGGGAACCTGCATATTCAGGTCGTAGGCGTGGACCACGTTATCCGCAGCCTCCACTGCTCGCCTTGCACTATCTGTACGGAGTCAGAACTCTGCTTACTGGATGGATGAGATCATTAGACAAACCTTGAACCATCTCAATGCTTTCTTTGAGAGTTTGGAAAACAAACCCAGTCTTGGGAGAGGGTTTTTCCTTGATGGCTTCCCGCACGGTGGCATGCATCACATCGAGCATACCCACGATTCCATGCATTGGTGTCCGAAGCTCATGGGACAAGCTTCGCGCAAAGGGCTTGAGAGGCTGTGATGAAAAGTCCACATGTCCTTGGATATTCATGTGTGCATCGTCTATCTTGTGGGCATCGAAGAGGTGGCCATGGGGTTGTTCCGCCTTTCCGTGTTCACAATCGTCCTGGAGTCGTTGGATGACCAGGTCTTCTAGCGAATGCAAAACCATCTCGACGAACGACCACGGAAGGTTCAGCTTCTGGAGGCCTGAATCAGACCACATCAGACCCAGGTAAGCAAGGCATTTGGACTTCGAGAACAACGGGATGGCTAGGTAGGCCTCTGCTGCGAAAGGGAGTCGGTCTCGTTCGAAGGGTTTCAGAGACCCCAGTTTCTCCCGGATCAGACAAGGCTTGTCCTGATCCATGTGAGACAGCGGGTTACCGCCGGCGAAGTATCGGCGGCGATGCATTCCAACGGTTCCATGTCCGTCATTGTAATAGAAAACTGTGCCAAATAAACACGGTTTATGGCCGCCTAACTCGTTTCCGAGTTCGTCCTCACGGACTCTCCGCGCCACAAACGCATACTGAGCATTGCATATCCACGCAAGACTTTCCATCAACTGTGTCCAGAAGGCTTCCGAGTCCAAAACTCGCAGGTCTTGCTTGAGTTTTCCCAGCCGCTCAGTGGCGACATTTTGAGGCTCCAGGACCGATCTGCGAGCTGACGACTCGGCCTGCAGGCCGTCATTGTCGATAGAAGTCGAGGAGCCTCCTGCGAGGCTTTCAGATTTGCACTGACGAAAGGATCTGGAGGCACCAGATACGAAGGACTTTGGCCATTCGGGCTCGACCGAGTCGGACATGATGCGCCGGTCAATCGAGCCGGATTGAGTCGAAAAGGTTGAAAGTTGAATTATGGGATGGGAGGCCACAGGGACAGTGTCGAGCTTTGCTGGGTGATCGATAGGTCAGGAAATCGGTAGGTGGACAAGACACAACGCATGACTTTCGATCTGCTAGAGCCGCTGGAGCAGCAAATCCCGTCAGTTATATACTTTTGGACTGGCTGTGATAGAGGTTTCGATGTCGAAGGTTTTCTCGGCCAAAAGGCCGCATATCATCGAGGCTAATAAGTCAAACATACATCGCGTTGGTTGTCTTCTGCAAGAAGAAGGGTTGGACCGAGCCGCGGGGTCGGCAGCTGAGACCGTAATGTTGCACCTTGTCTGTATTTGTCGGCGGACTTCGACTGGTAAGATTGTCGCGCTGTGACAAGGTTGATTCGGACGAAAAGAAGGAGGCGTAGTGGATATAGCGTTGGTGATTAACAATGAGAGAATGAATAGAGCGCCGAGGTTCTTTAGATGGTATTGCGGATGGAAAAACCGACCGATCCGTATGGTCGCTTGCCCTGGGTTACTTCCCGAGAGTCTCCAGGGACTTGGGGCCTGAATCGACGATAGGGTTTTTGGACCCGTCTAGGGCTCGTCTGCGATTGAATCGGCAATGGTTGGAATGATGAAGCGTATGTATGTCTCACGAGGGGTGGGCCAAATGTCCACGCCGGGCAAACGAAGAGGGGACGTTACACCATGCCACCACGACGGAGAGGGCTAGGCTCTGAGACCCGATATAAGACAGGGGCGGAGGGACCCCGGAGGAGACGGTGAGAACAAAGAGCCTCGACAGAAAGTGAGTCGAGCCTGGAAAATCAAACCAGATGGGAGCGACGGGGATGGAGGTGGTGAGGGAGAAAAGAGGAAGAGGAAGAAGAAGAACGATGGAGAGGATCGCAATTAATTCGCTGGGGCAGCTGGCCGATCGCCCGGTCTAGACGCGGGGACTCTGCTGTCTTTTCACCCCGTTGTAGGTCACCACTTGGACTTTATTGTATACATACGTAGATGGCTTTTCTCAGATACATAATTTTGAAAGAAGAAATAGAAAGAGATTGGAACAGTCAATAATGTCTGTACACACTGAGTACAAGGCGTTGTCAGTACACCGGGTCACCGACCCATGGTTGTTGGATCCGATAGATTTCCGCACAAAGAGGTCGTCATCATGGACACAGCCAAGTACTCCATACAGGGGCCCTTAATGGTAACTGGATGGAACCAGCGAGTTTGCCCACATTTCCACATACGTATATCCACTGCTGTGCAACTCCATCGAGTCCGCCGTGTTGGGATCGCTTCCAATCTCCGTTTCCGCATCGTCGGGGATGCCATCGCCATCCGAGTCAGTAGGAGGAGAGCCTCCATCCAAATCTCCAGGCCCTCCCATCGAAGCTTCATCCGAGATGAGCTCTCCCTTCGTACCCCAGGACTTGACCTGGGCAATCAACTGCGTATCAACACTGTCGCGCACTTTGGACGCTCCCACATCTGCATCACATTAGCACTTAATATCCCCAAAGTCTTCCAGGAGGGAAAAGCATACACCCAGTCACATAGTTCACCGCTTCACCGGGGGTCATTTGATATTCAACCGCCGGGTAGTCGTACTTGGTGTCGACAAGTGCCATTCCGCCATAGTTGCTTGCGGACACACCCAGCTCGTTGCCATTCAGCGTTCCATCCCGATCAGGATCATAGTAGTTGGTTTCCACATAGCCGTGGAAATACTCGTTGCCACGTGTAAACGCCGTCACCGACGTGGAAGGGCCACTGATGAAGTAGTTTCCAATGATATTGGCATCTAAGGCACGTTAGTTGGTGAAGTAGGCGGGACGAGCTCAACTCCTTTAGGATGTACGCACAGGAATCGCCGCTAGAATCACCGGCGATATATCCGCCGCCGCCGCCCCAGTTGTACACAACATTGTTGGTAAAGTCGTTGACGCCCTTGACCTTGGGATTGCGGGTCTTGTTATCGATATAGAGATTGCGGAATAGCGACACACCGCCACCGGTCTGGATGAGACCGCCGCAAGAGTGTGTCTCCAAGCCTTGCGCGATGATGGTATTCTGGATGGTGATGTTGCTGGCGGTCCCGCTGATCGAGAACGTCTCGTCGCGACCCCATGAGACAGACACATGGTCGAAGATCATGGTACTGCCTTCGGCGATTGTGATGGCATCTTTGCCTGAATCACCGACTTTGCCCATCCGACTAGCCCCAAAAATGTCAGCTACCAATGACCCGTTTTGCAGAATTCATAGTCCCGGAAGCACAAGATACGTACATCCGAATATAGCGAACAATGGCATCGTCGGCGTTGGAAAACGACCACCCGTTCCCGTAGACGGTAATGCCATCTCCAGGAGCCGTCTGCCCGAGGATGGTCACTCGTTTCGACACGACAATGCGATCTGAGATCTCTATGACGCCTCCCACAGCAAAGACAACAATTCGATCGGTTGCGGAGACAGCATCCCGCAACGATCCCTCTCCCGAGTCGTTCAGATTGGTGACGACATATATTTCGCCCTGACGGCCGCCTACTGCGTTGGCGCCGAAACCTTCAGCGCCGGGGAAGGCAATCAAAGCGGACACCGAGTGGCAGAGGCCGATGAGGGAGAATAGAGCGATACCGAGGCGCATGTTGATGCAGCCGTTGTCAATACGTAGTACAGACAGAGTCGCAGATGAAGCATTATGTTGATATGATGGCAGGAAAGACGCGGAAAATATACAATCTGGCTATATTTAGTTCGAATCAGAAGATTTTCCGCGACATGAGACGTGCTATTGTTGTCGGCTCCGGATATATTGAGAGGGGGGTTCGCCAGCGATATTTGCCATCAACCACAGCACTGTTAGGACTCGAGTCGTCGCACCATTGGCTTGAGCGCTGATCTTTCCCTTGAACACATGGCTGAAGTGGAAATAATTGCACAAATGATACCTTGGAATGATATTGAGTTGCATAATGCACCAGATGGCATAACCGGTTGTCAGTGCTGGATCCCAAACACCAGTTGTCTGAGCGTATACTAGCAGCTTCCTGGTCTTGGCATACTCATTGGAGCTCTTTATTCATCTTAGTATTTTCAAGAATTCTGACTGTCAGCTCCGAATGAAAATAAATGGAGGGCCATGGCTATTCACTAGCTCACCACCCATCGTCCTGTAGAGCGGATAGTGTTGCATGTACACCAATACAATGGTTTCAATCGTCTCGTACCATATTAAGTATACATCCTCAAGCCCATTATTGGGAAGAGAATACAAACTGATGTCGAAGTAACGAACGTACAGGGGCTTCACGTGGACCGAGGTTGTGGTACAAACGGCGATCTCCATCCAACAACAAACTGACCAGCCTCAACCAACGATATACCAGTAGACTCAAGAAAAACCAACGAAATACTACCATAATGACGCGACCCTTTCAGATTGCCGTATCCGAAGCGGACCTGCAACGTCTCCACCAAAAGCTGGAGAGCGCAACGTTCCCAGATGAGCTCGACGACGCTGAGTGGGACATGGGTGTCCCCCTCAGCGAGATGAAACGTCTCACGGCCTACTGGCACAACGGATTCAACTGGCGCCAGAAGGAACAGGAACTAAACGAGAAGTTGTTCCAGTTTATCGTTCCTGTCTCTGTGGACGGATTCGGCGAACTGGATATCCATTGTTTACACCACACCAGCGCCAATCCGAATGCCATACCGCTGCTGTTTATCCATGGCTGTAAGCTGAAAAAAGCGCTGCACGAGACAATTGACATGCTGACATACTACAACAGGGCCGGGGAGCTTCCTCGAAGCAACCAAACTCATTCCACTGCTAACTAGCGGAGACGAGAACTACCCGGCCTTCAACCTCGTCGTGCCATCATTGCCCAATTTCGGTTTCTCCTCCGCCGTGAAGACAGTAAGCCCTGTACCCATAGTGAAGCAGTACAGTAAGCTAACGGACGACAGAAAGGATTTGGCTTGGCCCAGTATGCCGAGGCCATGCATGCCGTGATGACGACGTTGGGATATCACGAATATGGTCGGCATTCCTCTCCATCATACACCCCCCAAGACTAACATACTCATCACAGCCATCCAGGGCGGCGACTGGGGTAGTCTGATTGCCCGTGTCATGGCACACCGCTACCCCGATCACACCAAAGCGGTGCATCTGAACTTCCTTCCCGTGGCACCGCCGTACCCCTGGAAGAGCCCCCTGGTCTTCCTGCAATCGCTTCTGACAATCCCCTTCTCATCGAAGGACAAGGCCCACCTCGCCGCCACCCAGAACTATCTAACCCAAGGAAATGGGTACATGCGCCAGCAGGAAACGCGGCCGCAGACGCTCGGCTACGCGCTACAGGATAGCCCTGTGGCGCTGCTCGCATGGATCTACGACAAGCTGCACTCGTGGACGGACAGCTACACATGGACCGACGACGAAATCCTCACCTGGGTGAGTGTGTACTACTTCTCGACTGCGGGCCCGGCTGCCTCGGTCCGCATTTACTACGAAGCTGCGCAGAACTCCGGTTCGTCGGGGAGATCTCGAATGTCAACGCTCGACGTGGTGTCGAAACCGGCACCGTCGGTGGTCAAGATGGCCATCGCCCAGTTCAACCGGGAGCTGATCAAGATTCCGATGTCGTGGGCCAGCTTGCTCGGCTCGGTCCTTCGGACGAAAGAGTACGAACGCGGTGGCCATTTTGCTGCATGGGAGGTTCCGGAACTGCTGGCATACGATCTGCGGAGCTTCCTCGGGAAAAATGGCCAGGCGTACGAAGCTGTGCCTGGAAAGAATGGATACTGAGACGGTTGTATAGCCGGACTGCTTTTAGAACCGGTCGTTGGGCGATACCTGTTTCCTGACATGTAAGACTTGCTGGCAACAATGCAACCATCGTCTGCAGAGGTGAAGTTTTATTTCTCCGGAGCCGTTCATCCTATGTCCTCACTTTATCCGCCTCGTCTCGAGTGACGGTTATGTAACATCAAGTGGAGACCTTAGACGCCAGAAACTGCTTTCAACCAGCACATTCAATCAATGATAATGGGGCGTGAAATAGTGGAAAACCGAACAACATTATTAAATAGAACCAAACATAATCCCTCTAGTCCTGTCTACCCTTCAGTAGCCGCTTGGTCACCTTGTCTTTCTCTATGATGTACACTTGGGCACCCCAGCCAGAAAGAGCATCTCGGTCGACAGCACTGAGCATAGCCTGGGAGATGGTTTCGAACAGATCCTCGGGAGACTGCAGTTACCAGCGTTAGAATCCACGCCAATCGACTCCAAAAATTTGGAATATGTAGGTGACATACCAGATCCTGCTCATACAGACTCTCACAGGTACCAAACAGCTGCTCGCTAGCCGTCCCGCTCACGATGAAATCCTTTGCAAAGTCGATACACCCGATACTATCGAAACCGCAGATGAAAGGCTTCCCTGTTGTGTAGTTGATGCCCGCCACGACGGGGCTGACGAAGAAGGGTCCGAACCGTCTCTCGTAGAGCGACGAGCTGACTAGGTTGGCCAGAGTCTGGGGAGCGATGTTCCGCTCCTCGCGGAGTCGGTACATGTTGACCTTGTAGCGGAGGAGGTCCGAAACGGTGGACACGTCGGTGGCCAGACCGGTCAATCCGAGGAACGTCGAGGGGCCGTAGTTGAAGATCTTGGGGAAATTGTTCGAGACGGTCAAGGCTTGCATACCCAATCGGAGATCACAGGCAATCGCGACGCAGTCCTTGCCGACCATGGCGACGCAGGCACCGCCATCTGGGACATTCTAGGTTAGAGGTTTCGAAACGAGGGGAGAAGGTCGAATGAAGGGATGACGCACTGATATCGAATGGTGAAGCCTGAGATGATGGTCAGCTTGAGTCTGGAGGTGATCGGAGACAGGGAGATCTGGGGCACACATACCATGATGACGAGGGAGGACTGAGAATTCTAATCACAAAGAGACACAGAAGGAATAAGGGAGATCAAATGAGTAGTAAATGTGGGAGAAAGGGAGAGATGGGGGGAGGGAGACGAGGAGATGGACAAGACGAGGTGAGTTGGAGATGGAGAGATGAAGCTGTCGTGAGCTGCTGCTGCTGCGGATGGCCAGCGGACACGCGTGGAGCCGCCGAGCTTCTGCCGATGACGCTTGCGCCCGCTGCCTGTTGCGCTTCTTCCTCCTTCCATTCACCACCACCCCATCTTCTCACTCTATCTCTCTCTTTCTCGTCAGCAATACCTGCGTACTCATTATTAATAGTGTCTGAATCCACTTATTCTTCTCGTTCATACACAATCCCTACCCCCTGTCAGCAGTCTCCTTCCGACAACACCCCGCCGCATTCTCTCATACTCCCGCACCATGAGCTCACATGTCGTGGTCTTAGACTCGACTGCGCGAAGGGCGACGATCAAGACAACCCCGGGGAAATACCTGACCGATGTTCTTCAAGAAGCCTGTAAGAAGTTGGGAGTCGACCCCAATCAACATGGCCTGAAGTATGTGATTCAACGCTGGGAGACAACAACACCTCGCTGACACCTCACCAGATACAAAGGAAAGCAACTGGACCTGTCGCTTGCATTTCGTCTCTCCGGACTCTCTTCCGGCGCCAAACTGGAGTTGGTCCAACTCTCCCGGTCTCCGTCTGTCGTCACTGTTGCCCTACAATTACCCGAATCCGAAGCCCGCGGGGTACCCAACGGACGCCTTATGGACAAATTCCCTAGCACGACAACAATATGGCTGTTACTACGAAAGTTTGAGGCTGGCGTTGCAGGAACCTCTTCGACTCGAAATCTGACGGGACGGGGAGTTCCTGTCACAGGAACCAACAATGAAGCAGCAGGTCGATTGTACTACGAGACACCCGTGGTGCAGATTCTGGATAGAGAGTTGTCTACCTTCGATGACCTACAGAAATCATTGGCCCAGCTGGGATTTAACAGCGGAAACGTGCTATTGCGACTGAGCTTCCGCCGAACGGATGAACCGTTGGAGGAGGCTATGGTGAAGATCCAAGAATACTTCAAATCCTCAGAAGACGCCGCCCCTGAGTCCTCTCAACCAGCAGCAGAACTAGAGAAAACGGCGATTGAGCCATCCCAGAATGAACAGCAGACCCCAAGCTCTACGTCTGATGAAACACCAAATGCAGATATCAGTACAGAACAACCCTCCGAACTTCCAAAGTCCCCTCCATCTGCCCCGTCCGAACCGATTGAAAGCCCGACAGCCGCCTCTCGTTCCATAACGGTTTTCGCTCCTCCATCTAATGATACGCCTCAGTCCGCGCAGACTGCATACAACGAAACCGACTACGTCCCGTCGGTGGACCACGCAAAGGCGCACCAGCGCCGGCTCAACCAAGCTTCTCAAAACAAACGGCTCCTCAGTGACGCGGAGATAGCCAAAAAGGCTGCCGCCGAGGAGGAGCGACTGGCGGGGATTAAGGAGGTTGATGTCAAAGTTCGCCTTCCGGACCAAAGCCAGATTGTCGCAAAGTTCGGACAGGAAGATACGGGAAAGTCTCTCTATGACTTTGTACGGAGCTGTCTGGCTGAGCCCTTTGCCCGGGAGAAGTTCAGCATCACTCACTTTCCTACTGGCGGTCCAGGCTCAAGCAGCAAAAGAATGCTAAATGTGGTCCCAGACTCCGACCAAAGTCTTCTGATCAAAGACTTGGGGCTGGCTGGACGAGTCCTTGTCAACTTCTCCTGGAACGAGGATACTTCTCTGGCGGCTCGAGAGAGTCGATCGGGGCTCCTGAGACAAGAACTGCGAACCCAAGCCCAGGAAATTAAGGTCGAGCAACCCCCGGATGTGATGGACACCTCTCCGGATACAACACAGGCGAAGCCAGAATCTTCGCGACAAGGAGAGAAATCCGGAGCACGCAAAAGCGGCGCACTACCAAAGTGGTTGAAACTGCCTGGGAAGAAATAAGCATGTCCTCCGCTCAGATGGTTTAACGCTGGTATTGCTGGTATTGGCGTCGAGCGATAGGGATAGAATTGAGTTCTGACGAAGCAATGAAACAAATTCCCTAAATTCTACTCTAGAACCGTATACCATTAAGTAGCTAGACAGACTGAAGTTATTGTGACGGTAGCGATTACCTCGTTGATAGCGTCGATGTTTACGGCCATGTTGACCTACAATTACTCCCAACGCAGGACATTAAAACGTTCTTTGTAAACCAATCCCAGTGGTATTGCATTAGATTCAAAGCGAACCATTTATCATTTTTTGTCCACTTGTCCACGCCTATGGAATCGAACCCCCTTCCTACTGTCTGAGGAGAGACGAGAGAGACAGATCTAACAGAAATGCCATTTGATTTCCCTCGCTTTATGGACAGAGATCCCCCCAACACGCCATGCCAGCAGTCACCGACTCACTTCATTCGTTTCGTTATCTCGTTCTTTTGATTTGGCTAATAGGAGAGAAGAACTTTGACGGAGAGGAAGGAGAAATTTAGTGAGCACCCACACGGCGGGCCTCGGCGATGACACGCTGCATGTCCTCAACCTTGCGCTTGCCACGGGTGAAGGTACCGAGCTGTAGGCAATTGAGTTAGTAGAGTTCGGATACAGTGCGAAGGGGCGGAAGGTGGGAGTGTCGGGCGTCGTCTCTGGTCGGTGACTTCGGGGTTGGAGTATGCTATGTAATAATGATACTCCACGCCAGGCAATGGGACAAGCCCATCTCCAGGCCCTCCAGATAATCTCGAATACCAGAGCGACAAGCTACACCACTTCCCGCCGAGGGTATAAGAACAGATCGGGTGAACGTACTCTCTTCTTGGCGAGCTTACGAGCGCGCTTGTCCTGAGTGTTTCTCAGGAGTTCGATGATACGACGCTCATAGGGGGCAAGGCCGACAACCTCACGGGCGATCTCGCGGACGAAGGCAGTGCGGCGGGAAGACTGGCCCTTGGTCCGGCTGATGCGGTTCTTGGGGGTCTGGAAGGGGGTGGTTTTCTGTATCGCAAATATTCGTCAGTCTGAAATCTTGGAGCAGCGCGGATGGAAAGAATCGATCGGATCTGTCGTCTAAAGGAAGTCGAGCGGATTATCGATGGTGATTGCGTTCATCTTGTCTGATTGTCGTCCATCGCATTGTTCAATTTTTCCGTTTCCTCAGATGAAAATTTCATCCTCGCCGTTCCCATCTGCATGTCGACGTTCAAATCCTCCTCGAGCGTGTCCTCGATCATGGAAATAAATTTCGCCTTCGGTTTCCTCCATCCGCAGAATATTCTTCACCATCAACGATATCCGCTCGACTTCTTCCGACGATTCCGATTCTTTCTTGACATCAAACAGGGAGCGAGGGAGACCTACGTGGCCCTTGTTCAAGCCGACCACGATTCCGGAGCGTTCTTGCGCCATGTCGACGGTTGGGACTGGGTTGGCGACGACGTTGGTTGCTGAGGGAGTTGTCGAGTCGAAGGGCGTCTCGGTGCGGATGGAATCGCGATGGAGTCGTCTGGATTTTGGTTGGCTAAGCGGGCAGTGCGTAGCGAGTCTTAGGGCTTAGGGCTGGTCCTGATCTGGTTAGAGTTTCGATGCCTGAGGTGTGGATAACTATGGAGCTTTCCCAAAACGGATTAGTCTCTTTATCTTACTATGTATATGGACAACACCATACTCATGATATTGATGATAGCTCAACATGTCTGTATGTAGGTATATGAAAACGTCGCTATATATCAGGCATCTACCAGTGTTCTATTGCCTTCTATAGCTCTAGAAACATGAACCGTGTCGCACTTCGTGTGCTACTCAACTGGAAGCCGAATGACATGTTTGATGGTCGACTACAACAATTAGCGTGTAGAACGACTGCAAAGAATGAATAGACTGACCTGCTGCGATGCCAATTGCTGCATGACATCGGATATCCTGTCCAGAGTAGTCACCTCAACCTGCGGCACAACAACCCTCCGCTGCACAAATCGTACAGCCTCAGCAATATCACCTTTGGACCCAACCATGGACCCAACCACACGGATGCCCTTATCGATGAACAAGAGCGGATGAAACCGCACGGCCTGCGATGGCGGGGGGATCCCCACGCAGACCAGCGTCCCAAAAGGCGCCAACATACCCAGCGCGTCTTGATATGCCTGCGCCGATCCAGCCGCCACAAGCACTGCGCCCGCGCCTTGATCTTCCGTGAGAGCCATGACGCCGGCAGCAACATCCTCCTCTCCAGTGACGTCCAGATAAGCCTCCGCTCCGAGACGCATACAACTCTCTCTCTTGTTCGCCCCCGCATCAACAGCAACAACTCTGTACCCCATGGCGCAAGCATACTGAATCGCCAGCGAGCCCACTCCTCCCCCGGCCCCAGAAACCACCACCCACTGCCCGGGAACCGCACAGCACTCCTTGAGCGCCTTGTACGCCGTGACCCCGGCACACATGATCGGCGCGAGGTGTTCGTCCGGCGGCCCCTCCGGGAGACGGATCAGGTGTCGAAACGGGACAACCGTGTACTGCGCGAATGTGCCGTCGACCACTCGTCCCGAGTGCATCTGTTTTTCGCAGCGGACTTCGCCGCCATCACGGAGACACATCGCGCAGTCGCCGCAGCTGTCCCGCACCCAGGACACGCCGACGCGCTGCCCAATTGCGACTGAGGATTCGGGGAGTGCGGATCCCCTCTTCACGACGCGGCCGATGCCCTCATGGCCCAGAATGCGGCGGCATGGGCCTAGCTTCCCGCTTGCTAGACCTAGGTCTGTTCCACAGACGCCGGTTACGGATAGCTTGACCAGGAGGTCGGTGGGACCGAGCTTCGGGAGGGATGTTTCGATTATCTCGAAGCGTGGCTCGCCTCCTTCCTGGGAGGTTGTTAGTATGTCCGTCAGGTTGGTGAGGGGCAGTGCGTACCAAGAGTGCTGCGACTTTGTGACAGGCTGGGTTGGTCATGACGATATCAAGAGCACAGCTAGTTCCGAGAGTTAATATCAAGACGCATTTGGGCCTTGTCCAGAGTGGTCACTGTTGTCATGAAAATGGAGGGCCACAGTCGGGGTAACAGCGGATGGCGACAGTGGGGAAATGCATTGCTCACATCCGAGAGTCTATCAACTGCTGATTGTATACAGGAACAAGAATTAAGATAATTACACAATGGCATTCAAGCTCCCTCGAGTAACCATATCAACACTATGTGCAGCATATAATATGTCCAAAGATGAGTTATTCACAAAGTACTTTACCTCTTATCACGGCGGCCCGGCGCCGATTCTATATCCACCTCGACAATCTTGAGGATTCCCTGGCGCGGACCACCTCCTCCATCTGCAATTTCGCCTCCATCTACCAACTTATCGCCATCATCTCCGCCTCTAGCCCCTGACCTTGTATAGCAAAGCCCTTGGAACACATCTCCAAGCCTCGGCTCTGGCTCCCGCTCCCACGGACTGCTGTCGCACGGGTACAACTCCGTGTCACTATCGTTCGACTGCTTCGTCTGTCGGGTAGGATGCGACCGCGGGGAGAAGTCCAGCGCCTTGAGCGTGCTGTGGCGAGAGCCCCGTTCGGATAGTATCGTTCTGGTTTTCTGGAAGAAGAGTCGGAACACCGACGGGACCGCGGGGAGACAACTCGCAACGATTCCGGATGTGATTTCGGCCGTTCTATACATTTGCGTCAGCTGTATGCTCTCCTTGCGCAGCGTGAAGATGATTCCTTACGTCCACAGAAACTCGGGAAACCAGTCGAATGTCTTGTCGCGCATGGACTCGTTCGAGACACTAGCTACCAGACGCATGATGCTTGATACGCAGCCACTGGTTTCGATCGCATGAGTATTATGAGGTGAGACTCTTGGAAAGGACACGTACAAAGCACCAGCGGCAAATACAGCCGAGGTGGCCAGTTTCTTTGTGAGCTTCATCTGCAACCGCCACACGCATGCGATGGGCAGAAGTAAGATGATAAAATCCGACAGCACATTGAACACCGCTGCCGTCATTATCAGACTGTTGATGTTAACACATATCCCCGGGGTACCCCGATCCCAGATTTTGGATCGAGGGGTGCACTCGAAGATCTTGACGATCGTGTTGGCCGTGTAGAAAAGGAGGTTCACCCAGATGAGGACCTGGATGAAAATATGCGTTTTGCTTCTAGTCGACGGGGCAAAGATCCGCAGATAGAGCAGGAAGATGGATAGTTTAGTGACAAAGATGATTGGTCCGTAGATAATCTGTGAGACGTTTGCGAGCTGGGTCGCAGTGTTAGCATCACTTCGGCCGGCTTGTACAACGGGCGACGGCACTGCCATACCTTGGAGAACTCTTGCAGGTCTGTTGCGTTCACCTCCCACTGGTGGTATCCGTTGCCATGTCTGTCGGCTTCAAAGCTGACAATCGCATAGACGATCAGACCCAGCTGCATCTGGTTATCAGCTATACCTTCTGGGACAGCAAGTATCAGTTAATCACTTACCCATGCGAGGACACAGGTGACTGCGAACGTCGGTCAGTAAAGCGGTCTTTGTAAAGTTCATGCACACGTACAGTCTTCCCATCCGGGGGATTTGGTTATCAACAATTTCGTGTACAGTCGCATACCGACGCAGAAAGTGCTGATGGCTAGGCATACTGACTGGGTGATGATATCCAATGGCTGCAACGGGTGCTGCCCAGGCTCTGTAGTGAGCGCCATTCTGAATGAGTTTTGATTTCATTGAATGATCAAGAACCATGCTCGCTGGAAGATGGAGGGGACATGCGCAGATATAGATCAAGGGCTGAACCCCGAATTTGATACATCGGTTTCCACTTCGGTATCAGAAAGTTAAAGCCCCGGCATTGTTGCAGGAACACCTGCGCACAGTGACTGGTCTATTTTGCGGTCCCGTGTCTTGGTAGATTGTAAAAAGCCGGATCCAAGCTAGTATGACGGTCGTGAGTCTGATCTCCCACGGACGGGAGACGACATGAGGGTCCGCGGGTCTTATGGGACGCCAGGAGAGCAATTCGGCTGGTTGCTCGAGAGTGGGAATCATCCTGGCAGCAACATTGTGCAACTCGACACTTCCAGAGTGACACGGGATTGACGATGATGGTCAATCGTGGGGTGTGATAGGAAAATAAAGAGCCCACGCAAGGGACGATGGCGTCGGGGATTTCGAGAACGTCGGGATCTCGATCGGCCTTGCAGAACAGACCCCTCTGATCGGCGTGAACCAGATGAACGCCAATTTCTTTCTTTTTCGATGCATAAAATCAACCAATCCCTTAGTTCCCGATCCTTCTTACGAATCTCTGACTCGCGTCCAGTGTGGTTATGCGAGAATCTATGTTGGATATTGGCGGAATGCGATCTACACTAGCCCCCCCTCCTCCTCACAGACGAACCCCCAACACGCCTCCAAGCGCCTCTTCCCAGCTTTCCATCAACTCGCCGCAGAACATCTCCAGCGCTGACATGTCAAAGATCTTGTCCAACTCTGCCCGCAACTGTGGGCCATCTTCTCCGTGGCCCACACCGGCCACCACCAGGTCTACCAGGGCTCCAAGAACTCCGGATTCTGACAGGCGGGACTTGAATACCCGGCTGTTCGCGCGGATGCTTTCCGTGAGCTGGTTCGCAGAGTTGACCAGTCGTTCCACGCGCTCCTTGGGCAGCTTGGCGGATTTGGAGCCCTTCTTCAAGGCGATGGATGATATCGACGCCACCGCCTTGAGTGATTCGAGCGCAACGTAGAGAGCATGGAAGGTTTTCCAGGTTGGCGCAATGGGCGCGTCGGGCCGCAAGAAAATACCCGTCTGCGAAGCGAGAGACGAGATCTTTGCATCATCCATGGCGACTTCCTTTGTTTTGGACTCAAGCCAATCCTGCACCTCGGCAAGGCAGTCCTCGGCCTGGTGCGAGGAAACCGACTTGGACCCACCCAGATAGCAGACCACTTTCAAGAGGTTGAGGTTGACCTTGACGCTTTCAATTTCTGAAGCCGTCATCTCAGAGGCTGCATCAGAATCTATAATATCCTCCAGGCGCGGCAACTCTAAATCGGAAGGCACTGGCTTCTGTAGAGACAAGCCCTTCAGAACGCCAAACAATCGGTCGGTGATTCTGGCTGACTTCACCCATTGTTCCTATATTTGGTTAGCAAGCGTAAGGATAGACAGGAGACAAAGGTAGAGCTGCTCACCCGAGGAAGAGGTCCTAAGCGCATCAGCTCCTCGAAAGTCGGCTGCCCGGGAGCTTCACAATTCATGAATGCGTCAAACGCACGTTGGTCAGCCAGAGGAGACGTGTCTTCAGCTATGACTTGCAGTCAGTATGGGGTTCAGAACTTGGGGATTCTTATCTTACCGATGGAATCATAGCGGCCCATCGGGTCTCCGCCGGCCAGTCTGTGTATCCGCTTCACATCCAAGGCCCACATTCTGCGGCAAATGCTTTGACTCAGACGTCTCTGGAGCTCAATAGTGCCTTCAATGTTCACGTAGCTACCAAGGTCCAAGCCGCTTGATCGGTGCCTGACGGTCCTGATGTCCGCGCTCTGGTAGAAACTGAGAGCCTGTACAAAGGCAGACTGGGGGTTAAAGTCTTTGTATTCGGCAAAATCGACTGGTGGTGCAGAGTGAGGATGGATGGTTGCGAGACGTGTGAAGAGGTTGTGAGCCACAGTCTCATACTGCATTTGTTTCACTGATAGCTTGCTGAAGGTTTTCAGGGCTAGAGAGCCTGCTCCCAGGCGGAGATAGATCCTTACAAGGAGCAGTAATGCCTGGTAATTGTGAGGAGAGTCGACTAGCAGGCGCTCCAGTATAGCTGCTGCGCGGATAAGACTGGAGTCCGGGATATCGCCCTGGCGACCGACGACCCAGGTTCCACTAAACCGCATGAGGGCCATTGCTGCAAGCAAGCACAGGTCGTCGCTAGGCTGGCTTTCGATTGTAGATGGTGCTTCGCTCTTCTCAGGACGGCCAGTCTCACGGTAGATCTGTAGACAACGAGAGACGAAGTCCTCTACCTTCGACTTGGAGGCGTTGCTTTCGTCACCCGACAGGAGTAAACAGTATTCAAGCTTTAGCGCGTTGATCGTCGAAACGCCCTTGTGAGGGTCGCTCTTTTCGCTCTTTCTCTACAACAAAGGTCAGCATCCAACAAGTCCTTAGGTCTTTCCCACATACCTCTTTTTCGTCTTGGCTCTTCGACGCATACTCGATAAACTTAGAGACCGAAGCCTTGTCTAACTTGGCCAGGTATCTCAGTAGATCACCGAAGCAATAAAGTTTGTTCTGGTTGAGGTCGAAATATTCCTGGCAGGCAGACACCAGCTCCTCTTCCTCCACAGTTCCTGATTCGAAACGCCAGTGAAGGAGGTCCAAGCGAGCCAATTGAGCATTCCGAGATTTCGGCTCCGACTGGATGAAATCAGCAACGAATTTTTGAACCTCCGAAGTCGTCCTTCGATACCAGTTAGTAGCCCTTCACCGTACGCTTTCCGTCCAAAGTGACTTACTCCGGGGTATTCAAGTTTCGAGTAGCATTGACAAGTAGACTCCAGACAGCCCAGTCATCCCGCTCCTGGAGATCCTTCCTTTCGGCATCATTGGTGGGAATCGCAAGTAATGTCTTCGTATAAGACAGTCCTTCAGTCCACATCTGTGCCTTTTCCAGGTTGGCAAGTTTCACTCCAACAAACGTCCAGTCATTTTGAATGAGCCGCGACGTGATGCCCAGGTTCTCGCTGTCGAGGATCTTGACAACTTCGGCATGACGGCCTTGCGACTCAAATATCTTAACAAGCAGCAACAGCTCCTCGGAGGATTGAATAGCTCTGGGAGGGCTCAGCAACTCTTTCTGTATGCAAGCATAAACCATCACCACAATGTTCCCAGAAGTCATAAGACGCAGTAAACAAAAGAACCACTCTTGATGGAGGGAATCAACATACCGGATCAGAAGGCACGTTTTCGGCCGCTTTCGAGACCATGCGATAAGCCAATGTTCCAAAGAGTTTACGGTCCATTTCCGAGGCGGTTTCGTCGGCCGCAACGAGGTAGCTGAGGAAGATCGCCCAGAGATGGTACTTCCGTTGCTTAGGGAAATTGTTCTGCAGGGTCATCGCCGCCTATTATCCATAAACAATCCGCCGGTTAGTTCAGCCTTTCCCTCAATCAATGTACTTGTAGCCCAACCGACGAACCTTCTGCGCCGACTTCCAATCGTCTCCTTCGAACGCATATGTGAACCATCTCAGCTGAAGATCCAGGTCCTGCGACTTGGCCTTGGCAGCCTTCTCCCAGATGTTCCGCATTGTTTCCTCTTGGCCTCCCATTTTCTGTAGAGTCTGGTAAAGGATGTCGAGGGTGTCGAGATCTGTCGTGGGAGGCTCGGCGTTGCACAATTCGAGCGTCTCAGCGATTCCACGCTGGCGATGGGTGTCGTCGGCATGGCGGAAGAGGATATGAGCTTTCCATGCCTGGAGAATGTCAAGTCAGCTACTATGTCCGGAACTACGGGGTGCAGTATAGACACCTACTTTCAGAAACCTCGTGTTCTCTCCTTTCTTGATGCGTTTATCAATCAGCTGCAGCGCCTGCTTAAGATTCTGCCCGTCAATGGCATCTTGAATCTGCTTGTTCCGCCGATAGAACACGGCGTCATTGGTGGACATGGTGGAGGGGGATGGATTTCGGTTGAGGAGATTGGGATCGGTAAGAGACAGGCGCGTATGCTGCGCGATTCAGCACAGCACACGGGGTGCGGAGAAGATGATATGTCGAGGAGATAAGGACGACAGTAGTACGGAGGGCGTACTGTCGACTGAAATCCAGCAACTCAATTCACGATTCCTTCGATCGGCACAACTACGATTGCGATGGTTTTTTGTTCGGCGGGGAAGTCCCTCTGGGAAGGCGGTGAACATTGATGTCACTCAGGAACCGCAGCTATAAAAAGGGAAATCCGAAGTAGTACTTGGCTATCATACGTCGCTTTGGAAAGGAGTATCGAGAATAAGAGAATGACACAGAGATGAGACAATGATTCGGGGGATGATGGATGGTTCACTCTCCACCTCTGACGATACTAACTACACGGTCCAAACATGAATGTCTCGATCTCTTGAGGCATCAGTTAGACATATATTTTGAGCAACACTCTACCTCCACGAAAAATACCGTGTCGTATCGAGTGATTGAAACTCCAGGCAGCTCTACCAGAACAATAAGAAGGTGGTAGGTGACGATAGATAATACACACACACAGAAAGATCAAACATCAACCATGGGAGATAGTATACAACACCGGCAAACTCCGGAAAATCCAAATTTTGAACATAACAAACGCTCATTATGCAGACCGAGAATATCCAGTAGAAATCATCACTGTCAAGTAGGATGGCTGGCGGGAGGTAGCTCGTGACCAGCGTGTCCAGGACTTCCAGCTCTCACCAAGTGCTTCCGAGTGCGAAGATTTTGCAATGGCGAACAATCTGAGAACAAAGGTTGAACCAAGCTCTATGCTTTCTTGGGCCAATTTTCCAACGTCGATGCAGGAGCATGTCCGAGACAACGCACAGGTCTGGTACATTGTGGTTCTTCGACCAACAGCTGCGTGCACCCTCATGAAGCTTTAGCACTTTAAGTGCTAGGTAATTTGCACTACCAGCAATCTACCGGGCGAGCTTTTTCTGAGTCAACTATGACAGTGTTAGCATATGTGGTACATATCAAGGCTTTCGCAAGCGAGTTCAGGAGAACAGTCATACCCATTGTTTCTTGCAGTCGCGATAAGCTCTGGAAGTACCAGTCAGCTTGTAATCCTGAGAGAGGACGCGTATAATATACAATAGGGACATACAGCAGTCAGGCATTGCTGCAAACACTGTTGTACGCATTCCAAAGACGGGTCAGAGGATTTCACTCACTGGAAATAATCGCCGCACATTTCCTTGTCAAAGCCATTCCGCTTCATGCATTTCAGGCTGCGGTCAGCAAAATCCTGGCAAGGATCATAATACTCGCTTGCACTTTTGCTATATTCAGGAGAAATGTATCGTTAGTAAAGGTGTACGTAAAGTCATCATGAAGCCATTAACGAGTCAAGTAGGAAGAGACCCGAAACCATATACCAAACCTCCCTCGATAGCAAAATAGAAAAACAGGACACTAATTGGGAAATGGAACAAGGTATCCCTACCTGGTGAATTTACGCTCCACCTTTCCCCAGGCGTTAGGGTGATCATCAGGGTTGGTGGACTGGGGCTGCTGCTCTGATTGGGAGGACATGATGTCTGGAGTGCTGGGAGTACACGTGAGGGATGAAAACAAGGAATTGTAGTTCATCAGCCACCCTCGTATAGCAGTTGGGAAAAAGAAGTCCGTGGCTTTGATAGAAACCAGCCAACCTTCCGGAAGCTGAGGAAATTCCCGGCCGGTCTTGGCACGGAGAGCCTTAAGTTGGCTTTCCCGTCCGTCAACGACTCCACAACAAACCATCGAGAATATACCTACAGAACGATCGCGCATGGTACTATCGATTTAATGGGCTCCTTTGAGGTATTCGTACCTCAAGCCCTCCCCCTTCTTGTTCCATCCTGTTTATCTTACCCTTTCCTTGTTCTCCTGCAGATATTCTCCACTCAGGAAAGAGCCGAATTACAGGTACTCACATCCTCGAGGAGAACCAGGTAGTGGGTTCAGAATACTTAAACATACTTGCCTCTCTTAAAGAAGGAGTCGTGCCCACCGTCATAAAGCTAAGGTAGTTACAGTAGCTCGCGGTTGATAGGGCCACAGTATAAGTGCAGGCGTCAGCGGTGATTTTACAAGGACGGTATATCGAGCACAAAGCTCTTCAGGCACTGGGTTTGACGGAAAAGATCATGATGGTGACTTCATTCCGGCCACGCTCATCACTTTTTTGAAGGATGACACAGTCCTTACCACAGTCCGTCCTCTCTCCGATCTAGGTGAATTGTACTGTCAGTTTGCCGCGTATCAATTTGAGAACCTTCAGGATCGGTTCCGCGACGTCAACGAATCCATGCATACTCGGAGGTGCGAAAATAGTTATCTCGATACTCTCTGCCTGAAACGATTTATCCGGGAACAGATTGTACTGCAGCACATGGACAAGGAGATTGTCGAAGATGAGAAAGTCGAGAAAGGAGTGATCGGCGGTGGTCATTCAGGTTCCGGCACTTTCACGCTGCGGGGGCATTTCATTTAGAATCCATTGCATTTGAGAGTTAAGTGTTCATCAGTACTGAGGCTTGTAGCACTGCGTCAAACAGATCCATGGATGTAGTACAATACTTCGTAGACCGTTTGGTGTTTGTCTGGTTTGCGTTGATCCTTCCCAAAAAGGCAAGAACGGACTCGGAAGGATTTTCGGGCGGTCGAGCTGTCTCGGCCAATCAGCTCCAGCGATGCGCGGAAGGGCGACCGCCCTCCATCCAAATGCTTGGAGCAGTCAAGTTCGTTGTGTTGAACCAACCTCATCTCTCCCCCGTCTCACCCTCTTCCTTTCTTCTGGGCCCCGTTGAGTTCAGGTCTACCTCCTCTACTCTACCTGTCGAGTTCATCCTCCGCCTTTTAGCTCTACCGCACGACACGCTCTCCATCCCCCACCATACACCTTTATCTCGAACCGCCTGGATCCCGCCATGCCAACAGTTCTATCGATATCGTCGTTCTGACCGAATCTTGATCTGTTGCCGCCACCACCGCGCGTGGCACTCCTGCCAAAGTTGGATCAACCAGTGAAATTCCTGTTCGCAGCCGAATTCTACTTCCTCCGTTGCCAACAAATTCCCTGCGTTTCCCCGACTTTGTCCACTATATCTTAGCAAATGTCGAAGGCTCACCCTGCTGGAGTGTCGGCTCGCAGGGACACCAACAACACAAGCAAGCCGAAAACGAATAATGGATTAGGGGTGGACGCATCTGGCGTAAGTGGATATACCGTGCTATATTTTACAACAGCGGTGCTGAAAGATATCGCGTCTAGCTTAGCGAAACGTTACAAGGACATGTGGATGATATTCGCACGCTTCTACAATGTGGTATCTGCATTCGCCCCCTCTATGAACCTTTCACAATTGCCTGCGGGCACACCTTTTGCTATAGTGTTAGTATTACCTATCTCTGTGAACTTTCTGCGGAGTAGTGGCTGAACTTTTATCTCCTAGTGTTTGACATCATGGTTCGCTGGTGGAAGATCCAACAAAACGTGTCCCGATTGCCGGGCACCGGTCAAGTCACAACCTGCGCCCGCTTATCTGGTGAGTCCTTGAAATCGTGCGGTCCTGTATGATACATTTTCTGACGCAATCCTCGCAGATCCGTACCCTTGTTCAGCTGTTTACGAGTCGCGCAGAGCTTCTGGATAAGGGAGAAACGACGGCGGAGCACGCTAACCACCAACGTGAAGAAGCGGAGAAAGTAGACACGGATAAGAAAAATACACACCCGAGGGAAGGAGGCTTGTTTCGCGGCACATTCAGTAAAGCGAGAGCACCACCTCCACAACCGATCGTCGACCTGGAAGATAACGTTGTTCGATGTCCGCACTGTTCGTGGGAACTCGAAGAGGGGACCGACTGCACGCAATGTGGATATCAACAGGACATGGACTCCTTCACAGGAGAGTCGGATTATATGGACGAAGACGATATGCTGTCTGAAATGACGGATTACATGGATGATGAATATGAGGACGCCTTTGGGGACGTCGATGTGGACGACTTTTGGGGTGATCTGCCCGACGCATTCCCTGTCGAGTTGGCGTCCCTTTGGGGTGTCCATGGTATCCATCGCCATAACGGCTATCCGTCCAGGCCACAGTTGCCATACGCTCATGCAGGTTATGATGACTGGCCTTCACTGCGGGCTGCAATGCATGATAGCTTGGATGAGGAAGAGGAGGAAGGTGAGGATGAGGACGAAGACGATGGAGAGATGGACTCTTTTATTGACGACGATTCGCATCTTGGCGAGGGCGATTACTCTGAATCGGACCGATCTACAGTTGTTGGGGCCCACGAATACAGTATGCCCGACCATAGTGACGATCACGCCGCAGCTCCTTACCCACCATCAATTTCCGATTCCTACATCAGTTCCGAAATTACGGCAACTGATGGGGAGGGGGTAGACGAGGACGAGGACGAGGACGAAGATCCAGACGACGATAGCGACGAGGATGGCGATGATGATGATGACGACGACGAGCCAGTACGCCCAGCGGTGGGTGGCAATCGGCGTCGTCGATTACCGTCGTATCAAGTGGTCTCCAGCTCTCCGGCATTCGATACTTTGCCATCCAGAAATGCATCCTTTTCTCTCTCACATTCAGCATCGTCTCGCCTGGATAGACGCCCACAACAGACGCCTTCCGCGGGCACGTCTGTATCAACTGCGATACATGTCGATGATGAGTCCGACGAAGGACCTATCGGCCCTGTGAGAAGAACAAGGGAGAGAGGAAATTGCCGGCGAAGAATCTACTAAACACCGCTTGCCTCTTCCCTCGCGTTTATCTACCTGTTGGATTGTTTCATCCGATTCAGGCTGGCGTGAGTCAACGAAAACAATGTTAACAGTATTCCCTACGGCCGTTTCTCTTAAATGTTAACTTAGCTGTCTTCTGTTTTATCTCTTCCCGACGATATCATGAAATGACATGGAAGAGGGCTTTTTGACCGTTCTTCGACACAATATCCGGTCTTCTGTTCGCTCCAAAAAAAAAAATCTCCAATACCCCAGCGCAGTTTTCTGTCATGGCTTTTCTATGCCTTTAATCCATGTATTTAGCCTAGCGAAAGACCGATATCCCATTATTCTAATGAATACATGTATGATGAGACTGGTTTTCTGATAGTGATGGGTGTGACTACAAGGTACCTAGGAACATTTGATGCAGGTGACAGGGGAAAGAGAATTGTGATAGGAGATCTCTCCGCTCATTCACCCGCAGCCTCTCTGACTCACTTTCCTGAGAAAGGTGACTTTTGACTTCCTGTTTATCCTCCGGAATATGTTTGGGTATAGAAGGCGATCCTGAACCCGACCTGGAAAAGCTTCGACTTTGGTGAATATCCAGGCTTCTTTCCGGTATCACTAAAAACCACACTTTCCTCCTGACGCCACGACGACGAAAGTTCCATGCGGAGCTGGACATATTAGTAGCTAAAAATAGCGCAGTCCCCGAACGACATTCCGTCAGATCCGACGTGCTACAGAGTAAGCCATAAAGGAGTGGAGGGCTGACCTGCTGGCTGACCCGTCATCTTCCTTCCTCCCAGCACCCCACGGATGAAACCGAGTCACAATGTCTCAGTGGGCCTCCAGCTCCTCTAGCGGAAACTCTCGGTTCACCTTCGTGTCGGGGTACGTCCAGTCGGAAGCTCGAAGTCACGCCATGCGGGAGCATTGGAAGCATCGGCACAAGCGCAACCAACAGGCAAAGTCGGATCGCGGCAAGAAAGTATCTCGGAATCTGCTCCCCCGTTTGACGAGTGGCGATGGGTCCTCGTTGGCGAAAGCACAGCCGGGTCCCGCGGAGATAGAGAAGGAGGAAAAGAGAAAGAACGGCACTGTCAGGACCGGGATCCCTGCCCAGTTGTTGTGCGGGATGAGCTATGCGCTGGCGAGCTCGAGGCCGGACCCATTTCAGACTTGTCCGATTCATCTGACAAGCCAGCATCAGCGACTACTGCATCATTGTGCGCAAGGCGTTGTGCTATTGCTGCTTGTGGACGTGCGAGTTGGCTGACGAATCGCAGGGATTGGCACCCATGCCGCGATGATGTTCGAGGAGCTGGATGTTACCGAGTTTAATCCGATGAGAGATGTTTGGTTCCCGCTAGACCTTTCGAATGCAGCCTCTTTCAATTGCATAATGGCGCATTCGGCTGCACACTTGGCTCATCTGTATACTGGCTCCCCACCGCGGCGCGGGATGATTTCTTCGGACGCGCTCAAATATAAAATCGAGGCCGTTAAAATCTTACGCATTTGGCTTGCTGACCCTGCGAGGGCGCTCTGTGATGATTCCTTTGCTGCTACTGTCCGTCTCCTCACATTTGAAGTATGTTTACCGGGGACAAGCGGTTCCAGGCAATTAGCTGATTCCTTAGCGATACTGGGGCACAGTGGCCGATTGGAAAATCCACCGAGATGGTCTCCAGCGGATGGTTGAGGCCAAAGGCGGAGTTCAGGCCCTGCGCGAGAACTGGCGCCTGGAACTCGTTGTTTACCTGTGCGTGCAGCTGACGAGGAGTGAGGTGTGATACTGACTGGTTTAGCGTCTCATTAATGTCATGGCCCTCGTGGCTCGAACCCACAAACAACCTCGACCAGATATCTCGCCCTCTGACTTCGTCATCAATTCCCCAGCCTCGTTTGTTCCCTGATGTGCAGAAGGTTCGTTCTCTTTGGTTGATCTCGTTTATCCAGGACATGAGAACATTCATGGGGTCTTTTCACTCCATGGAATTCGCGTCATACCCTACTATCTATTCCGCAGTCGGATTCCTGCGTCAAGAATATATACATTCTCTTGCAGCTTTTCCCCCCAATCCGCACACGACAGAATTAGAAGACGACGTACTGCGATGTTTATTCTCCATCACTATTCTCATACAGGAGTCAACTTCGCTCTTATCTGATGACAGTGGGGTAAAAACTGTGGTGGATACACTCGCTGAACTGGAGCTCTTCCTCCGGGATTCTCAAGACACGTGGGGCAATTCGGTCCAGAAACTGCGCTCTATTCTATATGGGAGCTTGACCCTGCTGTTCGAGGATGGCACATTCAAGGTCGATTATGTTACGGACCTGGTGCAAGTTCTCGGCACCTTGAGTGTAGAAGCGCGCCAGGGGGTGGGCAAATGTCTTCTCAATTTGCTTTACTTGGTGGGTAATAAGGATCATACCTTGTGGATGGATGACGGATGGACGCCGGATTCGCTTCTATCGTCGATGCACGGGCATTAAGCATCGCCCTATATCTAGTGCCTTATACCTTATCTATAGGATTGCCTTTTTAGGTATTGACACGACCCACCTCTATGCACCTGGTTGGGCGAATACCACTACCAGATCTGGTCTGGTGGAATGAGTGGGGACATCGGATCCACCAGCAAAGCTTCACCACTTGGACTGTCGTACTAACTATTTCCCAATATCACAGTTCCATTCTGCACTGTCTGTCGCTGGAGCCAGGGAACGTGCAATCCCCTTTTATGGAAAGACTATGGAACCAGTGGGATTCTCCGTAAGGGTCAGGTCCTCGCCTTCAAAATGATCTTTTGAGGTCCAGATTGGAATCAGCTACATTGCGTTGAACTTTGGAAGTCATGGGCTTGCATATAAAAGATGCCTCAGTCTCAGACAAGTTTCTCTCACATCGACTACCCTCAACTCATACAAGAAGCTTGCTTACTTTGAACACACTGCATCCGTCATGTCTGTCCAGGACAGCGCCAGATTTGACTTCATTGTTGTTGGCGGTGGTACGGCCGGCAACGTCGTCGCCGGCCGACTGGCTGAGAGCCCCGAGGTTAGCATCCTAGTCGTTGAGGCTGGTGTTGCCAACTCCAAGGACCTTGAGGAAATCCGTACCCCGTCCAACGCCATGGAGCTGCGTGGTAGCCAGTATGACTGGGCCTACAAAACCACCATAGTCAAGCGCGACGATTACGAGAGAGTTGAGAAACCCAACACTCGTGGTAAGGCCCTCGGGGGCAGTTCGTGCCTCAATTACTTCTCTTGGGTTCCTGGATCCAAGGGGACCTTCGACATGTGGGAGGAGTACGGAGGAACGGAGTGGACCTGGGATATGCTGGTGCCGTACCTGCGCAAGAGTGCCACATACTACGACGATGACAAGGTATACTCGCCAGACCTGATAAAGATCGGGACAGGCGGGCCTATCCCCATTGCGCACTCGGAATTGATTCCTGAAATGCAGCCGTTCCGGGATCTCCTCACCAGGGCATGGAAATCCACCGGCCAGCCGATCACCGAGAACATCTTCGACGGCGAAATGATTGGCCTTACCTACAGCGTCAACTCGATCTACAAGGGCCGCCGGTCAGGCAGTTTCCTCTGCGTCGCCGATAAACCAAACATCACCATTCTGTCCCAGGCGCACTCCAAGAACCTCATTGTCGACGCCGGAGACAAAACATGCAAGGGTGTGACCGTCATCACATCCTCTGGCCAGGAACTCAACCTCTTTGCCACCCGCGAAGTCGTCGTCTCCCAGGGGGTTTTTGAGACCCCCAAACTGCTCATGCTCAGCGGCATCGGTCCCGCTGACGAGCTCTCCAGGCACAACATCCCAGTGATTCTGGATTCTCCCCACGTCGGCCAGCACCTCCTCGACCACCCCGGGGTTCCGTTTGTCCTGCGCGTGAAAGACGGCTTCGGCATGGATGACTACGTCCTCCGTCATGGCACCCCACAGAACAAGCAAGCCATCCAGGCCTACCAGGACCAGCACCGCGGCCCGCTCGGCTCCGGCTTCCTCGAGATGATCGGCTTCCCCCGGATCGACAGCTACCTAGAGAAGTCTCCCGAGTACCGGAAAGCGAAGGCATCCAACGACAACAAGGACCCGTTCTGCCCGTACGGCCAGCCCCATTTCGAGCTCGACTTTGTGTGCCTCTTCGGCAGTGCCTTCCAATGGCATTATCCTACGCCGAGAAAAGGCAGCTATATTACTGTCATGGTCGACCTGGTCCGCCCGGTCTCGGAGCCGGGTGAGGTCACCCTGAACAGTGCAGACCCCCTGCAACAGCCCAACATCAACCTGAACTACTTCAACAATGATCTCGACATCATCGCCCTCCGGGAGGGTATCCGCTTCGCGTATGATGTGCTGAAGAACGGCGACGGCTTCAGAGATATCTTTGTTGACGAATACCCGTGGGAGATGCCTCTCCACGATGACAAGCTGATGAAGCAAGCCGTCCTGGACCGGTCGCAGACCTCGTTCCACCCGTGTGGTACGGCTCGTCTTTCAAAGCATATCGGGCAGGGAGTCGTGGACCCCGGTCTCAAGGTGCATGGAATCAAGAATCTGCGGGTGATTGACGCGTCTGTCATCCCTGTGATTCCCGATTGTCGGATCCAAAACTCGGTGTACATGGTTGGTGAGAAGGGTGCTGATGCCATCAAATGTGACCACAAAGACTTGTATTAGGACATTGTGGTCTCTGAGCGGGTTTCAGCTGTACTAAGTAGTATGTTTCTACTGGCGTTCGACTATCATTGGGACATGGAGCTAGTAAGTGATTGAACGAAATGTATGGCATAGGAATGCAGGTAGTTATGGCTGGTTTGCCTTGCCAGCGAGCCTGTCCGAAAATGCCCAGTTTCTCGTAATACTGAACACTATTGCAATGGGACACAATCTAGAGGTGAAGACGATCATCATTCCTCACTTATATAGGCGGACCTTTACCTATCTCACTAATAGAGAAGTTCTAATAATCTTTATGGTTGAGACTTCTACTGAGGATTCAGAATTTCTGAGCCACCACTAAGATGTGGTAGAGGGTTCGATGCCTGTTATTTAGTCAGGACTGGTCATTCTGTAGGTGTACCCGTTCATAATTTGAATCGAGGCCATCAAGATACAATCTGCGTGGATTTTCTAGCTTTTCTGGGGAACGTATATCCACCAACAGGACTACATATTACTTCCTCCCAAATCGCCGTAATCTGCCTATTTCACCCGATATCCACGTACGATGACAAGACAAACCCTAATCGCTCACGCCAGTCTTACCACGGAGGAATCCCTTCTTCTTGAGCCTTTTCCTGTGTCAAGTTAGTCGTCTTGCGGAGATACAGTGTAAGAAAGGTCCCAGGGCTCGTACAAACTCAAGTCCCATCTTCCTCATCTGATCAATTTGATACACCGCGTCCGGAGTCTCTCTGATGTCCTGATCGTAAGTCTTTGCCCAATCGAAATCGAGCCAGATTACCCTGTCCTCCGAGTTTCCATCGACAGCGACCATCGCATTGTAATGAATGTCTTGCTGTAGAACACCAGCGCGTAAGATGTCGTTCTGGACTTCCGTTGCGCGCTGCCATCTTTCCTTGGTGTATGTTTCCGAGTTGATTTGCAGTAAGTTCGGGATGTATTCCAGAAAGATGGCGCAGGGACGGAAAGCATCATTCACGAACGGACGGAGCCAGCTCTCATTCAGAGCGGGATCAAGACCAGCCATACATCCGTAAAACTGACAGACGACTCTTTTGTCACACAAGCCCTGCGCGGAGAGTCGTCGGTAGGCCAGTAGTTCGTTGCGGAAGAGGATATCGTCTTCTTCCAGCTCGTCGGGGTAGACGTGGAACTGTAGCATCTCAGACATGGATCGGGCGGGGCTGATTCTCTTATACTCACTGTTTTCATCACATATTGCTGGTCGTGGATGGAAATCAAATAGATGACGGACATTTCGTCCTCCTTGAGTCGATCGTGGAACGTGATGTTGGTGAGGTCGAGCTGTGTTTGACTTCCTCGCGCAAGCTCTACGAGGGATGCATAGGCAGCGTTGTTATCGGTAGCCATGATGGGCATTGAAGTCGCTTGTCTCTGAGGACTTGTTCAACCCGGAGAAGGGAAGAGATGTAGAGGGGGAGACGGAGAGTTTAGGGTTCCGTGTTGGACGGTTGCCTGCACACCCCTGATATGCTCTGAGTCAAATGGCATGTGTTCACCTATTTCCCTATGTCCAGCTTGACTCACTGGAAACAAAAACTACCTAGTGCATATGCCCGCCTCTTCTTGAGTAACAAATGTCGGATTTAGCAAAGCTTGTCATTCCCAATTCCCAACTCGCAGCCAAACATCAGTCAATCACCAACTACCTAATCAGACCATGCCAGATGCATCAGACACCTGTCTTTTTAAAGAACCGGAGCTTCTCGACATTTTGGCTTCACAAGACTCTACGCGTACTGCATCAGCTCCGACAGGACGTCCTCCACGGGCACCTCATCACCCCATAGCTGCCAAAGCCGGTCCCGATGATCCTTCGGCACGCTCTCATTGAGGTAGAACATGCGGCCTCCAATCTCCAAAACGTCAGGCTCCACTGTTTCCGCGCAGGGAGCCTCCTCAGCTTCCACTCGAGTCCTGCAAAGACGACACCAGGTGTGGCCTCGGAGGTTGGAACCGCCACTGATACACCGGCCTCCGTTAGTCGACGCCGCGGCGCGTCCGCAATAGTTATTGCCGACTCGGTTCCAGGTGGTGTGGAAGTCGGTGCTGGTACATCCCTGGCAGCTGCCCGAGGCAAAGACACGGTTGCGTGCCTGGCAGCATACCCGGGATCCAATATTGTTGCACCAGGCACGATTGCCGTAGCAGCGAGGACGAGTGTATTGGTGGAGATTGACACCAAAGGTGACTGGGAGATCGCCGAGGGTGAGGAAGATCACAAGTAAGGGGAAAGGGAAGTACATCTTGACAACGGTCTTGCAGAGATGGTTTACTAGTTGATGTGGAAGGCCTGGTAGACAGTTGCTGAGGGGTGAGATCTCACATTCACATAGCTTAGGAGGACGTCCTGTATCCTACTTATACGTTCTTTCCTGGCCTTCACATGCGTTGACTTGTGTTCATCCATAAGTGACTACTATAGTGTACCACTCGGCGGGATGGGGTTGGGTTACGCTGAGAGTCGAGCGGATCATTTTCTTCCATCCCTATTGATGCTATGTTACGCCAGTTGCGGTGCATGACTTGCTTCTTCGATCGAGATAATTTCTATATAGTAGTCCGTGTCACCCAATTGCACGACTGTTCTACGATAAGCCAACTGCACTGCCTCTTTGCCCATCTATCTGCTGATATTGGGGACGCCAAGTGGCTACTGAACGGACAAGAGCAGAGACTGTGGTCACAGATTCCTCTGGCAATACTGACACAACGTGAATTCCATAGCTCACTGTGGGACAGAACTTGTCAGATGGTTCTTGTTCGACTTCCAACACTACTTTTTCATGGAGCACGACCCCAAACACCTAGGTATATCGATCCTGTTTTCCAATCACTATATACATTCAGCCCACTACTCTCCAAATGGGAACATCGCAAGCCGTCTAATGCAGAACTTTTGTAAATCGACATCCAGAGACCGGGGAATAAGTTACAAGAGAAGAATACATACGCCGTGACCACCTGCACAATAATTCATCCGTCACTATTACGCTTCAGCGGCTTGATGGCCAGCAATGAAGGGGACTTCAAAAACAATGGCACCATTTCGGCCCTCGGATGTTGGTCCCTCATGGAAGTTGTTCGCAAAACATTTCCAGCGGCCAAATCGGTGCTCCTTGCCTACAGCGGCGACGATGCACAACCCTCGGGGTTCAGTCTCGGATGATTTCGACTTCGACTTCGACTCACTCAATGACTGGCCCGGTTTAACGGTATCCGGACGACGCTCAAAGACCGCGATATCGTTGATAACGCCCTTGATCAATGGTTCCCCTTCTTGGATATGATCCTGGGTACCATCGACCGCCATATGGTCAGGGTTGGCGGGGGTGTCAAAAGCAAGAGACTGCTTCAGCTGCGCCGAAGGCGTGTCTAGAGCCGGAGGAACCTGAGAACCATAACCGACAGGGCCCAGAGGTTGGATCGATTTTTTATCGTCCGAAATTTTCCATGCGCGAATCCAGCCATCCCAGCTACCGCTGAGGACAATATCCGTACCCGGCACCGTGGCCAAGGCAGTGATCCAACGAGGCATGCGACGAAGGTGGCGGGAGTTAGATGCTGCGGTTTGTTGGTCGACTTCAGAGGAGAGCTCGTCAAGAGGAGGGAGGGGGTCGAGGCCGTGGGCAAGAGGGACAGTGTAGAGTGGCTTTTTCTTATGGATGGACCATAGAGAGATGGAGCCCGAGTCCGAACCGGTAACAAAATGTGTAGGTGGCAGAGGTGCCACACAGTCAAGGTTATTCTCCTGATACGGAGCATTCTTCGATCCGCCGCGGAAGATGAGTTGCGACTCATCAATAACCTTCCACAACCTAGCCGTGCGATCGCGTGCGCCAACACTGATACACTGATCGATCGCCATGGCCGCCAGCGACGAGACGTTATCCTGGTGTCCAAATAACGTCTCGACGTAGGCATGTCCAGCGGAACTCAGAGACCACGTCTTGATGGTGCGATCGAACGATCCGGTGAAGAGTTGTTCTCCAGAGCTCATAGAAGAGATGTGTCGAGCAAATGCGAGCCCACTGACCGAATCACGGTGGTGTGTAAATGTCTTCAAAGGTGTCAAAGTCGCCGCGTCCCAGATGATCAGTTTCTTATCCTCTCCACCAGTAGCAAGAAATTTTCCCGATGGGGAAACAGCCACCGACAAGATATTCTTCGTATGACCCTGCTCCTCGCCGCTCTCGGCGACTTTCTGCAAGCCCCGTACAAACCTGACTTGCTTCGGTTTCTTGCGCTGAGGCCTCGGGGCCCGTTTTGATGTCTCCCTTTGTCCATTCGCCGAAGTCGTAGGGGTTGGGGGCGCGGGAGTCGCCAGCTCCCACTTGATTAAAGTTTTATCCTTGGAGACTGTATAAACATAAGGCGAGTGTACAGCGATGGAGGTCGTCGACTGGGTGTCCGCTCGGAAGAAGGAATGCGACGCCGTGGAGAAGGACAAGTCGGAGGCGATCTGGCGATATACACGGCCTTTGAACTCGTCCTATTCGGCACATTAGCTATCAGTAAACCCTACATAAGAGGCAACGAAAGTTGTTAGAAACGTACCACATCCTCTTTCAGTCTCTCGGCGATAAGATCCCGGTCAATTTCCGCTGCATCGAAGCCAACATCATCAACCTCTTCCCGGACGTTCTCCAGGTATCTTTCGGCCAGCTTCAACCTCCGTTCGCCGGCAGTCTCTCCTTCATCCGAGTCGGAACCGCTTTCCTCCTCTGACGCTCCGGACACAGAGCTCACTTCATCCTCATCGATATCACTTCCTGAAATCGATTGTTCCCTTTCGCGTGCTTTTCGGTTACCCTTGGCGCCGGAATCGCCATCTGCATCAACACCTCGCTTCTTCGACGCGGGGGCACCGGCGCGGTCTTCCCGCTTGCGCTTCTTCTGGGAAGCGGGCAAAGTGAAGAACGAAGACATTGCCCGAGAATTATCACTCCGTAGCTCTGGAGCAGGCAGAACTTTCAGGACTCGTCGGCGGCGGAGGGAGCTGTGACGGGGAAGTAAATCGACGGACCTTGAACGGCATCTTCTCACTTTTTTTCTGCCGGTGGTCCGTGCAGGCGGAAAGCGCAACAACAAAACGCCTAAATGCTGACTCAGCGCCCGGGCAGCTCTCCGCCTCAGGCTCGCAAAGCAGCTCCAGGCAATCAAGCTCCACGCGGCTGGTGATGCTCTGACTGCCATCATCCTCATCCTCTCTTCCCTACTTTCCACCTTTTCGATTCCCTCTCTCCGCCCCCTCTTTTCCACATTTCCACAACCCCGTGTCAATATGTGAGTGGTCTCCATCCCAGAATAAAGGCACACTTCGCTGATCGATCCGCCCATAGGGAGGTCCTCCTCGGCATCACTGGCAAGGACTTCGTCCTCCTGGCAGCATCCAAAGCCGCCATGCGGGGCCCGACCATTCTCAAAGCTGAAGATGACAAGACACGACAGCTCAACAAGCACAACCTGATGGCTTTCTCCGGGGAGGCAGGAGATACCGGTTAGTGGACATCTCGGGACCTGTTCGTGGGTGGTAGCTAATTGATCGATTTCGGACAGTACAATTCGCGGAGTTCATCCAAGCAAACATCCAACTATACACGATGCGGAACGATACCGAGCTACGCTCCAATGCAGTTGCGAACTTTGTCCGGGGAGAGCTGGCGCGGAGTTTGCGGTCCCGGAGTCCCTACACGGTCAACTTGTTGCTAGGTGGCGTGGATCCCATCTCGGAGAAGCCCCATCTGTTCTGGATAGATTATCTGGCCTCGTTGGCGCCCGTTCCATATGCCGCTCATGGCTATGCCCAGTACGTTGTGATGCAATTGTCAGACGCGGACCGACTGTGGACTAACAGACTACAGATACTACTGTCTCTCCACTCTCGACAAACACCATCACCCCGATATCACTCTCGAAGAAGGCATGAAGCTGCTAGAGATGTGCACAGATGAGTTGAAGCGTAGATTACCGATCGACTACAAAGGCGTACGTTCACCACACCCTACGGCATTGCTGTACGATTGTCTAACTCAGCTCTAGGTTCTGGTGAAGGTGGTGACTAAGGACGGCGTGAGGGAAGTGCCTTTCGATAACGACAAGATTGTCAAGAGTGCTTAAATGGGGTGTTGTATCATACCAATATTTGCTTTTGTTTTCGGTACACGGGACATGGTTTTACACGATCGGTTGCATGGCAGGATATTTCCATGACTTTGATCCAGTAGTAGTCGCCGTAGTCTCATCATGAAATAAGCTAGGTAAAGACTAAATAAATGACCTCAGTCAACAAAACTGGCGTACAAACCTATCTGTCGAACACTGTCCATCGACGGCGATGATGGCATGACGCTTGGGGGCGGAAGGCTGTTTGTCTTGTTTGCAGCCGGACAGCTTCCTGTCGCATCTTTCGCAACTTTCGCATCCCGCAAAGAACAGCGTTGCTATCCCCCGATCTCGACCATTCGAAGAGACATGATGTCCAAGAGACAAGCTGAACTGTCGCTCGAAGAAGATCTCTCTGCAGGCTCTCCTGCTTCAAAGAAGGCTCGTGTGGAGGACGACATTGACGAGGATGACCCACGCCGTGGAGCAGTACCGTTGCAACGGGCTCCGGGACAAGAATACGAACAGGACGAACGCAGAGGAAACGACATACTTGCTGCTGCTGATCGCGAAGGAGAAGAATTGAGAGAGGCTGCTCAGGACAACGGTGCTGAGTCCTCGGATATCGACGAGGCCGAAGATGACAGACCCGCCATTGCTGCCCCGAAACGCCAAAGCGCGCCCATGGAAGGATACAGTGACCTCTATCTCGATACGATCAACCGGCAAATTCTCGACTTTGACTTCGAAAAACTCTGCTCCGTCAGTCTGTCGAATATCAATGTGTACGCGTGCTTAGTATGCGGTAAATACTTCCAGGGCCGAGGCCCCAAATCGCATGCCTACTTCCACGCGCTCGAAGTTGGACATCATGTCTTCATCAACATGGGGACCAAGAAGGTTTATGTGCTTCCCGAGGGCTACGAAGTCAAGAACAAGAGCTTGGATGATATCAAATACGTGGTGGACCCATACTACACAAAGGAGGAGGTGAACAAGCTGGACAAGGAAGTTCATGACGCGTTTGATCTGGCCGGGAATCGTTACAGACCAGGTAATTTTGAATCCATTCTGGCCGTCCAATGCCTTTTACTAACCGATATCTGCCATAGGCTTCGTGGGTATGAACAACATTAAAGCAAACGATTACCTGAATGTGGTTGTTCAGCTTTTGGCTCATGTCTACCCCATTCGCAACTATTTCTTGCTACATGAATTTCCCACTCCGGGCACACCACAGCTCGCCCTCCGGTTTAGCACATTAGTCCGAAAACTGTGGAATCCTAAAGCGTTCCGATCCCATGTGTCACCGCACGAGCTACTACAAGAAATCGCCCTTCGGTCATCGAAGCGCTTCACTCTGACTCAGCAGTCAGACCCTGTTGAATTCATGTCTTGGTTTCTGAATAACCTACACCTTTCGCTCGGAGGGTCGAAGAAGCCGTCCAAGACCCCGACCAGCGTGATTCAGGCTGCTTTCCAAGGCCACCTGAGGATCGAAAGCCAGGCGATTACTGCTCATTCCGATACCCAGAATGCCCGCTTGGTTTTCACCGAGTCTGGAACTATCAACAGCCAAGTCACACCATATCTCATTCTTACACTCGATCTACCGCCCACGCCGCTCTTCCAGTCTGCGAACCGCGAATCTATCATTCCTCAAGTACCGCTGACCACACTCTTAAACAAATACAACGGCATCACAGCTTCCGAAAAGCTGGCTCACCGAGTTCGTCATCGGCTGCTTCACCCTCTGCCTCCCTATCTTCTCTTCCATATCAAGCGTTTCAGCAAGAATAGATTCGTTTCTGAGCGCAATCCAACAATCGTCACCTTCCCATCGACTCATTCACTGGATATGTCACAATACGTCGAACCAAACCCAGACGTCTGGCCCCCCAGTGAACCGATTTACTACGATCTTGTGGCCAACATTATCCTCGATCCGATGGTCACTGCTCCGGGTGCCACCGAGGATGCCGCTGCAGATAAGGGTGTCAATGCTGCAGGTGCCGCCCCGTCATCGGGAGCTGGTGCAGGTAGCGAGAAGGTCGCCTGGCATGTCCAACTCCACGATAAGGCCATGGCTGCAGAGAACGCACGGCTCCAGCGTGAGCATGCTGGTGAGCAGCGCGGTCCGGAGTGGCTCGAAATACAAGACTTGTTCGTCAAGAAAGCTGAGAGTGAGACCCTGTTCACTCGAGAGGGATACCTAATGGTTTGGGAGCGTCGGAAAGTTCCCGGTATGAATTGGAAGGGGAAGAAGGCTGCCAAGTAGGACTCGAATATGTAAAATATATTAGCATCAGATGGATCATTCATATTAGGTGCTTCTTAGTTTAGACTTGTGTTTCGTCTATGTGCGACTTCTTAGCACTAAGCTTACGGAAATCATCATACATAGGAAAGGTTTTGCAAGGTCATTCCTCCAATTAAATAGGTCAGCCGGTTTCTTTGATCTTGGGATGGTGTTCAAGGTCCATTTGATAAATATATGTACAAGAGACGTCATAAGAAACTGAAATATAGAAGCGTGCGCACGGCTAGTGCATCTGTCCATAAACACTATGGAGCATATACAGAGCAGATGCAACACATCATGCTTTAACATAATTAACTGCACTCATTCACAATGTGCCCCAGCCACAGAATCTCCTGCCAATTCTCATGGCGGATCCCGAAACAATCCCCCATAAACTAGCATTCACCGCCGCATGCATGCCTACCATGAGCATTAACTTCCCCATGTATGCTAGGGCATCCGATCGAGAACCACCACCAGCCCAAGCTCTCATTGGAATAACGTCAGAACGAAGAACTGAAGGGGCGCTCGTCGAGGATAGATAAGAGGAAGCCAGGGACCGAAGATACAAAGACTCGATAGGCATGAAAATCACGGTCGTGGCTATGGATGCAAGATGCGTGGCTAGAGAGTCGACAGGCAGGCACGAAAGGATCGTGACTCGATGAGGAGTCGACAGATTGTCAGGGGCATCGTCGCGAGTATTCTGGTCTGCCAGCGTGAGTGGCGGCAGCTCAGAACCGATGCCGTTTTCCAGAATTTCTTCTCCCTCAGCAGGCTGATTCTGAGATTCGTCATGGCCGGGCTCCTCGATAGAGTCTGGAAGGATATTGCCGAGGCTTGTAAGATGCTCTTCATCAGCGTGCATAACCACTGCGCCTTCTGTCGTAGGCCTCTCCAGTCCGTCTTGGAGTAGATCGATCTGGCCAGTATCCCCACCTGCGGGGGTACCGCCTGCGGTCATATTTGAGAGGCCATCGCTATCCATAGCATCTGAGTGAACAATGGTACTAAGGTTCTGGCCCTGGTTGGAAAGCAAGCTATCCAGCAGTTCGGAGACGGACCGACGTCTTGCAGGCTCCCCATTCACTTCTTCTGCCTGCTCAGAATCATTTCCGGTTGGGTTCCCGCTTTGGCTCCTTGACTGCCGGTTTCCTAAGAGCTCCAGCTGCATGGTGATGACATCGGAATTTTGGTGAATCAGTGAGGCACGAACACGAGGCGACGTTGGTGAAGAAGTCTCGGGAGAGGATGGGCGTGAAAAGAGAGTGTTCGAGCGAGAGTTGCGTCTGCTTGCAGCCGCAGATCGGTCCATATTCTCTGGGTTTGACGGAGGAGTAGCGACAGAAGGCATGGTGTCCGGAGGTGCCAGCTCAGAGAAGTCACCGCTACTCATCTCCGCAGGTGATTGGGATATGCGATGCTCCTCGCTTGCCAGGACCCGACTCTCACCCAGATCAAAACTTTGTTCCGGAGTCTGATCTGAGACAGGTAACTCGGGGAGATCCATGTCAGGAACCTGTCCACGGAGCAACTCCTCCGGGGCAGGGGGCACTGCTGATTGCCGCTGAAGCCGACGGGCCCGAGGCTGGCGCTGACTCTGTATCGGCTCAATATCTGGCGACGGAGATTCTACCAATTCCCCTCTGTGGCGGGAAGTGGCCGCAGGCTCTGACGGTCGTATGCCGGAGTGGGTCTTGATACCGAAGCATCTCAGCACGAGGTACCGATAAAAGCCTAGCTCGTAAATTATATCATCAAATAAAGAGAGGTGTCCACGATAGTTCTCTTCGTCTGCCCTCCGTCCAAGTGTGGGGACCATCCAGTCGATCAGGTCGTTCTCGAAAGCCACTTTGATGGAAAGCTCATCTGCAAGGCTGGGTTTTGGCAGGCGTCGGCGGATCAAACGATAGAGTCTGAGCTCGACGAGAGGACGGAAATACATGTATGTGTAGACCATTAGAGCGGGTGTTTTCAAGGCACTGAACAGGAAGCCGCTGAAGGCCTCGACAGAAAGTTCGGCGGGCAGAGTTGGGAACTGAAGAACGGAAAATTCTCCAAGCGGAAATGAGGAATTGAAGCCCCGGTAGGGAATTAGGGTGGACAAGGTGAAGGGATTGCAGAAGGGAATACATATATGCCTGTATCGCCCAACACCAGTAAGGAGCCTCGTGTTCTATAAGCTATGTTAGGTGACGAAGATGGTCAAAGGCTGGCAAAAGACTTACGCAGAATGAAGGAGAGTGAACGATGCCCTAATCGTTTTCGACAGCACATCATTACCAGGAAATCGGTTTTGGATGGAAGAAATTAAGCGCTCAAGGGGCTGGTGCCGAATGATGGATAGACACGTAGACATGGCCCATGCTGGTATCCCGGCAAAGTAAAACCCCAGAGTGCCATATGACATCCTCTCGCGACTTATAATTGCCATGAGTGGAACCTGCGTATAGCTTTTGAAGGTCTAAATGAGCACATATAGTCAGTATTTCAGATACACAGGGAGTAGTATGCAATGGATACTTACCTGTATCCTATGGGTAAGAGATGAAGTCCACCAAGTCCCAAGAAACACGGATATCTGGTCCAGAGTTGCCATGATCAAGCCATAGTCATTCTCTGCGGTTATCCTTTCAAGTTTCTGCTGTTCGCTAGGACCAGCGGCGTTGCCCTCCTCACTGACGACAATACCCATGGTAGATAGAATATCATTTTTAGCTCTTCGGAGTTCTCGGCCAAATGACTTTGATTCAGGATTCACGGGGTGCCCCCTTTCATCATAGTGCTGTACATATCCATCTGCATGCAAAGCTGAGACTCTGCGCTGGGTTGGACCGTTGGGGTCCGATGTTGGGCCGGCCGGTCGTTCCGGAGCTTCATAAGGAGATCGGCCCTTGATCAGTTGTCAGTAACAGGTTGATTCAAATCTTGATCAATGTGTCGAAACAGACAACACGCCTAGAAGCATCCTATGGCTAACAGTAGATATGGATGACAAGCTCCAGATAGACAAGGTGCCAGCAAGCCTAGGGTTCAAAGCGGCAAAGATATACAATGTCTTAGTCATGAGGCCATATAGTAATAATGGCACGGGGCAAAATGATTAAACTATATAGATGGTGGCATTTGCAAAGGTAATGCGGGAAATGAAATGGAGAGCCTACCAGGGCCAACCTGTTCAGATACGCCTGTCGCCCCATATCGGACACATCTGATTCGATAAAGACAGGCCAAGTAAAGTCACACCATATCCTTCTGCTGAAATTCGAGGGAAGAGCACTTGATATGAAGATGCGTCGAGAACGAGAAGTATGAATGTTGGAGAAGGCGTCACATCAAATGATCTCACGTGGGCGTCTACTGCGTTTGTGGCGGTTAAAGCACGGACTTGGTGGGGCAGGCAAACATGTCAAACATGTCGAAAAAGATCAAAAGTTTCGGCTTCACAGCGCAGTTCGTGGCGGTCGAGCTCTCCCATTTTCTCCATTTTCTTCGCTGGTGTCCTATACAGTATTATGGCGCGCTAGATTCTTTCTCAATCCACATATTTACGATCGCTGTGAACCATGTCGAAAGCTGTCGTTAAGACGACCTTCGAGGCGTCTAAGACCCTCCGTCCCATCTACACCGGAGGCAGTACTGCGCTGGATGCCACTGGCCGTTTGCTGGTGGCTTGTATAGGTGAAGATGCTCTGATTGTTGATTTGGAGACAGGCGATCAGCTTGCCACCCTTGAAGGCGTGAGTTCTTTCCTTTCTATTATCCGCGATCTTCTTTCACTAATTGGAAATTTTTGTTAAGGATGGGGAAATTATCACCAGTCTAGCCAGTACGTTACGTCCACTGCACTCATCAGCTTTTATTGAAAGAAGAAAAATATCTAACCAGGAATTAGTTACTCCGTCCGCTTCTCATGTCGTTGTCTGCTCACGTTCCATGTCAATGCGCATCTACTCCCTCACACCGTTCGATGAATCGTCCCCCGGTCTCGAGGCGGAACTGCAGCGAACCCTAAAGCCTCATACTGCGCCTGTTGTTACGACGGCAATTGATCCCACCGGCACGCTCTTGGCAACTGGCGCTGCCGATGGTTCGATTAAGGTCTGGGATATTAGAGGCGGTTATGTCACACATACATTCCACGGGCATCGAGGCGTTATATCGGCACTCTGCTTCTTCCAGGTCCCATCGCCAGAGGATTCCAAATCCTCCTCTAAGAAAAAGAAGACGAGGTCGGACGACAGCGATGATGAGGAGATGGAAGATCCTGGAGCTGTCTCTGTTGGAAGCTTCCGCCTGGCATCAGGTAGCGAAGAGGGCAAAGTTCGGGTGTGGGATTTGAACAAGAGGAAGTCTATCGCCTCAATGGAGTCTCATGTTTCAGTGGTCCGGAGTCTGTCGTACTCTCCGTCTGAGAATGCGCTACTTTCCGCTGGGCGGGACAAGACCGTGATTGTGTGGGATGTACGGACATTTAAGACTCGCCGAATCATTCCGGTCCTTGAAAGTGTTGAGGCTGCTGCCTTCGTTGCAGATACCGGACTCTGCTTGGTCGCGGGTGAGAATGGAAAACTGCGCGTGTGGGATTGCAACAGAGGCGGAGAAGTAACCCACGAGCAGGAGGCTGGGGCCGAATTTGAAGCAGTGGTGGCCATTCAATACACGCCGGGCATGCCGTTCGCCATGACCGTGCATGCGGACCAAACATTGAGGCTTCACTCGCTCGAGCCTCTGTCGAACTTCAAGCCGGGGACTTCCCTAGAGCCTCTGCCCGTCATCCGTCGTATATCAGGTAATGACGACGACATTATCGACCTTGCCTATGTCGGTCCGGACCGGTCGATGCTCGCTCTGGCCACAAACACAGAGAGCATCAGAGTGGTGTCCATTGGACCCTCGGCTGATCGACCGTCTGGTAAAGAGGAATACTTTGGTGCAGACGTCACCCATCTTGAAGGTCACGACGACATTATTATCTGCCTTGACGTGGATTGGTCGGGTCATTGGCTGGCCACAGGTGCGAAGGACAACAGTGCCCGTCTGTGGCGTCTCGACCAAAAGTCATCATCATACACTTGTTTCGCCGTTTTAACCGGTCACGCTGAATCCCTGGGTGCAGTCAGCTTTCCTCGGGTTCCACCACCTGCGAACACGCCTGCGCGGGAAGATCCTCTGAACCATCCTCCGGCGTTCCTTTTGACTGGCTCTCAAGATCGTACCATCAAACGTTGGGACACAGCTAAGCTCCCGGCGCTCGCCTCTTCCAATCCTCATACGCCGAAGGCTGTCTACACTCGTAAAGCGCACGAAAAAGACATCAACGCCCTGGATGTCAATCCGTCATCCACGCTTTTCGCTTCCGCCTCCCAGGACCGTACCGTGAAGATCTGGTCGATCGAAGAAGGGTCTGTCATCGGAGTGCTTCGCGGACACAAGCGAGGAGTATGGTCAGCACGTTTTGCCCCGAAGGGAACCCCTGTTATCAGCTCCAACAACCAGAGCAGCACAAACAGGGGACTTATCGTGACAGGATCGGGTGACAAGACCGTCAAGATTTGGAACTTGTCTGACTACAGCTGCCTCCTGACCTTTGAGGGCCATACGAACAGCGTTCTCAAGGTCTTATGGCTCCCGCCGTCAGACCTGTCCACCAAGGGAGAGGTTGAAAATGATGAGGAGGAAGCAGGACCTTCAGCACGTAAAACTGCTGTCCAGGCACGCCCTCTGGTGGCGTCCGCCGCTGCTGACGGCTTGGTCAAGGTCTGGTCTCCGTACACAGGGGAGCTCGAAACCACGCTCGACAACCACACAGATCGTGTCTGGGCTCTCGCAAGCCCAACGCCATCCGGGTCCCGCGATGACGTTGTGTCTGCGTCTACCCACAAGACCTCCTCCCCCTACGCAATTGCTTCTGGCTCCGCCGACGCCACGGTGACCTTCTGGACTGACACCACTTCTGCCACTTACACGGCTAATGTGAACGCGAATGCCGCGCGCATCGAGCAAGATCAACAGCTGGAAAACTACATTCGAGCCGGAGCTTACCGAGAGGCAATCACATTGGCCCTACAGCTCAACCACCCAGGACGGCTTCTTTCGCTCTTCACGGCTGCCATTGATGCCGCCGACGATCCGTACGCCACGGAAGCACAAAAGGCCGAACGCGCTAACAGTCTGACGGGTGATCCTTCGATTGACGAAGTTCTCCAGACTTTGGACTCTGAAAACCTCCGGAACCTCCTGCTCCGGCTGCGTGACTGGAACACCAACGCGCGCACCTCCCGCGTGTCCCAGCGCATCTTGTTTGCCTTGTTCAGATCCTACCCAGCGTCGACGTTCATCGACCTCGCTACGTCGAGCATGGCCAAACGCAAGGATGGACGCACTGCAGCCGGCATGAAGGACATCCTGCAAGCCCTGTCCTCGTACACTGAGCGGCATTATCGCCGGATCGAGGAGCTGGTCGATGAGAGCTACTTGGTCGAATGGGTGTTGGGTGAAATGGACGGTGGCGTCGGTCTCGGAGCCCTCGGCGCTCCAGGCATGCAAGATGAGGTCCCCGAGCATGAGAAAGATGTGATCATGTTGGGTGTATAGGAGGCGGTTTTACTGTGAATGAGTGACATGTACAAATACCTAGACAGACACCATGATTGTGTGTTCGGAATTGGCGCTTGCTGTTGGAGGAGTACCATTGCATTTGCATTTCAGATTCTTTCCTGGGGTGAACTGGGTGTATAAAAGTCTTGCTGGCCTCCTCTTTCTTTTGATAGTCTATATATCCCCTGTTAGATCTATTGAAGGCTTCTTTTCGTCATACTCAATCGTTTCGATATGACTTCCAGCTCCGTGGCCTATCCACAGATGTCCATGATTTCCTGTGGTATCAAATATCTAGTGATGTACAATGTCCAAACTTTTTATCCCCCAACGTCTAAGGGGCACAGACTATCCAACTCATCGTCTATCATCATGACGCCTCCGCCGATAAGAGTCGTCGCTATCTCGATCGCGGTCTCGATCCCGGCCATGTCTGCTTGAAGCACTTGACGAATGCCGGTCATCATCCCGATATCTCCGTCTCTCGCGGTCCCGGTCCCGGTCTCGAGCACGATCACGATCACGCTCACGCTCACGGTCTGAACCTCTGTCGCGATAGTATCGGTCATCGTCATCGTCGTGCTTCCGGCGCCGTGAATGCCGGTCCCCGGACGAGCGACTCCTGTCTCGTCGAGACGACCGCCGGCTGTCGTAGCGATCGCTGTCCTCATCATCACGATCATCCCGCCGCCGAGAATCTCGATCCCGGCCTCTGTCCCTGTCACGGCCACTCCTCTCGAGATTGCGATCCCGCCGCTCCTTCCAGTCGTCCTCGTCGCGTTTCGCCTTGGCAGCCTCCTTCTTCTGCAGCGCGAGCTCCTCCTCCGTGACGAAATCCCCCGTCTTCTTATTCCGCATCATGACAGGCATATACACGCCCTCGGTATTCCCTTCCTCTCCTTCCTTCCCACCCTTCCGCGCGCCCTTGCGCATCGCCGCCCGTCCCCAAGCCCCCAGCTCCGCCTCCGCCCCGCCCTTCCCTGAATCCTTCGCCCCAATCCCCAGGAACCCAGGCCGCCGCTCCGGAATCCGCGGCCGGTCCGCCCCCGCAGACGCAGAATTCCCGTACTTGCCCTTCCCGACAGCCTGGCCCTCCTTCCAGCCCATGCCCCGCAGCAGCGCAGCCCCAAACTCCTCCACCGGAATCGCATTGTACTGCTCCAGCGACGCCGGCTCCGGGCGGGACGCCACGTCCGCCTTGAACGAGGTCGTCTCGTCGTACCGTTCGCCCGGCCCGTCCGCGCCCGCCGACTCAATCACCAGATCCGACCGCGCCTCCATCTCCCCCTTGCTCTCGCGGATCAGCGCATTGAGCGCGATCTCGTCTTGCGTGAGTGGTTTGCGTGGCAGCTGCTCCGCCGCGTCCGCCATGGGCTGGTCCCCCGCGGACGGGGCTGCGACGGCCGTAGCGGTATCGGTAACATTGTTGTCCTCCTTGCGCTGCGCAAAGCTCAGCCCGTACTCCATGCTCGGCCGCTCCGTCTCGACATTGTCGCCGGCCGTCTCGCCGCGTTTCGCCGCTTCCTGGATCGCCTGAACTTCCTTGGGGAGGAGGTTCTTCTTGCCGCGGCGGAGGTTGACACCCGGCCGGTCGCGCCAGTTGTTGGTGCTGGTCACGGGAATGACAAGGTCGCGTTTCTCGTGGGAGCCGTCGGCGGCGATGGCTGTGCCGGTGAGAGTGTCGAAGCCTGTTACGGCTTCGTGGACGGGCGCGCCGCCGTCGGCGTCGTCGTCGGATTCTTCATCGTGATGAAGCTGGTGAGGGCGACGCGGGAGAGCGGTTCGACTCGAGGGGTCGTTCGATGTGTTGCTTGATTTTTGGAGGTTGAATGAGGTCTTCTTGCTCTGCGTGGATGATCCGCCGAGGGAGAGCGAGAAGGGTTTTGTCGAGTTTGACATCTTCAGGCAGGGTGATGTTTTCTGAAGAGAGATTTTATGATTTAATCCATGCGGATCTAGTCCAGGGAAGATATCAGCTGGAGAGCATTCCAGCGAGAGTGCTGTGTCTATGAAGATGAACGAACGAGGTCGATAAGGTATGCTCGAAAGCGGTGCGGGTGGCGAAGCCCGTTAGACGCGCGCTTACGTCGGAAACTGCAAAAAGTGTCATCCCGTCATTTCATTGATCTTTCGATATCATTCACGCCAGTCAATCGCCCCAGTACAATATTGTACCGGCGCGTTATCTCCCTATGGATACATGTAGTACAAGATCTTGAGTGCTAGAAAGAAAAGAACAGAACCAAACCACGCCACATCAATTAACCGGAATACCTCCCATCCAGTCGTATTGGGGTCCGCGCCCTCGCATGCCAAACAGCCAAACACCAATGCGAAAAATCGACTAAGAGACGGTGTCTCTGATATTTGAGGAGATATGTAGAGGGTATGGGTGAGTATGGGAAGGTTGAAAGGCAAAAAGACGTTATGAGAGTGTAGGGCATAAGATCAGAGCGTGGTGTTCCATGGCGCATGCGAATAACAAAGAACCAGCCGTAGGAAAGAGGAATAAAAATGTATAAGTAGGGTATAGGAATATGTACAGGTGAAGTAAACGGGGTGAGGGGTTATGAAACGGAATAGACAGCGGGAAAAGCACTCAGCTAGCTCCCAGCAGTCTGGGCTTGCGGATTGGGGCTCTTGCTCGACCCCGGCATAGGACCGGCTTGGGCACTCCCACTGCGCTGAGTCTGCGGAGTCCCGCTTCGGCTCTGCTGCGGGACGGCTCCATTCATAGCTGGAGACCCTCCAACGCCGACTCGGTTGTGCTGAGCATTTTGAGGCACGCGCATCATAGGCGAATACCCTTGGGCCTGGGCCATCTGCATTCTCGGACCGCCATTCATGCCTGTCTGGGACGCCTGGAAGTTACCATCATGCGCCGACACTTGGTAGTTGGCTTGCACTGCAGCCATGTTGCCCGCAGCCGCATTCATGGCAACTTGTGACATGCGCTGCTGCTGATACTGGTGCAGGCGCTCTGTGGCTAGTTTGTTGACCTGCTCTGGCGTCATATTCGGGTTGCTTCGCTGAATTTGGTTCTGCAAGCCACTGATCGTGGGCACCATTCCACTCGATAGGAGGTTAGGCTGTCCCATCCGAGGAGAAGGGGTAGAAACGCCTTGAGGGGTAGCATTGTGGAAGGACGGGCTTTGCATCCCGGCTCCAGCTTGAAGAGCCGCCATCATTGCGGGATTGTTCGGGGTGCCGTTGACATTTGGCACATTCATGTTGGGAGAATGAGAGCCCTGGGGCACAAACTGCTGCTGATTATGAAATTGCTGCTGAGGCTGTTGGGGTTGGTGTTGTTGTTGTTGTTGGTGAGGTTGTTGGGGTTGTGGTGGCTGCTGCTGTCTTGACTGGAGGATTCGCTGCTGCTCCTGGAGACGATTGGCCTCCCGAATGACTCGAGCGTTATCCGGAGACGTCTGCATAGGCATGCCCGGTCGAGCACCGGGAGTCTGCTGCATTCCAGACTGCGGCATCATCTTCATGGCCATGGCATTCGGAGGCATCGGACTATTCATTGCTCCAGTATTGGGCATCCCTTGCATCTGTGGGCGTCCCTGGTTGACACCCACACCGGCCGGCATTCCGTTTGGCATACCGTTAGGGACTCCGTTAGGCACCGGATTTGGGGTATTGTTCCCTGCGACGGCAGGAGTTCCGGAGTTCTGAGGAAGAGCATTGGGTGTGCGTGCGGGAGCACCATTCATCATTCCTTGCTGATTTGGCATCTGGCCATTACGAGCAGCATTTGCCTGGGTGGTATTAGACAAGTACAGGACCGACTTTAGCGGAGAACACTCACTCTCGAAGCCATCATTTGAGCCCGGAACTGATCGTGTCTCTCTTGCATCTTCAGTTCGCGCTCATGCTTGAGTCGACTGAACTCTGCGGGAGACGAGATCGGGGGCTTAGGTTGGTTGGCTTCGTTGGCCTTCCTGAGGGAAGCTAATTGCGAGGCTGAAAGAATGTCAGCTTTGTCCTGTGACAACGCTGGAATGAACCTTACCGTGTTGCTGTTTCTGAAGCATCGTCTCACGCTTCTTGGCCAACTTCCGCATAGCGTCGAGCAAGGCAAGGTGCTTGGATGATCTTCTCCTGTCAACTCGGAGCGGCTGCGTCGTGCGCCTGCGGATCGGCGGCATCGACTGGCCGTTGTTGCCTTGCTGTTGCTGCTGTTGCTGCTGCTGTTGCTGAGCAGCCTGCTGCTGTGCTAGGACAGTCCGCTGCGCTGTCTCCAATCTTTGGTGATAGGCTCGGAAGTACTGAGTCTTGGACATATCAGCCGGCAAGCCCTCAAGCCCGACCCAGCGCTCGAAACACTCCCATGGTGTTCGTCGTTCTGCCGCGGACGTGAACTGCGACGATGGAGTAAGACAGCTGGAAATCAACGACCAATTATACGAATATTCCTTGACAAGCCGACGAAGTTCCTCATCCTCCGCATATGTCCACTGTGACGACTGTCTCGACTCAAAGAAACCTACGGATGGCATGGGATGCTCAGTGGGAGGTCTGAATTGATGTCCGGGGTGGATCCGGTCACGGATGTGCTTGTTTTCAGGCTGGAAGAGTGCAACATTGGTTTGCTCCGGCGGCAAATCCAATACGCGATGTCCTGGATCCGAATCATACTGAGAATAGTCATAACGGCTGCGCTTCCGAGGAGGCTCGTCATCGTGGAACTTGATCTTTCCAAATGCGTATTTGGAGACTGGCAGGATCTCCGTCTTCCACGACGCGTCCGGGGGTTCTTTGAACATCGGCAGATTCGACTCTGGGGCAATCTTCACTGGTTCGTAAACAGGCAGTTCCTCGAGGAGCTTCTGCGCTGCGGGGGTCATATCAAGGGAAAACGTGAACTCGTCAGAACCAAGCGAGAAGATTGCTGCAGGTGCGACAGTATCGTGCAATTCGTGGCGAGGTTCATCATTGAAGCCCTCGCTGACCGAATCCTCCTCGGTCGAGGGCACCAAGTCGGGAGTGGGGTGGGAGATGCCAGTCATCTCATCACCCGTCTCCTCTGGAGGTGAAATCATGTTTGTAGGAGGATCAGACTTCACATCACGTTTCGGACGGGGGATCTTGGCCGGGACACGGAGTAGAGACCGGTGCTCTGGATCACTATGGACGTACTCTGCACACCAGTCGGCGCAACTTTTGGCTGCCGCAATTTTCCATTTCCGCTCCTCCCGAAAATCGGTGCGCATCCACTTCATGTGGTCCAAGAGAGCGTCCCAGTGAGTACCCTGACGTGGGGGCTCCAGCGAGCGTTTGAGCTGGCGCAAAGGCCATCTGTTCGCGTTCTGCAGCTGGTAGATACGGCGCAAGGTACGGCAGTCCATCTGCTCCTGGTAGTCAAGGAAGTGATTTGCTGTTGTTAGGGTCTTATGAGAGGAGGCGAGAAGTGTGCTGAGGCTCGTGCCACGAGGTGGTGTATAGGCTTTGTTCTGGAACAGGGTGAAGAGGTAATCCTGCTCCTCATTCAGTTTCACCAAGTCACCGGCTCCCTGGCGAACAAGATCCATCGAGTCATTTTTCTCTTGCTGTTGTTGCTGTTGCTGTTGTTTAAGGAAGACCACTGTGGACGGCTTGCTTCTCTCCTTCTCCCGGGCTTTTCTATCCTTGAAGCGCAGCCTCGCGGGAGACTCGGGCAGTGCATCTGACACCAACCGTGTCGAATCCGCAGTCTTCTCGCCAGCTTGTCCCTTGTCGGATGGTGGGGAGGCCTTTGGCGTCTCACCAAGAATCTCTGACACAGACTTATGCCGAATAGCGCCGGACGAGACTCTAGTTGTCATTCTCTCCGGGTGCGCTGGTTGGGCGGACGATGAAGACTTCTTCTGGGCAGGTGCAACCGACTCCAGAGTCCTGGACGGCGTTTCGACTTCAGAGGGCTGATCAGGTTGAGGCTGCGTCGACGCCTGGGTATCCTCAGCAGTCACAACCACGCCATCGGCTCGCTTGGGCTCAGGTTCTACGGGAGGCACCAGAACTGGCGTCGGCTGGGACGAGCGTTTCGAGTCTGTGGGTGTTGGCTCAACATTCTCCTGGATGACTTCGTTCGTGGACGGCATGGCTGCGCTGCTACCCCCGATGGCCTTACTGGCCGCAATGGTGTCCTTCTGGAGCGACTGGGCCTCTTCCAACCGAAGCTGCTCATCGGGTGTGGACGGCACTAACGTCGGAGGTGCCGAGGCTGGCTCCTCAGGCTTGGGTGTTGGTTCAACCTTCTCCGTTGGCTCAACCATTTCTTCGGCCGGACTGGTGTCAGGAGAAGCCGTAACAGGAATAGGGGTATTGTTGGAGTAGGGGCCCGCCGAGGAGACCGGAGAAAGCGGTTGGTCTGACGCCTGCACAGAGCGACCAAGAGCAAGGGAAGGGCGCTTGTCGTGCTTCTTCTGTGTCGAGAGTACCTCCGTAGTACTTGAGTGCACACCCCCGACTGGAACGGGCTTCGTCTGAGCAGGAGGAACGCTGGCATCGGTCGCTCGCTGGCCTTGGTCCTTTTCTGGTACGATTTGGTTCGGTTTTTGTTCAGAAGCAGGCGAATCGGATGGTTGAGTCGCACCAGGCGTCGGCACATCTAGGCCCTGCGATCCTTCGGGAGTGATACCGGGTGCGGGTTGACTGGAAGCACGTCCCTCCTTCTGCGGCTCTGGTCCGGTCGCGGCGACGGTTTGTTGCGATTGCTGTAGTGTCGCTGCTTTCTCTCCATCGCCACGCGCGACGGCCTGCGAAGCAGAGGCCGGAGCCTCTGCGCCCGGTGGACTGATGAGGGCGGCATTGGATGATTTTGGAGCTGAATCGACCTGCGACGGAGACTCTTCAGAGCTGCGAGGGATCAGCGCTGCATAGTCGGGAAGCGGTGGAAGAGTAGCTTCGTTGAAATAGCGACCCCTGGGATGTTCATCAGTAAACGCGCCTCGGGGACTGGAGATGAGCGAAACCAAGGGATTCGAGGAAAGCGGAATTGAATAGAAATAAAAGGATATATTGACTAATTGAATATAAAAAGCAAACAACGAGGACGATAGTAATAAAAAGAGTTAAGAAAGAGCAAGGACTTACTTGGATAGATCGTTGGCGTCGAGGAACGCCTGTTCCTTCTGGTGGTAGAGGAGCGAGTCGGGCGGAGTGTTCTCGGTCGCGCCCGCGAAGCCGACGGTCGCAAAGTAGAGCTCGCTCAGTTTGCGCTTCCGCGACACCAAACAACGTCTAAAATTGCAGATTAGCGATAAATCGGAATCGCAGAAGCAGGAGGAGTCGAATAGACCGATGGGATGGAAATTACTTACGCGATCTCATCATTCTTGGACCGAAGAAGCTCTTCACGGAGCATCGAGTCTATTTCGGGAACACAGCATCCGATTAACGCGCTAAAAATTTAGGGAGCGAATTGAGCGAAGTCATCCAGATGGAAAAAATCGCTCAGAATCGATGAAAAGGATGTGGTGGTGGAGGGATGGGATGTCAAAAATTGAAGACGCGATACGGGGACTCTGAAGGGATTTTGGGGGGGATTTTCGTTGCCTTGGAGGGATGGGTAGATGGTAATTTTTTTTTCACTTTTTTTCTTTCGAGACCAGGAATTTGGTTTGGTGTAATACGGGGAGGGGAGAAAGAGTGGTTCGCAGTCTGGGTATTATGGGGAACAGGGTGAAAAGAAGGAGAAAACAGTTGGCCGCGCGCGGTCGCGGAAGCCGGGAGGACCTGTCTGTTTTGGGTAAGTTCTGCGCGCCGCCTTATCATGTCACTACCTACAATACTGTTCCCCTGGGCGAAGTCACCATGACATTATCCCTCCGTACATCGCCTCCTTTCAGCCTTTCAACTTGGGACAACCTAGGTTGGAGGGCGTTATACTAAGCTGCTGACCTGTTTGGTAGGGTCCGCATTGTCAAATCAGCCAGGTCACAGGTGGCTTCATTTCCGGGATATTCTTCCTTCACGTCGCTATCAAGAATCCATCCAAGTGCTTGTAAGTTGGCGAATCCGCTGAAAAGGATGCTCCAGCAGTTCCCGCGTTGTCTTCCTCATTTACGGCAATCAAGCAATTATCTGTTGCATAAACAAGTAGGATCCTTTCTTGTTCTTTCTCTTCTAGAGAAGCAAGTGTTTTCTCGAGGACTAATGAGTGAGTCTGGCGTGTCTGATATGTGATATAATTCATGACTCAGGAACGCACCAGAATACCCAGGTTCATATGCCAGCGCTCTTTTGCCAGCCAAATCTTAGTATCACCTCCGGAGCACGAATGTGGTCTGGCTGGATCGTCCTGGCCGTCGAATCTAATGAAAGTTCTCAAATCGACAGTCTTACTGATGATGCTACTCAAGGTCTTCAGTGACCCTGAGTCACAGACGCAGTGGTAATTTGTCCTCCAACAAGGGTCGATTTTGTGAGCCATGGGTTGATCAAGGAGAGAGTTCATAAGACCGCCAAGCACGTCGGGATGAGTCTAAGCGAGTGTTGTCAGTCTATCGCCGCCGAGATAGGGCTGGAGATATACCTGTATCTACAATCCTACATGAAGAGTGCAGATAATCCAGACCTTCAAGTGAAAGGCGAATGTATGTCTTGATGGGTTGAAGAGGTATCGTTCTATCTTTCAACCGGCTTTAGAACAGGCAGAACGGCTCCCTCACAGGCTCGTATACGAGACGCTAGAGCCGTCCTTCCGAGCCAGTAATCTCGAAACGCTCTTGAGGATGTCCGAAAGAGTGCACGGCCACGGTGCGAGGGGGTCTGTCTTCCCAGACATGTTCCTCGATTGCCCATTCATCATAACCACTTGGCGAAGGCCAGTTGGCATAGGATTTTAGTCTCAGGGCATTTCTGTTGTCCCTCCATGTCTAGGCAACTCGTTAGCAATGAGGTACACGCGGAGCGATAGCAATCATATCCTCGTAACCTCGAGCAAATCAAACAGTATACAGCTCTTCCTAGCCAACCCTGACAAGGGTTTGGAAGCAGTTGGTAAGATACTCTCCGGGCTTCATGAGATAGAAGGTCCGGGTAGGTTTCTTTGTCGATGAATTCGTCTTGGCAAACGAGGGTTCGTGGAGGATTGGGAAGCGGTTTCCCGCACATGGAGCTATGTAGATGCGCACATCGTTGTATCCTGGATCGAGCATGAGTCTGATTCGAAATGTTTATTATGCTCAAAATTTCAAGAATAATCTCAATAAGAGTTGCGTGGTCTAATGGTCATGACGTCTGATTCACATGTGGATCTAAGATCCTCAGAAGGTTCCCGGTTCGATCCCGGGCGCGACTAATTTTTGCCGTTTTCTCATATGTTTATGAATTTTGTCTTCTTTTTTCTTGTATATCCAAGGCCGGTCACTTCGCTGGCGTATGCAGAGGTCGACACTGTACTACAGTTCGGACTGCTCGTTTCGTTGATTGGATAGATCTGCCGTACTACACGGTTAGGTTAAGCTACTGCAGATATATATCAAATGTAGCCGATAACAACTATGGATGGGTTGGTTGCTCTGCTATTCAATACCCATGTCCATCGGCGGTTCAATTCAGTAGATGGATCTACCTTGCTATAGTATCGTGGTGAAGGACATGTTACCCTTACTCACTACGAGATTCGACCTACTTCATAGATGTCTTCTTGTGGCAATTGCCAATCACCTGCCGACTTGGCGGCATTTGTCCTTTTTTCTACCTAGGAACGTATTCAAGGCACCTCAGTAGACAGTATAAGTGCATAGTCTGTTTCAAGTGCAAGCTTGAGGCTCAAATATGCATGGTTGTTTGATTCGATAGATGTACAATAGACGAGTCCTGGAGAAATCCCTCTTTACTACATTGGGTAAGGTGACACCTCAGGCACCAAAAAGCCGTATCAGGATTTGATCACTTCTACCGCTTGCCTATCCAGATTTATATCGGCAGAAAAAAAAGTCGCCCGCTTCCCGATACAACTACTGGTCATACGCAAGCTTTCTAACATTCTATCGAACCACCTCGATAAATTGTCAACCTCATCATGGCCAAGCGCAAGAGAGAAGAGACCGTCAAAGAGCCGCAAACTGCGCCCAAACCATCCAAGGTGGTCAAGGCTGCAGAAAATGCTCCAACCATGACGGATCCCTCGACACTGAATGTGCAAATCATCACTGGATCGTACGAGCGTGTGTTGCATGGTTTTACTGCCGCCATCCCCACTAGCGCTCTCTCCAATGAGGAGAAGGAGTCGTCAAAACCTTCCTCTGTGCAATTCGTGGATACTTTCCTGTTTGAAGCTCATTCATCCGCTATTCGATGCCTTGCTCTGTCCCCGATACCGAAGGCTGATGCCCCCGAAGAACAACGAAGCGTCATCCTGGCGAGTGGAGGAACAGACGAGCGGGTGAATATCTACTCGGTGTCTGCTGCTCCTATTGTGGGAAGCGACCTGTACGCACCTATCCCGACATTGGGAGGCAAGAAGATCCTCGAGAACCCAAAGAACCGAGAGCTGGGGGCGTTGCTGCACCACGACTCCAGTATTACTTCTCTATGCATCCCATCACGATCAAAGATCCTGGCCGCTTCGGAAGATAACACCATCTCGGTCAACCGAATCCGTGATCTCTCTATCGTCTCCTCCATCAAAGCTCCCCGACCCAAGACCCAGGGAAGGCCCAGTGGTGACACCGCCCCTGTCGGTGGTGCCCCCTCCGGCGTCAATGATTTTGCGGTCCACCCGAGTATGAAGTTGATGCTTAGTGTCGGGAAGGGAGAGAAATGCATGAGGCTCTGGAACCTGGTCACCGGGAAGAAAGCAGGTGTATTGAACTTCGGCAGGGATATACTTCAAAGTGTGAAAGAAGGGAAGTGGAGTACCGGGGAAGGGAGAAGGATTGTTTGGAACTCGAAGGGAGACGAATTTGCTGTTGCATTCGAATGGGGAGCGGTGGTTTTTGGAATCGTGAGTTTGACTCGGTCTTTTCTGTTTGTCGCTGAACTTTTGGTTAACCTCTCCACAAGGATTCTACACCGACTTGCCGGGTATTCCCCAGCCCTCGAAGCAAACTGCACCAGCTGAGATACGTCACTCTCGACCCGTCCGCAGAAGATAGTGACGAACTCCTGGCCGTCTCTACCGAAGACGCTCGGGTGATCTTCTACTCTACTAAGAAGGTCCATAAGCCTGAGGATGAAGAAGACTCTCCCATCCCATATGCAGAGGCCGTGGCTCAGATCGGTGGCAGGGCATGTGGGGTGCCTGGCCGAGTGAAGGATTTCGAAATCATGAGCCTCCAGGACGAGAGGAAGGAGTTTAAGAACGATTTCCTGGTGACGACCGGAAGCAGCGAAGGTGTCGTGCGAGTATGGCACTTGCGGGGTGAGGAGCTCACGGGGACGAAGGAGTCGAAGACCCAGGATGAAAAGGCTTCTTCAACGCGCCAGGTGGGGAAATTACTGGGTGCGTACGAGACAGCGTATCGCATCACCTGCCTGAAGGCGTTTGTGATGTTAGCCCCGGAAGAACCATCTGAACTGATGGGAGGAGAGAGTGAAGAGGAGAGCGAGGAGGAGGAATCGGAGAGCGATGATGAGTAGATCTATACCCAGCTGTTGATAGAAGAGATGTATAGCTATGAAATCTGTTGTATACGAATTAAAAAAAAAGTATATCAAATCGAAGACTCATTCCATGTAACTATGTCTTGCCAGTTGTTCTAGGGCATATACCCGCCATGGTGCCTGAGGCACCGACTTACATAACACCCCTCACTCTTCCTCACCTGCTCAAAGAATATTATCGCCTCCGCCCGCAATTTTCACCTTTCTCCCCTCCACGACTCTCCAGCTTCGCCGTACACCACCGATCCCCTATCCCCTCTTCTCCCCCAGATCGATTTTTCTCCCATTTCGCCACTCGATTCTCTCATCTCCGGGGTCTGAAATTTTGCAATCATGGCTACCAACGGCGATTTCACCGACGATGAATCCCAGCCCGGTTCCCCCGTCATGGAGCCCAACGGCCAGTACGACATTGAAGAACAGGAGCCTCTCGACCAGCCCCTGAAGTCGGCGATGAAGAAGGACTCTGCTCTTTCCCCCCAGCCGAAGCGCCCAGAGCTTCCTGAACAACCCAACCCAGACACCCTCGATCTGTCGACGCTTACCCCTCTGTCGCCCGAAATTATTGCGCGCCAGGCCACCATCAACATCGGTACCATTGGTCACGTCGCTCACGGAAAGTCGACGGTTGTCAAGGCCATCTCAGAGGTCCAGACCGTTCGATTCAAGAACGAGTTGGAACGGAATATTACGATTAAGCTGGGTTATGCCAACGCCAAGATCTACAAGTGCGACAACCCCGAGTGCCCTCGGCCGACTTGTTACAAGAGTTTCAAGAGTGAGAAGGAGGTCGACCCGCCATGTGAGAGAGATGGCTGCACAGGTCGTTACCGTCTACTGAGACACGTCTCGTAGGTTGCCCTGACGTACTTTCGTCTTGTTCGATTATAGCTTGATTTACTGATTTCGTTCTCTTTAACCGCTACCAGCTTTGTCGACTGCCCCGGTCACGATATTCTCATGAGTACCATGTTGTCTGGTGCCGCCGTCATGGACGCTGCCCTTCTCCTGATTGCCGGAAACGAAACCTGCCCCCAGCCTCAGACCTCGGAGCACTTGGCTGCTATTGAGATCATGAAGCTGAGTCATATCATTATCCTGCAGAACAAGGTCGATCTGATGCGCGAGGACGGTGCCCTGCAGCACTACCAGTCGATCCTGAAGTTCATCCGTGGTACTGTGGCAGACGGCTCTCCCATTATCCCCATCTCCGCCCAGCTGAAGTACAACATCGATGCGGTCAACGAGTACCTCGTGTCGCACATCCCCGTCCCCGTCCGTGACTTTACCGCCTCTCCTCACATGATTGTCATTCGCTCCTTCGACGTCAACAAGCCCGGTGCCGAGATTGATGATCTGAAGGGTGGTGTCGCTGGTGGTTCCATCCTGACAGGTGTGCTGAAGCTGAACGACGAGATCGAAATCCGTCCCGGTCTGGTCACGAAGGACGAGAACGGCAAGATCCAGTGCCGTCCCATCTTCTCTCGCGTGGTCTCCCTATTCGCCGAGCACAACGACCTCAAGTTCGCCGTGCCCGGCGGTCTTATCGGTGTTGGTACTCGCGTTGACCCTACCCTCTGCCGTGCGGATCGTCTTGTTGGTTTCGTCCTGGGTCACCGTGGTCGCCTGCCTGCTATCTACACTGAGCTGGAGGTTAACTACTTCTTGCTGCGTCGTCTGCTCGGTGTGAAGACCGCCGACGGAAAGCAGGCTAAGGTCGCCAAGCTGGCCAAGAACGAAGTTCTGATGGTGAACATTGGATCTACGGCCACCGGTGCCAAGGTGATGGGTGTGAAGGCTGATGCTGCCAAGCTCAGCTTGACCAGCCCTGCCTGTACCGAGATCGGAGAGAAGATCGCCATCAGTCGGAGAATTGAGAAGCACTGGCGTCTGATCGGTTGGGCCAACATTGTTGCGTAAGTGGATTCTTTCTTGATTCCTCCTTTGGTCGACAAGAGCGCGAAGAGCTAACAAATCCTCAGCGGTAACACCCTGGAGCCCATCCTGAACTAAAAAGAAAAGTCTATACATATGTATGATCGGCCGAAGCCGACTGAGGTCTCATTGAGAGGGGTGCCGGCGCGATTGGATTGTGCCCATCCCTGACAACGGACCTGGACGACCGAAGCCCCAAGAAAGATTTACGGTAACGAAAGGGAGCGGCGGGATATCCCCGTGAATAGAGAACACAGGAACTCCAGTCGTCCATGGTGCCTGCTGGAAGCTTCAACGACAAGAGACCGGGGTCTTCTTAAGGCGAACAAGGGAATCGACAGCCTGAGACCCTCCAGATGCCCAGCAGAGCAGTTGGATAGACTGGAGAGAACGAGGAAGAATGAGATGTTGGAGTACAGACGGCTCGATTTTGACGTGTGTTATGACGCAGTTCCGTGAAAAATTTCTTATGTTTATTTTCCTTTTGATTCCTCTGTTCGTTTGCATGGACCTATGTAGGGGCTATATAGGGAAATCATGAGAGCAATGACCTAAAAAAGACGTGATGCATTCATTCATGCAGTGTCTCTTTGTACGTAATTGCTTTGTTGGCGGTGGTTGTAACTACTGGCCAGTTGGCAGGTGTTGACTAAGAAAGCGGTATATTTCCCCGTCGGCTGCTGGTCTCTCGGCCTCAACCACCACCACCGACCACAACACCACAGCACAGCATCTCCTCTGAACTCGCTGCTGTTGTGCTGCAGGTCGTCGCCATGTATATCCTAGATGTACGTCTCCTGACTCACCCCCTTGCAACATCCTACTCTTTATAGCTCCCCCATCACCGAGTGAGACGTGATTTAGCTTACCGTGGCCTGTGTAGCAATTGGCGCGTCTTCTGGACCGCCCGTTCTTCCCTTGGAAGAACGTCCTCGTTGGCTTCTCTCTGGGCCAGTTTGTCCTGGAGGGTCTGCTGTCGTTCCGTCAATACAAAGTCTTGCAACGCACCAAGCCGCCTCAGGTCCTGGAGAAAGAGGTGTCTCAAGAGGTCTTCGATCAGAGTCAGGTAAGCACCACCACCGCAGATTATCCACCCTAGGTCTGCCAGCAATGCTGACGATGCGAATCTTCCCAGTCCTACGGTCGTGCGAAAGCCAAGTTCAGCTTCTTCTCCGGTCTTTACGGTCAAATCCAAAACCTTGCGTTCATCTACGGCGATGTGCTCCCCAAGCTCTGGGGGGCGAGCGGCCTCCTCTTGTTACGGTACTTTCCTTCTCGGTTCCAGGGCGAGATTACACAGACGCTTGTGTTTTTCTTCGGATTCAACCTGATCAGCACCATTCTGTCCTTGCCCGTCTCGTACTACAATACCTTTGTGCTCGAGGAGAAGTTTGGATTCAACAAGCAGACGGTCAAGCTCTGGATCACGGATATGCTGAAGGGTCAAATGCTCGGAATTGTCCTGGGAACTCCGATCATCAGCGCAGTGCTGAAGATCGTCCAGAAGACCGGCAATTCATTCTTCTATTACCTGTGGCTTTTCGGTGTCTTCGTCCAGGTTTTCGCTATTACTATCTACCCGATCGTGATCCTGCCTTTGTTCAACAAACTGTCTCCCCTGGAACCTGGTGAACTGAAGACTGGCGTCGAGAACCTTGCCAAGAAGTTGGAATTCCCTCTTCATGAGCTGTACGTCATCGATGGCAGCAAGCGCAGCGCTCACAGCAACGCTTATTTCTATGGTCTCCCCTGGAAGAAGCATATTGTTATCTACGACACTCTTATTGAGAAGAGCGAGCCCGAGGAGGTCGTCGCTGTTTTGAGCCACGAACTCGGCCACTGGAGTCTTAGCCACACTACCAAGCTCTTTGGAATTGCTCAGGTACGACCCTCAAATAAATACACGCGAGGCGTATGGAAAGACAAGACAGCTGACTTGTATATGCAGTCACATATGTTCTATATTTTTGCACTCTTCTCGGTATTCGTGAACAACAAGTCCTTGTATCAGTCGTTCGGATTCGTCAAGGAACAGCCCATCATGATTGGATTCCTCCTGTTCTCCGATGCTCTGGCCCCGATGGATGCTGTCGTCAAACTTCTAATGAACATCCTCAGCCGCAAGTTTGAATTCGAAGCCGGTACGTCGATCCCTTCCCTCGGACAGTATCCTGCCGCCAGAGGCACTAACATATCGCAGATGCCTTCGCTCTCAAGCTTGGATACCAGGAGAAACTGGCATCGTCGCTCCTCAAGCTGCAGATCCAGAACCTGAGCACCATGGATGCTGACTGGATGTATGCCAGCTACCACTACTCCCACCCCATCCTTTCGGAACGCCTCAAGGCGCTCGGCTGGAAGGGCGGCAAGGTCACAGACCTTAAGGCGGAGGATAGTGAAAAGCCTGTCAAGGCCGCTGACCGCGAACTGTGAGAGGGTTACAGCGATGACGGTCGCAAAGACGATCCGCCCCCTTTGCTTTCATTTTGCGTTCTTTTCTCATGTCATCGGGTATGGTGTTCGAAACGGTGGGGAATCTTGGGAATCTTGGGACCAGATGAACATTGATGTCAAAGAGATTTCTTTTTTGCGTTCGTAGATTGAGAAGAATACCTCCCAAATGGACGGAAGTAATGAGATAGACCAACTCCAGATCAGCTCCCAAACCAAAGCATCCAATATTGCGCCAGTATAAAATGCACGTCACTTTTTTCTATGCCCGCCTCTCGGAAACAAGAATGCACGTCGTCGCTTAGGCAGCCTCCGCCTTCGCTTTGGCCTTCTTCTCTGCTAATCTGCGCTCTTTCTTCTTCCTCTTTCTCTCTTCCTTGTCGATGGCTCCGTCTTGAGCGGGCTCGGCGGCATCCACATCCATATTAGGCGTAGGATCTTCGTCCTGAACCGGGACAAACGCTTCCAGCTCGAATTTTTTCGCATCCTCCCAGTCACCTTCACCTGCGGGAGCGTTCTTCGTCTGCAGCGTGGCATCGGCGCTCTCGCCATTGAGGTTCGCCAGGGAAAGATCGCGCCCGAGCACCTCGCCAGCCAAACCTGCCTGGACACGCTTCAGATTGTGGAGGATGAGATTCGGCGCAGCAGCCGTGGAGCGAGAGACAGGGCCATGTTCGCTGATTCCCGCGCTGGGCTGGTACGCAGGGTCGATGTTTGCGCGCTCGAAGTAGGCGGCCAGGAAGTCATGCGCGGCCTGTTGCGAGATGGGCTTCGAGGAGAGGATCTCGGTGGGGGGGAGCGGAGAGGGACCGGTGGCGGCCATTGCGGAGGAAGTAGTGGAGGACAGATTAATATAGATGGAGAAAGAATATGGAAGTAGAGTCGAGCTGTTGTAGAGGAAAATGGTCGCCGAGACGAAAATGAAAAAAAGGCGGCGGCACGTGGTCCGTGCGTTCTCCGGCCGGAGATGATTTGCTTCGATATTTGATTCTTCTCCGACTCTCTCCCTCTCTCCCACTCAACCTCCGCCCTCCCACACATTCTCTCGCCTCAAAGGACCACATCATAGTGCTCTATACGACTGTAACAATGCTGTGTCTCCGCTGCAGCGCCCTCCCCGCCGCCTCGCGGACGCTCTCGTCCTCGCCAATGGCCGCGGCCATCGCCAGGTACGCTGCATATCGCCCACTGCTTCCAGTCCGAACCTCCGAATTGACACATTTCACGAACAGAAACACATTCCTCAAGAGTACTACTCAGACGACGTCCGTCGCGTCCCTCCGCTCCCTTTCCACAGCTTCCATCTCCTTCCGACCCCAACTATCGCAACCGACGCTCTCCTCGTTCCGCGCACAGCTCCCCATCGCCCAGTCCGCCGGCGCGCTCGCCCAGCAGACCCGCTCCTTCTCCGCTAGTGCCTCGCTGGCCGGTAAGCGCACCACGTACAACCCCTCCCGTCGGGTGCAGAAACGCCGTCATGGATTCCTGGCTCGTCTGCGGACGCGTGGAGGGCGGGTTGTGCTGAGACGGCGGAGGGCGAGGGGTCGGAAAACGTTGAGCTGGTAGACGTACTTGTTTGGGATTGTTCTAGGGGTTGGGGCTTTTCATAGGGCACTGTGAGATCAGAGGAGTCTGTTTTACACACCAGGCTTCGATGTGGGCTTGCATCTTGCGTGGGACAGCATCGGTGCAGTGTGTTTTCTTGTATTGTTCTTTAGGAATTATTATAACCTAGACGATGTCTTTTGTATCATATACATATATCAATTCTTTTGGCGGATATTGCATCGAGCTGTATATCCAGGAAATGGACTCGATAGGCCCGGATGATGATTGTTGCCGGTGGAATTCCAAGAGTCTATCTGGCCGGTAATATTTTCTAGAGTCTTTTATGGATGACCATCTAGAGTGGACATCTCTACCGTAGTCATTAAAGCATCACTCGTCATCGGATTCCTCGTCATCCTCATCTTCCTCGGACCCCGTTTCGTACTCGTCGTCATCGTCATCGGACTCCTCATCGTCCTCATCGCCCACCTTCAATCCATAGTCGTCTTCAAATTCCTTGAGAGCTTGCACCTTCGGGGCGAAGCCGGATGATTCAAGGCCGGTTTTGATCGTCTAACAACCAGTCAGCATCGGGTTCATACATATCCCACTTTAATGCAAATTGACATACCTCTTCAAGCACAGTGGCGCAGGTGACCACGATATTAGCAGTCTCCGGCTTGAACAAGGGGAGAATTATTTCCCGCAGGGCGCCCTTGACATCGTCCACGCTGGTGGCCCGGACCTGCTTCAGGACCTTCTCCTTGTAGTCGCTGGGCAAGTTGCGCACAACCTGGCGGATGAAGCTGCCCTGCGCGGCACCGGCGATGGTGGCTTGCTCGTTGGCAAAGCTGACAACAATGCTGCTGATAGAGCCCTCCAGCATGAGCGGGTCGAACGGGATGGCCCCAGACAGATGGTCCAGGACGATCTGCTTGCTGGACTCAAATGCCTTGTGCGCGTTCGGCGATCGGTACACATCGAAATTGACGAACCCGGTGTCGATGTTGTAGGCGAAGTTGGTGCCGTAGGCCAGGCCCGTGCCGCGGACGGCAACCCACAGGGGCCCCTCAACGGCGTTCATGTACGCAATAGCCACCAGCAAGGCCGGGAGCTTGGGATGGTCGTAGGAGTCCAGACCGCGGGCGGTGGCGTAGGCAAAGGACGAGTCGATCGTCGGCATGGGCACCACATACGATTGTCCGCCAATGTTCCGGCCAGCTTCGCTCAGTAGCGGTCTGCGAGCGGTGATGGGCTGCAGAGGTGCCACGGCGCCCAGGCGCTCCGTGAACGGCTTCCATGCTGAGACGGGGTTCTTGAGCTTCTCCAGATCGGCAATGACAAGGACCCGCATGTTCTCGAACTTGAAGAGTGCCTTGCGAATTTCCTCCATGCGAGCGACGACGACGTCCGGCTGCTCCGCGAGCAGGCGCTTGATACGCTTGAGATAGCGTGCCTTGACCAGGGTGCTTCGCGCACGCACGATCGACTCCGCGGCGTAGTGCACCATGACGTGCACGGCGGCCAGCATGTCATCACCGCTGCGCTTAGCGTCGGGCACGTCGGCGAGGAGACGGCTTGTGATGGCGCGGAGCCGTTCCACGTCGAAGACCGAGTTCCAGGAGAGTTCCTGGAGCCAGGCGATGGCGGAGCTGTACTTCTCCAACTCCACCTGGAAGGAAATGCGAAGCATTTCGGAGTTGCCCACGCTGCGCGCCCCCTCCATGGAGTAACCGACGGTGTCTCTCTCCAACTCGACAACGACCTGCTCGAAGTTGATGGTCTTACCGTCCCGTTCGACAGGCAGGTTGAAGAACGCTTCAGTGTAGATGGACAGGAGCGGTCGGAGCTGGACGGGGACCGCCTGAGCCGAGATGACGAGAGAGAGCTGGACGAAGCTGCTGGGGATGTGTTCGAAATGGATAAACAGCGGCATTTCCGAACCATCGGCATCAACGGTCTTCTGGGCTTGGTGCTCGGGGCGGCCAGCTTTCAGAGCTGCACCTGACCGGGCTGTAGTGGTCTCTACGAAGTGGATCGACTCGATTCCAGGAATGCGGAATTTCTCGAGCATATCCTTGGGAATCTCCTTGTCGTTCTCGGCCTTGGCTTTCTCGAGTTTCTCGGCAAGCTTTTTCAGGCCGTCCTCACCGAGACGCTTCTTCTGTTCCGCAACTCGGGCTTCCTCATCCTTCTTGAGCTGATCGGACATCTTCATGGATGGCACACCAAGGATGGTGACATGGTTGGCGTCGGCGATCCACTTCTTGATGAAGCTGCGCCATTCGCCTTCACTCCACTTCTCCAGGGCGTCGTATTCCTTCAAAGTCGCGACATCCAGCATCGTCGAGCCGTCTCGCTTTCCAAACAGGAAGTCAGAAATGACATACTCGGCAAACGAGGACGCGGAGCTTTCCGTGGAAAACTTCCAAGTCCGCTTCTGTCTGTCGATGCATTCCCTGAGGTACTTCATGTCGAGCTCCTTCTCCATGGCGTCCTTGAGCACCTCGAAGAACCGCTTCTCCACTTGAGCAAGTTTATCGGTCTCCACGCTCGTCAGCGTGAAACGGATCTCAATGCTCGGGTGGTCCTCAGTTGCGTAGTAGACGGCACTGGCCACTTGTTCCTTCTCCACCAGGATGTTGTCCAGCAGGGAAGCCGAGGACCCAGCTAGGTACAGGAGAGAAACGTTAAGAGCACCGGCTATCTAGTAGTTAGCATATCGCGTCCATACCAATCTGTGCCCAGTGCATATAAATACATACTTTGAATGGGGTCCGTGCAATCAGGACCTAGGAACCGAATTTCGATTTCACCAAAAGACTCATCTTCCTCGGGGAACTCTACCGTTTGCACGATAGACTTCTCCAGCGGTGGAGCCTGTTTGGAGTCAACCCAGGGGCGACGGAATGGAGCATCAGGCGGCGGGATGACATCGAGAATCGTATCCTCGAATTTATCCAGAGTCTGAAGCATGTTCTCGTGATCGACCTCACCTGTGATAATCAGACACAAGTTCCGAGGCTGGTACATATCACGATGGAACTCCCGAATTCGGTCTGCGGTGAGGACACGGAGCTGCTCCATCATACCGCCGGTCTCGTAACGGAACCCTACGCCGGAAGGATAAGTCAAACGGCGAGCGGTCAGATCGATGAGCTCAGCAGAGTTGTTCTGCACGCCCTGCATCTCCGAATAGACCACACCGGCATCGTTTCCAGTGCCGTCGATGTGGTGTACCTCAGTATAACAGCCCTCATCAGTGAGCGTAGGAGCAATAACATGCTCTAGATAGACGGGAAGGATCTGGGCAAACCCCTCCCAGCCCGCAGTATCCAGCGTGTACGCCGTGTGGTCTGTGGCAGTCCATGCATTCGTATTCGAGTATACCCGCGTAGCGAGCTTGTCGAGGAACCCTTTGTATCTGTAGTTTCGTGACCCCATGAAGCACAGATGCTCCAATGTGTGAGGCGCTCCCGAATCATCTAAGATCTCAGTGGCTAGCACGAAATACCCCGTAACTTTAGGGCCCTTTTGGTCAATGACCACAACCCGCATGCCCGTCCTCTCCGATTCATACTGGACAAACTCGCTAGGCGAGTAATCCGGCTTGAACTTTTGGAGAAGCTTGAAATGGCTGTGCTGGCTAGGTGACATGTTGCTAAGCGGCCTTGAGGATCTCCGGAAATACGTCTGGACCCTCGACGCTCGTAATGACAATCTAGACGTATTGTCAGTCGATCACAAGCTCATCAAAGTGTCTGGCATGGATTTTGCTAGGGCCCCTCCGCCCAAGCACGCTAATGATGCATAGGGTCTCAAGCCACCAATCTCGGTAGTAGGACAAAACATGCCAACAAATTGAGAAAAATGCCAGCATTGACACAGAGGCGGGTTACACAGTAATATCCGAATGGATTCAGACAGTCGGATATAGTAGCACTGCCATCGCCTTCCATGACGGAGGAGGGGCAGCGGGGCATTTTTTTAAGGGCTAAAAAAAAGCGGAAAGAAAAATAGGAAAAATTCCAGTACGCAAGACATGAGTGAACTTACACTGATTGAGGAAGTTTCGCCCAGATCAGGCCTCTTGGAACCAGACGAGACCGCACGGTGAAATGAATCTTCGTCACGGAGGGTGTTCACTGGACGTCGTGAGTTGGGCGGTGGTAATAATATTATCTGCAGCGCTTTGGAACTGCGGTGGAGTTTGGGACCCGTTTTATATGATGATCACACACTGAGAGAACAACCGGACAACGCATGAAAGCACTCCAATAGAGAGATTCTGAAGAGAATATTCAGGGGTTTATGAGGCGAACCAATTCGACCTCGAAATCACCCTAAAGGGAAAATAGGAGCGAAAGAGAGAAAAGTTGTAGTATAGAATTGGGTCTAGTCGATGCCAAGGCGGTGAGGAATGAAGTCACATGGGATCTGGCCAACAACATGTTCCTCTCTTGTATACCACGCATCACGATCCCAAGATTGCACGCCAGCTTTTCGTTGCTGGGTAGCTGAAGTGCTTTTTTGGCTATCCTAAGAGCGCCTTTGTCGTCCCTTCATCCAGACAGGGGCCTTTCACCATGGTCTCCGAGCAAGACATTTGCTCCTCGGTGCTGGAGTTCGTGACAGAGGGTGGATATCCAGCCTCCGAGAAAGTTGTTGCTGCCGAGTTTCCAGTGTCAGCTCTTTCGGAGGAATTGGACCTCCTGGGGAAAGCCAGAGAACAAGTGGAGGTAAGCACTGCACAACGCCCATTAACTCTGATTCTTGAATCTCTACGAATTCCTCTCTACGTGCTAACACACCATGTGGTTTAGGCTGAGATCAGCTCTCTGAGTCGCGAAAACGATTTCGACGCGGACGGATGGATCTCCCAGGCAAAGCAGCTTCATGCCGACATCGAACGCTCGAGGGTCACTGCACGAGAAATCGTTGAACAACATGAACACACAAAACCTCTTCGACTGAAGGTTGAAGATGCCGCTGCTAAAGTCCAACTGATCGAGACCGAGATTGCATTCAACCAAGCTGTTACGGATACTCTGGAGGAGGTACAAAGGCTATGCCAACAACTTGATGCGGGGAGAGCCACTCTTGCCGAGGGCAAGATTATGAACGCCATCGACACGTTAGAGGAGACTGAGAAGGCTGTGCGGAGTGAAAGCCTGATCACAAATACCAATGTGTCGCATGTATTGCTGGAAACCGTCAGCGACCTGCGGCGGGAGATCACGGACTTTCTTCGGAATCGTTGGACTGAGCAACTTCGTGTCGACAAGCGGAATGGGAAGCTGACAGTCTCAGCAAGTCCAGGTAGGCTGACACCCTACAGAACAGACCTTGCGTGTTACTTATGCTGTATAGAACACCCATTAGAGGACACTATTGCGGCCCTTGCCCGACTTGATATACTCGTACCGGCAATTGACCGTCTTGAAAAAGACCTAATTGCTTCGATCATAGAGCCCATTCTGTCACCTGCTCTTGAAGGACAAGGCCGTGAGGTTCGATTGGGGGATTCGTCGATAGAGCTCGACCCTCAACCATCGCCATCCTCTGTACCAGATGTTCTAGGTCGCATGAAGAACGTCCTTGAATTCTTGCGTCGCAAGCTCCCAGCGTCGATAACAGATTCATTCACCGGGTCATTGATTCCAACCCTCTCATCGAAAACCATATCCTCGTGGTTATCGTCTGCGATCCCGACGGAGCTCACGGGGCTGAAGGGATTCGAGGACACCCTGGATCAGGTTCTGCAGTTCACCAAGGCAGTCGAATCACTCGGATGGAATGGTCAAGAAGAGCTTGTTTCGTGGGTCAACCAAGCCCCACGTCTCTGGCTCGCAAGGCGACGGGTAGACTCGTTAGACCAAGTTCGCAGAGTTCTTGCTGCGAGCCAGGGCCATACGAAGATGGTGGAGCGGATTGAAAAGGAACAAGTATCCCAGAAAGACGAGGCGTTTCTAGACCAAGGCTCCACCGATGATTGGGATGCCGAATGGGATGATGATAATGAGGACGAATCGAAAGAGACATCCTCTGATCCTCAGCATAAAGACGACGAGGAAGACGTCAGCGCCTGGGGCCTTGACGATGATGATCACGATGACTCCAAGCCAACAGTCGCAGAATCAGAACCAGCTGCGGGTCAACCGGTTGAGGACGATGAAGTAGACGCATGGGGCTGGGGTGATGATGATGAAGTACAAGAAGCTGATACCGAAAAGCCTGGCGAGGCAAAACCAGCCGGACCTGTCAATGGCGAAGGCACCGATCATGCCCCTACCTCGCGAGAGGTCACCTTGAGAGAACAATACACTATAACGGACATCCCGGATTCAATCCTCAAGATCGTCAGGCAGCAGATTGCAGACTCTGAGGCCATATCCCAGCCTACGTAAGTCCAAAACCTTCGTCGACCTATGCGAGCCGTTACTCACAGTTCTCCAGTCACTCTCATTCACGCGTGGTTTCCTCTGGGGCTGGCCTGCTTGCCCTCCCTACTTTGATCCTTGCCATGTTCAAAGCCACAGCTTCTGCCTTCTACGGCCTCAAACTTAGTTCCGGTCAGATGTATTTGTACAATGACAGCTTATATCTTGCCGAACAAGTTCGCGGTCTTGTCGAGGAACATGGATTAGCAAGACTTCAACCTGACATTGAGGCGCTTGAAAAGTTTGGTAAATATGCCTACAGCAAGGAAATGCAAACACAACGCACGATTGTCACCGACCTTCTCGATGGTGCCCAAGGCTTCAGCCAATGCTCCGAGCAACCTTTCCTCGGCGAGTGTGAGAATGCAGTGAGCGCTACCGTTGACAGAATCCGCGATGTGTACAGAGAGTGGCAACCAATTCTCTCACACTCAGCGTGTCTCCAGTCGATTGGATCCTTGGTGTCGACTGTCATTAACAAGGTCATCATTGATATTGAGGACTTGGGAGACATCTCAGAACCGCAATCTCAGCGCCTGGTGTCCTTTTGCACCCAGATCTCTCAGCTTGAAGATATCTTTATGCCGGAGGCTTCAGGCGACGCTGAACGTGTACCGATGACCGCAGTATATGTGCGGAACTGGTTGAAGTTCCAGTATCTTATCAATATTCTTGAGAGCTCCTTGGCTGACATCAAATTCCTCTGGTTGGAAGGAGAACTACGACTGGAGTTCTCGCCTGAGGAGGTCGTCGACCTGATTGAGGCGTTGTTTGCGGAATCCGATTACCGCCGAAAAGCTATCGCAGACATTCGACGAGTATCGCGGGGCTAGAAATGCTCCTGCGCATCCAATTGTATATAGAGAGGACAGTATTTATTTCAATCGAACAAAAGAACAAGATCATCTACGCATGTTACAACTGCAAGTAGCTGTGCGGGGAATCTCCGCGCTTTGCACAAGTGGCCGCATCGCCCGCCGTATTTTTTCCTCACTTTGGCGCATTTTTCATCCGTAACCAGCGGATACTCGAGAATCTGTGATCACTCGTCAACCAGTCTTCTCGCTATTCTCCATAGACTAAAATGAGTGAGGACATTGATATGTCCGCTTCGGCGGCTTCTCAAGCAGCGCAGAGACAAGTGCGCGTGCAGCTCACCAGCAAGCAAGAAGATATTGCGCTACCTGAAGACACCGGTCCAATCCTGATTCCTACAGGTGAGTTCTTGCAATGTCGCATGCTTTGCCTCCAAGAGGTCATTGACTGACATGTTTGTTCATTAGGTCTGCGACGATATGCGCTGTCCACGCTGGTGAATAATCTCCTTGGGAACGAGAAGCCGATCCCATTCGAATTCCTGATCAATGGAGCATTCCTCCGAACCTCCATCGATGAATACCTGACGGCCAACGGCATCTCTGCCGAAACCACGCTCGAAATCGAGTACGTCAGAGCATTAATTCCTCCTCTCCATATCGCCTCTTTCGAACACGACGATTGGGTAAGCTCGGTCGATGTGTTGTCCGCAACATCGCCTGCTGCCTCCTGGGCCTCAGCATCGGTCCCCCAAGGCCAGGAGAGAATCCTGTCAGGAAGCTATGATGGGTTCCTTCGTGTGTGGAATATGTCATCGCAGGTAGTGGCTACCTCGCCGGCTGCCACTGAAGGAGGACATACTGCATCCATCAAGGCCGCCAAATTCGTCTCCCCCAACTCAATCGTTTCGGCCGGTCTCGATCGCACCGTGCGTCTGTGGAAATACTCTGAAAGTGACGATGGATTCTCTGGGACGATCGCACCTCAGCTTGAGCTTTATGGACACAAGCTCGACATTAACTCGCTGGCTGTGCATGCGCCCTCGAACCGAATCCTCTCCGCCTCGTCAGACCACATGGTGGGCTTCTGGTCGACCAAGAAATCGGATGCCCCCGCCGCTCCCGAGAATCTCCTCCCCTCTGCCGCGTCGCGGAGCTCCAAGAGAAGAAAGCTGAACTCCTCCGTGAGCACGCCCCAGCGCGGACCTTTGGCGCTGATGTCGGGCCACACCGCGCCCGTGTCGGCTGCCATCTTTGACGCCAACGACTCGACCGTCGGTTACTCCACGTCTTGGGATCATTCCCTTCGCACATGGGATCTGGTTACGTCTTCTCTGGTCGACACACGGACGACGTCTCACTCGCTTCTTGCTCTCGCTCACCTTCCCGACCACCATCTCCTCGCTGCTGGTACATCCGCTCGCCATATCACCCTCATTGATCCTCGTGTATCCGCCGCTACAATTGCGGCGATGACTCTGCGCGGACATACCAACGCTGTCGTGTCGCTGGCCCGCGACCCTCATAGCAACTACGGGCTGATCAGCGGCAGCCATGATGGTACTTGTCGCATCTGGGATATCCGAGCCACGAAAACGGACAAGGATGGTGTGGTAGGCGAGAGCGTATACTCCATCACCCGAAAGAGCCTTGAGGAGGAAGGCAAGTCGGCCTCTAAGCGTGTCGGCGGTGAAGGTGTCAAGGTGTTTGGCGTGTGTTGGGACGCGGCCGTGGGCATCGTCAGCGCTGGTGAGGATAAGCGCATCCAGATCAACCGTGGAGAGGGCGTGTTGTCTTCCACGTAAGAGTGTATGACACATATGGGCACGGCGTTACTGTTGTTGGATGAAAAGTTGAGGTTTTGCTTGTATCAGTGTTATCGGCCAGTTTAGTCACATTTATAGACATGAACTATTTTCTAGTGTTGATTATTATTTTAGTATCTGGTAATCGTTCATTTCTTGCAATTTCTTTGTAGGAATTGAAGGGAACGAGGCATATCTACGGAATCTACTGCAATGTTTGACCATAATTTGCTCTTGATCCTTCAAAGACTAGGTAATCGATGGTCCAAGTACATGTTCTTGTTGTCTAATATAATACATTTCATGACATTTGTAGGATAAGCGAAAAAAGGAAAAGAAGAGGAATCACTTTGTTACAAGAAAGCAAAGATTAACGCCATTCCATGCCCCTCACATCTAATCGAAAGTGAGGCCCAATCAATCAAACCAAAACCCTCGACGGTATCACATTTACAGCCGTCTCTCCATCCGGTTCATCTTGACAGCCGTTTTGATCTGCGTTACATCATCAGCATTGAGCATATCCAAAGCCCCATCAACAGAAAGCACTGACCTGAGTTCTCGTCCTCTGGCCGCGGACAGGCAGTCCAAGAGCGTGACGCCGGCCACGATATGTGCCGCTTTCCTTCAGACGCTTAATGTCATCGAGGACTTGTCGCCGCAGGTCGTTTTCGATCTTCATATCAGAGAGAGCGGCCGTGATATCGAGGACTTGCTTGTTCGCCAGCTCGCCGACCTTGCATGTTGGGTGGATGTGGAAGCGGGCAAGGAGGCGCGAGGACGTGTGGTTTCCGATACCGAAGAAGGACTCGAGCGATTTCTGGGGGCTCTGTTAGAATGGTCGGGGGATGCACGGAGCGCAGCGGATGACGGGGAGAGGGCTTGCCTTGACGAGATTCCGCTCGGGGAAGTTGACGCCCAGGATGAAGACCTAGTTTGGTTGTTAGTTGATGCCGTTACATGCGCCATAGACGGCAATTGAGAGGAGCGTACCATGCTGTCTGTGGGAGGTGTCCAGTCTTGTCAGAGCTAACTTGCGCGAGGATTGGGATATTCGGTGCTTGCGCCGTCTATCGATGAGCGGAAGAAATCAAGCAGTAACAATGTTTCTCCGATGCGTTTCACTGTATTACAAGGTGCCTGGTTGATAAATTACAATAATACGCAGTATCTTACATAGTGATACAGCTTTACCCCAATGGGCCATCATGGACGCTTGGCATCTCCGCATAGCGGCGAGACAATAACGCAAGCTGGCCTCCATTCCTCCCCTCTTCTCTTCCACTTCCCCTGCTCCGACCGCCACTGAGCAACCATGAACTTCAAGAATATTTTCCTGTCCTTCTTCCTTGTCCTGGCCGTGGGACTGGCCCTGGTCAATGCCGAACAGGCGAAGGAGCCCCGTGGTCCTAAGATCACCAACAAGGTACGAAGCTCCGACTGGTCAATTGCACTATCCAAGAGTGCATTGTAACGGCCAAGTGCTGACATGAGATTTGCGCAGGTGTACTTTGATATTGAGCATGGTGACAAGCCTCTGGGCCGCATTGTGCTTGGGTTGTATGGCAAGACTGTTCCCAAGGTCCGTGCCAAAGCCACCTCTATCCTCAAGGCCTCCGCCGATGCTAATCAATTGCTTTATATAGACCGCTGAAAACTTCCGGTATGGACCCGACTACTTAGCTAGGCCATTTACGAATTCGGCCGACTGACATCAAACGACTAGTGCTCTGGCCACTGGCGAAAAGGGATTTGGCTATCAGGGCTCTACCTTCCACCGTGTCATCAAGAACTTCATGATTCAGGGTGGTGACTTCACCCGCGGCGATGGTGCGTTACTGCATGAAGGCCTGCGTCTGCGGCCATAGAAGCGTACGAGATAGCTGATCATCTCCCAGGCACCGGCGGCAAGTCCATCTATGGCAACAAGTTCGAGGACGAGAACTTCAAGATCCGGCACACCCGCAAGGGTCTCCTTAGCATGGCCAACGCTGGCAAGGACACCAACGGATCCCAGTTCTTCATCACCACCGTTCCTACCTCGTACGTCTTCCTTCTCTTGAACGTGCATGCACGGAGACAAGATAGGACGCTAACGATCCTCTTAACAGTTGGCTGGACGGCCGTCACGTCGTGTTCGGCGAGGTCCTTGAAGGCTACGAGATTGTTGAGGCCATCGAGAACGTGCCCAAGGGCCCCGGTGACAAGCCCCAGCAGGTGGTGAAGATTGTGAAGAGTGGCGAGCTCGAGACTGAGTCTGAGGCGGAGGCAGAGGACAAAGGTACCCCACACGAGGAGCTGTAGATTGACCCAGTGGTTGCTGTTTTTTTGCACCCTGGGTTAGGTCTTCTTGCTCTTGCTATGCACACTCGTTTACTAGATTGATTGCTTGGAGGGTGGAATCCAAACCAAAATACCTTACTGATCGATTGATGGTCTCCGATCAAGATCCCATTGCCGTTGATGCCCCAGCCGAACAGCCGGCCCCCGCCATCCCGAAGGCAGACTCCGTCCGTCCGGTTAGCTCGTCGCAGCTCATTATGGTTCTGGTTGTAGTTGCTGTGTTTGGAGTTGGGTATGCTCGTTACCGACGACGATCTTCCCAGGGGACCCACGAGAAGAACTTGGCTTAAGTAGGTGCGCTAGGTGCGCTAGATGACGAATTGATCTGCGGATGGGCTGTCTTAATGAATTGGTATTGACGGCTCAGGTGATGATGGGCTTGGACCCTGTCATTCGTAAGATGCTGTAGATCGAGCATAACTACTGGCACCAGTTGTGTTTTGCTGAGTCAGATGTGCCTGACGAGGGCTGTGGCAAAGTCAGGTGACCATAAGTGAAGCGCAAGTGGCGATCCAGTCAAACCCTGACGGTGGTAATTTCAGGTACCTTTACGTCGTGATTCCTGGATGATTAAGAGTCGTTTTGACTGATCTGGAGATCCCGAAACTGCAAGAAACCGGTGAAGAGTGTACTGTCCTTACATACATACCAACGGATGGCCGTAGTCTCCATACTGGCGGGGAAGGTCACGGCGGATGCGATTTGATTCGACCTCTCCAGATTGGTTACTTTGCTAGAGGGAGATGATCGATGCCGTCCGGATTCTTCATTACATCTTGATAATGATTTTCCCCCTCTGTCTCTAGAAATTACATTGTCTGTGGTTTGACCATCATCACCGTGAAAGAATCCTATGCTCCCAAAAAAGGCCACAAAAGAAGGCGAAATAGAACCAAATCAAGAAAATTCAAGCCAATTAAGAGCATTCTTCTGGGCGAAACACAACCTAAACGGCGACCAAACTCGGTGCCGTCTGGATGTACCACCAACTGGAAAGGGTCCAGCCAACAGTCGCGTCGTATTGTAAAGGGTCATGAAAAAAAAATTCTCTTTTTTGCCTTCGCTTCTAGGGGAAAAACTCTAGTGGGAAAAAGAAGCCACGACTGCCAATCAGAGGTGTAATACTGTCTGGCGAAGGGAGGAATCCAGCGTAGAAACTGTCAGGGAGAAGAATCATTCATTATTACCTACCGTAGGTCTACCTCTCCGTAGTACAATAGTCTGCTTTGATAATAATAAATGATAAATAATTTTTTTTTTGCCCACGTCCAACAGACTCCAGGACTAACACCTAATCGGGAACTTTGCCTCCTCCCACAAACTTCTTCTCGTCCTGCCTGCCTTCCTTCCCATCCCTCCACTTCCACTTTTAAATCTTCTCTTTTAAATCCTCTCCTCTCTTCCTCCCTCACTCTCTCTCCTACACCCCCTCCTAATCTCAAATCCTGGTGTGAATCTTTTCTTTCTTCACCATCACCCCTTCTTATCTTTTTTCTCTATTCCCTTTTCGTTTTTCTTTTTTCGCTTTTAAATAGAGGGTTAGATCGCGGAGATCATCTGGTTTCTCTTTTCTCGGCTCCAACTCTCTCTTGTCTATTCAATCCCTTCGTATCGCCACTCGACACGGGGATTCTCTCTTTGCCTCATTTGTCTGAAACAACAGATCTGTGTACCCGTTTCTCAACAGAAATCTCATTTTCGTGACGCGTACGTTCCGTCTTCTCATCTATCGAACTCTCTCGTCGCGTCCACGTCTGACCGGACTAGCTTCCTACCGCAAAAATGGCCGACAGCTTGAAGATGGGAAACCTCTCCCTCAATGAATCGCAGCATGCGCCTGCCCCTTCTACCGCCTCCTCTGGTCGCGCTGCCTATATTCCGCCTCACCTCCGCCAGCGCCAAATGGGTGCGAACATGGACGGTGCCGCCCCTCCCCCTCCTGGTCCCGCCGCCGCCGCCCCCCCTCAGGCTGGTGGCTCCTGGGGTGCTCGGTACGTATTCTTCCTTTTTCATCGTTGTCGATCGGTTGCTAACATTAGTCCTTAACAGTCCCCCCCGTGGCGGTAACTGGGCCAATGCCAACGACTTCAGCCCTCGCGGTCCCAATGGTAACACTAGCTGGACTCCCACCGATGGTCTCCGCCGGCCCTTTAACCCAAATGCTTACGGAAACCCAGGTCATGGAGGCGGAGGCTCCAGCAGCTCCTACGCTAGAGGCTCTGGTGACGGCCAGTGGCGTGACGGCAAACACATTCCCGGCCCTCCCAACCCCCGCGTGGAGCGTGAACTCTTCGGCCTGCCCAACGACCCCTCCAAGCAGAGCACTGGTATCAACTTCGCCAACTACGACGACATCCCTGTCGAAGCCTCTGGCCAGGACGTCCCGGAACCCGTCAACGCCTTCACCAACCCCCCCTTGGATGACCACCTGATTTCCAACATCGCCCTTGCTCGCTACCTGACCCCGACTCCCGTCCAGAAGTACTCCATCCCCATTGTGATGAATGGCCGTGATCTCATGGCCTGTGCCCAGACGGGTTCCGGAAAGACTGGTGGTTTCCTCTTCCCCATCCTCTCCCAGGCGTTCCAGAACGGTCCTTCTCCCACCCCCGCCCCGGCTGGCGGTCAACTTGGCTACGGACGCCAGCGCAAGGCCTACCCCACCTCGCTCATTCTGGCCCCCACCCGTGAACTGGTTTCCCAGATCTTCGACGAGGCTCGCAAGTTCGCCTACCGCTCGTGGGTTCGCCCTTGCGTTGTCTATGGTGGTGCCGACATTGGCTCTCAACTCCGTCAGATCGAGCGCGGATGTGATCTCTTGGTCGCCACCCCCGGTCGTCTGGTCGACCTCATCGAGCGTGGTCGCATCTCCCTTGTGAACATTAAGTACCTCATTCTGGACGAGGCCGATCGCATGTTGGACATGGGTTTCGAGCCTCAGATCCGTCGCATCGTTGAGGGTGAAGACATGCCCCACGTCAACGACCGCCAGACTCTCATGTTTTCGGCCACCTTCCCTCGTGACATCCAAATGCTCGCGCGCGATTTCCTGAAGGACTACGTCTTCCTGTCCGTCGGTCGTGTCGGTTCCACTTCGGAGAACATCACCCAGAAAGTCGAGTACGTCGAAGACCACGACAAGCGCTCCGTCCTGTTGGATATCCTCCACACGCACGGCACCAGCGGCTTGACCCTCATCTTCGTCGAGACCAAGCGCATGGCCGACTCGCTCTCGGACTTCCTTCTCAACCAGCGCTTCCCTGCTACCGCCATTCACGGTGACCGTACTCAGCGTGAGCGTGAGCGTGCCCTGGAGATGTTCCGTTCCGGACGCTGCCCCATCCTGGTGGCTACCGCTGTCGCCGCTAGTGGTCTCGATATTCCCAACGTGACCCACGTCATCAACTACGATCTGCCTACTGACATTGACGACTACGTTCACCGTATCGGTCGTACCGGTCGTGCCGGAAACACCGGTATTGCCACTGCCTTCTTTAACCGTGGCAACCGTGGTGTCGTCCGTGATCTGATCGACCTTCTGAAGGAGGCTCACCAGGAGGTTCCCACTTTCCTGGAGAGCATTGCTCGTGAGGGCAGCGGCTATGGCGGTCGTGGCGGCCGTGGTGGTCGTGGCCGCGGCGGCAACGCTACCCGCGACATGCGTCGTTTCGGCGGCGGTGGCGGTGGCATGGGCAGTGCTCCCTCCTACGGCGGTGGCTACGGCGGCGGCGCTGGTGGTTACAGCAGCGGCGGCGGCGGCAGCTTTGGCGGTGCTCCCTCCTACGGTGGTGGTTACGGCGGTGGCTACGGTGGCGGTAGCTACGGCAACCCCTCTGGCCCTACGGGACCTTCTTCCTGGTGGTAAATCAGAAGTTGTGGTCTCTTGACGAGGCCGTCAGATCTGATTGGCTCCTTCGATTTTCTTATCTTCTCGCCTCTCATTTGACGGAAACGATCAGAACCAACCTGAGCGGTTATTCTTCCTATTATTCTTTTTTCTCTCAGGACCGGCTTTGTCATGACTGCCACGACTTCATCTTCTAGAGCTTTGTCATTGTTTTTTGTTTTCTTTTTTTTTTCTTTGTTTCCCCGCCGCCGTTGTCTATTTCTCGTCCCCTTTCTGCTCGATATGTGTTCGTTTTCTGAGCATTTCCTTACGTGCTTTGCGACTCTTGTTCTTCCTCGTTTTAGACATGGTCTCACGATGCGGGCTGATCTCACCATCTCGTTGCTCCTGGTTATACGCGTTATGTAACTGAGAGCATCTTGGTCGGCATTGCATGAACATCATAGATTGCGTTGTCTTTCTCCTGCGACCGCTTCCATCAGATACCCTTTTTTGTTTCTAGGCGGTTATATGGAGATCCGCTGACCGACATGTGCCGAGCAGGGGTGCCGGCTTCTCATGTCCCAGAAAAGTGCTTTTTATGATTTCATCAGCTTGGTGCTATGGCATCTGCATCGACCGTGTCTCATAGATGTTTTTTTCTTCTTTCAGTTTCGGTTTCCGGCGGGTCGTTCTTGTTTTCTTTCCTGTCTGTTCTGTTCCCCGCATGTCTCTGCTGTTCGTCTGAAAACGCTTTTCTTCTCCGAGCAGTATCATTGTGCGTCCAACGTCGACTCTGATATGGTGATCTTCCTCGCCTGGGGAGGGATCTCCGGGTCCCGGACTGGCATTTTGAGACTGCGGGCCTTCTTCGGCGGATACGTGTTCCTTTTTTATTCACTTACGCTACATCTGGGATCGGTGGTGCATCAGCGTGACGTGTGATAGAGACGGAATTCTTTGCATTGTGTATGGCGTTGGCTTGAGCGGCTGTTTCCACAAAAAAGATTCTCTGCAGTCGGATCTGTTTTCTGTTTCATTCTCGGATCTGTGGAGGATGGGAAGCTGCTTTTTCTGGCGCTTGTTTCCTACATTTTTTGTGGTGATGCTGCATCATTTGTCTCCGGGCTGTAGCAACCTGGGCGCGACAGGATATGCCGAAGACGGCCCTCTTATGGAGATTTCCATCTCTAGAGAAGAGAGCTCCCAATCAAGCAAAAGTTGATTTACGTTGTTGTATTCCGTAGTGATGTTTCACGATATAGGATGACTTGACAGAATTCCGACATGAAGATAATGTAAATTTAGTCGTGAATGGAAATATATTGTAGTCTGCTCATAGTACCTTGGGACTTAGACGCATCCGCTGCGTATAGACGGTGGGCCAATCATCGCGCGGAGACCCTCTCCCTTCCACTTCCACCCTCGTCTTTTCCCATCTCCCCCAGCTTCTCTTTCTTTCACCTCCTCCGCCTCCTCCTTCCTCTCTCCCACGTTTCTTTCTTGCCCCTTTATCGAACTTTCATCCCCATTCGAATCGCCCACCCATCACTTCACCCACGCGGACCATCCCTCGTCAATTCTCGCTCCTACCCTTGACCTCCAATACGAATACGCGCTCCCGCGGTCGAGTTCTCTGGCGCATCCCGACGCCCTCGCTGGGCCTCCAAACCCCTTGACAGGTTCGCGAGAGCACTAGGGGTAATTCTAGTCGGATTTATCCATCCATCATCACCGAACAACTCCCTTCACCGGCACAATGGCTGACGTCGAGAGCAATATCGCGGACGAGTCGTTCGCCCTCTCCGAAGCTCAGGATGAGCAACAAACCCATAACATGACGGTAGGAACCAGGCGTCAGGCGAACGGTACGATCGGTTCGGTGTACTCCGGTAACAAGATTCGCCATCTGAAGAAGGAGGACGGAATCCCGCTGTGGCGGAAGGACATCCAGCACCAGTTCCTGCGACTCGTCTTCGAGGACAAGACGCCCGTGTTCACTCGCTGGCCAGATGGAGAAAAGGGCTTCGATTTCGCCGACATCTATATCGATGCCATGGCGAGGAGTAGCAAGACTAGTAAGATCTTGAAGGATAAGCTTCAGAGCGATAAGCAAGCGGCCATCAGCATGGCGATGGTGTGTCTGCTCGTCAATTTTGGGCGGATGAACACGACTTTGAACTGTATGTCTGCACCGCTTCAGTTGACTTGGTACAATATTGACACAAGGGCCTCCTTAGTCTTTCCAGAGATGCGTGCTCAGCTCCGAACCTACCACTCCATCCCCTCGCTGCAAGCGCATCAGGACCCGAATGCCTACAAGCAACTCCAGGATGCGCCTCGTCTGAAGTCCATCCTCAAGGGTGCCTCGGAAGACGTCGACCAGCCCAATACGCTCGAGAAGATCAAGGCCCAGGCCGTTCCGCGCACGAACCCAGTCAACCTCATCTTCGTCCTCGCTCAATACGCACCAAAGGTGTCAGAAATGCATTTCTTCCCTCCGCGCGATTTCTTCGATTTAGTCATGCGTTCCAATTTGAGCAGCAAAAGCCGCGCGCGCGCTTTTCTATGGCTGATGTGGTGGTATCTCGAAAGCGATTTTACTGCCGAAGCCGCTCGCAATAACCCATTTGGTCCCGGTGTCGATGGCGAAGGGACCGGCGGTCTCCCCATCAAGGTCCCTAACTTTGAGATCCTCACGGAGAAACAGGCAGACGAGGAGAACGTTGATACGCCATCAGAGATTGAGTATGGAGAAATCAAGCGCTTAGAACGGAAACGTAAGTCTTCTCATAGACAGCAGCGGGGCTTTACTGAATGCTAACATCGACCGACAGGTATCTTGGAAGAGGATGATCCGCTGCCCAGAGCACCAAAACCCAAGTCACGTCGCAAGAAAGGTATGGCTCTTACGATCTTTGGACCATGGTCTTGGGATGTTCTAACCTAAGCTTCCCTCCACAGGCCCCGGTGACTTTCTTCCATACGAACATGAGCCTGATGATCGGTATTCACTCTCGGGTATGCCACTTCCCTTAGCCACGAGTGGCTCCGGTCACTTACTAATGTACATTCCCTGTAGGGTCATTCATGTATGGTTCCCGTAAGGACGATGAGGGACCTCAGACGCCCTCGCGGTCTCAGAGAGAATCGCCGATCAGCCGGTCCACGGGCCACCAGCGTCTTATCCTGAAGACCAAGATGGAGCATACGCCCGATGCATCCTCACCGGCACCTCCCGGTTCGGGCCACCCTGTCCTTAGCCGCTTTGCCGCAGACTCCGCTTCCAACGCGCCTACTACCTCCCGGCGACCCCGACCACTTACCCAACACCAGTTGGCGGTTGAGCAGAATCGTCGCCAGCGGATTGAATATCTCCTGGCCAAGCGGAAAGGAGAGGCTTATCGGATACTCCGTGCCAAGCGAGAGAGTGAAATCCCTTTTGCTCGTTATGGTCGGTTATTGCAGAGCCTCCCTGAAGGCTACGACACGGAAGATGAGGAGAACTCGTGGGGGAAAGGCGGATTGCTCCCCAATCCTGAAGAAGAGGAGGATTTTGGCGAGTGTGCCAACTACTATCTATCGGTGATTCGTAAGGCTGCGCGGCGACTGGACCGGTGGGACTACGAGAATGCCAACGGGCCCAAACGAGACCGCAAGAAAGAACGAGAGGAGCGGCAGCGAGCGCGGCAGAGTATGGCCCTTGAAAGTGTCTTGGATGCCACTGGCCGTGCTCCCACATCGGCTCGTAGCCGGGCACGAGCGGCGCGCAACGCCCGACGCCGACTTGCTGAAGCTAACGCAGAGGCTACGGGGGCGGGTACTCCTCAGGACGCGGCCGCATCCGCATCTCGCTCCAAGAGCAACCGCAGTCGCGCTAACCGTGACGGCGCAGGAGATGCTCGTGCGACTGGTGAAGCCAGCAAGGAAGATGGAGTTGGGGCATCGCGGGAGATGTCACCGATGCACGCCTCTGGGCACCTTGGGGATGAGGATGTGGACATGGAAGGTGAGGAAGGTCTCGATGACATCGATCGTGAGCTTCTGGGCGAGGGCAGTGGTGATGAGGGATGACGGCGTCTCTCGCGGGCCTCGTCTTTCTCGTCCAGCGGACGGTGGCTATGAAGACAGCTTCATGGGCGAGGCGGGTGATGAGGAAGGGGACGCGCTCTCGTCCGACGAGGATGACGACGATCTGGACGAAGGAGAAGGCGACGGGGACGAGAACTCGTCTACGTTTGAAGGCGGCCACGCCAGCGAGACCTCCTCCGTGGCCGGAGATGTGGGTGATCGCGGCGCAGAGACCAGTGATGCTGCTGGAGTTGTGGACAAGGACGAGCCCATGGAGGATTAATTAATAGGAGGGGGGATCATAGCGATCATAGCTACATTCTTGTATGTCGTTCTGTATAAGTTGGGATTTGGTTTGTTGCCAGGTGGTACTGGTGTGTTGACACCGGCATGATATGTTCCTTGTTTCTGTTTCGGCATAGTTAATTCACCCATAGGAGTATTTGGCTAGAGTCATCGCATGAGGCAATCACATGGAATGATAGATCATGGTGAGACCATCTGATGTGCGACAGTGCATGAGGGGAGGTTTCTGTTGGGGCAAACACTGCAACACGGATTGCATGTGATCGCGGCCGTTCCTTGGTCAACAGTCTTGGAAGTCTCCTCTCTCATCCTGCAGCTGTCCTGCCTCGCCTCCTCTCGGTGATTTGATTTCGCTCATACCGAAAAGCTATTGACTCCGCCGTCATTGGCGTCTCATCTCGTGCTCCGTCTGTCAGAGGCTCCACCAAAAGCGTCATCCCCACGAACCACCGCACGCCTCCCCCCGGTCTTTCCTGCTGTCCGTGCAGAGACTGACATCGAGCACTCCGACTCCGACTAACCAGACACTGGCCACATCGCAACTCCCCTCTGTGGTTACTAACGGCTGCATTTCCCCTCCGAAAGCCCCTCTTTCCTGTCGCTGTCGGTCCAGAGGCGGAGAAGAAGGAACATTCCCGCCTGTCAAACTGTCTCGTCCTCGTGATTGAATCCTCTATTAATAGAGGGACCTCAGGGGTCAACCCGATCGCCGGTGGAACAGAAGCTTTCATTCCCCCATATACTGCAATCCTCTCAGAGCGCTCGCTGTTGGGCAAGTTTGACTTCTCCGTTGTCGCCCCCCTTTGCGATCGTCGTCCGATTCGGCCGTCATATTCTGCCGCTTTGCTCCTTTTAACCTGATCTCCGACTCGCGATTTCTCTTCCCTTCCTGCTCCGCTTCCTTTCTCGCTGTGTTGTGCCTGTCAGATATGTCCGACAACATCGTACAACCTCGTCCACGGCGAGTGTTTAACCTCACTCCTTCGCCCAACGACACGCCCGAATCCTCTACACCGGCCGAACCCGCCAACCCCGACCTCTTGACCCCCAATGATGCCGGGTCCACCACTGTCAGCCGAACTGGCTCGATCATGAACCTGACTTCGTCCACGCTATACGGCATCTATTCCCCTACGGCGTTTGAAGGCTCCCGGGACGAATCGAGTCCCTGGGGCACCGAAGCTCAGACGCCGACCACAGAGCTTCCGAACCCTATACGCAAGCCAGAAGGATCGGACGGAGTGGCTCGACAGATGACACGGTCGCGACTGAGCCACGGACTTTTCCGGGGAGTGATTTTGCCTCAGACGCTAAAAAGCGCTCTCCTTTTCGGCTTCGGCGTCGTCTACGGAATCATTACAATCCATCTGCACGAGAATCACTGGATTACACCTGTGAAACTGGAGAATACCCACTTCTATGGCTCCCTGGAATATCTTGGATTATGGGGAATTGCGGGCGTGGCGTTGGGAAATGTGCTTCCCTGGCTCGACACCTTTTCGGAAGACGGAGGTGTCGACGACTCGAAGGCCTCGCGGAATGAGGAGGAGACTGAAGAACGCACCCGGTCCTGGGTGGCTGCGGTTCGAAGCGTGGGAGCTTTTGTTGGTGTCGCCTTTGCCATGGTGAGTGACCAATGTTCACTTTATTCTCTACTTAGGATCCGTACTAAACCCCATGTCACAGCGGAGAACTCCGTGGGCATCCACCACCCAGGCGTCAGCGACATTAGCCCTGACGAATCCCGTCCTCTGGTACCTCATCGACCGAACGATCACCGGCTTTGTCATGTCCACCGTCGTCGGTGTCGCCGGGATGGGCATTCTATTAAAACTATGGCCAGAGCTAGTGCCCGCGTCTGCCAACGGCACTCCAGCGGTACCTCCGCTTCTCAACGGCACTCTGTGGGACTATGGGCTAGCCACGGGGTTCACGCAGGAAAGCATCGCGGTGCGCACGTTTGTGGCCAGTGTTCTGTTCTCCGCCTGCGTGTGTTTTGGAAACATCGGGCGGCAATTGGCAATTGGAGCTCGTCGGGACAGCGTCAAGTCGTGAAAACTCAGATACCTGATTGTGTTGGGGTGACTCGGGCACTATCACTCCTATTATGTTTTATTTTCCCACCTTCTCGATTTTTTTTTTCCCTTGTTATTTTGTTACTGAAAAGATTTCTCCCCGGCAAGTCCTTGCAATCCCTCCTTTCATAGCTAGGCTTTTCTCATGGATCTGGAATTCGTGATTATGCGTGGCATGCGAGAGTCGGCGAGAAGGACTAAAGACGGTGGTCATGGTTGGGATGCATACAGGGGAATGAGAGAGCATGTTGAATGGATGCATTTACGAAGGGCGGTATTTTGGAAGAAGAGTGTAGAATCAATCATTGCGGTCCCTGCCATAAGAGCAGTCAGGCACTGCACCCAAGATCGACACCCTGCACGAAGCAGTTTCTCTCCATTCTTTATGACGATTTCCGTACTTCATTGGTATCTTCCATTCCGAAGAAAGGAGATGGGCCTCGCAGGAACGCTTTTGAAAGAATGTTAATTTTGCGTTGTTCATGAAGAAAAAAAAGAAGAAAAGAGAGGAAAAGCTGGGAGGAAATTTCGTGTTTTTGTATGCGGCAGACTGGTCTGTGCGCGATCATGTGATAGCCCCGTTTGTCGGTGTATCATGCTTCGCACAAGGAATAGTGTTATGCAACTTACTCATCTATGTCCAGGGCGGTGACAAACCCCGCGACGCCATTCCGAAAGCGGCGCCAACGAACAATATCGTGAACGATGACGATGAGGATGACCGATTGAGATCCAGCATTGATTCTCTTTTTCCTCTGCGTCCTCTGAACAATCTGTTTGCTCGATTGGAGACAATTCTACTTCCTCCTCCGACACTCACATCCAGGTACGTTTCTCCCTCTTGTTGTCCCCCGTTCCTGTCCCTCACATTGAATCCACTCCCCAAATTGGATCATCGGAGGGGTCCTCGTGGAGATAATTTTTTCCCCCTCTTTTTTTTCTTTTCTTTCTTCCTCTTCCTCTCTTCCATCCTCTCTCGTCTCTCCTGATTCCCCTTTCCTTCTCCCACTCCCTCTGACCGGGTTGTACTTTAGTGTCCCTCCCTGTCGGTGTCTCACCATGTCTCAACAAAAGTCTGGTAAGCCAATTGACTGATCTCTCTCTACCCGACCCCTCGTCACATTATGTTGTGGGAACCTCTAATGCCGGGTGCCAAGGGCTGTTTCTACGTCCCCACAACTGACAGTTCCTCTTCCTATGGGATTGATGGTCCAATGTCTTCCTCTATATCATGCTGACGGTCGCCGATTTAATCATCAACAGCTATCCTCTCTGTCTACGACAAGACCGGCCTGCTGGACCTGGCCAAAGGTCTGGTCAAGAGCAATGTCCGTCTGCTCGCCTCCGGTGGTACCGCTCGCATGATCCGTGAGGCCGGATTCCCCGTCGAGTGAGTCCTCCAGCTTTCCTCGGTTCACAAAAAAGACACTGTCTAATTGGACCGCCCGTATAGGGATGTTTCTGCCATCACCCATGCTCCCGAGATGCTCGGCGGCCGTGTCAAGACCCTCCACCCCGCCGTCCACGGTGGTATCCTCGCTCGTGATATTGAGTCCGATGAGAAGGATCTGGCGGAGCAGAAGATCGCCAAGGTGGACTTCGTCGTCTGCAACCTCTACCCCTTCAAGGAGACCGTCAACAAGGTCAACGTCACCATTGAGGAGGCTGTGGAGGAGATCGATATCGGTGGTGTGACCCTCCTCCGTGCCGCTGCCAAGAACCACGCCCGCGTCACCATTCTTTCCGACCCCCAGGACTACCCCGAGTTCCTGAAGGAGCTGGAGGCCGGTGAGATCACCGAGGCCAGCCGCAAGCTGCACGCCCTCAAGGCCTTTGAGCACACCGCCGACTACGACAGCGCCATCTCCGGCTTCTTCCGCAAGCAGTACGCTGGCAACGGCGAGCAATACATTGCCCTCCGTTACGGTACCAACCCCCACCAGAAGCCCGCTTCCGCCTACATGCTCCAGGGCAAGCTCCCCTTCAAGGCCCTGAACGGATCCCCTGGTTACGTCAACCTGCTTGACGCCCTCAACGCCTGGGCGCTGGTGAAGGAGCTCAAGCAGGCCTTGGGCTACCCCGCCGCCGCCAGCTTCAAGCACGTGTCCCCCGCCGGTGCCGCTGTCGGTGTGCCGCTGAACGAGAAGGAGCGCAAGGTCTACATGGTCGACGACATCGCCGGCATCGAGTCGTCCGGCCTGGCTCAGGCCTATGCCCGTGCCCGTGGTGCTGACCGCATGTCCAGCTTCGGTGACATCCTGGCTCTCAGCGATGTCGTCGATGTTCCCACCGCCAAGATTGTCTCTCGTGAGGTGTCGGACGGTGTGATCGCCGCCGGATACACCCCCGAGGCTCTGGAGATCCTCTCCAAGAAGAAGGGCGGCAAGTACCTGGTGCTCCAGATGGACGAGAACTACGTCCCTGCCGCCGAGGAGACCCGCACGCTCTACGGCGTCCAGCTCACTCAGCACCGCAACGATGTCGTCATCTCCCCCCAGAAGACCTTCAACACTATCATCACCCCCAAGGAGCTGAAGGCCCTTCCCGATTCGGCCGTGCGTGATCTCACCGTGGCCACCATCGCTCTGAAGTACACCCAGTCCAACTCGGTCTGCTACGCCCTGAACGGTCAGGTCATCGGTCTCGGCGCCGGCCAACAGAGCCGCATCCACTGCACCCGTCTGGCCGGCGACAAGGCTGACAACTGGTGGATGCGGTTCCACGACCGTGTGCTGAACATCAAGTGGAAGCAGGGCACCAAGCGTGCCGACAAGAGCAATGCCATCGACCTTCTCTGCTCGGGTCAGACCCCCCGCAACGACGCTGAGAAGGCCGAGTACGAGCGTGTTTTCGAGGAGGTGCCCGCTCCCTTCACGCAGGAGGAGCGTGAGGCCTGGCTCTCCAAGCTCAACGAGGTTGCGGTCTCGTCGGATGCCTTCGTGAGTGACCCTCATCCGGACCCCATTCCCCTCCCCCCCGCTGGCCTCTTACTGACTCCAATCTTTGCAGTTCCCCTTCATCGACAACGTCTTCCGTGCGGCCCGTTCCGGCGCCAAGTACATCGCGGCTCCCAGCGGTAGCCAGAACGACGGTCCCGTCTTCGAGACCGCCGAGAAGCTCGGCATTGTCTTTGTCGAACAGGGCACTCGTCTGTTCCACCACTAAATCGGTGGCATGTAACGTGGATCGTTGCAATTTATACCAAATGTTTTCCTTGCGATGATGTTGTTCTGTCTTCTCACGACCTCCGTATATCTACCTTCCTAGGCGCCTGATGAACACACAATCAGGCCAAAAAAAAGAAGACCGTGGACATGACGTGGTATGAGATTCAATGATGTATGAGAAAAGTTGCAAATTTGAAGATTAAATGTTCATGCGTGGGCCATTGTAATATGTCTCTGTCGTTCTGTCGGCCAGTTAACAGCCGACCCGAAGCTGGGATTAGGAGAGGTGAGAAGATGCCCGAGGATGATCTGGCATGAGAGGGTATAGTTAGAACCATGGTTGGATTGTGGTCTATCACAGGACGCTTTACTATACATATATCTAATTTACCTAGGTATGCACCTGCATCTCTGTTGGTGAACGATGAGTATACTGATATAACACTTCTTGTGTTGTGTGGGCTGCCCTACCATAACAATATATATCCGCATCCGCGTAGTCAGTCAGCCAAGTAGATGATTGTCCCCTCATATTTATCTTTTAGATATGCTTCCTGATGCAGATAAAAATGTCGATTAGTTAAGATAGAAATTAGTGTCAAATCATCAAAAAGAAATCCCTCTGTTAGATCTTACTGAACACCTACGCAATTGGAATGTATCATCGCGATGCGCAGCATAGTTACCATGGAATGTGGTTCCAGTCGGCTCAAACAAAAGATACTAGTCAGTCGTCCTAGACATTGCAGAGAAAGGATAGAGCACGGAGCTATATATTCTATATCGTATTTTCGGAGCAAATGGGTATATGCATTGGAGCTCATGGATGTAGGTACCCGTGCACCTGGTAAGTTGCCCCTTGCTTCGGATTCAAGTCTCGCTTGTAGGTTCAAGAGAGTATGCTGGCTAGTTGCTATACGGAGTATATACCACGTCTACATCTTATAACATGGGATAATCATGACGGGAGATTAAGCACCCGCAAGCCAGCCAGTCTCACGAACAGACACTGGATCCACCAGTGTAACAGACCACAGGGGCATTGACCCGGGACTCGAGGCCATTGGTACGGATTGGAGGTACCTAGGAACTCCGTAAGTCACTGGAAATTCATCACCGCAGTGAAACCATTGCAATATTCGAATGAACATGACAAATTATGGCGAGCTCGGAGTAACACCAGGGCTCATTTCCGTCGTTTGACATCTGATTGATGGATGTTGACCGCAATCCCAAACGCGTCTTGGTGGATGGAATAAAAGCAGCTCGCCAGTGTTACGATCGGCTGATCTGTGTGAGACGTAGAAGACCGTACTAGAGGCATGTGGCGCTATGGATGTTGTAGAGATTCACTGAAATGTGTACTCCGTAGACAGTGACAGCTGAGGCATTCTATTTAAGGGATGGGCACGTGACATGGGCCCCCATAAGCGACACCTCAGCAACAGCATCCGGCGCGGCCTCCTGAGGTCACCTTCCCGCTTTCCCCAGCTTGATCCTCCCTCTCCTTTCCTCCAATTCATCTATCCCTCATCTATCCTCTCTCTCCATCTTCGTTCTCTCCTTCGCTCCTCTTTAATACTTCAATTCCTTCTCCTTCGTTTTCTACACTCCCGGCGGGCTTTTTGGCGTGGCGTTTCGTTCGGTGGATGAGGTCGTCCTGCGGCCTACGTAAATATGGCTCCTCTACCTATCAAGTTCACGGAGCTCATTAATGTACGTCCTTACCCTCGCTGGGACGCCCTTCTCCTGATCTCTATGAATGATACTGACTCTGGACTCTCTCACTTGTAGTTGACAAATGCTGAAATCGCGGTATGCCCTGTTTTCCTCCGCTCCCCTCCGCATCGGGCCGCCTTGCGCTGGACGCGCCCGGTCGTCCCCCTTTACCGTCGTGAATCATCTGCTGACTTCCTGTCTTGATAGCCGGCGTCTATCGGCTTTAATTCATGTGTGCGTATTCCCTCCGAATGAACCAACCTAGGTCGGCCCTCCAATCCCGTCGTCATCCGCTAACCTTGGACTCCTCCTGAACAGACTCTAGAATCCGATCATTACGTCTGCGTTCGACAAAAACTCAGCGAGGAAGACAAGCCCCAGGTGATCATTGTTAACCTCAAGAACAACAATGAAATCATCAAGCGGCCGATCAATGCGGACAGTGCTATCATGCACTGGACCAAGAACATCATCGCCCTCAAGGCCCAGGGCCGCACAATTCAGATCTTCGACCTGACGGCGAAGCAGAAGCTGAAGTCGGCGGTCATGAATGAGGATGTCGTATACTGGAAGTGGTTCAGCGAGAAGAGCCTAGGCTTGGTCACCGACACCTCGGTCTACCACTGGGATGTGTTCGACCCGACCCAGTCGCAACCTCTGAAGGTCTTCGATCGGCTTCCGAACCTGAGTGTACGTATTACCGAAGTGGATGGTCATGCTATCGTGCTGATGAATTGTCGTTTTTTAGGGCTGCCAAATTATCAACTACCGCGTCAATGACGAGGAGAAGTGGATGGTCGTGGTGGGTATCAGCCAGCAGCAGGGCCGTGTGGTTGGCTCGATGCAGCTCTACTCTAAGGAGCGTGGCATCTCCCAGTTTATTGAGGGTCATGCCGCTGCTTTTGCGTCCATCAGGGTTGAGGGCTCTCCTTTGGAGCATAAGCTCTTCACCTTCGCCGTCCGTACCCAGACCGGTGCGAAGCTGCAGATCGCCGAGATCGACCACCAGGAACCGAACCCCCGATTCCAGAAGAAGGCTGTGGAGGTGTACTTCCCTCAGGAGGCCGTGAACGACTTCCCCGTCGCTATGCAGGTGTCGCGCAAGTACGACATCGTCTACCTCGTCACGAAGTATGGTTTCATCCACCTCTATGACCTCGAGACCGGTACCTGCATCTTCATGAACCGCATCTCCAGCGAGACCATCTTCACCACTGCCACCGATTCCGATTCCGCTGGTATTGTCGGCGTGAACCGCAAGGGCCAGGTCCTGTCCGTCAGCGTCGATGAGAGCACCATCATCCAGTACCTGATGGAGAACCCCGCTATGTCCGGTCTCGCGGTGAAGCTTGCCTCCAAGGCCGGCCTTCCTGGTGCGGACCACCTTTACCAGCAGCAATTCGACAACCTTCTCGCCCAGGGTAACTACTCCGAAGCCGCCAAGATCGCCGCGAACTCCCCTCGTGGATTCCTCCGTACTCCCGAGACCATCAACTGCTTCAAGAACGCGCCGCAGACCGGTCAGCAGATGTCCGTCATTCTGCAGTACTTTGGCATGCTGTTGGACAAGGGATCCCTGAACCGCTACGAAAGTGTGGAGCTTGTGCGCCCTGTGCTGCAGCAGAACCGGAAGCATCTGCTGGAGAAGTGGATGCGCGAGAACAAGCTGGAATCGTCCGAGGAGCTCGGTGATATTGTTCGCCCTTATGACATGAACCTGGCTTTGTCGATCTACCTGCAGGCCAACGTTCCCCACAAGGTCATTGCCGGCTTCGCTGAGACGGGTCAGTTTGACAAGATCCTGGCATACTCTAAGCAGGTTGGATACCAGCCCGATTACACCCAGCTCCTTCAGCACATTGTCCGTGTGAACCCCGAGAAGGGTGCGGAGTTTGCAACCCAACTCGCGAACGAGGAGAGCGGTGCTCTCATTGACCTGGACCGTGTTGTGGACGTGTTCCTCTCCCAGAACATGATTCAGCAGGCCACCTCTTTCCTCTTGGATGCTCTGAAGGATAACAAGCCGGAGCATGGTCACCTGCAGACTCGTCTGCTGGAGATGAACCTGGTCAACGCTCCTCAGGTTGCCGATGCCATCTTGGGTAACGAAATCTTCACTCACTACGATCGACCTCGTATCTCGCAGCTTTGCGAGAATGCTGGCCTCATTCAACGTGCGCTGGAGAATACCGACGACCCCGCGGTGATCAAGCGAAACATTGTCCGCACCGACAAGCTGAACCCTGAGTGGCTCATGACCTACTTTGGCCGTCTCTCTGTCGAACAGACGCTGGAGTGCATGGACACCATGCTGGAGGTCAACATCCGTCAGAACCTGCAGGCCGTTGTTCAACTTTGCACAAAGTTCTCTGACCTGCTGGGACCCACCCGCCTCATCAGCCTCCTGGAGAAGTACCGCACTGCTGAGGGTCTCTACTACTACCTTGGAAGTATCGTTAACCTCAGCGAGGACCCGGAGGTTCACTTCAAGTACATCGAGGCTGCTACTGCTATGGGCCAGATCACCGAAGTTGAGCGGATCTGCCGTGAGAGCAACTACTACAACCCCGAGAAGGTGAAGAACTTCTTGAAGGAGGCTAAACTGACCGAGCAGCTTCCTCTGATCATTGTCTGCGATCGGTTCAACTTCATCCACGACCTTGTCCTCTACCTTTACCAGAACCAGCAGTACAAGTCCATTGAAGTCTATGTGCAGCGCGTGAACCCCTCCCGGGCTCCAGCGGTGGTTGGTGGTCTGCTCGATGTCGACTGTGACGAGGGTATTATCAAGAACCTGCTGTCTACTGTCGACCCTGCCGTCATCCCCATCGATGAGCTCGTTAGTGAAGTCGAATCCCGCAACCGGCTGAAGCTGCTTCTTCCTTTCCTCGAGGCGACCCTCGCCACTGGCAACCAGCAACAGGCTGTCTACAACGCTCTGGCCAAGATCTACATCGACAGCAACAACAACCCCGAAAAGTTCCTGAAGGAGAACGATCTCTACGACACCTTGACTGTCGGCAAGTACTGTGAGAAGCGTGACCCCAACCTCGCCTACATCGCCTACCGCAAGGGCCAGAACGACCTGGAGCTTATCAACATCACCAACGAGAATGCCATGTATCGCGCACAGGCTCGTTATCTCGTTGAGCGGGCTGATCCTGAAATCTGGGCGTTTGTGCTCAGCGAGAACAATGCCCATCGCCGTTCTCTGGTTGACCAGGTCATTGCCACTGCTGTGCCGGAGTCGACCGAACCCGACAAAGTGTCTGTTGCGGTCAAGGCCTTCCTCGAAGGTGACCTTCCTGGAGAACTGATTGAGCTCTTGGAGAAGATCATCCTTGAGCCCTCGCCCTTCAGCGACAACGGCAGCTTGCAGAACCTGCTGATGCTGACCGCTGCCAAAGCTGACAAGGGTCGCCTGATGGACTACATTCACCAGCTCAATGAGTTCAGCCCCGACGAAATTGCCGAGATGTGCATCTCTGTGGGACTGTATGAGGAGGCTTTCGAGATCTACAAGAAGGTCAACAACTTCCTTGCTGCCGTCAACGTGTTGGTGGAGAACATTGTCAGCATTGACCGTGCCCAAGAGTTCGCTGAGCGGGTTGAGCTGCCTGAAGTCTGGAGCAAGGTCGCCAAGGCCCAGTTGGATGGTCTTCGTGTGTCCGATTCGATTGAGTCGTATATCCGTGCTGATGACCCGTCCAACTACAACGAAGTCATCGAGACCGCGACGCACGCCGGCAAGGATGAGGATCTCGTCAAGTACCTGAAGATGGCCCGCAAGACCCTCCGGGAGCCTGCCATCGATACCGCGCTTGCCTTCTGCTATGCTCGCCTTGACCAGCTGCCTGAACTCGAGGACTTCTTGCGGGCGACCAACGTGGCGGACGTTGAGGCGTCCGGTGACAAGGCCTACGAGGAGGGATACCACCAGGCTGCCAAGATCTTCTACACTAGCATCTCCAACTGGGCCAAGCTGGCCACCACCCTGGTGCACCTGGAAGACTACCAGGCTGCCGTGGAGTGCGCCCGCAAGGCCAACAGCGTCAAGGTCTGGAAGCAGGTCAACGAGGCCTGTGTGAGCAAGAAGGAGTTCCGCCTGGCCCAGATCTGTGGTCTCAACCTCATTGTCCATGCGGAAGAGCTGCAGGATCTTGTCCGCCAGTACGAGCGCAACGGATACTTTGACGAGCTCATTGGCGTCCTGGAGGCCGGTCTGGGTCTGGAGCGTGCTCACATGGGCATGTTCACCGAACTGGGCATTGCTCTGTCCAAGTACCACCCTGACCGGGTCATGGAACACCTCAAGCTCTTCTGGTCCCGGATCAACATCCCCAAGATGATTCGCGCCTGCGAGGATGCCAACCTCTGGCCGGAGCTGGTGTTCCTCTACTGCCACTACGACGAGTGGGACAACGCGGCTCTGGCGATGATGGAGCGGGCGGCGGATGCGTGGGAGCACCACTCGTTCAAGGACATTATTGTCAAGGTGGCGAACCTTGAGATCTACTACCGGGCGCTGAACTTCTACCTCCAGGAGCAGCCGCTTCTCCTGACGGATCTGCTGCAGGCTCTGACTCCCCGCATCGACGTCAACCGTGTGGTGCGCATCTTCCAGGCGTCGGACAACATCCCGCTGATCAAGCCGTTCCTGCTCAATGTGCAGACGCAGAACAAGCGGGCGGTGAACGATGCGATCAACGATCTGCTGATCGAGGAGGAGGACTACAAGACGCTGCGCGACTCGGTGGACAACTACGACAACTTCGATGCGGTGGAATTGGCGCAGCGGCTGGAGAAGCACGATTTGATCTTCTTCCGGCAGATTGCGGCCAACATCTACCGCAACAACAAGCGGTGGGAGAAGTCGATTGCGCTGTCGAAGCAGGACAAGCTGTACAAGGATGCCATTGAGACGGCGGCGATTTCGGGCAAGTCGGATGTGGTGGAGGAGCTTCTGCGCTACGTAAGTTTTTCTTTTCCTTTCTTTCTTTTTATATTCTTCCGGCATTGCTAATTGGGGAATAGTTTGTGGATATTGGAAGCCGGGAGTGCTATGTGGGCATGCTGTATGCGTGCTACGATCTGATCCGGCCGGATGTCATCCTGGAGGTGTCGTGGCGGCACGGACTGCATGACTTTACGATGCCGTTCATGATCAACTTCCTGTGCGAGCAGACGCGGGCGATCGAGATGCTCAAGAAGGACAATGAGGAGCGGAAGAAGCGGGAGGTCAGCCAGAAGACGGAGGAGGACAACACGCCGATCCTGGGCGGTTCCCGGTTGATGCTGACGCAAGGACCGGCGGCGCCTGCACCGGCTCCTATGGCGTATGGGCAGACGAACGGGATCACGCCGCAGGCGACTGGATTCCGCCCATTCTAGAAGAATGGAGGGGGGAAGTGTATGTATAGACTGGGGAGGCGGGGGAAGAGAGTGAACTCGGCTATGTGATTAATCCGGACCATTTGTTGCGTTTCTCTCTTCGGTATGCTCGCATTTCATTTTGTTTTCTTTCGTGTCCTGTATTTTTGATCCCGCTTATCGAACGGTCAAGGGCTGCGGTCCGTTGACGAATGCACGCATTGTTTGTCTGTGTCTTGGTGCTGCGAGGAGGTCTTGGTCCGTTGGTCCGAGACGTCTACTCTGTACTCCGTAGATGGGTTTAGTGTGTCTACTATGCAGGATGTAGTCCTATACTCCGTACTCCGTACGTCTATATCTAGGGTGGATAAGAGGGAAGCGTCAGCTCTTGCAGGGATGGCATCCACTGGACCGGGTGGACGGTGGTGGTGGTGAACTTTGCCGGTGAGCGCAGGAGCACTCTGGTCCGGGGCTGGTCACGGCGGGCAGAAAAAATTTTTTTTCTTTTTTTTTTCTTCTCTCTTACTCCTCTGGGTCTGTCCGAACCAAGTTTTGTGTTGTCAGGAGGGGTGGAAAAAAAAAGGGTAAAAAAGGGAAAAGGCTAAACCGGTGTGATGTTTAGGCAAGGAGGAGCCTGCCAAGCGGGAGCAGCATGCAGAACAGCAGCCCCATCGACCTCGGTTCCTCCCAGTCCAGACACGGTCGATCCGGTGTCGCGGAAAGCGTTCTCCGGGGGGGTTTCCCATGGAGAGGGCGCCTAGCGTCGGCGTGGGTGTCAGAAGGGTCGTTCCTGGCCCGGTCTTTTTTCGGAAATGGCCCACGATGATTGCAGCGGGTGGAGAAGAAGATTGACGAGGATTGACGGGCGGGTTGGGGACTGGGTGACGGGTTCATGTGGGAGGACGAGAATAACGCGCGATGGGCCAGGGACGTATTAACCCGAGGACCCGAGGTAAATAGAGCACGAAAAACGTAGGAGAAAGTCGGAGGGAGGTCTACGGATGGTTGAAGATGAAGATAGATGGAGATGGAGATGGATATGGATATGGAACGGGAGTATTGTGGTGACGATGTCATAGTGTACGGGGTACATACAGTCCATAGATCACGCGGAGGCCTATAGTAGTTCACCGGCATCCTCTAAGGGATGGACAGACAAGAGCCGGTGAACCGGTGTACCAGGGACCTAGGTAGTATATGGAGTAGTACTGTAGTATCCCATGTATCTGCAAACAAGATCCATTGAGCCCATTGATCCATTGAGCAATAAAAATGTCAATAATAATTGATAACGGATAACTGGAGTAGAGTCAATCATGTGCCGAGATGCTCAGGATTCCCGATTGGGATGATGACTTCACTGCCCCTCTTGTAGACTACAGGTACTTCTATCTCCCTTCTTCTCTTCTTCTCTTCTCTTCTCTTCCTCTTCTCTCGTCCAATTCTTCATCTTCATACTCTTCATCCTCCTAACCCTGTCAACCTCCCTGCAACTTCCCCCACACTCCCCTCCCTCTCCCCCAATTATCCTTTCCGGTCCGACACCGGGCCTTTTTCTGGCGTTCCCCTCCTCCGCCGGGAAGCTCCATCTCTACCCTCTCCTCTCTACCTACTGTAGTATATCTGAGGGTTCCACTACCTCCCTCTCTCGTCCTCTCTTCCAGTGACTCATCTTCTCGCTCCCTCCCTCCCTCCCTCCTTATTTATTCAATTGACCACCATCTCTCCCCATCTCTAAACCTCTCACTCCCCAATTACGTCCTCCCCCCTCCCCCCTCTCCCCACCACTCCTCTCCGACACATCACCATGGCGGCCCCCTATCGTCAGCCAGAGGAGGCAGTCGATGACTCCGAGTTCATCGACGACCATCATGATCACCTCCGCGACACCGTCCACCATCGCCTACGGGCCAACTCCGCCATCATGCAGTTCCAGAAGATCCTCGTCGCCAACCGCGGCGAAATCCCCATTCGGATCTTCCGTACCGCTCACGAACTCTCCCTCCAGACGGTCGCCATCTTCTCCCATGAGGACCGTCTCTCCATGCACCGTCAGAAGGCCGACGAGGCCTACATGATCGGCCACCGCGGCCAGTACACCCCCGTCGGCGCCTATCTGGCCGCCGATGAGATCGTCAAGATCGCCCTCGAGCATGGCGTCCACTTGATCCACCCCGGCTACGGGTTCTTATCCGAAAACGCCGACTTTGCCCGCAAGGTCGAGAAGGCCGGCATGGTCTTCGTCGGTCCCACCCCCGACACCATTGACAGCCTCGGTGACAAGGTCTCCGCCCGCCAGCTGGCCATCCGCTGCAACGTCCCCGTCGTGCCCGGCACCGAGGGCCCCGTCGAGCGCTACGAGGAGGTCAAGGCCTTCACCGACACCTATGGCTTCCCCATCATCATCAAGGCCGCCTTCGGTGGTGGTGGTCGCGGCATGCGTGTCGTGCGCAACCAGGCCGACCTGCGCGACTCCTTCGAGCGTGCCACCTCCGAGGCCCGCTCCGCCTTTGGCAACGGCACCGTCTTCGTCGAGCGCTTCCTCGACAAGCCCAAGCACATCGAGGTCCAGCTGCTCGGTGACACCACGGCACGTCGTCCACCTCTTCGAGCGTGACTGCTCCGTCCAGCGTCGTCACCAGAAGGTCGTCGAGGTCGCCCCCGCCAAGGACCTGCCCACCGATGTGCGCGACCGCATCCTGTCCGACGCCGTGAAGCTGGCCAAGTCGGTCAACTACCGCAACGCCGGTACCGCCGAGTTCCTGGTGGACCAGCAGAACCGCCACTACTTCATCGAGATCAACCCCCGTATCCAGGTCGAGCACACCATTACCGAAGAAATCACCGGCATCGATATTGTCGCCGCCCAGATCCAGATCGCCGCTGGCGCCACGCTGGAGCAGCTCGGTCTGACTCAGGACCGCATCTCTACCCGCGGCTTCGCCATTCAGTGCCGTATCACCACCGAGGATCCCTCCAAGGGCTTCTCCCCCGACACTGGCAAGATCGAGGTCTACCGGTCCGCCGGTGGTAACGGTGTCCGTCTCGACGGTGGAAACGGCTTCGCCGGCGCCATCATCACCCCCCACTATGACTCCATGTTGGTCAAGTGCACCTGCCGCGGGTCCACCTATGAGATCGCCCGTCGCAAGGTCGTTCGTGCCCTGGTCGAGTTCCGTATCCGCGGCGTGAAGACCAACATCCCCTTCCTGACCTCCCTGCTGAGCCACCCCACCTTTGTCGATGGCAACTGCTGGACCACCTTCATCGACGACACCACCGAACTGTTCGCGCTGGTGGGCTCGCAGAACCTGCGCCCAGAAGCTGCTCGCCTACCTCGGTGATGTCGCCGTCAATGGCAGCAGCATCAAGGGTCAGATGGGTGAGCCCAAGTTCAAGGGCGAGATCATCAAGCCCAAGCTGCTGGATGCCCAGGGCAAGCCGCTGGACGTCTCGCATCCCTGCACCAAGGGTTGGAAGCAGATCATCGACCAGGAGGGCCCCGTCGCCTTCGCCAAGGCCGTCCGCGCCAACAAGGGCTGCTTGATCATGGACACCACCTGGCGTGACGCCCATCAGTCGCTGCTGGCCACCCGTGTGCGCACCATTGACCTGTTGAACATCGCCCACGAGACCAGCCACGCCCTGTCCAACGCCTACAGTTTGGAGTGCTGGGGTGGTGCCACCTTCGACGTCGCCATGCGCTTCCTCTACGAGGACCCCTGGGACCGTCTGCGCAAGATGCGCAAGGCCGTGCCCAACATCCCCTTCCAGATGCTCCTCCGTGGCGCCAACGGCGTGGCCTACTCCTCCCTCCCCGACAACGCCATCTACCACTTCTGTAAGAACGCCAAGAAGTGCGGTGTCGACATCTTCCGTGTCTTCGACGCCCTCAACGACGTCGACCAGCTCGAGGTCGGCATCAAGGCCGTCCACGCCGCCGAGGGTGTGGTTGAAGCTACCGTTTGCTACAGCGGTGACATGCTGAACCCCAAGAAGAAGTACAATCTGGAGTACTACCTGGCGCTGGTCGACAAGATCGTCGCCCTGAAGCCCCACGTTCTCGGCATCAAGGATATGGCCGGTGTGCTGAAGCCCCAGGCTGCGCGTCTGCTGGTCGGCTCCATCCGCGAGCGCTACCCCGACCTCCCCATCCACGTCCACACCCACGACTCTGCCGGTACTGGTGTGGCGTCCATGATCGCCTGTGCCCAGGCCGGCGCCGACGCAGTGGATGCCGCCACCGACAGCATGTCCGGCATGACCTCGCAGCCCAGCATCGGTGCCATCCTCGCCTCTCTCGAGGGCACCGAGCACGACCCCGGCCTCAACTCGGCCCACGTGCGCGCCCTCGACAGCTACTGGGCCCAGCTGCGTCTGCTGTACTCACCCTTCGAGGCCAACCTCACCGGCCCCGACCCGGAGGTCTACGAGCACGAGATCCCCGGTGGCCAGCTGACCAACCTGATCTTCCAGGCTAGCCAGCTGGGTCTGGGCCAGCAGTGGGCTGAGACCAAGAAGGCCTATGAGGTGGCCAACGACCTGCTGGGTGACATCGTCAAGGTCACGCCCACCTCCAAGGTGGTCGGCGATCTGGCCCAGTTCATCGTCTCCAACAAGCTGAGCGCGCAGGATGTGATCGACCGCGCCGCCGAGCTGGACTTCCCCGGCTCCGTCCTGGAGTTCCTCGAGGGCCTGATGGGTCAGCCCTTTGGCGGGTTCCCCGAGCCGCTGCGGTCCCGCGCGCTGCGCAACCGCCGCAAGCTCGACAAGCGGCCCGGTCTCTATCTGGAGCCGCTGGATCTGGCCGCGATCAAGAACCAGATCCGCGAGCAGTTCGGCAGCGCCACCGAGTACGACGTGGCCAGCTACGCCATGTACCCCAAGGTGTTTGAGGACTACAAGAAGTTTGTGCAGAAGTACGGCGACCTCTCGGTGCTGCCGACGCGCTACTTCCTGGCCAAGCCCGAGATCGGCGAGGAGTTCCACGTAGAGCTGGAGAAGGGTAAGATGCTGATCCTCAAGCTGCTGGCCATCGGACCCCTGTCCGAGCAGACCGGCCAGCGCGAGGTGTTCTACGAGGTGAACGGTGAGGTGCGCCAGGTCAGCATCGACGACAAGAAGGCCTCGATCGACAACACGGCGCGCCCCAAGGCGGATGTGGGCGACAGCAGCCAGGTCGGCGCGCCAATGAGCGGTGTGGTGGTGGAGATCCGCGTGCACGACGGTCTGGAGGTGAAGAAGGGAGATCCTCTGGCTGTTCTGAGCGCCATGAAGATGGTACGTTCCTTTCTTTCCCTTTGTGGTGGAAGATTATATACTAACGCGTGGTAGGAAATGGTGATCTCGGCTCCGCACAGCGGCAAGGTGTCCGGGTTGCTGGTCAAGGAGGGCGATTCCGTGGACGGCCAGGATCTGGTCTGCAAGATCACCAAGGCGTAAGGTTGGTGGAGGAAAAGTACAGGCGGGGCCGCATGTCTAGATAAGAGCATGTTCTATGACTTATGATTGGGTTCGGTTTAGTTATTGAATGAATGTTTGAATGTTTGATTTCTCATGGCTTTGACTCTATGTACAAGTGGATAGATCTGAGATGATATGTACAGGTACAACTACAGCTTCGCGGCGGTAGCGTCCGGCTCCCCGACCTCCCGCAAGCCCCGCCACACACGCATGGCCTCATCCCAGAGCTCATCCTGCCAGATATCGACTTCACCGTCGGACCGCAAGCGGCGCACCTCAAGATGATTGCGGGTGCCCCACTGCACATCCGGCTCGCCATGCACAAACCGCTTCCAGGGGCCGATGAACGCGCGATGAATAACAGGCTTCTCGGCGTCCTCCAGCACATCCCCATTCCCCCAGAACCACATATACTGATCCGTGGCGTGGGTGACGCCCCACTCGGGGGGGATGGAGTGGTCCGCGCAGCGCAGACGGAACTCAATGCGGTAGCGGTAGACGAGATGCCCGGCGCCGCCGCGGACGAGGCTGTCGATCAGGCCGCGCTGCATGTTATGCACCTGCATGTCGGCGTAGACGCGGCCGAAGGCGTCGACGTCCCAGTCCGCGCAGCCGGCGGGAAGGGCGTCGCCGGAGGGCCCGTAGTACAGGCGCATGAGGGCGTCGACGGCCGGGCGGTGGTAGTCGGCGAGGAGGCGGGCACGCAGGGCGGCGGGGGAGTTAGCCGTGGGCGGGAACCAGGAGGCGTAGAGGTGGCGCTCGTCGCGGCACTCGCCGGTGAGGATGCGGACGCGACGGGCGGCGAGGCGGCGGGCGAAGGAGCCGTCGTCGAAGGCGGCGAAGAGGCGCGCGGAGACGAAGTCGTCGTCGGACCAGGGGCGGAACTGGTGGGTAGGCACGGCGGTGGCGGCGGCCAGGAGGGTCTTGGCGGGGAGGGCGCGGAGGCGGGCGAGCTTGTCTGGCGGCGGAAGGGAGCGCGGGATGTGCAGGGCGTCGAGGACCTCGTCGAACTGGGCCTGGGCGGCGGCGGCGGAGCGCGGCTGGGTGGCCGGGGAGTTGGAGAAGATGCAGGCCTGTTTCACGAGGGCGCGGTGGTCCGGGAGGCCGAGGTCATAGGCGAGCTGGTAGAAGACGGAGTAGGCGCCGGCGGAGTAGCCGGCGATGGTGATCTGGGCCGGGTTGCCGCCGAGCAGGGCGGCGTGGTCGCGGGTCCATTCGAGGGCGAGGCGCTGGTCCCAGAAGCCCTGGTTGCCGGGGACGGCGCCGGGGGCGGCGTCGGCGGCGAGCTCGGACGAGGCTAGGAAGCCGAAGATGCCGACGCGGTAGGCGGGCATGACGACGATGGCGTCGAAGGCGGCGCGGGCGTCGCCCAGCAGCTCGGCCGCGGAGAAGGTGTTGGGGCTGCCGAACTGGAGGAAGCCGCCGTGGATGAAGAAGAGGACGGGCCAGCCGCCGGGGGGCGGGGTGCCCGTGGGCACCCAGACGTTGCACTGGAAGCAGTCCTCGTCCCAGTTGTCGCCGAAGGAGAGGTTGAGGAAGCTGGGCTGCGGGCAGACGTTGGTCGTGCCGGGACAGCGGCCGGGCTGGGTCTGCGAGCCGTAGGTATACGAGTCTGGCAGCTTCTGGGCGCGGTGCCAGCGCTGCGACGGTGGGAGACCGTAGCGGAGGCCGCCGAAGTAGTGACAGAGAGGCTTGTTGGTGGTTTTGTCATGGAGAGTCACGCCCTCGATGTAGCCCCGGTGGGCGAGGGACTTGCGGTAGGGTTGTTGGGAGTGCTCCATGGTGGTTGAGGGGTGGAGTTCAGGGTGAGTTGATGCCAGCGAAGGATTGAGGGGACGACTGCGAGGCTCTTATAGCAGGCATGATAAGAGCATAGCCGAGTAGTCGGCAAAGGAGCGAGGGTTGATAGAGGAGGATATCTGGAGAAGGGATCCTTTGCCTGTGCGGGGAACTGGTTCCGCTCATCGGAGGCCAGATGTAGAGCCGAGGGACTCCACGCTATCGGGGTAGAAGCATATAGGAGGGGGTCAAACGGAATTGGAAGGATGAATGTATAAGAGGAAGAGGATAGTATACTCCGCTATGAAGTATAAAAGGTACTGCAGATGGAAGTCAGCTGACCCTCCAGCCCTAATTGTCCATCACCACCATTATATCTCCTATTATACTACTGTACTCTACTATACTATCTCCGGATCTCCGCTTACCAACCATGGTTCATCCCCCGCCATGATTGGATTCCAGTCGAATTAGACTCGGATGATGATGAGTCGCATTCGCCTGGTCTGGATGTCTTTGTGTCCCCGGATGGTACGGATCGTGTGACCGTCGACGTCGTATAAAGAACGACATCTTCTCTACGGAGTATATGAACGACAGAGATATCCATCATCTGCATCAGTATCGATACAATCAACATTACCACCAGAACCACCTAAACGAACAGGTCAGTGACCCCTGCCAGAGCATGACGTCTGCACTCCGATCCTCCAATGATGGCGGCAATGTAACCTGTCTCGCCTCTTCCCCTCTTCTGCTCTCCTCATCTCCATCCTCACCCTCTCCCCTCAAGTCACTCTTCCTATCCTCATCTAACATCCTCCAGTCCATCAAACCATGTCCGATTCATCCCAGCCCCGTCATTGGCACGGTAGTGTAGGTGACCGTTACGAACACACCAACGTCTGGGTCCGGGGTGGTCCGCCCACGGCATATCGTCGGCCGTCCGCCTCGGCCATCCCTGCCACTGCCACTGCCACTACCTCGTCATCCGTCGGCCTTGACATGAACGACAGACGTGTATGTCTGGCCTTCTGCCATCGCTTCGGCGTTCTCATGTGTCCATCCATTCCCTGTGCATGAGACTCTGACTGACCGCGCGCGCGCGCATATGTAGGGCTCCGCGGCGTCTGACATGTCCGCCGGCTCCACGAGCAGCAGCGCCAACACTGGCGCCAGTCCTCCCGGCAGAAGACGCTCCAGCGGCCACGGGCCCTCGACGCTGTTCGAGAGTCTGACCAGCCAGAAGCGCAACTCTGAGGACGCCAGTGCCGCTGCCCGGAGGGCCAGCTACACCGAGCAGGCCCAGAAGGGTGGTTTCTTCGCCAAGTGGTGGGATGGGTACACTCGCGGCCAGTAGATTTGTTTCTTCCAGGTAAATCGATGTGATATGACCATGCGTTGCATTCTGGAATCTGTTTGATGGAAATGTGCATATGAATGGATGGTGATGGTGAGGCATGGGAAATTGTCACATAACTTGTATGGACGTGCTGGTGCGTAAATATCAGATATCAATAAGTCTGGATATCCCGACAGTAGACGAGTAGATCTTGTATCGTCTTAGCCTTAAGTCGACAGGCTCATGCACAATCGTAATCGCATCGTTGGCCAACAGACCAGTCTACGGCTACATACCTACCGGACAGAACCTACAGACCGACCGCGACACAGTCAACGATCAATCGAGATACCAGAGGAAAAGAAACAGACTCCACGAGTCCAGGCCGCGTCATGCCATCAGTCACCCCTTTCGGATGCGACCAGGCAGCATCATAGCACTTTTCATCAATGGTTATGCGGATACATCACCCTTCGTGAAGCCTTCATTGTGAAAAGTCGGATGCATTTGAAAAAAGGTTTGTTAATTGCCAGATCTCTAACACGCCTATCCTCATGTCGTGGTAGATAATAAAAAAAGCAGCCCTTCGAGCTTTTTTTGTTATTGGTTCATCATAAACACAGGCTTTTCCCCCCAAAAGACCATCCCCGCGGATTTCATCGGGTGATTTACCGGACAATGCCGTCGAAGCGGTTCTTGAACCACTTGATGGTCTCAGCCTGGTTGATACGGTGGTTGGAACCAATGCGGGCCTTGCAGCGACGACGCTTGGCGACACGCTCACCAGGACGAGTCCTATTCCGGTCAGCTTCATGCCCCCATCGACTTCAGCGCTTATCTCGCATCCAGGTCACTCACATGCAGCAGTAGAAGTCCATGCCGTAGATACCAATACCGGGGTCGTACTTGATACCCAGATCGATGTGCTCGGAGATACCGAAGCCGAAGTTGCCGGTCTCGGAGAAGTTGCCCTTCTTGAGTTCGTACTCCTTGACCTTGAGGCCACGCTCGAGGATCTCCTCGGCCTTGGGGCCACGGACGGTAACGTGGACGGCGATCTTTTCGTTACGACGGATACCGAAGGTACGGACAGTGTAGCGGGCCTTGCCTAGAAATCACGAAAAATCTCTGATCAGTCATGTTGTCGATTTCGAGCCGTTTGGTCGTGATCCGTTGGTTGTCCCTCTTCCTCTTCCACGCTTCGCAGATTTTCATATTCTTGTCGTCGATTTGTAGAATCCTCCTCTTATCGGATCAACCGTATCGGGGAGACGGGAAAAGGCGTCCTTACTGTAGACAGGAGTCTGACCGCTCAGCTGCTCGAGCACCTTAGCAGCACGGGTAAGTCTGTCACCAGACTCGCCGACACTGATGTTGAGCACGAGCTTCTGGATGCGCAGCTCGCGCATGGGGTTCGCGCTCTTGTCCTTTCCGTCCGACTGCATGGCGAATTAATTAATGATATGAACTCGAGAGGAGGTTGTGTGTCGATAGGGAGACGAAGAAAACACCTACCATGGCGACTGCGTTGGCGATATGAAGACTGGTCGACTGGCAGAAATGGGCAAAGCGAGAAAGGGAAAAAGAAATCGGGATGTGTGGGCGGGTGTGGGCGGTGGGAAGCGAGAAAGCCCTTAGCGTCTTGGCATCCGTCGCCTGGCGCTAAGCCGCGTCTATCTCGGCTCAGTCAGCAGCCGCCCCAAGAGTTCCACTTCGAGGTTCCCTTCCGATCAAAAGCTGTTCAGCAGGTGCTGTGTTGCGCGTAGGAGTTCCCCCCAAGCTTCTACCGGTCTCACGCTGTCAATTTTTTGGTCCTATCTCTCCAAGTCGCCGTCGCGCGCACTTACTAGCCCATAATGGCGGCCAACAAGCAGGGCAAGATGGTACGTGTGGGCTTTTGCGTCCCCTCCAGATGAATCTCTGTTGAGCTTCACTCCGCGTGTCTTGATAAATGTCCAGCGCTAACTGACTCTTTCATCATAGCAAAACCTCGTATGTCGATCGCCCTGATGTCTTCTCGCCTATGTTCTCTCCTAACGCGCCGCAGATCAACTACCGGATGAGAGTCACTCTCAACGACGGTCGACAGATGACGGGACAGATGCTTGCCTTTGATAAGGTATTCCGCCTCAATGCTCTTCCGAATGCCCCATCTAACCCTCTCCCAGCATATGAACCTCGTCCTCGCCGACACTGAAGAATTCCGTCGCGTCAAGCGCAAATCGAAGCCCGCCGCCGGCGCCGCGAACGCTCCTCTCGTCGAATCTGAAGAGAAACGAACCCTCGGTCTCGCCATCGTCCGCGGTACCCATGTTGTCTCCTGCTCCGTTGATGGTCCTCCTCCCGCCGACCCCTCCGCCCGACTGGGCACCGGTGTCCCCGGCGCCGCTGCCGCCGCCGCTACTCTCGCCGCTGGCCCTGGAATCAGTAAACCCGCTGGACGTGGTCTTCCAGTCGGCCTTGGAGGTCCCGCCGCCGGTGTGGGAGGACCTCCTCCTCCGCCGGGCGGTTTCCCTGGCTTCCCCCCGGGTGGTTTCCCCGGTGCTCCTCCGGGCTTTGCGGCTCGTGGAGGACCTCCAGGTGGACCTCGTAAGTTTCACTCTCCGGGGATGTTGCCTAATATGGCTGGGATCAATACTAACGTTGTATTAGCTGGATTTGCTCCTCCCCCCGGTTTCGCGCCTCAGGGCGGTCCTCGTAAGTTTCTTACCCTTCTCTGCCTCGCGAGGCCGCCGTCTAACCTGCCTTCACAGCGGGATCTTTCCAGCCTCCTCCCGGATTCCAACCCCCCGGTCAGGGACGTGGCTTCCCTCCGCCCGGCTTTGGAGGACGGTGATTTGACTGCGATGATACCAACCGGAGTAATGGCCTATGAGGTTCCAACGACTCGCTAGAGTTGGCCCGGAACGCGAAAGATGCAAGGAAAGAAAGGGATCCCCTCCTATTCATGACGCCTGTGCAATGAATCTGGTACAGCACACCGAACATTTTATCCAGGCAAAAGGCGTTGCGGCGTGTGCGGATTGCAGGGAATGCAAAGCGGAAAACTCCTAAGAAAAGACCACGTCAACAATGTTAGATAGATGTTTTATTATCTTGCTCTGTTATTGTCTGGAGCGATTCCTCTAGAGCCTAGTGAAGCCATAATATATCTGTCTCGAGGTGTCGTACTGTTATCACCTTCTAGGTACCTAAACTGCTCCGTACTATCAACATGGCACGTGACCTCCGGCATACTCCGCCCGGCGCGGCGATTCCGCAGTCGGGGAAACCACCAAGTCTCTCTCTGCCCCCATCTCCTCTCTTCCCTTTACTCTCGTGTCTCCTGGGCCCCGAGTATATCATTACCATCAAAATGGCCGCCGCAATCAAAGCCATCAATGCCAAAATCCGGTCCAACAAGGTTCTGGACTACATCTGTTCCACCCGTACGTGCAATCCCCAACGCTTGTACCTGTTCCCGAAATCGGCCGCCCGCCGAAGCTATCCCAGTCATCCATGACGCCGATGCATTGCGGTCTCTGGCCAGCAAGAAGCGGGCGACACCACCCGAAAATGACCCCGGTGGTACCCTGAGACGAACAAATGGCTGATCGCGGGCGTCTCCCGCATCTCTAGACTTCTGGGGGCCGGCCTCCAACTTCGGTATCCCCTTGGCGGCTGTGATGGACACGCAAAAGGACCCTGAAATGTACGTGACGGATGCGTGACAGCGACGAGAAGCGTATGACCGCCGGACGGAGACACGTCCGCGAGCCCGGTTGTGTGCATCGTCTCGCCTCGTCTCGCCCACCTATCCCAGCCCATCTCAAGTCGCAGCTCACACGAAACAGCATCTCCGGCAACATGACCGCCACCCTGACCATCTACTCTGCCACCTTCATGCGCTACGCCCTCGCTGTCTCTCCCAAGAACTACCTCCTCTTCGCCTGCCACGCCGTCAACTTCTCCGCCCAGCTTGCCCAAGGATACCGCTACCTCAACTACTGGAAGTATGTTCCGTTGCGTCACACCCCGTCCTGGCATAGCCTGGCCTGTTCTTCGTGGTGAAATGAGTGCTGACCAGATCGTCTTACGTACAGCTGGGGAGGCCGTGAAGCCAAGCTCGCCCAGGCCGCGCAGCAAGGCAAGGAGGCCACTGAGGCTGGTGCCTAAACTGTGTTGGTCTCGTTACTGTGTGACGGGCGAATTTGTTGTTCGTGGAATGTTGGGGAGGGATGCTGGCAATTCGGTTCTTGTGTCTATCTACCTATATACCTTGTACTTTGTTTCAATGGTAGACAGCTACGCCAACTTACATAGACAAAATGACGAAAAGCTCAAGTTGTCAATTGAACGATCGAGCAGATGTCCTCTGAACGAGTATAGGTTGCACTGAAAGCGTACATTGGCAATCGGTTCAACGTCGTTGAATATATTCAGATACAATCTGTGTTGAGGTGTTTGCTTGTACAGCGAGCTTAGCACAAACCAATAATATATCACAGTTTCATCGCAGTAGTCTATACAAATGTATACCAAAACAATGCTCGTGTCACATGAACTTGCTCGCAAATAACATATAAACCATGCTCCCGTACTAACCAACCGCACAACGCGGGTCTTACGGCTAGCACAAACCTCTAATGTTCGACATCCCACCATCAAAATGAAGGGTATATAGGCTACTGAGAATCACAGTAGCCGGGTGCTTTGACATCGCCACCTTGGACCCAGTTTGCCAAAGTCAGCGCTGTCGTGTACAAACAGCAAATAACACCGAAGCAGGACAGTCCTATGTCGGCAATCTGCTGTCGTCTTGATTGAGCACAGCTGCGAAGATGCAGAAGGGGCTAGAATTAGAGTAATTAGTATGGGACGGCGAGAATAGACTGTGCAATCTTACCGGATAGACGTAGATCAGCGGCACACAGGCGAAGCTGCCAACGAGCGAGACAAACTTGTCCAGATCTTCGGCCCCACCCCATGCGATGAATGCGCAGATCATGACCAGGAAAAAACGGAAGCAATTCTTTTTCCATTTGATCATCGGGTTATACTTGCCACTGCGAGTGAAGAGCTCGTTTTCCATGATGCGAATGGCCGGGAAGAGCTGCAAAGGTGTACTCAAGAGGATGGCAAGGGAATACAAGAACTGAACAACATTCACAAACTTGTCGTCCTGAGGAAGGTTCAGAATAACCACAGTCTTCGTCGCAGATCCGTAGGCAGCGTAGCTCAGCGCTCCGGCAGAGAGGAAGATCACGGTAATGATGACCATCACCCCGGCCAGGACGCCGGCGAACTGTTGCGGCCGCTTCATAGATTCTTGGATCGGAATGATCAGGCCAATCCCTTCATAGGTGAAGATGGCGGTGCCGATGAAGAGAGTCCAAGTGGACGGGTTGAAGGGCTTAATGTCGGCAATGCCCCCTTGCGAAGCAATCGTGAGGAAGTCATAGTAATAGAGGTAGATCAGCCCGAGCATGATGAACAGATCAGCAATTAGGGCAGTGAACCCGAGTTTGCTGATATCGCGGATCAATGATAGCGGCAGGAAGATGACTAGTTGCATCAACACCATAAACTTAATGTCAATGAAGGACTTGCATTTGCTGACAGCCAGAACAAATGCTTGCAAGTTCTCGGCGGTGAACACGATGTATGCGGATACAAAGCCCAGTTGACTGAGTACGATGGATCCCAGGATAATGCGTCGCATGTGTTTCCCATAGAGAACGCCTCCAATGTCACCGAAGGAGCCTTCAACCTTGAGACGTGTGTTTACTAGGAGGATGAAGCAGTAGTAACTGAGCAGCGAGACACCGAGCAACACCAGACTGCTGAAAAGCATTCCGCCGTTCAGAAAAGCTCTAGGTAGAAATAGAACTCCGGTGCCAACAAAGGACTTGAGTAGGAGAAGAGCTGCACCCGTGCGAGTTGTATTTCCGGTGCCTCCGCGCGGCTTCCGTTTCCTGCGACCAGGGGTCTCAGGACGGAGGAGGGCCGACTCTTCCCCGACTTCTCTGGCTTCTTCCTCCCAAGTTTCAGACGAAAAGTACTCGTCTGGCCCCAAGACTTCGTCGTCCTCCTCTAGCTCCTCACCCGCAAAGTGGCCATAGAGCGTCAGGAACTCCAGAAAGCTACTTGTAGGAAGCTGTGGTTGCGCGGGTGGTGCTTGAGGCCCGGGTCCATCGGGAGCACCAGGAGCAGCTGCTCTTCGAATATAGTCTCGACGAAACCCTCCCGGCACTCGGATGCTATTGATGTTCATCGTTTCATCTTCAGGGGTGGGCCGACTGAGGCTAAAGCTCTTACTTCGGTTGTGGTATCGTCCACTCTCAGGATCTGCCTCTTCCGCCCACCTGTATACCTGTCGAGTAATATCACCTCCCTGCAGTTGCAGACTAGAGAAATGGTCTTCTGTATTACTCGCGTGGCCCGAGGAGTGGATATCCCGGCTCTCGATCGCGTTCTGGGGTTGGACCAGGTGTCTTTTGACAACTTCCGGATCCTCGTAGGGGCCCACTGAATATTCGGAACCCTCTCTTCCTGCCTTGTTGTCGAAGGAACCATAGTTGGATCGGATATGCTGACTGTGTAGGGCAGGGGACGCTGTGCGTCGTGGTGGGGTCCCGAATCGCGGAGGCGAGCGACCCAGGCTTTCTTGCAGGGCCGAGGCTATCATAGACTGGCCAGGGCCCGGAAGTGAGGAGGGGTCATCGACCCTCCGGAGATCCTGTTCTGTGACAGGGCCCGGTTGGACAGGGACAGGCAATTGCCTGGAGGGGTAAGAGCTCGAGGGAGAAGGTATGGGGGATGCTAGGCGAGCAATCGAAGCTTGCCTCGTCGACACGTCCGTAGCAGGAGATCCGGAGCGTAATCCGCCGGTGGAAATAGGTGTCGACCGATACTGCTGGGTTGACGAGCCTTCGCCGTTATCAGGGACTCCAGGAGAAGCCATATTGAGCGACAACCAGAGGTCTTGTCTCAAACAACGGTACTTAGATAACTCCGAGGACACAGACGATCTCTATGAGACAAGGTTCCTCCTGGGCTAGAACCCACGTCTCGGGTGAATCGAGCTGTCGAATAGAGCGATCGGAAGGAGGTCTGCCGCTTGAACAGAGGGCGAACTGGACAAGCAATCGAGGACACAGGAGAAAAAGTTAGACCAGAGGATTGCCAAAGAGGAATGTTTAGTCGATGCTGAGGAGATGACCCGGGGAACGACAAGGCGGAGAACCCTAGGAAGGTCAGCTGCAGGCGTTTGCACGGTTTGCACCCCATGAGGTCATTCACCGTCCCGACTTTCGCTCCGCTCTTGTTCCTCTCCTCCCCTCCATCAACTCTGTCTCTCGCGGATCTGTGTCCCGATCTGTCTCCGTGAGATCTGCCGATCTAATCTAGGCAGCTCCCACGCTGCACCTCTCCTCGTGGCTGATCTCCCCGGTGTTGATGCCGTTGTCCCGTCCGTTAGCCTTATCTCCCGTGGCCGCAACTGTTGAAGACCTTCCGAACAAGGCGACATTGGCTTTTCTATCCGATGTCGAGCGATCGTGCTAAAAGTGCCACAGAGTCTATGTCTCGGAGAAGACCAAACTTCTCCACGCGGACTGCTGAAGAAGATTCTGCGCGTCTAGCACCAAGCGACTCGGCACCGGCCTCCCCAGAAGACAGCCACAAATTTCTCGGTGGCAGGACTTCCCTTCCTGTTCCTCGTCATGGACCGACCAATACGTCTTCCGACGCGTCGCAACGCCAGCGTCACTCATTACCCATCAATATTTTCCAAAACCTCGCTCGTTGGCGGGACAGGGATGGACGCAATGAAGCACCCAGAACTTCGCAGGAAACTGTCCCGGAGATCTCGATCTCTGCCGGCCCCCTGAGAGATTCCAGTATGGATCGGAAAGAAAGAGATGGCCATAAGAATCGTCTTCCTGACGTATCGGAGAAGCTGGGGACGTTTTCTGGGGTTTTTGTCCCCACCACTCTAAACGTGTTGAGTATTCTGATGTTCCTTCGCTTTGGATTTATCCTCGGACAGGCAGGCCTGTTAGGAATGCTCGGTACGTCAATACCATCAGATCGCTCCGAGCATCAGCGTCAACTAATACATTCGTACAGGATTACTTGCTGTCTCCTATCTGATCAACCTGGTGACCACTATGTCTCTTTCCGCCATTGCAACCAATGGGACCGTCCGGGGTGGTGGTGCTTACTACCTGATTTCACGTTCTCTCGGTCCGGAATTTGGGGGCTCAATCGGCATCGTATTCTACTTGGGCTACGTCCTGAACACCGGCATGAACGCCGTCGGTCTCGTTGACTGTTTTACACAAAACTTCGGTACGGAGTCTGGCTCGTGGGCCAATTTTTTGGAAGAAGGTTTCTGGTGGCAGTATCTTTGGTCCACTATTATCCTTATTCTTTGCACGGGAATCTGCCTAGCGGGAAGCTCTATTTTTTCTCGAGCAAGTAGCGGGCTGCTTGTCATCCTCCTCGTGGCAACGTTCAGCATACCACTCTCTGCAATTTTCATGACACCGTTCGCCAATCCGAAGCTGGGCGTGACCTTTACTGGCGTCCGCCTTCAGACTCTGCTAGAGAACCTCAAACCCAGGCTCACAAAGGGGGCTGCTGGAAGTCAGCTTTCCACTCGCGAAAACTTCCAGGACCTGTTTGGCATCCTGTTTCCTGCTACTGGCGGCATCTTTGCGTAAGAGATTTACCCGGAAGCGGTTGAGACGGTAGCTAATTTCACATATGAACAGCGGAGCGAGTATGTCCGGCGATCTTAAGAACCCTAGCAAGTCAATCCCAAAAGGCACTCTGTCGGGGTTGGCTCTAACATTCATCACCTACACAATCGTTGTATTGGCCATGGCGGCGTCGATTACGAGAGAGTCCTTCTACAACAACACCAACGTGGTGCAAATCGTAGGTGGATACAAAGCTAAGATAGCGTGCATCACCGCTAATACGAGCAGGCCAATTTGTCCGGAGTCGTTATTCTCTTAGGCGAATTTGCAACCAGTTTCTTCTCTTCATTGATGGGCGTGATTGGTTCGGCAAAGCTCTTGCAGGCCATTGCCCGAGATAGCATCCTACCCGGACTGAGGGTCTTTGCGAAAGGCACCCAAAAGAATGACGAACCGATCTTTGCGATAATTGTGACATACGTCGTTGCCCAGGCTACAATGCTATTTGACATCAATCGCATTGCTTCATTTGTCACCATGACTTACTTGATGACATTCTTGGTAACAAACCTCGCCTGTTTTTTGTTGAAAATTGGCTCCGCACCGAATTTCCGGCCATCTTTCCACTATTTCAACTGGAAAACCGCCGCAGCGGGGGCTCTGGTCAGTGGCGCTAGCATGTTTTTCGTGGACGGGGTCTATGCGTCGGGGTGCGTCGGCATTCTCATAGTACTCTTTCTGCTGATTCATTATACTTCGCCTCCTAAGTCCTGGGGTGATGTTAGCCAGAGTCTGATCTATCACCAAGTGCGGAAGTATCTACTTCGTCTCAAGCAGGAGCACGTCAAGTTCTGGCGGCCTCAGATTCTTCTGTTCGTGACAAATCTGGACGATCAGTTCAAGATGGTCTCGTTTTGCAATTCTCTGAAGAAGGGTGCTCTGTTCGTTCTTGGCCATGTTCTGGTGACGAATGACTTTACAGCGGCAGTACCCGAGGCCCGTCGTCAGCAAAACGCATGGACGAAGTTTGTGGAAAGCTCCAAGGTCAAAGCCTTTGTGAATATTGCTGTCGCCCCGACCGCAGAATGGGGTATCCGGAACATTGTTTTGAATTCGGGACTAGGAGGAATGAGGCCCAATATAGTCATCATCGACCAGTTTCGCAAGGGTCAGTCACTTGTCGAGGCTCTAGCCTCCGATCAGCTCCGAAAGGACTCAAGCGGCGGCCGCAACCCTCGCGATTCGGTTTCTGAGCTATCGGTACATAACGGGCAAAACGCGTCTATGAGCCATCAAAGCTATGTGACCATTCTTGAGGATCTTCTCTTCAAGCTGCGCATCAATGTCGCCGTGGCCAAAGGTTTTGAGGACCTTGAGCTCCCTGGTCCTTCTGGGCAACATACGAAGAAATACATTGATCTTTGGCCTATCCAAATGTCGGCACAACTTGGTGCGGATAGCGAGAGCAAAAAGAACGTCCTGACGACAAACTTTGATACATACACCCTGATTCTCCAGTTAGGATGTATCCTCAACACAGTGCCTTCGTGGAAAAAGACATATAAACTGCGAGTGGCTGTGTTTGTCGAATACGAGACGGATGTCGAAGACGAGCGAGGTCGAGTCGAGGCACTCCTCGAGAAGCTGAGAATAGAAGCCGAAGTTCTCGTCTTTTGGCTCGCATGCGGCGACCTGAAAGCCTACCGTATCATTGTGAACGGCGATGTATCACCGGAAACGCACGATCTTCAAGACAGGGTCAATAAGGCCTTGAAGGACGAAGACTGGTGGAGCGACATCCAGAAAGCTCGTCGGGGCTTACGTGAGTCTCCCAACAGAGCCGGTCTGGACCAAGGCGGAGCGCCCTTAGAGCGAGTCTCCAGTTGGCATGCGACTCCTAGCCACGACAACTCCCAGATACCTCCAAGCCACTTGAAGAGATTTATTCAGTCCGCTCGGAGACGACGCTCTATCTCCAGCTATAAAGGCTTTGGGGGCGTTAACTTAGGGATGCAGACTCATCGCTTGCTAGATGCATTCGTGGACTACGACTCTAGCGCCTCCAGTTCAAGTGAGAGCAGCGACGAAGAGTTTGAACCGTACGTCAGCGATAATGAAGAGGATGAAAGCAACAATAAGGCGAGGGACGATCGTCCGGAACAACTCCAATCAACCAGCCCGGGAGACAAAACGGCCCAAAACTTCTCGGAGGAGAATCCTGAAGGACGTGCTGCCGCCACAAACGTGCCTTCTATTATCGCGACAGCGGAGGATGCATCGCCTCGAAGCCAAACCGCTGTGGCACGCCCTCCATTTTCTCGCTCGCCTTCGACTAATCGATTCGATTCGTCGCCGATTCCGGAAACCCAGGTAAATACAGAGGAGGGAGCCGGACCATCCATCATGTTTGCTGCGAGCTCGTCGCCACCTCGTGGTAGTTCCAACAAGCGAGAGTCAATATACACCCGACGGTCTTCCTCGGGTGCATCTAGGACCGGCGCCGCAAGCGGGTATCCTCGACGGGCGTCAATACCTTTGTCCTTCAACGATCTTCCTAGTCGGGCGCAGCACCTTATTCTGAACGAACTGATGGCCAACCATAGTAGTGAGACTGCCGTTCTGTTCACGACACTACCCTCCCCGTTTGAAGGCACGGCTCTTAGTGAAACTGCAAGCGAGTCTTATCTGAGCGACCTGGAGGTTTTGTGGCAGGGACTACCGCCTTGTCTGTTGGTTCATAGCAACAGCATGACCGTGACAATGAATCTCTGATGGATCTGGACTTGTTGCATTTTTGATCAATGATTTGGGATAAATGCTGTATTATGACGGTGTGTATATATGAGAGGCTAGATTATAAATACATCATGTAGAATTTTTTCGCCGACATAAACTGGATCAATAGTACAATAGAGATAAGAGTTGATTTTAGGTGGTCGATCAACCGACAGTGGGGCGGACGCCAAGCCAGGTGTCAACAATGGGCTAATTTAAGGTTTAAGTTCATCTATTTTTGAAAGGTCTATTGTTCAAATTGAATATCAGATCGATATTGAAAGACCCTTTCAGAACGATGCAGTCGCGTCTAGCACGTCCATGCGACACGTCGTGACTGGTAGGTTACGGAAAGTGGGTTTTCGCGATTCTTTGCACTTCCATGTTCGATTCATGGCCAGACCTCCATATTAGCCTGATGAACTTAAGCTTATGAGATCTAGATCAGTGATTATCTGATGAAGAGTGACCACCTATCAGCCTAAGTACTGTAGAGAAAGGAGCAATCCATATCAAGAAGGTGGTGGACAACGTCCATACCTTCGACCCTGTTCCATCTCTCCCTTACATGTGCCTACACCATTCCTCAGCAGATTGAAGTTCATGACATTCCATCATATCCAAAGAGGTTACCGCAACACCGACTTGAATGTAAGACGTTGGCCACCTACCAGACCTGAGTGCACCCACAACGACTGGCATACGGCCAGTTATAAGGACATTCATGGTGAGCAATGAAACACAGCATGGGTCATAAGGAAGCTCTAGGTAAGGACTATTGGCCTCCTCTCCGAGATATTCCTTCTTGTGTTCTTCAGCCCCCTTCCATTCGAGACCTCGACTGTTCAAGTTACATCAGTAGGGCGCCGTGCGATCCCAACGCCCTCACTGTACACAGCTCTGCTGGCATGGCTGCTGCCAATTTATTCAAGTCTCTGTTACAGAGTCGGGTAGGGTGTGCACAGAGACGGGTGGCATTCGACAGTGTCAAGTACAGAGACAAAACTCAACCTATGAGGGTCTTGCGATGACGGTCAAGTGTGGCACAACATGCCTTTGAATAGACTGACCTTGGTGGCATGTGCACACCGTTCGTTGACTGAAAGCATACAAAGGTGTGCTTAGTGGCTTGGTATATGGCAAGGCTTTACGATTAATATTCAACGGTGCGTCTCTTAGAGGACGCATAGAACCTGCACTTTCTGATGGTTCTGTCAATGGTTTATCGATACAGGATGATCAGATATGGCTTCTGGAGAGAATGATACCTGCAGACAAGGAAGATATATTAGGATGTCGTTGGCATATAGAACAGATGTCCACCTGACTACTGACACTGTCCGACACCGGTGAATTCTTTTCGCGGAAGATCGATGAGCTGTCAGTTGCAAAGAAACTCTCTAGAGAGGACGCTCGGGTGATTATATGCTGGATAGTTGGGTGATAGATGTGTATGGTTCTTCGGGGTGTACAGGCTACCGTGGGGAGCCGGAGTGACACAGCGGGGAAGGGTCAATGTACGGCCCATGTAACAACTATGCATTGTTTTGAGCTTAAGCATGCGCTCAAGGTGTTGATATGACTCGGCTCGTCAGGGTATGTTGTCTCGGAAAGCCACTTCTGTGAACTCGCGACACTTGATACATTTCACCCGACGAGTATCTCGGCTTCCAAGTTGCACTGCGAAACATGAGAAGAACCGTGATAGAATGAGAACAACTACATCCCAGCTCATCAACCCGCTCAGCAATATAAATAAGACCCTCCCCTCCCGAACACCTTCAACAGCGCTCCTCAGACATCACAGACAACAGCCCACAGACCTCCACCATTCTCATACTGAAACCGAAATGAAGATCTCCACCGTCGTCCTTCTGGCCGCTTCGGTCCTGGCCCCCCTCGCCGAGGCGCAAGGCCGCTGCTACTACATCCGAAACTACGGATGGCGTGCCCGCTGCCAGCCCTGCAGACAGGGCTACCGATTCACTGGTATGGGCGATTGCAATCCCCGGTGGCAATGCTGCCGTGGATTCTGCTGCCGGAGACGCAGTGGAGACGATGTAAGTTACCCTCTTGGCGGATGAACAACGTGGACAGATGTGTGCTTGTTCTTGTTCGGATGCTGATCTGTGCGTGCAGGGACCTACCCCCATTCCCGGGCCCGAGCCCACTGATGTGGCGCCCCCTGGCTCCGAGGAGCCCGAGCTCCCGATTGAGGAGCTCGAGGTCCCCTTTGAGGAGTAAGGGGCGAGCTTGAAAGTCATCCGGGCTAAGTCGGCTCTGACGGGGAGGTGTGGGTCGGCTGACGGGTGTTACAGCAAAAGATGCAGGTTAGGTTGTAGCCTACAGTTGGACGGAGGATGAAGAGAGTCGAGTCCGGTTATGACCAGAATGGGTGAGATTGACCAAAGTCTGTCGTTATCATAGATACTGTTTGAAATGACGAGTCTCTCGTTAATTCGTATTGATTCGTATGCACATCAAACGTTGCTACTTGTACACATTGAGGCCATGACAGGATTAGACAACGAAGGGAATTCTTCGTGAGAAGATTGCTCTGAAAACTCCAAGATCCAGGACTGGTACCGACCGCACAGAAAATGCCAGAACGCTCGCTAATCGTACATTATACATAAAGGGGTACTCGCGGTTCAAAGAAGATAGGAATTAGGCAAGGCATTGCCACCATTGATCGGCTGACGTGCATACATGCAACCGATCCGGTTGTTGAGGTAGTTTTGTATCGGTTGATTGTCGCATTGCGCATGGTTGAACAGGCTTTCCTGCAGATCCAACGCTTGCGCGCGGAGTGCGGACACCTCGGCTTTCAGCTGGTCCTTCCGGTTCAGCTGCTCCCCATACCGGGACTCCAAGCCCTGGATGAACTCCTTCTTTCTCTTGCGATGCTTGTTGGCGGCAATGCGGTTCTTCTCCAGGAATTTCTCGCGTTGCTCGTCTCGGACTTTCGACGCACGACGGCCTGGCTTGCGGCCGGGTGGAGAGGCTCGCGTTTTCTTGTCCTCGGAGCTCGGGGACCGGGGCTTGACCGTTCCTTCGAGGTCGTCCGATGTTGGGCTGAGTTGCAGGGACGACGGCGAGATATGACGCTCCGTTGTAGGAGGCGACAGCGCGTCATACTGTGTGGATGGGGGTCCGTCGTAGGAGAACAGGATCGATTGGATGCTAGCGGGCAATTGTTTATTCAGAGTTGAAAGTTGATCGTCCGGGAGAGCCAGCGAGGGGGCGACTCCGTCTGAGGGGACGGTAGCCGCCAGCTGCGAACTGCGAAGAAGTTCGTCGCAGAAGGCATTGGTCACGTCCACTGGATCGGCCAGAAGGGTGTCTTTGGGATCTGCGCAGGCGAAGGGTCCCGCGGCAGTAGGGTTGGTCAGGATCTCAGACATTCTGGCGCACAGAGACAAGTGGATGTTTTCAGATAAAGTAATCTCAGATGGTGTGACTGTTTGTAAACTGCCATGCCATGTTAGTTATCAAGAATGGATTGGGTTGGCATCAGACTCACCAAGGCTAGATCAGCAGCAGCACACATAATGGATGCTTGAGGAGAGGAACCGTCTGGACTCTGGATCAGCGGCCATCGACATGTTATATGTGTTTGCGAACGGAAAAGTCTAAACACAAACATCCGAGTAAACTCTGGCCATCTGATTGCAGGAGCCAGGAAATACTGCATGAATAAGGGAGTGATGTCAGGACTTGACGTAGCAAGCTGAGTGGCAAGCCAGTTGGAGCTTCAGATGGGATCTGTGCACGACAACGGACAGAAGCACCCGGAGGGCTGATCCATGGTTTGACAGGCTCGCAGGTGGATCAGGATCGTATTGTTTTCTTGCGCGATCACCCAGCTCTTCCCCTGAGGATATCCGTTCCGCCAATCAAGACGGATTCCAGCGATGCCCGATACTTGGACGATGCGGACGGTGGGAGGATGGTGGATGGTCACAGAACAAATACCTAGAATGGGAGGAGACTCCAGACCAGTAGGAGGTCAGGAACAGTTCAACACCAAGGGACACTGCTGGCCTTGCATTGCAGCTGTCAGCCATGAGATGGGCGGTGGAAAGTCTGGCGCGAGCCAGGATGAGCCCCAGTCAGAGGGTGATAGGGCCGAGACGGGGTATAGCCTGACGTCATGATAGTATCAAACTATCCTGACTCGGATGCAAATCACCATCTCCACGGAAGGTCTACAAAAACCGGTCCCGGATCCTGGGGAGGGGGAAGGGATATCACAAGAACAACCGATCGTCTCTTCACAGGAGCCCGAGATTCCCAAACAGGCGGGAGAGCTAGTTAGAGTATGCCATCCATCAGGGGCTGTGGCGAGACGGGCAATTAGCGGCATAATTCCCCGGCCAATGAAGGCGGCCTGTCGGGAGGTCGTTGACATTGAGTTGGCAACAGTAGTCAGACAGAGGGACTGGCATCTCTTCCGCATGCGGGGATTCGGATGGCCGATCCTTGGAATCAGGTCAGTCCCGATCAGATACTAGTTTAACTAGTAGGTAGATGCATGTCCTGGGGGTTCTCGTCAATGATCTCACATTGACATTTGCTTCCCCATCGACCCTCATCCAGAGTCCATCTCCGAGTCTTTTCCATTGAAATTCCGTACATGACCGCCAGGGACATGGTGAATGGGATTGGAAAAGGTCTCCCTCGTCATGGAGGTACTTTGTACTATCTCCACAGGATGATCGACAGGTTTCTTGGCTGCAGAGGGAAGCGGAATGCCTGCCCTCATGCATCGTACTTCGGTATGGGATACCTGGTAGAGAGGAGAGAGGAGTAGGTTAAGTCATTTCATCCTTCTCCCGATCTGTTGTCGGTATATGCTCATACATAGTTTAGGTAATCCGCTGGTTGTGCCGTATGGTGCACTCCTAATCGGGAAGGAAGCACCTTCCGTACCGTTCTGTACGGCGTATTTTTCCCACTCGAATTGTGGTGACAAAAAACCTATTGGGAGACTGCTGATTAGTGGAGATGCCCGTTCTCAACTGTTTTGATTACCTCTTCCTGTCTACTCCTGATCGTCCATCTCCATCTCAATCTCGCTCTTTGCTACTTTTCTTCTCTTCTTCGTCTTTGTCGCTTGTCTGTCCACCCCCTCACAATGGCATGCGCTTGATCCATGCCGTTCAGTATACGATTGAACCTTCTCCTCTCCTCTCGTTACCCGCATCTCCCTAGACGCCCAACGCTGACATGCAGAACGCCCGCCGTAAGCACGGCAAAAGTAGTGTCAAGGCATGCAAGGGTCGTAATCAGCGTGCGACCATCGCCCAGATCATTCCAGACCACCTCCGTTCTTCGCGCCCGAATCCCTCCTCCGCTAGCGACGACAGCTTCGACTCTGTCAGCACTTCTGCCTCCGCTTCCCCCTCGTCCGACCCCTCGACCCTCACCCCTACCAACTCTATGACGACCAACGGTTCGACCACGACAAAACAATCCATGGCTCGAAAGGCATCGTCGCCATTGGCGCCCACCTTTATGGTGTCTGCGCCAGGCAAAGTCATCGTGTTCGGAGAGCATGCCGTCGTTCACGGCAAAGCGGCCATGGCCGCCGCCATCTCCCTCCGTTCATACCTCCTCGTCACCACCTTGACCAAGTCGCAGCGCACCGTCACCTTGAACTTCAGAGATATCGGCTTAGCGCATACGTGGAACATTGACGATCTGCCCTGGGACGTTTTTCACCAACCAGCCAAGAAGAAGTACTACTACGACCTCGTCACCTCCCTGGATCCCGAGCTGGTCGATGCCATTCAGCCTTACGTTGACCAAGTCTCGCCCGATCTCCCTGAAGACCAGCGCAAAATCCATCGTCGCTCCGCCTCTGCCTTCCTGTACCTCCTCCTCTCCCTGGGCTCCCCGCAACACCCCGGCGCCATCTACACCCTGCGCTCTACAATTCCCATCGGTGCTGGCCTAGGCAGCAGCGCCAGTGTCTGCGTCTGTCTGAGTGCCGCCCTCCTTCTCCAGATCCGCACCCTGGCCGGCCCCCACCCGGATCAGCCCCCCGACGAGGCCGAGGTCCAGATTGAGCGCATCAACCGGTGGGCGTTCGTCGGCGAGATGTGCACGCATGGGAACCCCAGTGGCGTCGACAACACGGTCTCCGCAGGCGGCAAAGCCGTAATCTTCAGACGGACGGACTACTCCAAACCTCCCTCCGTCCGCTCGCTTCCCACTTTCCCCGAACTCCCTCTCCTCCTCGTTGACACGCGACAACCCCGTTCCACCGCTGTTGAAGTCGCCAAGGTCGGGAAACTGAAGGAGGAGCACCCCGTCGTCACCGAATCGATTCTCGATGCGATTGACAAATTGACGCTGTCGGCGGAGGAGCTGCTGGACGGATGCGAGAAAACCGGAGTCACGGAGGAGGTGCTCGAACGCCTGGGCACATTGGTCCGCATCAACCATGGATTCTTGGTCTCCCTGGGTGTCTCCCATCCACGCCTGGAGCGCATCCGCGAACTGGTGGATTTTGCCAACATTGGATGGACAAAGTTGACCGGTGCCGGCGGTGGTGGCTGTGCGATTACGCTGCTACGTCCCGACGCGGATAAGAATGCCGTGCGCGACCTGGAAGCCAAGTTGGCTGCCGAAGGATTCGCCAAGTACGAGACCACCCTGGGTGGCGACGGAATCGGAGTCCTTTGGCCGGCCGTACTTCGCAACGGCACCGATGAGGAAGGCGGCGAGGAGATTGATCAGCAGAAGTTCGAACTCGCGGATGGCACTGAGGGTATCGAGCGTCTGGTGGGCGTCGGCACCCACGAGAAGCGCGAAGGATGGAAGTTCTGGAAGCGCGCGATTCGCCCGTGAGTCGGGTGCCTCTGAATGCCTTTTCCTCTTAAGGATTGAATTCTTGCGTCTATTTTTTCCAACCCATCTTCTATTCTCTTTTCTCTTCACAGCTATGCTTAGTTGGGAGCGCTACCACCGTCGCAATACTTGCTTTAATCTTCTCTTATCTTTACTCCTTTGATTTCATGTACAGACGTTTCACTACATCCTGGTTTTTCTCGGCTTTATTATCTTTTTCTTCTCATTCTGTTTGTTTTGATAGGGTATATCCCCTTATCTTGTGCATCTGTGCTACATATTGTGGTCGACTTTCGGGTTGGTTGAGGAAAGGTAGTAAAGCATGCATGCATAAATGGGCGATGTGTTATTACTTGATTGGATCATGTGAGCAATAATGTTGGCTATATACTCTGACTAGAAATGAAATATTTGATGTGATTCCATCCATCGGTAAATCCACTCTCACTGCTCTTGCATGGTCACACAACTACTAACAAAATGCTCGAATGAATGAGGCGAGCTATAAGGGTATCATTGCTATCATGTGAAATCGTTAAAATACAGAGTAAGAATACTCAGGATAATATGTACGACGGAAGAAAATATGTCACGGCCCATACAGATCACCCCATCGTCGTCTCCCACCCCTTCTCGATCATGACGTCCATCCAGTACACGCCGGGCTCGCCGGCATCCATTCGCTTCCAGACCTCCTGCACCAGTTGCAGACAAACACTAATCGGCTTGGGCGGCAGCACATGCAGGAAGGAGGTCAGCCGGCCCAAGACAAACCGACGAGTCCGGGAGACGTCGATCGCATGAGAAGAGATATTGGGCCCCGTGGCGTCCAACGAGGCATGCGGTGTTTGTGGCAGCGGAGTGTCTCGGGGCAGCCGCAGCTCGCTACAGGAGGCGACCAATAAGAACGGTTGGAGACAGCGGGTTCGAGACTCCAGGGGTATCGTTTTCAGGCGGGAAAGGGTGGTGAGGGCAAACTCTGTAAGCCACTTATTATAAAAGGTATCTGACGCGCTTCTTGTGGCGTCCATATCGGTGTTGTCTGACTGGAGATACGTGGTGGGGTCGCAGAACCAGCTTGTGCTGTCCATTCCGGGATCTGTTTCCAGAGATAGGAAGGGATCCCGCGCGCTCGGGGGTGTTTGCTGGGGTTCTTGGGCTTGTGGGGAGGCCTGGGGTGTCTGTTGGAGAGGTAATCGGCGGTGGAGAAGATCGGGAAAGGTGCGGTAGAGCTGCATCAGGCCCGTGCAGCGGTATACCTCAGCCATAGTGAGGAGATGCCAGACGGGAGTTTCGTCATCGCCGGGGCTGACGATCTCGGCTTCAGCTGGGTGGGCCAGACCCAGCAGTCGTTCTTCCAACTCACGGGCTTTCTGGATTGCACGTTGAGCCTGGGCGATGTCTGCATGAGAAGTAAAATGTCGAGAGCGGATCCGCTTCCGCTCATAACGGACGAGTCTTCCGACTTCCTGGACGGTAAATTGCGTGTCGCGTGCAATTCCGGTCCACGGGTGTGGGACACGTTGTAGGACGAACGATTCGCCCACGCCCGCACCAGTGGTCCCCGACAATACCGCCGAGTCATCCGCGACAAAGGAGAGGAGCATCTCCCAGTAGATCAGAGCTTCTTCGAAGAACTGATGGTTGTTGCTACGGCCGGGGCTGGCATGCTCCAGTCTTTTGGTGTCGAGGTGGTTTCGAAGAAGGTTGAAGAACGACAGTCCTAAGTCCTTGGAGTCATGCCAGCTGGCCGTCTGTCCCAGCATGAGTAGCGCCAGGAGAGACTTGTCATCCATCGCAGCCTCCTTGGTGATAATATCGATAGCTTCATTTCGTAGCTTGCGTCCCATGGGCCCGAAATGTGGAAAGTCGCTCACTAACGTGGCAGCCGCCATACTCTGCATAGTCTTGCACATGGCTAATGAGGAGCCCCACAGACGTGACACGGTTGATCGAAACGGATTCATCTGGCTATCGTAGCTTGAGAACAGAGCGGCTACATCTTTGAAATAGTATTCGATGAGGGTCCAAGAAGGGTTATTTAGAGGTTGCGGGATGGAGGTAATGTCGCGGTGAGAAGGTCGTGCTTGGTTTGACGGAGGGTAGTTCCGCACGATAGTTGAGGGGGAGAAGCCGGAAAAGTTTCGAGGCTCGCTGTGTAAAAAAGGCGCGGCGAGGGAGAAGAAGCTAAATGGATTCCCCGGGTTGTTGGGGGATCCAAATTCGAACAATGTATTTCCATGTTGGGGTGCGACGGCGGAAGATGCGGAGGCCGAGGCAGGTGATGGAGGACACAAATCCGTCAATTCTGGCAGTGAGTCTGCTTGCTCCAGATCCCACAGATTATCACAGAGCGTAGATGGCGCATCTACGTTGGGATCTCTGGATTCCGGGACATGCGGTGTTATTGGGAGGTGATCTGCCGGGACCAACGAGGTATGCGATAATGCGTCCACTGGATGATCCGGTGGCCGTGGGTTAGGGGACGACGCTGCGCCTAGATCGTCCGGCGACGGGATCAGTTTTGACGGTGATTTGTCGGTGTCGTTGTTCTCATCGTGGTCATCTGCTGCAGTCTGGGGATATTTGGTGACCCAGCGCAGGGACTGGATATAGCCGGGGCATTTTACGCCCAGACGAAGACAGCGACTGCAGTGAGGCTTTTCTTCTCCACATTTCACCTGTTGATACGACGGAATAGATGAGTTAGACTTGTATCTGCATGAGCTATGACGACTTTTCCAGACGGGGGCATCTTGAGGGAAAGGACGGGAAAAAGAACACAAGCGGGACTACTAACCCGCTTACTCTTGCATCGTGCACAACCATTGCGAGATTTCTTTACACGTCGCATTATCGACAGCGTCTCGACTAATGGACCGAGGACACAGAACGGGACAGGAGCATTCTGCAGTGTGGTATCGAGACGAACGAGCGAGGAGCAGGAGGGAAATCGATGGAGGCGGAGATAGGCAAAGGCCCGGGGTCACGGGTGCGGGGAACATGTGGCTATCAGGCAGGCCTGGCCAATGAGAGTGTGCTAGGGATTGTTTTGCCCGTTTGGGATTGGAGAAGGATGACTAAGGTATAGAGTAGGGGAATAGCATATATTTGTAGAGTCATGGACGTTGAGAGGTATGTGGGAAACGTAGAAAGGATACGACCATCAATTGACCATTGTGAAGAAGAGCCTACTACCTAGAGGTGGAAGGTAGAATCATTCCGTGAAAATGAACAAACATGATGCGGAGTAGAGGAGCAAATGGCAAAGAATTCCCCAGACTCTCATCTCACTGGCATGACTGAATAAACGATGGAAAGACAAAAGAAAGAGAATCGAACAGACCAAAAGATAAGCGATTGTTGTCCACGTGGATGCCTGAATTCTTGCTATTGTCCCACGCATTGCTGCCTCAGGCATGGACGAGTACCCCACCTCACCGCCTGCCTCTCCAGGCTTGTCCTTTGTTCCGCCTCATACAATCATCTCGATAGATTGTCTCACATCTACCTATAACATTTCCTCTTTCTCTCTGCCTGTATATCACTTCACTGCTTTTGACGCAGTCAAATCCAGAAACTTCAGCTCCCAAGGATTAGCGAAAGAGAGACACAAGTGCACAACCACCGCCCGCATTGTCCGCACCCCCGCAGATCCTCTGATACACTGAGAATGTCCGGAACATACTCCTCAGACCCCGAGTGGGCTTCAATCGAGCCCATCCCCCTCAATGATGGCTCGGATTCCGGTGCTATGCCCTTGGCGACCATCGCCTATGCCCCGGACTATCTCGAGGCCACATCCTATCTTCGCGCCGTGATGGCCGCCAATGAGATGTCCGAACGGGCGTTAAAACTGACCGAGGATGTAATTGCTATGAACCCTGCTCACTATACCGTCTGGTAAGGATGAGACACATCGGTCGTCAGAGCCTCTCGCATTAAGCCAGCCACTGACCGAATTGATAGGATATACCGGGCAAAAATCCTCTTCGCCCTCGAAAAAGACCTCAACGAAGAACTCGAATGGTTAAACAACGTTTCCCTAAAGTATTTGAAGAACTATCAAATATGGTGAGTCCTCGAGATAACCCAATCTTGCCTCCAACATGGAGCGCGAACCAATGCTGACATTATTTTCAGGCAACACCGCCAGGTCCTCATGTCTTCGCGGGAACATTTCCCAACCTTGCCTGCGAAGGAGCAAGACTTCCTCATGGAGATGTTTGCCCAGGACTCCAAGAACTATCACGTCTGGACGTACCGCCATTGGTTGGTCCGGCACTTCAAGCTCTGGGACGCTCCTCGGGAAACCCAAGACGTCGAGACACTCCTGACGTCCGACGTCCGGAATAACTCTGCCTGGAACCACCGCTTCATGCTTCGCTTCGGACCACGCGGCGAGAACGAGCCAGACGCGGGCATGCCGAACAGCAACACCGACGACCCCTCGACCAAGGGGCAGCTGGCCGTCGTCGACGAGGACCTTGTTGATGCCGAACTGGAGTACGCCAAGTCCAAGATCGTCTGCGCGCCGGAAAACCGCAGCCCCTGGTCGTATGCGCGGGGCGTCTTCCGGGCGGCTGGCCGGTCGCTCCAGGAGTGGAAGGACTTCGCCAAGGAGTTCGTGACGGAAAAGCGGGAGGATGGGCAGTTGGTGGGTGTGGAGGTGAAGAGTAGCCATGCGGTTGAGTGGCTCGCCGATGTGTATGCGCTGGAGGAGACGTCGGCGGAGGCCGTCCGCATGCTCACCCTGCTGAAGGAGAAGTATGATCCCATCCGGAAGAACTACTGGGATTATCGCATCCGCATGATCGAAGGCCATTCGGCGCAGGGAGCTGAGGTGGCTGCTTCGGCATGATTGTCCTTGTGTAAATAACTGGTTTTGGTTCTTGTATGCATAGGTAGTTCTAAAGTGATACTGAAGACACGTTGCTCGTAATCGTATATGCAACTCCATTAAACATAGCCTATCTAGGTCTAGATGAGAACAGTCGTGACAGATTAATCGTAGCGAAGAAACAAACAGAAATGGCCCGCCATAATAATATGTACTCGAAAAACCAAAGAGAAAAGTCGCAAAAAAGAAATCAGTTGCCCCATCCTTCCTGGAGCATCTTGCGCCACTCCACTGCCCCGTCGATCGTCACGTTGCTGCCGCCGCAGACAACGATGACTACGCGACTATCGCGGTTCAGATCCGGTACGAGCTGCTTCAGCTTCGACTGCAGGGGCGCAGACGGGATCTCCGCCGGGACGGACGCGGTATCCGCAGCATCATCGGCGTGGTTAAGAGTCCGGCGCGTTCGTTCGACGCCCTCCTCCGGCTCCGTCTCGTTCTCCGTTGCTGAAGCACGGTCGTCGCCATATCCTTCATCCCGCCGTCCCTGAGCGCGCTTCCGCTTCTTGTTCGCAGTGGCTTGCGCGTCGGATCCCGACGAGGCCAGCCGCTCCTTTCCGGCATCACCCACTGCCGCTTCCACGCAGACACCGCACGCCAGCTCGACGAGGAGTCTCTCATCATCGACAAGACGGAGGACGCCCCTCGCCGCATCAGCGTCCGAAAGCACAGTGCTGTGCACCGCGATTCCCGCCGGTGGCGAGACAGCATACTGGAACGTGCGCTCGGAGACGCGGATGGCCCCGAGCGAGGTGGCCTGGGATGTGATCTTGGGCAGGGAGACGAGGGAGTTGTTGGCGACAGCGGCGGCCAGGGAGTCCGTGCCCTGGGTTTCGACGGCCACGAGATGGATGGGCTTGGACGATGGGGACGACGCGTAGTGACCGGACAGCTTCTGGTTCTGGCGCTCGCGCTCGATGCCCATGACGAGGCCGTTGAGGAGGCCGCCGCCGCCGACGCTGCAGATGATGGCATCTACGGGCAGCGGGCGGCCGTGGTGGACGGCGGTTTCGTCGTCACCAACGGGCGGCGGCAGCTGGGTAACCAGCTCGTCGATGATGGTGCTGTTTCCGAGCCAGATGGGCTCGTTGTCGAAGGGGTGCAGGGCGACCTTGGCGACGTCGTCGCTCTCGTTGTCACCCTTCTGCTTCATGATGACGTTCTGCATGTACTCGCCGGCTTCGGAGAAGGTCTCGCCGTACTGGATGACGTCCGCGGCGCCGGCGGTGCGCAGCTTCTGGACCATCAGCGGCTTAGTCGACAACGGCACCACCACCGTGCAGGGGTAACCCAGGCTGCGGGCAGCGCAGACAGCGGCCAGCCCGGCGTTGCCCCCTGACGAGGCGTAGAAGTGTACGGGGCGGTTGGCGTTTTCGGGCTTGACGAGGTGTGAGAGGATCTGGTTGCCCATGGCGCGGGACTTGAACGAGCCGCTGGGCTGCACGTTCTCCAGCTTCAGGAAGATTCTACAGCCGGCAGCGCGGGAGAGGGCGGCGGATTCCACCAGAGGCGTCTGGATCCATGGCGTCTTGAAGGCGGGCTTCGTGTGTTCGGGGGCGACGCTTCCCATGATGACGGTATCACAGGATGGATTGTTGTGTGGGAAGGACGGGGTGAATGGAATATCGGAAGATGGTTGATTGTTCGTTGTAATGTACAGTTCTTGCAGCAGGGACGAGAGGGAAGTATAAAACGGGTAGGGTATACTATGGATGTATGGGTCAGGGCAGAATCAACGCGAGGCAAGATGGAAGAACACACAACAAAGAACAAATACAAACCCTCCCATTATAAGAGTACAAGTACAATGCACCGCACACATATAGATATGATATCGATACACGATTGGTATCTTTCCGATGCTCCCTGTGGGGTTTGCCGCGGGAAACCAGCCGAGTTTCCCGTCCCGATATCTATCAATGTCCCCTCGTCGCGAATCTGGGCCTTTCCCGGCGATAACCTTGTGGACACGCGAGAAATAAACCATTGGTCATGACATAATATAAACCATCTCATAGGGACAAGCCGTCCTGCGTTGGGTAACCTTATGAGCCTGCTCCATCGAGGCGAAACGGAAAAGCTCCTCACGGTTTCCCACTGACCCTTGCGTTGACGGAGAATGCCAATCACGTCCTATGATGGCCTCGGGCCTCTCTCCATAAGCCGAAAGTGGTGGTTTTTATTATCAAACTGGAACCATGACGTTGACTAGTCCTCAACGATGAGCTGGGGGAAGAGAATCTTCTTCTTGACCCCTTCCCCATAATCCAGGTCCGAGCCGAAGGCGGTATCTGACAAGGTCCGCTTGGAGAGGTCTACACGGAGGAGGTCCAAGAGCTCCTTGGACTTGGTAGGCATAAAGGGCTGTAACAGGATTCCTGCTATCCGTAGAGACTCGATGATGTTAAACAGTGCCCGTTGGTGCTCGGTTGGGTTTTGCCACGGAGCTGAAGCGTGGAAATACTTTTGCGCCTGTCAATAATGGTCAGCATAGGCGAGCTTCACCGGGTCCTGGTTGATACGCGTGTCCCACCTTTTCAACCAAGGTCACAACTTCCTGGAGAGCGGCCCGAGGGTTCAGCTCCTCCATATGCTTCGCCACCTTGGCAGGAGTTTCTTGCACGGTCTCTTCGAATACCATGTCATCCTCGTTCGCCGGCGGAAGACCACCGCTTGTCCCATTCACAATGTATGTCCGCAGTTCTTTCTTGGCACAGCCGATTGCTCGGTGGGTCAAGTTTCCAATTCCAGATTGGAGCAGTTTCTTGTAGTCGCGAATGATGAAAGAATTATCATAGTCAGCATCTCCGGCCAGGCCGCCCTGGTAGGCAAGGAAGAACCGCATGGTGTCTACACCGAAACGGTCGAGAGCGAAGAAGGGGTTCACGGTGTTTCCCGTGGACTTGGACATTTTCTCATGGTTGATCGTCCAGTGCCCGTGGACCAGTACGTTGCGGGGGAGGGGCAGGTCGAGCGCCATGAGGAATGCCGGCCAGTACACGCAGTGGAACCTAGGAGTGCCTGTGAGCATTGCACTGTTCCGCAATCATAACAGGACAGAACTTACCGGATGATATCCTTGCCAACAACGTGGACATCTGCTGGCCAACCAAGTCGGCCTTCTTGACCTGGCGGGAATGGGTAGCCTGCCTTGGTCAAGTAATTGACCAGTGCATCCAGCCAGACGTAAATCGTCTGCGTCTCATCGCCTGGAACAGGAATACCCCAGTTCAACCGTTCCACAGGTCTGGAAATCGACAAGTCTTGAAGACCCGAAGACACCGACCTGATCACATCTCTATCATACTTCGAAGGCTGGATGAAGCCCGTTTTGTACAGCTCCAGGAGGCGCTCCTGGAAGGCCGATAAGCGGAAATGGTAGTTTGTTTCCGAGGACCACTCGACTGCCTTTCCAGTCTCGGCAGATACCATTCTTTTTCGGCCGGTAGTTGGGTCCAATGAGTTTTGGACTTGTGACTGGGGATAGAAGGTCTCATCGCTGACAGAATACCACCCCTCATGCTTTGAGGTATAGATATAACCACGATGATCCAGCATTTCCTATTTCAATCAGCATACCGAAGTTATATGCGCACCAGGGTTGAACTCGTACCCAAAAGTACTGAACAGCCTCCTTGTGCGCGGCATCTGTTGTCCGTATGAAGTGGTTATAATCCATGTTCGCAGCCTTTGCTAGAGCCTATACTCCTTTCTTAGCAGAGTCTCCAAGGCAGGATATGAATGAGGCCACTGTTAGAGGACCAGAAGTACCAACCTCGAATGTTTTGAAGTTCATATCGCAAAAAGCCTGGGTGTCCATTCCGGCAGCCGCCGCAGCCTGCTGGATCTGTCCATACCGTCAGCGCCGTGGATGACATCGTATCCCATGGTTGCCCGTACCTTCATTCCATGTTCGTCGGTACCCGTCAACAGTTGAGCGTCCGTGTCTCCGGCAAGTGCCCGCCATCTCTTCAGGACATCGGCGATGATCATGGTGTAGAGGTGACCGACATGGGGAGCTAAAGAGATGAAAACTAGTCAGAGATATGATGCATATAGTTACTTCTGTCGGAAGTACGAACCAGCGTTCACATAAAAGATAGGCGTCGTCACATAGTATGGCTTCTTTGCGCCCTCGGAAGCAGTGGTCGCAAACCGGCGCGGAATGACGGCCGTCGGGCGCGCAATTCGGGGAGAGGCACATCGCCATGACGGGCGTTGGTGAGCCAGCAACTTGCTGGCCCACGGGAGGGCACAAGACCGATATCTAGGAATTATCATTGGGGTAGGCTGAGCATGGGAGGAGAGGGAGAGAAGGAGGATGAATCAGTGGTCTGATGGATTCGTCGGAGTTGCGATAAATCTCCGGGTGGTCCAAGCTCCTTCCGTACCTTTCTTTTTTCCTTCTGCCAGTCGTGTTTCTCGGTCTTCCTCGACACCTTTCTTCGCGAAACTGATTTGCCTGCCGAGTCATTCTTTCCCACTATAATAACCTCCTCTTGTCTGAAGTCTCTTTGCTATTACCATCTACGACGCCATCTCTCGAAAGCTCACCCACCTCAAGCATCAAAGATGGCTCCTGCAACGGATGATGCGCTCACCAAAGTGTCGACTGATGGTAAGGCGTTCTCCCTGCTTTGAGTCTACAAACCGTTTTTAACCCGATCTCTCCTTCTAGCTGCGACCGAATTCGTCCAGTCGTTCTACCCGGCCCTTCAGTCGAACCGCGCTGCTATCGCTTCGTTCTACAACCAACCGACGTCAACGATCCTCTTCAACGGAAACACAGTTGCCGATGGAAACGCTGTCCAGGAGATCTTCGTTAACCAAATGCCTCCGACACACTACGAGGTGCAGTCGTTCGACTGCCAAATTATCAACCAAACATACCCCACTCCGACGGCGACCGGACTGAAGCTTCCCAACGAGACCACTATCAAGGACATGTCGATCCTCGTGATTGTTAGCGGCTTCGTCCGGTTCGGAGAGGCTAGAGATCTTCCCCAGCGCGGGTTCAGTGAGACTTTCGTGCTTGTTCCGAACCCCACCGCCGATGGCCCCAAGGGCAAGCGCCGCAGGGAGTGGCTTATTCAAACCCAAAACTTCCGACTTGTTGTTTAAGCTGGCTCTTTAGCGCCTCGGGAAGAGTTACGATACGCATCAAGATTAAACGATGAAAGCTGTTGATTCAGGGGGTATATAAGATCCGAACTCTGGCAGCAAACAGACTACAAAACAAAGCAGGGGTCTGCCAAACGAAAAAACATGAGCTTGCTTGAAATCGTTATGACGAACGAAAGGCGAAACGAGCGGGATACAACGCAAACACCATTATTAGCTTGTTACTTTCGGCGGAATGCGCATATTCGCCTTGACTCGTTCCAGTAACTCTTCGCGCGTGGCATTTTCGTTCGGCAAAAGCCCTCTCTGTCCTATCGGTCAGCTTGTCGGAGGATACGAAAAGGTTCATGAATACATTCCAAGGACTAGAAGGATTGACATACAGCGCGAAGCCATCTCTTCATCTCATCGGCAGTCCACTTTTCCGGGTCTTGTCGAAGTCAGTGGGGTCGATCAGCACAGAAATGGATTGAAGTATGTGCTACCTCCGGTTGGGTCAGCTTCCGCCGGGAAGATGTCACTACCCCAGATGGCCCAGGCAGCAGCAGCAGTGACCATCCCCGCGAACCCTAGTATCGTCAGATGTGATATGCCTTATTTTAGCGGGTTGTCTACCAAGAAAAAGGTTCTATCTCTTATGAGTGGATTCGTTGCGCGGACAAGCTTGGAAGGAAGAACATACCTTTGAATGCATAGCTCGATCCAGAGGGGTTGGCATTTTCAAGGTGATAACGATGTATGTATGATAGGAATATACGATGGTTATGAAACAAAGATAAAGAAGTATAGGTGGCACGACACCAGGCAACGATGTAGATAGAGACCCTGACGTATCTACTCAGTCCAGGCTGTGATGACTCATCCAACACCGCCACATGCTGTGGCGTCCCGCCTCAGGGCTTCCCGACGGGCAACCCTAATTGCCCACACAACTGCCGCAACTCCCCCAACCCGCGACGTTGAGCTTCGAGATCGTGATTGTCCCTTCTAGTCCCGTCCTTTATTCCCACGACCGTCCACCTTACGTCTCCAACCCGCCCACCATGCCTCGTGAAGTCTCCGACATCAAGCAGTTCATTGAGATCTGCCGCCGCAAGGATGCGTCCTGTATGTTTTCCCAGCTTCGACTACATATGGTCCGGTGTCGTCATTCAAGGTCCTGGATAATCAGCTCCAGCAGTCGAATTGACGACCAACGGCCTCTTAGTCAGAAGGGAAGAATGCTAACGGTATCTCTTCATTGTGACAGCTGCCCGCATCAAGCGCAACCGTGCCACCCAGCAGATCAAGTTCAAGGTCCGCTGCCAGCGCTTCATCTACACCCTCGTCCTGAAGGACTCCGACAAGGCCGACAAGCTCAAGCAGAGCCTGCCTCCTGGTGCGTTATCCCTCCGACTCCCCGCTGAGCAATGATTCGCCTCTGCCGTTCTTGAATCTCAGTCCCGTTCCCAATTCGGGATTGTTTACACCTCAGGACCTGGAATCGGACAAGGATACAAGGATACGATCTGATCTATGCGGGGGCTTGACTACGATGAACGCTCACTAACTATCGTCTCCGAAACAGCGCTCAAGGTCGTCGATGTCTCCAAGGGCACCAAGAAGGCTCTGTAAATACCTTCTATAATTGGAAGTAGAGAGAAGTGGGCCCGGAGGACGGCGCATGCAGACGTCGATGCATGAATCAACTGTTGGATGGATAAGTGGCAAGGGCATGGATGCTTGTGTGGGCCGACACTGGTGTTTTCAGTTCCGGACTGGAGATTCCTGCGTTTGTTGTCGGACGTCGTGGTCATCTAAGGACGATAGACCGCGACTTCGGCCAAACGACCTACCTTTTATACTTGCGCTGGAGGTGGCTTTGTCGGAGCTCCTCCGCTTCTACAATATAATGAAGCAAAAACAGTTGAAATCCCGTGCAACGCTTTCCAATCCTTTCATGGGTGATCCGCGCTGATCGTGTCAATCGGCCCGGCTGTAGAACAGTTTCGGTATCTTTCGCAGTGCAGATCTGCCACATGGGCATGAGGGATCTGTTCATGGTCATGGTCATGGCCATGGTAGCCTTGTAGTTGTACTTACAGTAGTTCGATGCACAGGCCGAGTCCATATTGAAGGGGATCGATGATCCGGAACTCGCCTACCGGGAATGTTGGACACTCCATGTCCATGAAACAGGGTCTGTCTGGTCCGTCAGCGAGTGAGACATGACGATCGCATGTTGTTGAGGTTGGGATGGGAGAGCGGAACAATAGGCTATATCGGGGCTTGGCGCAAACATCGTGAAACGGTTGCCAGCTTCCCTCCACTTCCCTCCAATTTCACCCTGTCGCAACCATGCCGATCCCTCTGGCGGATGATGTCCGAGTCTTCAGATGTATGTATGTACTCGAATCTTCCGGATCCCACCCTGCAGGTCATCGGCTAGTTATGTCCGTGAGGTCTTGGGCCTGACCCTGCCGTGAAAAGGCCCAGTCCACCGGCCACAGCCCAGGCCGGTGGACTAGATATAGTGGAGGTCAGAGCCCTCGAATCACAGAAATGGATGACCCTCGAGCGCTAATCATTGCTCTACAGGTCACGGGCGGTTCCTGGTAGATTGGATTTATGATATACGGCCCCTCCCTCCTGCGGCCCTGAAGACCCAAGGCCAGTGGTGCGATTCCTATTCAGGAACGGATCAAGGATGACTAGCCCTATTTTCGCCTCCAACTATAGGCATACAGCCACCAAGGATTATTGCCGTCGGTCCGGCACCCCGGCAGGCTGGGGGATCGCCGCTGGCTACCATGGCTGCTCAGGAGGCATCAGCCAAGTAGTGTGCCTCACGTTTTGTTTCCGCCTCTTCGTCGCTGAAAGACATGCCCTGTTGATCCTCTATCAAGTGGAGCCTACCAGACAACTGAAACCAGACATGCGTGATGTCTAACACGAACTATCCGGCATCCCTTCCTGTCCAGGCTATGTCTTCTCGCGAAGACGGGCTTGCTTTGAACGACCTAAGAACAGACGGTCACAGTTCATTTAACCCGCATCATGGCAGGATCGGATGAAGAGCTAGAGGCTTGTCGAGATGCAGGACTTGACATCATCTTATATTCAAATTGATTAATTCTTCAGCTTGGGTACTTACTATTGGTTCTCCTCGCAGACGCTCTGCATGCAGACGGTGTGCCGGCGTATCTGGTGATCGAAGCCACCCGGCATTGATGGACTCCCGGATAATTTCCTCCGCTAATAGACTGGTGTGACAGAAGGACAGGGCCAGGAGGTGGGCCATGGCCCGTTTATCCACGCTAATAACAGAGAGGGTCAACTATGCTGGGAGACAGCTATAAAAGGGTGGCCGCGAACCTATCCATCCTCTCTTGCTCAGGAGCATTCATATCATCTCATTCTTCTTCACGCCTTTTTGTTGAGCAGGCTCTTCAATCTCTGGCTGTTTTTTCGTGATTCTGTTCCTTCGTTCATACATCAACACAATGTCCCTGTCTAAGATTGCTACGGGCATTCTTGCCTCGGCCACCCTCGTGGCGGGCCACGGTTACGTCTCTGGAATCGTTGCCGATGGCAAATAGTAAGTCTGCTGTATGGACCGCATACATGCACAAGTGAGGCTGACAGTACAACAGCTACTCGGGTTACCTCGTCGACAAGTACTCCTACATGAACGACCCGCCCGAGACCATTGGCTGGTCCACCACCGCCACCGACCTCGGCTTCGTCGACGGTACTGGTTATGACACTGTCGACATTGCCTGCCATAAGGGCAGTGCTCCCGGCGCCTTGACTGCCACCGTGCCCGCCGGCTCGAAGATCGAGATGCAGTGGAACACCTGGCCTGAGAGCCACCACGGCCCCGTCCTCAACTACCTCGCCCCTTGCAACGGCGACTGCGCCCAGGCGGACAAGTCCTCTCTGGAGTTCTTCAAGATCGAAGCCGAGGGTCTCATCGACGGCAGCTCTCCTCCGGGCCAATGGGCCACTGACGAGCTGATCTCCAACAACAACACCGCCGTCGTCACCATCCCGGCTTCCATTGCCAGCGGAAACTACGTCCTCCGCCACGAGATCATCGGTCTTCACTCCGCCGGCAACCTCAATGGTGCCCAGAACTACCCCCAGTGCATCAACATTGAGATCACTGGTGGCGGCAGCACCAAGCCATCTGGTGTCTCTGCCACGATCTTCTACAAGAACACCGACCCCGGCATCAAGTTTCGACATCTACTCTGACCTGAGTGGCGGATACCCCATGCCCGGACCTGCCCTGTTCGATGCTTAAATAGAGGCGGTACCTGGAGCATGGCTTACGAACACCTGAACATTTCTGTCCTATGCAAATAGGGTGCGAGTTTGGCCAGAGTACAGCAGGTTTCCACACGTGGTGCTCTAGGTTGAATTATTCTGAATGTTAAATATTTGGCTATGCTCATCCACTAAAACCTCGACAACCAATCCTATACCCCTGTAGCCCAGCGTCAACGCCAAATGAACATGGAACAAAAAACATCTACAAATCCTTCTCAACTCTTCCTCCCATACTCTAAAACCGTATACCCACGCACCCCAGCCCGCCCAAGCGCCTCATCAACCCATTCTCTCCCCAAATCCGTCCTCCGCAGCTCAAACTCCCCAAAGTAATTCGGCTCATCCGCAACCTTGCGAAACAGGACACTCTCAAAAAGCGCCAAGCTGCGCACATTCGTCTGCCCAATCTTCACACTCAGACACGAGAACCTCCACCCACCAGACCCAGAACCAGCGGCGCCCTTTGAAAGCGCCAGCGCCTCCGACGCCGACGCATCGCGGCCGACAAACTCGCCCAGAATCGCCGCCTCGTGGTCGACGATATACCGCAAGAAGGCGAGGAGCGCGGCACGCCCGAAGCCTTTGCGTTGGTTTTGCTTCTCGGCGATCATGAGCTCGATCTCGCCGATGATCTGCGGCGCGGACGCACCCTCTTCGCCGTCGTCAATGCGGAGGAAGAGGTTGATGTCGCCGACCATGCGCTCGGGACTGTCGTCTTCGGGGCGGAGCGGGGTGGAACTCCCGGTGTCTTGGTGGGAGCTTTGGGCTGGGAGACAGATGATGAAGGTTAGTTTGTCTGGGTCTTGACGCCAGCTTTGTTGCATGGCGTATTCTTCTTCCAGGGTGAGGGGTTCTGAGGCTGTCGCTTGTTGGATTTCCTGGAATACGTTGGTTTGCGTTCATGCAGAGCTGGTCTCCTATATATATATATATACTAAGGGAAGATAGATACCTCATCTTTCATCCATTCATGGTATCGCGGCACATGCCATTTTGAATATGGCACCAGAAGGACGGCGGACGTGGAAATAGCTAGTCTGGTGAGCATGTAGGTATATGTCCTCTGGTGGACAGGGTCTGCATACCAGTTTCAGCGTTCAGCAGCATTGCAGCAATTATACAGTCATTAAGGTTGGATGTATCTATTATTCGTCCTGGGCTATGGGAATTTTGGAAGGATGGCAGAGTACTTTCCGGCGGGCCGTCTTGGCAACCGCCTCCGTGGGTACCGTATATACTTGTAGAACATCACCTGGCCTTCTTCATGAGTTCTCTTTCTCTTTTCGTCTTGATGACGACCATATTCGGCCATTCTTACCTAGGTGGGCAACCACGGTCACTCAGCGTGCTGCCTATATATTTCCTCTTCTCTTTCTCTCTCTCTCTCTCTCCCACACATCCCCCACTAACACCAGCGCCACGATCAACAACATTCCTCGTATCTTGATTTGCTATTACATCCCACCGCTAGCTTCGTTATCCTCTCATTATCATACGGAGTAGACATGGCCGAAATATACCCGCCAAGTTTGGTCCTGGCCGAAATCGCTGAGAATCTCGACCGTCACCACGGCGAGCTTCGTGTCACTCTCCCCAGCAACCATTTCACGCAGCAACAAGGACTGAGTGCCACGCTGGACTGCGTTGGCGAACTTTCCGACCGCGTGTTTCTGCCGACGACCAACCCAGCTCGACGACAGGCCCTCAGACGCCAGGCGCTGGAAAGCAAACATGTGTTCGACGGGTCAACACGGCCAATTCGTGCTCCGGGAAAACTGAAACCTGACGATATTCCACCAACTCCCTCTCCCGAACGCCGCGCCCTATTGAAAAAGAAGTTTCTGGATGAGAATGAACACCCGTCTAGACCCTACGTCCTTGAAACCGCTCTTTTGCGCACAGATCATGCACTGGCAGCTGTCGTCGGCAACGCTAATGTCAGTGCCGTTGATTGGGAATCTGGTATGCCCAAGTGCCGACTCAGCCAAATCGAAATGCTCTGGGATACCGGCGCTCAGACCACGATCATCACGAAAGACATCTTAGATGAACAGTTTCAAGCGCACCTATCTGACCCTGTCCACAGAGCCTACCGGAACCAGGATGGCACACGCGTTCAGATCTCATTCGCCCTTGAATTTACCAACTCAGTCCTTGTTTTGGACCATATCGCTTGGGTTGTGGACAAAGAATTTGTCCCCAATAGGGCGATCAGGCATTATCCTAGGGCAGAAAGGCTTCATCGACTCACTGCAGCTGCGAGTAATTCCGCGGTCCATCCTTGAGGCTCAAGGGGCAGGCAATTGACGAAAAATTCTGGGGGAGATCTGATCCTGGGAGAGCTTGTTGATGTTGATGGGATCCTTTGA